TCACAACAGCCAAAGCGGCTAATAAGCAAAGGATTAAGGGACCAACCTTTAAGAAGGGGGATAAAGTTTTCCTGTCACGACAGAACCTGAAAACTAAGCGACCAAGCAAGAAACTGGATAACCTCCGAGTAGGACCATTCGAAATCCTAGAGGAAATAGGCACAGTAAATTACAAACTCCAACTGCCACCAGGCATGCACATCCACCCTGTCTTTCACAAGAAACTCCTGGAACCAGCACCTCCAGATGCCGAGCTAGCAACGGATATAGAGCTCGAAGACGACGAGTACGAGGTCGAAGAAATTAGGGACCTGCGGAAAATCGGTCGTCAGTGGAAATACTTGGTCAAGTGGCAAGGATGGCCAGAGGGTCAGAACACTTGGGAACCAAAGGAAAGCTTGACGAACTGCAAGTCACTGGTACTTGAGTACCACCGGAAACACCCAGAGAAGCAAGGACCGGGTCCTCGAGGGAAAGGAAGTAATCAAAAGAAGGGTCGAAAGAAGCGTCAGCCTGTAACCAGCCCAAGTCAGTCGACGGTCCGGGTAGCGATGGTTCGGTTGTCGGAAAGTCCGTACCAGGGGCAGAGTTCCCCTCGGCTTGCTCTTTCGCACGGTCTTGAAGGCTCAGGATCGCGTGATCTCGATCAGCGTACGAACGCTCCAAGGCCTCAGTTTCCGCGACTTCTAGACGAAGCCGCGCGACCTCGGCCTCTGCACGGAGAAGCGCTAAACGCTTCTCACGCTTCTCAGCTTCAACCTTTTCCCACTCTTCCTCGGTTACAAACAAACTGCACTCAGCTTTCACGGAAATACAACCCGCACACTGCCCAGACGCAGTGTCCACGAAGCAACGAAGGTTCTTCTCCTCACAGCGCTTACAACGAAACGTCATTTCGTTCCCTTGCTGCCGGACGCGATCAGCCCGGGCCTGACGCTGTTGAGTCGAGTTTTGCGAACGGACACGGCGAGTCGGGGGTTGAACCTTGGGCATGGTTAGGGACGCTGGAGGCAGGAAGAGGCGGCTACAATGGCCCGGGGCGCGCAGACCTTATATGCAGCCCACGCCTCAACGATCGGCACGGCAAAATAATAATCCAGGGTATCGGGACGATACGCCTAAGAGGGGGGATAATGTTACAGGTAACACAAAGGATTCTCTCCTTGACATGGGGTGAAGGGGTTGAAGGCCAACCACGACCAAGTCAGAACGCAACGATGATCGCGGGGCTCGGGGTCACGTGATCAGGATTGGCATCCCGCCAAGACCAGGCCTCCGGGAGGCCAGTGGGGCTAGGGAAGCCACGGTCCTCCCAAACCTCCCTCTAGGATGGGAGGCCAGGGAGGACAGGACCTAAGGCAATGGGTATAAGAATGTGTTGGATTTCATTATTACACTCATTGTGGTCAACTCAAATAGTTCATCTCTTACACAGATTGTCAACTAGTTATTCTATCGTTTATAGAATTGGATTGTCTTTACCTGCAGTTATTCCACGATAACTCTTTTCCACAGAATCGCCAGACAAACCTCACGGACTACCGCTTTAGTCTACCTCGCCTTAGTACGGACCGAGCCTAGAGAAGTATAGCCTAACCCCGTGTAACACGTAGGCGGATAGCGTTAAAGAAGGCTAGTTAGCGTGCTTACTTTGTAAATTAGTAGTAGAATTAGGTGCGTTGTAAAAGTAGCTATTATTAGAACTAGTAGAAATCGCTAGTTTATAAGAAGAGTAATCGCTACCTAAGGTAGAGAATTGCGCAGGCTTACTACAAAGGTTAGTAGTAGCATCTAATCTAGTGTAATTACTAGTAGCGCGAGCAATTTATTGTAAAGCTAGATAGTAATTCTACTTACTAACTAAACTAGTAGAGAAAGCTTATTTATTATAAAAGTTAGCTACTGTGTCTAACTTAGCGTAATTACTAGTAGCGTAAGTAGATTACGCTAAAGTAGAACTATAAGCTTATTTATAGGCTAAACTAGTAGAGAACGCTAGTTTACTACAAGAGTTTAGAGTACTATTAGAGTTAGTGTAGTTACCTAAGGTGCGTACAGACTACGCTAAACTTAACTAGAAATAAGAGAGACATTATAAGTGTAGACTAGATGTATTATCTTTATAGTAGCTATATTATAGATAGCGTAAATAGTGTACTACTCTATTAGCGTTACTAGCCTATTAATCTTTGCTAGAAGCAACGCTGCGGCTAGATAGAGGGCTATTGTAAGGCAATAAACTGCGACTATAATCTTAATTAGTAGATAAATAGGTAGAGACACTATAGAAGGTTAGTAATTTAAGCTAGTAGTCTATGCTTATTACTAATATAGAGTTCTTAGAAGTTCTAGATATTATATCTAGAGTTGCTATAGCTTCTGTAGAAGTATATAGTAGGTAGCTTTTATTATTTTGTCTATCTATAGAAATAGTTAATTTAGAAGAAGACTAAATACCTATATAGTAGGTTAAGCGGCTATTATAGGTGCGTAGAATAGGTAGAAGAAAGTTTTAGTTGTATAGAGTCTTAAACTACAAAAGGTTAGGTAGCTATAAAGGCGCTGTAAGTAATAGCTAATCTAAGAGAAATAGCGCTATTAGTAAAGTATAGAGAGAGCAAGTAGTAAAGAAAGTAAATTTTCCGCTCTTATAACGTACTAATTCTAGGTATTTACTAGCTTCTAGAATCTAAATTCTAAAGTAATAGCAGGCGCGCGCAGGCGTGTTAGAGATAAGTAGATAGAGTAAAAGTAGTAACTCTAGGCTATTAAGTAGCTAAACTAGGCACGCGCGTAAACGCGTTAGAGATAGGTAGGTAAGTAGAGTAAAGGCTATAGCTCTAGGCTGTTAGGTAGTAAAAGGCTATTCTATAGTAGAGTAACTATTCTTTTCTACTCTCTAGCGTACTAAGATAGAGTCTAAATTATTGTAATAGTAGTTAGCGCTACTCTCTATAGTCTAAAAGCTAAAGTTAAAGAACTTATTAATACTTAAATATTTAAATCTATAAATAAATAGACTATTATTAATAGTAATTTAGCGCTAACTTAGTAAAGAGCCTTACTAACTTTACGCACTATATAATAACTAAGAGCGCGTAAGAACTACGCGCTTTTGTTAAGGCTAGACGCCTATAGGTAAGCTATAGCTTTAAAAGGTCTACTATTATATAAAATAGATATTAAGTATAGAAATAAAGCTAGTTAAATAGATTCTATATTTAAGAGAAGAGAATAGTAGACGTAGAGCTAAAAGAGCGCGTAGCTAGAACTATATAGAGAAGAGCTAGTTAGAAGCTAGTACTAGATAGTACTAGTTCTAACTAGTAAATACTATCTGTTCGCAAAGTCTAGTAGCTTTAGAGATAGAAGTATTTAAAGTTAAAGTAAGAAGATAGCTTAAAGTATACTATAGAGGTTTGCTAAGGCTATGTCCTTACACTAAATAACTTAGTTATTACTTTTAATCTTGTTACCTTTAAAGTAGAAGTATTAGTCTACCTAGAGTAGCTAGTACTTAAGCTGCTTTTAGTTACTATTATAGGTATTAAACTTATTACTCTTATTAGATACTCTAGTAGTATAGAAAGTAGTAAAGGTATCTATCTCTATATTACTTATCTTAAAAGTATTTAAAATATTAAGATTATTCTTTAAGTTTATTCTTATATTATATAGAGTTAGGCTATACTTCTCTAGGCTTAGTCTATACTAAGGCGAGGTAGACTAAAGTAGTAGTCTATAAAGTTTGTCTAGTAATTTAGTAGAAAAGAGTTATTATAGAATAACTTATAAGTAAAGATAATCTAATTCTATAAATAATAACTAGTTAATAGTCTATATAAGAGATAAACTATTTAAGTTAACTATACTAAGTATAATAATAAAATCTAATATATTCTTATACTTATTATCTTAGGTTCTATTCTCTCTAGCTTTTTATCTAAGAGAGAGATTTAGAAGAACTATAACTTTTTTAGCTCTACTAGCCTTCTAGAGGCCTAGTCTTAGTAGAATACTAATTCTAATTATATAACTTTAAGCCCTGTAATTATTATTACGTTCTAACTTAGTTATAGTTAGCCTTTAACCTCTTTACTCTATGTTAAGAAGAGAATTCTTTATGTTACCTATAATATCTACTCTACTATTAACACTCTACTATAATAGCTATAACGTGTTATAATAGAAGAGTTACGTCTTATTTAATAGCTTAAAGCGTAGTCTATATTTTAGCTTCTTTTAATAGTTCTATCTAGTATAGTTAATAAAGTATTATAAAGTAGAGGTAGTTTTAGTAGAGTCTTAGCATAGGTAACCTACAAAGCATGCTAACCTATAAAGCATACACCTACGTTATTATATTAGAGAGTGTTTATAGTGTTCTGTTACGTAGAGTGTTATATTACGCAGGGACAGACTTTGATCACCTTAGGCGAACTATAAGACTTAGGGCCTAAAGGTGCATGAATATGCGTTTCGGGGTTACCGGGTGTCACGCATGGCTCTGGGTTGCGAGCATCTGAGAATGAGGGGACATGTAAGACAGGGAGTGAGAAGGAAGTGATGTTTGCGCAACGCCGGCTTGGTGATGTTTGATGGTTGCCGGAAAGAGGTTGTGGATGTGAAAGGGCGCTGTAGAGGCAACGTAGAACGCTGAGCTGACCGCCTGCGGACGGGTGATGAGCTGCGTGAGAGTTTTACTGCAGCACCTCTACCAATTCACACCAAGAAAGATGTGTTTCACTTGCTGCAGCAATGACTTCGTCTTACGATGAGGCTAGCTGGCGAGGCACCTCCGCCACAAACTCGACGCTTGACGCTTACTCCGCTAGCGGCCCGTCTACGGGTCTCAGGGCTGAGCTGACTCCCCTATCTTCCACACCGTCTAATTCGACCCACCAGCGCGCCAAGCCTCACGTGGAGCTAATGATTGGACCGACGTACGCTACGACCAGTACTCCAGCATCTGTGCGCTTCCGACTCACGATAGCGCTGTCAGCATTGTTGCGCTGGCTTGCTGCTGAGCCCAACCCGCGCAGGCTTGGTGGTGAAAGCTTCCTCTGGTTTAGCACGACCTAACTCCCCATGCGTGCTCCGCCAGCGACACCGTGTAATGCGCCGCTATGCGGTGCTATTGGTACCGTTGCTAGCGGACTCAAGGCGGAACCGTACTTGTCGGCCTGGGCCTCCAGCCCTAAGATAGAACATGCGCCATAGCTTGCGGGGCTATCTCGTGTCGCGTGTAGTATGCGAATTGAGATTTGCATAAGAATCTCTGCAGGGCCGAAAACAGCTCGAATTTGTCTTGGTAGTCTTGTCCGCCTGTCTCTGATTTAACCTCTCTGCTCCTTTCCCGACCGTTGAAGTTGAGTTGTGGTTGTTTCTCGTCGACTTCGTGGGAAATTGCCATTATGGGCTGGACTTTTCACGGCCACAAACGCGATGTTGACGCGGAAAAGCATCTTAGACGGCTGCACAAAACAACACCGTTTATCGAATCCCCGCTAGTTGGTGCCGATCACGAACACCTCGTCTTCTCTCAACGGCACGAAGCGAATAGCGTGGAACTTTTCTTTGATTTGTTCTTCGTTGCTAATCTTGCGACTTTTACGGCCTACCACTCCATTACCGATATCGACTACCTACTGGCATACATCGGTTTCTTTGGCATATTGTGGTCGTGTTGGTTCCAGATCACACTACATGATGTTCGATTTGCGCGGGACTCGCTCTATGAGCGCGTGTGTAAGACGATCCAATTCATCGTCTTTGTCGGTCTGGCGCTGGTCGGAAGCCAGTTCAACCCAGCGAGCGCAAAGGGTCAAGGGAACAACACTGTAAGTTTGATACCCATATTGAGGAAAATGTATACTAAGTCATGTAGAACTTCCGTATCCTATGCTACACCCTGGTCATAAGCCGTGGTCTCCTCGCCATCCAATATCTTGTCGTGCTCTTCTTCACTTGGAGAGCGAAGTACACCAAGATCTATCTTCCGATCATCCTCATGTTCGTCGTCTATGCAATCGGCATGGGCGCATTCGCTGGTATGACACCCGCCTTCAAGGTCGAGGGCGACCACAGTAGACGCCTAGTCTACCTTGTTTGGTACGTCGTCATGGTGCTTGAAGCCGTCGCAGTCGTTGCTATATCGTGCTTCTGGCGTATGATGAGCTTCAAAAAGACCCATTTGATGGAGCGCATGAGCTTATTGACGATCATTGTCATTGGTGAGGGTGCAATTGGTGTCACAAAGACAGTGAGCAGGATGATGGGGAAGCATGGATTGGAAGTCGAGGGATGCTTCTTGATCATGTGCATCATTGTGGTTCTGGTGCTGATTTGGGCTCTGTGAGTATATGCAGGTATGGAAGACATGATAAATATGAGCTAACAAAACTCAGGTACTTCGACAACTTTCCCCACGGTCACTACGGAACTATTCGTCAGCAGATATGGTCGCTGCTACACTTCCCCTTCCAACTTGCTATTGTTGGTGTCGTAGAAGGCTCACAGCAAGTTGCTTTGGCCCGCTACGTTGCCAAAAACACCAGAAAAGTCACCACGTCCATCCTACAATACTGTCAAACGGATCATCTTGATGGCCAAAAACTTCAAGACAAGCTTCAGTACCTCCTGGAGTATTTCGAGCTCGACAGCAAGTATGAGACTAGGAGCTTTTACAACCAAGCTCAGTCGGCCATCTGGAGTGTCGGTAACGCTACAAACATCTGCTCGCAGCAAAACACCGCACAGTACAACATGGGCGAAGACGATGACGAGTGGCCCGGAGCACTCAAGAACGTATCCCACCTTCTCAACAACGGCCTATATACCGGTCTCGGCATGAAGATCCCAGTCGACAAACTAAAGGACTACAGTCCCCTCGAAGTCGGTCTCAAAGGATTCGAGCTCGTCTATCTCTACTTCTGGTCGTCGTTCTGCCTCCTTCTCGTCTGTCTGATCATATTTCTTTTGTTGATACGCCGCCACAAGGCCGACCTCTTCGACTTCACATCTATCATATCCCGCAGTCTTACCCTCGGCGTTGGGGGCGCAATGTTGGCTCTGATGGCCGACACCGAGCGATTACACGCTGTGATCGAATCACCTGCGCTCCTACCAATCTGTGTAGTATTCCTCTTCCTCATCCTTGTCAGCGACAAGCTAAGCTCAATCTACTGCAACTGGAAACTCCAAAAGAGCGGGAAACCATATGCGTTAGAGTACGAAGAGCCCGGACACCACGGACACGGACATAGTCATCATGGATCCGTGCACGAGACGGGTGCGGCACACGAGCATGTGCCGCACGACGCGGGGTTGGAAGAGATGCGCAAAACGGCACGGTGGAGCACGCGACCCGAAGACATGGTGCCTCTCACGGCACAAAGCACAGAATACAACTCGCCGCATCAAAGCTACGCTATGGAGCCGCTTGCTAGTCCGCCGATTGCGAGCCCGCCAATGTCAAGCCACGATCCTGCGGCCCCCCAGGGATATATGGCTCACGCGCCAGCTGGATATGCAGCCGTGAGTACGGGACAAAACTATGGTGCGTAGGCGGTTGTTGAAAGCGGTACGGTTCTAGATCTTCTTGTAATTTTCTGTTTATTTAGCAAGCGCGGCGTTATTGTTTTGGGAAGGCATCATTTGCACATGCGAGATCCGGGGACGGATGGTCATAGATGCGGCACAAAGATGGGCATGGCGATACGGCGTTACCTGTTACAGCGTAATAATGAACTTTGCCATGGCGGGTTCAATAATTTTGAATGAAAAGCCTTTCAACCCTTACATAGCCCTAGTCACGACGCTCATTGACGACGCTAAATCGACGGAACGAGGTGTGTGGCGTAATGTCGACGCCTCATAAAGACGACTCACGTTGCCGCTACTTCAAGCCTCTGGAAAAGCCGCTCTTCAACTTGAATGCTATGTCTCGGCGTTGCGCGGTGCGTCGTCATCCTTGAGGTGGCACAATCGTGTTGTATCGGCTCCGAACACAGTGACCGTGTGGCCAACAAACTGCAACACCAACATCCAACTGTATGTCTCATTCCTGGTTCTTGTTATTTCCCGAGTAGTACCGCCGTAAGACCCCCGCTATCTACGAGGAGTCATGGCTGATAAGAACCAACTAGTAGTAGCAGTGCGGACTGAAGCCGCACCCCCAGCATATCCATACGTTTTTCGCCGTGCATATATCTGCGGTCATCCTGACGAGTTCGTCCAAGTCTCAAAACCAGCGAACCAGAAAAGAGTCTCACATACAGTCATAGATCCAAACCAGGTCGAGGGTCAGAAGAAAGACTGGCCAGAGTACAAGCTGGTACGGTGCCGACCATGCGCAATGAGGTTACGTGAAGAGCATCGCAACATGCAAGAGAGCGGAAAAGGAGAAAGAATCAGATCGGTAGCGGTCTACCAAGGGGAGACGATGCGTCCTGACCGAGGATTGCTCAGTGAGGCCAGATCAGGGTTCGAAGCTGCAATGAAGCAATTGGACCGCGTCAGTTGTTGCGGAGGAGAAGAGGAGGAACAATGGCCACTCATGAATGAAATTATCGGTAACGACGATGATTCTATCAAAGTGGTGAGATTCCTTGATGGTCGTCGCAAGGTGGACTCGCCGGCATCTTCGCCTTCGTCGTTTGCCCACACTTTCGGTGACATGTGGCCCCTTCGAGGAGGTGGCGAGGACGATGACATTGGTTGCTGGGCGAATTGCGAAACCTGTAGCCGAGGTCGTCGACGAAAGGATAGTGCTTTTGAGGTCCACCAGAACACCACGCCGAAGTCTAAGAGCGAGAAGTGCACCAGCAGGGAGCCAGGAGAGCAAAGAGAATACCTCCGAGACCTTCATCTGGATGCTCCACGCACGCCAAGGGTGGTCACCATCGGCTCCACAAGCGACTTGGACTGGCTCAGGTTCTCCTACCTGCTCCGCAATAAGAATTTGAGCTTCGACGACATTGCAGAGCTTGTATCGCGATATGTGCCCAATGATAGCAATCTCCCAGAAAATGATCCCGCGCAAGAAGAGGTTACAGCTGTCGGGGAATCGAACACGCGCAACAGTACATGGCGGATTTCTGTACGTCAATCGGAAATCGTTGAATGGGATGTGTCGACTCTTGCAAAAAACGGGCATACATCAACAACGAGCGGCGTTGGAAACGACAAAGACCAGTCCAGTGAGCTAAGATGCGGAGCGGGAGTTCTTAAGTCCAACGGCATAGACGTCTGCCACCACGCGCCAACTCAACTACAGAATCCTTCGAAGACTGTGAGCATCGATGGAGCGACAGAGCATTCCCCCCAGCGTGAGCATTTCGGAGATTCAGACCAGTTTTATGATCGGTGTTCCAGCGAAGATCAAGAGGTATCCCGATCATGCTTCTCATCCGATTCATCAGTGGACTCGGTCGACTTTTCGAAAGCAGAAATCGGTATCCTGGCGACCAATATGAGACCTACCATGTTATCTTGGCTGAGGCCAAAGAGGAAATTCGATAGCCTCCACGGGGGCACAAAGCCAGACTCATCGGGTCCTAAGGAATCTTCGGTTGGCCTCTGGAAGCGAATCAGCAGAACAACAGCCCCCACAATGAACGACACCCTGAAGGAGAAAGTCGACCGGAAGTTGCAAGTCAAACTCTCCAACGCCAAGTTGCGAGCTTCCAGCGCAAGCCAGATACCTACCACCGATTGCCATCCTGCATTCCGAGAACAAGCCGACACGCCAAACGTCCAACCGGAGCTTTTCACCTCATCTCACATCTTCAACGCCATGAGAGCCTTCAGCAGCCATCGCGCAAGCCAAACCGTACCCAGCGACACCACCAAATCCCAAAGAGGAAGTCACGGCTCTAGCTTCAGCAGACCAAGGCCTGTCAGCACTCATTCCACCGACATCATGCCATACGGTTTTCACCGGCCGTACAGGCCTAGCCCATTGAAACACGTAACCCGGGTCACATCGCTAGACGTGAACAAAGGACTTCCACCTTTGCCCCCAGAAGCGCGGCGGCTCGCGCATCAGGCTTCACACGCGAGGTTAAAGGACCTGCAGGCTGTGAAGCAGATGGCTATTCGGAAGGCGATCAATGAGTGTATAGGTGAGATGGCGAAGGCGTATTGAATGATACAATCGTTACTTTCCCTCTGTTGATGTTGCTTGGTTCGCATCCTCGCCTCGTGTGCTGATTGCGTATGCTCGGCGGTATCGGAGATCGAAGCTCGGAGTTATGCTTATCAGATTGCTTTATGGTAAGCTTCCGCGAGCTGGCTGAATGCTCATCCACCCCCCCTCCTCAATGCCATCCAATGACTGTTCAATGCTCTTCAGGCAGATGCATTATGAGCTACGAGTGAAACCTGGCATGCCCGACTGAACCGACATGATCTGTCTATAAAGACGCGTTAATTAGCGCATTCAGAGCGTGTAACTAACCAGCAACTAAGTTCCATACCTGAAGCCCCAACAGCATCATCACCATGCCGCGGCCAGGCCAATCCCACGAAAAAGACCCCCGCTGGACAGCCGTCGACACCTACTCTTTCGGCCACCTCCACCACTCCACCCGCACAACGCCCTCCCCATCCGCTCTCCAACATGCCCTCGACGCCTCCCAGAAAGCCGGCCTCCCTGACATCGCCGTCTCGCCCTCCCAAGGCAAATACCTCCAGCTTACCGCACGCCTCGCGCGCTCCACAAACATTCTCGAAGTAGGCACATTGGGCGGATACAGCACCATCTGGCTCGCAACATCCAGCCCCAACGTTAGCGTAACAAGCGTCGAAGTCGACAGCCACCACGCCGATGTCGCACGATCGAATATCCAAAATGCGGGTTTGGAAGACAAAGTGGAAGTTATACTAGGGCCTGGTATGGACGTCCTCCCCACTCTTGCACAGCAAGTCAAAGAAAGCAAGAGGCCGAAATTCGACTTCGTTTTCATCGACGCGGATAAGGAGAATAATTGGAACTATGTAGATATAGCGCTGGGTATGTGTGAGGCGGGGGCGTGTGTGATTGTAGATAATGTGGTGAGGAAGGGGCAGTTGGCGGAGGAGACGGATGATCCGAGGGTTGCGGGAGCGAAGAGGGTGGTGGAGAATGTGGGGAGAGATGAAAGGTTGGATGAAGTGGTGTTGCAGACGGTGGGAGAGAAGTCTTATGATGGGTTCTTGCTTGCTGTTGTGAAATGAAAGGGAAGGTAGAAGTGAGATCTGGAGTCTGCAGCATACATTATCATTATTCTTTCTACTACTGACGACTTATCTCTCCCTTGCCAAGGTCTTCACTAGGGTATCTCCTCCACCCTCCACTACCACCAAGCCAGTCGTCGCAATGTTGCGTATAGGCTGACCTTTAGGTCTTCAAGATGCTAGCGGCGACCAAAATCGCATCACTAGTCTTCTGCACCCACTCCTGCGCCAACTCCGCATCCTGATCAAACGTAATACTTTCCGTGATACCCGGGAACGTCACAGGCGCATACCCTGTATCACGTCCAGGAGCGAAAATAGTATGCTGGTAGAACTCTCTAGTGGGCAATCCACCCTGCGAAGTGAATCCGCGAGAGAAATCCCGTGCCTTGTGGTTCTGCACAGTAATAAGCTCCGTGTCATTCGCAGCAACAGCTTGATCCCTCAAGTCGACAAACTCCTGGGCAGAGATTTCGAATTGAGTGATAGCGGCTGTAAGGTTTGTGAGGTCAACAGTAAAGTTGCTGCTGCTGATTTCCGTCTCGAGAGCTTCAAGGTAAGTGTTGAGCTCTGAGACGTAATCTGCTGGCTCGAGGGGCAGGACGGGGTCGGATACCATGTGGTACAAGAGGAGGGTGAGGAACTGGCCCATCGCCTTGTGAGTGACGAACCCAGGGTCGCCGAACGTAGCCATCCAGTGGTAGGAGTCGTAGTTGCTGTGGTACGGGTAGACGGGATCGTTTGGACCACCTCCAGCACCCATGTCAATGGACGCAATACCACGGTGGAGGAAAGCAGTGTAATCACTGCCGCTACCTAGTACACCAACTTCCCCGCTCTCGTGCGACCAGACGTCGTACATGGTGAGACCGGTGTCGTTGCGGTAGGGGTACACGACCTTCTTCATGAGGCTGGTGGCGATGGCGTGTAGGTCTGGGGTTGCGGAAACATCTGGGATTGGTCCACTGACAGCGACGTCGATGTTGAGGTAGGACACTGCGGCGTTCTTCAGCCAAGGGATGTACTCCTCCATCCACTCGGTACTATAGGTTATCAGTATCCTGATTCATTATCATTAAGCTGTAGTCTTACCTTCCAACAAGACCATACTCCTCAGCGTCCCAGCTGCAGAGAACGATTGTGCGCATTGGCTTCCAGCCTGTCTCAGCAAGAGCACCGAATGCCTTGGCAAGCTCGATGAGGACAGCGGATCCAGAATTAGGGTCAGCAGCACCGCCGACGATCCAAGCGTCACGGTGGTTGCCCACGATGACAACTTCGTCTTCGTTCGTGCCATTGATGATGCCAACTGCATTCCAGATGGTACCGTAGGTGTCGTTCATGACATTGCTCATCGAAAGCGATGCGCCGGATCCCTCACCAGTGAAGTAGTCTACACCGGGAATAGCACCAACCCAACGCGTCCTGTTAACCTCGGTACCGTTGGTTCCAAATCCGTTGAGGGCTTGGAGAAGTGGTTGAGCCTCAATCCAAGAAATAGGCAGTGATGGAATCTGCGGGGTGATATCGGTGCGATCTGCGCGTGGGGAGTCTGGCTTGGAGACGTAACCTGGAGTAGTCGGGTCCCCGGGATAGGTAGACAAGAACTGGACAGATCCACGTTGAACGGTTGAAGGGTTCCTCGCTCCGCCATAGGGGTATGGAGCCACTCCCTTCGCTGGAAACCGTTAATAGGCAGGTCTGGGAAGAGGTCAAATGAGCTTACCTTCAGTCATGTTGCCATCATCACCAGGGTCGGTGAAGATCACAGCACCGATCATGCCATGATCTTGTGCATTCTTGACTTTCAATCCACGGAATGGTCCACCGTACTTTGCTAGAGCGATCTTGCCCTCAAGCTCGACACCAAGAGCTTCGAGTCTGTCAAAATCGACTTGCTGGCCTCTTCCGACGTAAACGTATTCTGCAGATGCGTTTCCTGTGAAGCTGTAGCCATGGAAGACGGGGACACTGTTGGGATAGCTGGTGGTTGGGTCCTCTTCTAGTACATCTTCCATCAAGGTAGGGGTGTAAGTGCTACCGTTGGAATAGGTAAGCTGTAGCGAGTTCGATACGGGATAGTTGAGGAAGACATCTGCATCTCGTTAGTGCCCGCCGCGACGAATTTCAACAGTTTCATACAGTATTCGTCAAGCCTTGACGTGAAGCCATATTGAGACCATTTGTCAGCAGTCCACTGTGCTACGTCAAGGATCAGTTACCATGTCATATCGGTCCGGGAAAAGCTTCAAATACCCATTGACTCGTTCTGACCAGCCAAATGCTGGCCATGAGCTGCATTTTGTGAGCATAAAGTCTGCGTCGAGCTTGAGAGCCATACTGTAGTAGTAAGACCATTCCGATATCGAGACGGAATCAAACGAGTTTAGCAATATCTCTTCATTGGGTGTCAAGGCTGGAGGGAAAACGGATTGCCGCTTGACATGCTTGTGTGGGTGATGGAAGAATGCACGTTCACGCTGGCAGGCTTGAGCGCCAATGGCAGCGAGCGCTAGAAGTGCCGTTCTCATATTGACTGACAAATGCACACTTCACAGAGGCAGAAGGGTATCACACAACGGTAGGTCGCATGGTACTTTAAGTACTCGCAGGCAGTTCCGTCGGCGTTCGGTACGATAACGTCAAGGTTTCCATTCCGAGGATAGCTGCTTTTACTGAGAGCAGGTGAACCTGGCGAGTCCCCTGCTCTTTCGTGTCATCGTATCCCGACATGCGGGTAGCTGTAGCTGGACGCAGGCACTGCGTAACCGCGAGGTATACAGGCAACTGGCTAACGCACTCCGGAAGGTCAAAGAGATATGGACGCGGGGCGGAGCGTTAAGGTGCTTGGCAGAGAGCAATGACGATATACGTGGTGGGGTAGCTTCTGAAATGAGGAGGAGATGCCGCTTCGATGCACGTATCTTCTGCGGTCAAAATCTGACGGTCAGATAGCAGATCGGAAAACCGCGCATACCGACGCTGCCGTTCCGTGCACGTCGCCAGTGGCTGGCCCGAAAGCCGTCCGAAGAAAAGTAACGGTAGTGGAAAGTATAACGTGCTTCTGCGTAGACGGCACAGAGCAGAGGATGGCCGGTTGAAGTTGAATGCGGGGGAGTGCGGAGAGGCGTCCTTGTTCCGCGATGCACTTGGCAGTTGAGAAGACACAGGGCTAGAGCGTAGAGCTAGAGCTCAGGAAAGACGAGCGGAGCTTCTCACTTATATAGATTCGCAGTCCATCAAGGTACCGTCTTGATGCGATAACGCGCAATGGTTGTGAGGGCGTAGGACTCGAGTCCGAAAGTGATCTACGGCTAGCACGCTTTTGGGCTTAGTCATATCGAAAGGCGGGTGAACCAATGCAAGAGTGCACGGCGCAAGATGTTCGGCGAAGACTGCGTCAGTCAATAAACATTGGGCTGCCGGCAGCGCAAACACGACGGCAACAGGAGGGAGACAAAGGACACGATTTACTGACCGTCGCATTGTCAGCGACACAGCCAGTCGCGCCTTCCTCTGTCTGAGACTCGTCTCCTTTGTAGCTTCCTTGTCGTGAAAGTCGCCAGTCGCTCTTTCAACTCTTGCCAACCGCCATCATGGACGTTTTTCAATCGCCTATGCGCATGATCCCGCCCCTCACACCCCGTCGCGTCCCATCACCAGCCATGTCGCCCGCAGGCAGACGAGGCAGGACGTATGGCAGCTCGGAAGAAAGCCGCCTCCGCGACCTGTCGCCCGAGACAACTCTCCGCGCCTTCACACAAAAGCCCATGCCGTTCGACACAACACGCGACGAATACAAAATATTTTCCTGCATCGAGACCCTCACCGCTGCCGAGAGAGACTTGGGATCGCGCGTCGCAAAGGCGGCGCAGCGGCTGAAGATATGGTGCGCCGAGATTGAGCAATGGGGATGGTCGGGCAGCTTCGAAAAGCCCAGCGCCCAGGTCCGCGAACAGAGGAGGCGAAGCATCGAGCTGCGTATCAGGGAGCACGTCGCCGATTCCGACATGGCCAATGTCATGCCGCCATTAGAATACTGGGGTTCGATGCTGTCAGTCGAGGTGGAGCAACACGAGGCGCGGCTAGACGACATCGCCGACGAGATGCTGAAGCTCGACGTCGAAGAGCTGAAGGAGCACGTGCTAGACATGCATCCGGCAGGCAGGTCGAGACCATCGTCTGCTGGCTACGAGGCGAACCGCCAGCACTACAAGGTCATGGACGACTTCTCCTTTCTCATCACCCAAACCCTCCTATCCGCTCTACCACACCACGCCCAGCTCAAAGCCCGCCTAAGCACATGGACCGCTCGCGTTTCCATCCTCCGCGAAGCCCCCCGTTACACCGGCGAACTCGACACTGCGCAAGAAGCTATGCGGCTAGGCTGGGATGCCATCGAGGCGCCATCGGACACTTCCGATGCTGCATTTGAGCAGTGGAAAAAGGCAGTGGATACCATATCGCTTGTGCTTCACCAGAAGGTCAGCGACTTGGGGAGGCAACTAGACAAGATGCTCGATACACTCGAAGGACAGGAAGACAGTCTACCCGAGCACTGGATAGACATCTTTGAAACGACAGAGGCCGACTATGGGCGCTGGAAACACGAATCAAGAAGGAGAGTAATCGATCTCGAAGTTCGGAGACGGGCGGAAGGTTTTAACATTATCGAGAAGGGCGCCCCTGAACCTACGCTACAACCAAAGCTCGATACAAGTACGACTGCGAATACGGGTGGCCAGAGAGTGATGACAACTGCATCCTCATCAGTCAATCCTGGTAGTGACGTGTCCATTGTCGCACCCCCCACAGCTGTGCAGTCCGCTACTACCTCCAGACTGGATGCTCTCAATGCTCGGATCGACTCTGTCGCATCTACGCTCCATTCACCACCACCCAAGCTTGCTTCGCAAAATAGCCGCCACAACGCCATGCAGGACGACTACTTCAGTGCGCCCCAGCGTGGAATCTTCTCTGGAGATTATGCCATGAACGCATCAAGTAACAGCAACTCAACACTTCATACCTCCATTGGCTCCAGCAACGCACGGCAAGTCTCGGGGGAGACGGATGTTACAGAACATGAGCTGGCACAAGGTTTTGCGTCACCATCGAAGTCCCCTACTGCTTTACATCCTGTTGCAACTACACATTCAGAGAAGATGAGCTTCGAACCAGGACCGGCATCTGTTGACGAGGACTCGGACTTCGAAGAAGGCGACACAGTTGTACAGTACGAACTCGATGAAGGTCCCGAAGAAGTCGCTGTCCTTCCGGAGGCTGACGTCGACCAATCATCCAAAGCATCTTTACAAGGCAGGCCCAAACCTCTGGCGCTTTTCGGCAATCCTACTATCACAAAGAATGATGGACAGGACAGCCCCGTCATGGAGCCTCCTCAGACGCCGCGATCATGGAGGGGCAGCCTGGACTCGCTCTCCACAGACATCTCCCCTGATTCAAGCCCGCCTAGTACCGTCGAAGAGTCTCCTTCAGTCCGAAACGCCACTAACCGTTCTATGAGAGCGCCGCGTCCTGAACTGAATGCAGCCATGGCGAAGCGTCGACCAGCCAAGACTACTACCACCGCCGATGATACATCAAGCGCTCCATGGCCACCGACACACTTTGCTCAGAAAGCTAATAACAGCGCTGAAGAACTTGAGCGAAAGATCTCTGACATTTTGACGACCATCCCCGCCCACATCAGGCTTCGGTCTGGCCCAGGTCCCGATGCACCCGAAGTCAAGTCCGCTCGTGGTCTTCTCGCGAAGAGTAGTCGTGGATATCTACGCGCAGCTCGCTCAGTCAGCGGCCTCAAGTCTCCTGAGCTCACCCTATCCCCTGCAAAGAGTGAGTTCGAACTGAACAACCCTGCAGCAGGACGGAGGTCAGCTGCAGCAGCAAGAGGCGACAATGACATCAAACTGTACCATCTCACGCAACCTGGCAAGGAACAGCCCATCAAGCTGTTCATTCGCCGCGTTGGCGAGAATGGCGAGCGTGTCATGGTGCGTGTCGGCGGTGGTTGGTCTGACCTAGGCGAGTACCTGCGCCAGTACGCCGAGCACCACGGCCGCAGGACAGCAAGCGAAGGCAAATTTGAAGTATTGGGTCTGGAGGTGAAGAACCCCGATAGTTCGCCGACGAGGCCAGACAGCAGGGCGAGTAAGATGGAGAGACGCATCAGCGTCGGCTTCCCCTTGGCCAGCCCATCCACCACACCCGTCAAGTCATCCGGTCTAGCTTTTACTAGCGACGAAGCACCGCCGCCGATGCCGAGCTTTATTCCCGGAACACCAGGCGCCACTACTGAAGACCCGACTATACCTTCAACAACTTCGTCTCGCAGTTCTTGGCAGGGCAGGGAAGTCGGAATGGCGGGCCCGTCGGCCAAGAAATTAGATCTCAGTGGCGAGAAGCTGGAATGGATTGAGGGCATGATGAAGCAGGCTCGCACTGTGAGCAGCAACGTCATCACTTCAAGCCATCCAACTTTCGAGCGCACTGACAGCAGAAGCGACAGTCGCCCTGGCAGTGCTGTAGGAGGAGGAAAGAAGACAGAATTTGGTGATTTAGGCAAGGTTGGTGCAACCAAGCGTGTCTTTATGAAGGGTGGTAAGCCCGGTTCGGGCGATCACTAGGTGAAAGAAAGAGAAAGAGAAAGAGAAAGAGAAAGAGAAGAGGTGGCTTTTAATATTCTACATTGATACCCTGGGCCTATATATTGTATTGTACGTTTTCTCGTTTGTTTACGGTTGGATCGGATTGGTTTGGTTTAGATTGGTTTGGGCGTATGGTATCGCAGAGCAGTGCCATCATAGACAGGCAGGCTTCGCAGCACATCTTAGCTGAGGTACATACCCCATGGCGTTATTTGGGATTCATGGGTGGTAGCGTCCCTAGCAAGTGATGAAGCGGTCGCGCGGTTTCGTTTGTGATTCACAAAAATTAATTCATTACAAGTCTTCATAAGATGTGCCAAAGGCCTGTTCTCGTTCAAGCCACAGAAGGATGCTCCAGGAGCAGGCGAGGTAGACGAAATGAGTGCCAATGGCAGGTAGCTCCACGTTCCACAAAGCCGACGAGCACAAAACGCGCAATGTCGATATGGAGGTCGTGGGCTGGTTTGATCTTCGCACGTAGACTAATCGACACAGTATTGAGGAATAACTTGTGGCAATTTAAGAAAGTGCGGACGTTGGGAAGCGTGAAACCCATCATTCAGTGGAGAGAAACGGTGAAGCGACTGCATGCATTGCAATCGTAGCTATTCGTCATCATCGTCATTGTCACCTTGGACATCCATGACGCGCTCGCCAGCTCTCTCAAGCGTTCGACGACTCCATACACGGACTCCTTTGTAGACTGCCTGATTGTTGTCAGCTTTGGTATACGAACGGAAGTTGCTCTCTACGTACCGCTAGAAACGTGCCAACACCGATGAGAATGATGATCCAGCTGACCTGCTCATATCTGTCTCGACCAGTTGTTCGACCCCGACCGCCTCCGATCCTGAAGTAAGATAGCGGGCTGGCGATCAATACTTTCAAGAAGCCAAGTACACCCATGCTAGCAAAGCCTTTCGCGAAATGCTCGTACCAGGTGGACGACTCGTCTTCGTAGTAATAAGCGTAGTCAGGTTCCGACGCGGAGAAGGGTGATAAAAAGCTCCATGGATCCAGATACAGGTTGATGATGGGATCTGCAACGAAGCCGAGGACAAACACGATGGATATCAATATAATGGCAGTCAAACCAACCTGAGCAGCTGTAGTTGACGTTAGCGAGTTTCTATTGATGCGGAAAACAGTAAACATACCAACACTGCCTATAAAGCGCCCAACTCCTAGACGCGCAAGTCGGTACTTGAAGCCACAAGTGGGACACAGCCAGTAGTTCTTACGCCCATAGCTGGGGTCTGCATGCCTCCAAGCTTGCAAACAAGCTTCATGGACATACTTGGATGATCCCTTACACATACATGGGCGGATCAAACGGCCACTTTCATCTTCGTACACAACGCTGGACGACTGTAAGAAGCCAGGAAGGCTTTGCGAGGGAACATTGAATGTCGGCTGAACTGTCTCGAGGCAGATCCTGCATTGTCTGGGCGGCCAGTGGGTACGTGTTGAGCTGCGCGACTGCGATGAAGAGTTATCGCTAGTATTGGAGGTGGCTGAAGGTGGCGGTTGCGATGTGGAACCTGTGGAGGAGGATGTCGCGTGGGCGGGTTCTGTCTTCGGCGCGTCATCAGGCCAGTACCAGCCTGGCATAGCCTGGTATCCAGACGAAGAAGACATGGCGGGATGCAAAACTGTAAAGATACAAGGTGGAGGTTAATGTAGCTCTTACCAGTAATATAGCATGGGTGGGCATGAGATGACGAAGTGATCAATCAGGAAGCCGCGGGGAAGACATTCGCCAACTTAAGTGTCTCGGTAGTGCGGATCATGTTCCGACACCGCCTCCTTTGGCGGTATGACACTAGGGACACAGTGGCAGGATGTTGGAAACGTGGTGGTGATTTAGAGGAACGGTTCTGGAAGCTCAAAGAATTCGGGGTTGCAGCTTCCTCGAAGAAACCGGAGGTGTGGTTACGCCGAGCGCCGGTCTTGGCGCTTTCGGCGACGAAGCTCTGGGTAGCCTGGAGCTCTAGCAGATCGCCTCCAGTACCCGCGTCGTCCATCAACCCCACTGAACGTCTTCCTGCCGCCGACTACGCCCCTTCCTGTATACCGCCTCTAGATTCTGTCAAGCAACCGACATGGCGGACAGATACTCCTTCTCCCTCACCACTTTCTCCCCCAGGTAAACATTGCGCTATCGATTACGCACGACATGTTTGCTAACATTCATGTAGCGGAAAGCTGGTACAAATCGGTACGCGGCTCCGGGATATGACGAGTCCCGCCTTCTTGTAGTAGGCCGCATCTAACACCTGGACAGAGTATGCCCTGAACGCCGTCAACCAGGGTGTTACCTCACTAGGAATCAAGGGTACGTTATGTCGTTCACTGGCCTCCAACAGCGCTGACTAGAGCTCGCAGCCACCAACGGCATTGTCCTCGCTACCGAGAAGAAATCGTCATCGCCGCTCATCGATTCGCAATCGTCGTCGAAGATCAGTCTCATAACACCCAACATCGGTATGGTCTACTCGGGCATGGGCCCTGACTACCGTGTTCTCGTCGACAAAGCCCGCAAGGTCTCACATACCGGCTACAAGCGCGTCTACAACGAATACCCACCTACAAGGATATTAGTACAGGATGTGGCGCGAGTGATGCAGGAGGCTACACAGTCTGGTGGTGTCAGGCCGTACGGTGTCAGCCTGCTGATTGCTGGATGGGATGACGGTATTGAGCCTGAGGCCGAAGGCAAGAGCGAAGAGCAGACGAGCGAAGAGAAGAAGAAGGTCAGCGGAAAGACTGGTGGAATCCTCAAGGGCGGACCCAGTCTCTACCAGGTCGACCCCAGCGGCAGTTATTTCCCTTGGAAGGCGACAGCCATAGGAAAGAGCGCGACAAGCGCCAAGACCTTCTTGGAGAAGCGGTACACCGACGGTCTCGAGCTCGAAGACGCCATCCACATCGCCCTTCTTACCCTCAAGGAGACCATAGAAGGAGAGATGAACGGCGAGACCGTTGAGATCGGCATTGTCGGACCACCAGAGGAGAGGCTCCTTGGCACTGAGGGCGTCGAAGGTGCCGTCGGACCACGGTTCAGGAAGCTGAGCCCGTCCGAGGTTGAGGACTACCTCACAAACTTGTAGAGATAGAAGTTTATGACGCAGCACCACTCTGCTCTGAGTCGGTACAGGTGGACTTGGTGCTAAAGGCATGAAGCGACTTATGTAGCGTTTACGAAAATGATGTCTTGAGATGCCTAATACTTGATCCTATTGGTTACTAGACAGTGATGCGGCAAACCCAAATGGGTTGTTTGTGCAACAAGGAGAGCAAGTAGAAGTACGCGAGTGGTTCTGCATTTCAGTTGTCCGCAGTCAGAACACGGCTATGCTAGCACCCTGCCGCCTTTGAGCCTGGGACACAACACCAAGTTTACAACTTTCAACACTTCTTTACTTGCGTCGCATTATCCGAATTTACAAATGGACTCGCCAATGCGAGATGGTAACGATGCTGAAGCCCCTCCTGCTGAGCCCAGCGAGGCATTCCAACTGCGGGGCTACCAGGCTGAGATGGTAGAAGAGAGCATGAAAGATAACGTCATCGTGGTCATGGACACGGGCTCGGGAAAGACGCAAATGTAGGTACAAATGTCTCGCCATGAGAGAATATCACTAACAAGTCCGCAGAGCCATCGAGCGGACACGGGTGGAGTTGGAGACGTGCGAGCCCGACAAGGTACGGATACCTGCCGCTAAGTCCCCACACTAGACTTCATCTCACCGAATTCGGGACACTTTTTAGATCGTCTGGTTTCTAGCACCCACTGTTACACTATGCGAGCAGCAATATGAGGTCTTCCGGTCTCATTTACCTGGACTCGGATACCAATTGCTCTGCGGAAGAGATGACGTTGATCTCTGGACCACTCAGGCGCAGTGGGACAGCGTTTTGGATCACATCCGCATCGTAATTTCGACACACCAGTAAGTCCACAGCCTGGGTGCAAGAGAAGCCACACGCGCCCGCTGATACGTTTTCAGGGTACTACTTGACGCACTCACGCACGGATTTGTCAAACTGGCAAAGCTGGCTTTGTTAATTTTTGACGAAGGTCAGCCTGTTGCGTTGATAGGAGCGAGCCCCGCTAACATTCTTTAGCGCATCACTGTACATTGAAGCACCCAGCAAATCTAATTATGTCCAATTTCTATATGCCTCAATTGGATAATGGTAGCAAATTACTCCCTAAAGTTCTTGGCTTGAGTGCGAGTCCTGTTATGAAAGCAGCAGCCAGTGAGCAAGGCCTCCAGTGAGTTTGGCTTTTTTTTTTTGGACACCTGTACTATGCTGATATCTGTAGGGAGATAGAGCGGAACCTGCACGCCACCGTAAGGACACCAAAGCTTCATAGGTCTGAACTCATACGGCATGTTCATAGACCGGAGTTACTTCATGTCAACTACGCGGTAAACGCCCCAGGGCAACAGCATTCTCATCTACTTCTTGCGTTGCAGCATGCATTACGCACTTATGATCTTGCAAAAGATCCGTACGTGGTCGCATTATTGGACCAACAAAAAAACGGCTTCGATGTCTCTCGCCAACTGAACAAGCTGTGGAATAGCAATAAGACTTATTGCCTCGACCAATTGAAACAGTTGGTGTCTAAGGCTGAAGCCATGGCAGATGAGCTCGGAATCTCAGCAATGGAGTACTACGTACATCAGTGCATTGTCAAGTTCGAAAAGGCGACTCGCGGTTCAGATCAGCAGCTACTGGATCTGACCACCAACGAGCGGCAACATCTCCTAAGCATATTCCAAGGCCTTCCCCTACAACACCCTGCACCCTTACCTACTACCATCATCGAAAAGATGTCTCACAAAGTTGATAAACTTATTGACACTCTAGTCGCAGAAGCCAATGGTACTCCAGGATTCACCGGCCTTGTTTTCATTGAGCAGCGAGTCTGGGTAGCATCGATCGCTGAGATCTTAGCATGCCATCCGCGAACCAAGGATATCTTGCGAGTAGGTACATACGTTGGTACGTCGCAGACAAGCAAGCGTAAGACGAATGTATGCGCCCTGGCAGAACCAGCCAACCAGCAAAGCACACTCGACGACTTCCGCGCGGGTATTATTAACCTCGTTTTGGCTACGACTGTTCTTGAGGAAGGTGTCGACGTATCAAGTTGTCATCTTGTGGTATGCTTTGAAAGACCCAAGAACTTGAAAAGCTTTGTTCAACGACGCGGAAGGGCAAGGCGACAGGAGTCGCGTTACTTCATCCTCGTACCAGATACTGGCGAAGCACGGTCTTTAACATCGTGGCAAGCGCTTGAAGCTGAGATGAGGAGAGCGTATGAAGACGATAAACGTCAAATTCAAGTGGCTCAGGAGGCAGAACAAAAGGATGAAGTGGGTGAGCGCTACTTCAGTATCCCAAGTACCGGGTGAGTGAGAAGCCTTTCCTAGCAGCGTTTGCTTTGGTACCTCGCCTAATCGGCCTTCACTTACTTGAGAAACTAGTGCATTGTTGACTCTGGACAACGCGGCTCAACATCTTTACCACTTCTGCGCGCGTTTAGGGGGTAGCGCCTACGTCGACGCACGACCTGAAATTGACTTTACCAACACCCTGGGGCGGATCACTGCTAACATCACGCTACCAATTTCTGTCGACCCTACTGTCAGGAAAGCTAAAAGTCTGCAGTCGTGGAGCACAGAGAGAATGGCTCAAAAAGACGCCGCCTTCGAGGCATACAAGGCTCTTTATCTGCACGGATTGGTAAACGAGAATCTCCTTCCCATCCAAGAAGAGGGAGACGACGAGGCAGCCCAATACCAGATTCCCGACGATCGCCCGTCCCTCGTACCGGTGTCTCAAACTCTTGATCCCTGGACCGTGATCGCCCAACATCATCAATGCGAACCTGACTTATGGTACCGCACCCTGCTCGAAGTGCGGGCCTCAGGGGAGGAGCCGATGCGCGTAATACTACTGACTCCAGCTCCCATGCACGAGATCTCTGATATACTGCTACATTGGAACGAATCGAAGCAGTACACGGTTACGACCTCCGCTCTTTACGGTACGTCTTTAATTAATATCGACATTAATCTGTTGCGCTCTATCACGTGGAAGATCTTGCACTCGGTCTTCGGAGCACACATCATCAAAGGGGTCGACGACTTTCTCTGTCTACTTGCTCCATGCGACTCATCGGGATACATGATGACAGAGAACGAGCTATACAAGTGGAATGCGACAACCGAAGGCCAGCGGCCAGCATCCAAAATCTTGGCCCAAGGAAATCTGGACACGTCGAAGTGGGGTCTGACATCCCTGCAAGGAGACCTTCGCAAGTTCATGCCTATGTCTATTGAGCTTCCAGATTCTCCAGACTTGTCAGGCGTTGAGGAGACTCTCATACAAGCTGTGCGTTTGCCAAAACGTCGAGACTTTTTACATGCGGTATTCGAGAACGCGAACAAGAATGAAGCGTATACCAGAGTGGAGAGTCTACTAGCTTCATCATGTCTTGTTGAAAGCCTTCCGACCAGATACGCCATCCTGGCCTTGTTGTTGCCCTCGATTCTGCATAAGCTTGAGGTATACATGATTGCAGATACACTTCGGACGACGATCCTCCAACCGGCTGAATTCGAGGTATCGGACATTCCAGTCATCGTTACCGCACTTACCTCGTCCGCGGTCGACAAGCGCGACAATTACCAGAGGATGGAATTTTTGGGGGACTGTATCTTGAAGTTTGTCGCTTCACTTCACTTAATGGCTACGAATCTCATCATGCCAGAGGGCATTCTCACTGGGAAGAAAGGCAAGCTTGTTAGTAACGGCTACCTGGCGCGGGCCACACTGGCCGCAGGCCTGGATAAGTTCATCTTCTACAAGAACTTCACTGGCGCAAAGTGGAAGCCGCGATACATCAGTGATACACTCGCTGACAGCGCGCCTCCTATCAAACAAGAGAAGTCGTCAAAACTCATCGCCGATGTGATTGAGTCGCTCATTGGCGCCTCATATCTGGTCGGTAGCTTTCCCAAAGCTTTCGCATGCATGCAAGCTCTCCTACCACTCGAGAAATGGACGCCTATCCCGGAGGCGAACGAAATACTCTTCAACGCAGCTCCGTCTCAAGGAACAGTAACAAACTTGGCTCTGGTCGAAAAGCTACTTGGTCATACGTTTAACAAGAAGGACATTCTACTAGAATCTCTCACACACTCTACGTTCCGTGGCCCAAACGTGCATTGCTCGTACGAGCGTTTTGAGTTCCTGGGAGACGCAGTGCTCGACTACATCATCTCGAAGAGGCTCTACGCTCACGAGTCGAGACTGCCGCATTGGAAGATGCATGGCGTCCGAACAGCAATGGTAAACGCGGCGTTCTTGACTTACTGCATGTTCGAGACTACGGTAGCGGAAGAGTTGACCAACAAGTCAACTTTCCAACCAGAGGTGCATCATAGAGCGCTATGGCAGTTCCTTCGATCGTCGAGCCCAGAACTCATCGCTGGGCGAACTGCCGCCTTGAAGCAACATGCCGAGGCGCGTCACACAATCGCTACAGCTCTAGCGCACGACAACCGCTTCCCGTGGCATGCGCTTTCGCTTACTGACCCGCCCAAATTCCTCTCTGATATAGTCGAGAGCGTAATTGGCGCCCTCTACATCGATTCTCATGGCTCCATCCCTGTGTGCGAAGAGTTTGTCCGTCGTCTGGGTATCTTGCCATGTCTCGAGCGTATTCTGAAGGATGGTGTGGACTGCTGGCACCCGAAAGAGCGGATCAACACCCTTGCGGCGGATAAGGGTATCAAGTACGTTCGCGTCACGAGTGATCAAGGTGATTCTGGCAAAGGAGCGAGTAGCCCAGAGAAGGGGTATAGGGTTCAAGTAAGGATTGGTGGGAAGGATGTGGGAGGTGTGGTCGAGGGAATCAAGAGGTTGCAAACTGAGACTATCGCTGCCTGGAAGGTTATTGCGCTGCTTGAAGGCGGGGCTGCTGATTCTGTACCAGCGAAGGTAGCAGAGGAAGATGAAGAGGACGAGGAAGACGGGGGTGTAGCTGTTGTACCAACGGAGGCAGCCGAGGAGGACGAGGAAGACGAGGAAGACGAGTTCTTCGATGCTGAAGAAGGCGGTGGAGTCATGCTGTAGCATGCCGAACGAACGGTGGGCTACTACGTAGGATGATGCACCGATCTTTGCCAACTGGATGATCTTACTCCCATCTCTACCACCCTTCGTGTGCGCCGTGGCTTACTGAATCTTCCCACACCGATCAAGTTCCGTAGAATTGCATAGTTGCCTACGACTGTCAACATGTCACTGTCGGTTTTGGCCCCCATACAATGAGGCAGTGCGTCTGGAGCATACTTGCATTCCTCGCATTCACTCACCCTTCTGCAACTCCCATCAAGGTGTCGCAAAAACCATTTGCGGTAGTCCACGCGCTTATAGAGTATCCTAGCTACCACTCTAGCGTGTGGAAGCGTTGCCGAGACGTAGTCTGCCCAATGATGGTCATGACTTTGTAGACAATAACGCATTGCTCGCTTTTGCACAAGGATGGTGAATTTTACACGTTGATTGTGATTGGTACTGTGCCGTACTCGTAAAGAAGGACTTGTGAGTTGAACCCTTGAGGGAGCCATTGCCAACCCGTATGGGACGTGGTGGAGCCGGAAACGCCGAGCAAGCTGATTGGAGGAAGCGTGCAAGTTCAAGAAGATGGCTTGTGCCTATCGCCAGCGGCAAAGTAGCTTTTGTCACCGTCCATTCCCGTGTCTCTCTCTAACAGCTTGCTATCTGTATTGCCAATCGTTGGGGTATTCTGTTCACACCGTCTCCCGATTGTCACTGTCAACCACTCATTCCTACCATCTCAGGTATGATTCCTCTCATACAATGACAAATACGTCACTTACCGATGTTGATTATCCGATCAGCCAAGGTCGTGGCTTGAAATCATGGTTGTCGCATCGAGCGAGCCGTGCGGCGCGGTTGTGAAGGAAGTTTGAAGCGCGTTTATGCGTTGGATGCAGCTTGAGGAAACCGAACGAAACGAACCTAAAATCCTGGATCCTCTGCCCGATATACCTCCGCTGATATCAGCTGGTTGATATGTTCCTTCGTCAAATCGGCCATGGCATCAATCATCGAATCAGTATCGCGACTTTGAGCGCTAGAGTTACCTGGTGTAAATCACATTCTCACTGGCTTGAAGATGCACCATTAGAGTGCTCGAGGGCACGATTCTGCTTTGCAAAGACCAAAAAGGTGATATAATTCCCTCTTCGATATGTATGATCAGAGTCTGGGGTCGACGGCTTAGGAACTTGCTCCGAGAAGCCTATGCTCTGGTATAGTCGCAAAACCCAGACGTAGGTCTTGCATTCTACAACACAAGTTCTAAGCTATAGAGATTCTAGCATCAACTTGCACGGAAGGCAGGACAATACGTTACCTTGGTATTTGTAAAAGACACGTGGTTGTAGTATCTCTGGCTTCCGATACTGGAGCCAGCGCTCACACGATCATAAAGTTTCGGAAACTCAATCTTATGTGAAGCTGCCTGAAACAGACCCGTTGAAGCCTTGATCATCGTGCCCTTGCGATGCCCCCGGATGCCTGGCTGGTCTCTCGGTGTACGTACTTGTTGAGGATGATCGTATGATGCCACAGAATCGACCGGCCTCATGTCCGACAAAGCGGCAATTTCCCTCAGCTCTACCCGGGAAACTGGTATGTATGTCTCATTCAACAACCATCGGGCCGTATGGCATGTTGTATATGGGCAACAGACCCTATGCAGAGTCATTGGATGGATGCAGATAAAATGACGTGCCGGTCAAGGAGAGTTCGGGCTGATGCCTGGTATTGGTTGAGCGTCTTATGATGTAGCGGTATTGATCAGCGGTCTATACAAGAATCCATAGCTGGGGAGGAGCCATTCCACTCACCATTAGCGCCATGTTGGATTGCAAGCACTTGACAGGTAGCACTGTTGCTTCCAGGGGAGGCTATATGTGTGGGTCCAATGTAAGACACTCAATGATACTCGGAGCTGAATACGTCAGCTTTTTTCTCTCGTAAGGCTGTTGGAGTGGACCCAAAATTCGATGCCTCAGGCTGTCCGGTGTTGTTGCAATATGTAATCGGTGTGTGCGGCGCTTGCCAAAAGGGCCGGCTCGGCACAGCCGAATCGTAGGGCAGAGCGGAATAGGCATCGCACGATAGGTGTTGCGGGAGAAAGTACGCTGTCATAGCGGCTCCGGGAGTTGTAGACTAGTGTGGCGGAGGCACAGTTGAGGTGGTTTCCTTCCGACGCTCCGTTGTGGTGAGGCGCTCGTCGTGCCGTGTGGCGTATCCGCTGTTCTGACAAGACTGCCTGACGGCCACTTCCCGGGCCCGAACATCAATGCAATGTGACTGCTCTCGGTAGGGGCGAAAATTACCTAGCTACCGTTGCTCTGTCTAGTGATCTTTGATTGAGGCGCGGAAACCGCATAGCAGGACTCAATGGAGAAAAATATCTTGTGTAACTATAAAGCGGGCAGTATCTTCGATACGGAATATATAACTACGGAACAGCCACCATTTCCCCAGACCTTCATCTTACGAGATATCAAGATTTGAAACCTACCTCCAATCGTCTTTTCATCCTCTCAGCTTTATCATGTCGTCTTGTCAAAACCAGATGCAACAGTCGTCTACTGGTGGCAGACCTACCGGCGCAACAGGTGGTGGCTACAACAAATATCCATGTCCAAACTGGCAGCAGGCAGGCCATCCATCAAATTACAACTTTGTCGACCAAAAGGATCAGCTGTGTGCTCATTGCATGGTCAGTCTATCAGTTCCACGGTTTGGCACTGCGCTAACCATTCTGTCAGTGCGCACCCCGCCGGCGCTGAAAGGAAGCATTTTGCAACATCAGTGCAGATGGGCTTGATGAGATGCAGTCGTGCTTGCTCTGGTCACGCTGCGAGGGCGTTTTCAATTCTTGTGGGGTACTATTTGGGTTCTATTGGAGGTTTCGTTGAGTCAAGTGACGATTTTTAGATCAAGCTGCACTGCTTGAGTTGATGCAAATTTAATGGAATGGAAGCTGATTGCGCATGTTTCTCCTCCCCACCTTGTTTCCCAGTGTCAGTGTTCAGCACCAATCGCTTTTCTTGCACTCATCGTGCTGCAGCTGATCCACTCCGAGCGTTGACTTGTCTACATGGCACCCCATGATCAGGATTCGCATACGTGCGGAAGGAGCTGCTTATGGTAAGAGCATCTGACGTCAAAGAGGCATCCGCACTCCGACTAGGGATACTGCGAGTGCCTTCGTCCTTCGTTTCAAACATCTACGCCTCGCACTGCAACGGACCGAGCCTGAGGTCCCATGGCTGAAAGGCTATGCGGGCGTCTACTACTGGGAACGGCAGATGGCGCGAGAATTCTCAGCAGCGGCGAGAGGCAGACCCCCAACCAACACCCACGTTAATCAGCGCCTTAGCCGGTCCCTCATCAGCCGTGATTGATCGACGATGGATGCACAATGATCAGGCGGGGCAATAACCGAGGAAAATCCGCTTTCTCTGTTGAGAGTGCACGATTGCAACGGAAGGGGCGTCCGATCGGTCTAGCTAGAACCTCGCAACGAGAGAGTTGAGGAGCCGAAGAAGCCGGGCTTTCACCAGTATCACCAAGATTGGCCGTGTTTGGTGTAACGTATGTTGATGCTAGACCGGCTGATAGGCACGAGAGCATATCCGGCGTTGCAGACACTGTAGCGGATCAAGTTTCCGTCTTCAGCGCTCTCTCGATCTGTCGCTTCGACCTATTCACCCTTTTGAGGCTGCAGACCCCAAGCTGCCACCGATTGACAACGGCCTCGTACAATGGGAAGTGCCAATTCCACGCCAGCACGTTCACTCTACTGCAGGGAAAGCGGGTCTTTACGCGCTAAGCGCGCATGATTCGTCGTCTTTCATGTTGGACAGCTTCTGCTTCGACGAATCATGCGCACACTTGAAGCAATCCGGAAGGGCTTGCCACATTCCGTAGCGCATGGCCATGACAAAGACGCCAAAGGTGTGAGCTAGTCCTGTTTCACCCAAACATGTTAGGTCACTTTAGGCAAATGATGCTTGATATGCTCTGGTTGGATACCGTCCAGAATGACATGCAGAAGCCCGTTATCGAGAAAAAGACCGAGGGCCGGTAACTGGGAGGCGGCAAAACGAAAACTCTAGATAGACGCTGATCTCGACCAGGCGACTAAGCGCGCAAAAACGTGGCATGCCGATTCATTGGAATTGGAAATGCACAGTGGGTCTTAAAGTTGCGAAGTACTCCAGGGAACCCAGCTCCCCGCATCCTTACATGTCTCTCCTACCGAGTCAGTAGCGCAGTGTGTTCCTCAACGGCTACCGGGTTCCACCTGAACTCACAGTCGATTCAGTACAGTGTGATTGCTGTCAGAAGATCGAGCAGTGACGTCGTTTTGGCAGTTCCCACGGTACTAACTCTCACGCTATCTCCACGACGATAATTTAGTGTTTGCACCAAACCTCCGCACTAAGCAGATGATAGCTCAAGCAGTAGCACGGGGTACAGTGCCTGCCAATCACCACGAATCATCTATCGTGACAACTCAGTGCTTACAGCGTATGCTTGTTGGAACCGACGGATCTGCTATCGCACACAACGGACAGCCACGGAGATACGCACATGGAAAACAACACATGAGCTGGACCCGAGGTTTGGTTATTCGGAAGTTTGCAGGATCCTTGATCCCCGGCATCGACCTCTTCTGCGACCATGCTGAGCCTTACGCACACACCAGGAGCGATCCGTCTTCGAGCCACATCATCGGAAAGCGGCGAATGGGAAAATATATTCACATCACTCACGGCTCAACTTGTCGTCCGACTGCGCCCCCGGCAATTCTAGCCCAGAAAAAGCATAGCAAAAGTATATGCTATCCTCAGGTATATGATCGGGGCCATGTTTTGAAGACAGACAGGTCATCCCGTACGAAGCTACGGGTCTGGTGTAAACTGCGGCCGGCGCTACAAGACACAGAATCACTGGACGCAACAATCCAACACCGCAAGCTCTTGAATACTCCACCCAAGCTAATGAAGCAACCCCTTCCGACGTATGAGGTATGTGCTGAAAACATGTGACCGCAGGTCTATGCATGCAGGCGCAAGAAAAAACAACCACTCCATCCCAAATAACTGGGTATGCATATGCAGGTTAGGTTAGCCGAGTAAACGCACATTTGCCGCAACCAACACGATCTTCAATTTCGTTTCATCGCTCAGACTACTCAACAACGAAGATGCAACACTGCTTCCATGATGATATCAGGTGTAGCATGACTAAAAACGACCCAACCTTCGGCCTGAGGATTTCGAGCCTGAATGACCTAGGCATGTCATGGACCACGCGGTGGTAACGACAGAGACCCCAAGCGTTTAAGCCGCGGTCTTGACCATGCAGCCTTACGATGACCGATGACTTGCACTCTCCAAGACAACCATATGCGCAGGCCGTCCCAACAAAGGAAGCCGCGAGACCACCGGCACTACCCACAGCTCACGATATCGATATGAAGTCAACTCGTATGTCTCACTTCCAAACACCCAAGGCACGTAAATCGGGCAGGTGTGCAAGGCGTAAAGAAAACGTCCCGTCCGTCATCCTTCCTCTAAGCGCCAGCCTATGCGGCGCAGTCATAACAAAAGCGAGCCAAAACCTGGTCCTGGACCCAGCTGATCAACGCTAGGCCTTCCCAAAACCTACGTGTTGGTCTAGTCCAGTAAGCATCGCCTGAATATGATGGTGGCTTGCACGCTCTGGAGGATTGATGCGGCGCAGCAAGCGCCGGCGCGTAAATGGGGTTGAAGCGAAATGGGCCGATCCTGCCTTGAAGAAACGGACGACGACCGCTTCCCTGGAGTGAGGGCCAAAAATCAATGGGTTGATTGCTAACCAACGAGTCGGTATACGAGAATAGTATAGTGCTGTGGTTCTTTTCAGGCCATCAATGTGCTGGCTGGGCAAGGCAGACGTGTAGCTACGCAGTATTGCAATTCGCGCAGGTACATCGGATACAGCTTCATCACTGTTTCATGACAGCATCATCATCTGTGCTTTTGGACTCCCGCCCGCTTATGTTGGGGTCGTGCTTACGATGCTGATATGATCTTCAGATATTGGTGCGCTAGTTGTGACATCCAACGTGCCGCAGCCGAGCTCTCGCATCGTGAGTGCGATCGTTGCCATGTTCTCGTACTTTCCCGTTGATCATAGTATGTTGCGCAACGGAATCGCCCCCAAGAGGTAGAATATGTTCGTAGCTATTCCCCTGCTGTCTGTGGGGCTTTCGTCTACATGTGCACCTCTGGGCTTCGTGGAAGTGAAGCCATGGCCGATGAATCATGTTGGTATTGAGATTTGATTAGTTATTATGATTCGTAACTTTACTTTGACCACCTCATAACTTCATGGACCTCTGAATGGAGAGCAGTGAGAGCTCTCGGTCCTGTCAAGATTGACCACCTTGACGTTTTGTAGTCTCACCAACGCCATGTCGCGAAGAAAACACCATATGAGAATTTCTCGCATGATCGTTGAGATGATATCGTATTCATTTGTGCTTTTATCCGGTTTCTGTGGATGTGTTAGTCTGCATCTCTCACTAAATAGTTTCATAGATAACTCACCAGTCTCAACACCAGGTTGTCTTCCGTCCAATCCTCCAGTGACCTTCTTCTTCAGCTTAGACAGCCCGATCTTAGCCTCGTCCTTTGCAAACTTCGCATTCCGTGCAGGCTTCCACTGCATCAACCCACGGTGTTTCCTCTCTTCGGCCCTCTTGTTCTGCTTGTTGACACTTCCGTTCCCGCTCGATGAGGTTTCGTCTGTCTCAGCTGTGGTGCTTGTACGGGCTGTAGACATTGACTGGCGAGCTTGGTGGTCCTCAGTTGGCGATAGGTCGGTCTTTTGTGACTTCAGCTGACCATTACCTTTGCTCTGATCGCCTCCACCTTGACCGCCGCTCATAGCCTTTGCGTTACCTACTGTATCAGCATCCTCGACACCAATATCAGATGAAGAATAGTTTGCGCCATAGTCGTCGTCAGAGTCGTCGTTGTTCTCATTGTCGGATGGATGGTAACGGTCGTGTAGTGGCTCTTCGACGCCAGGTTCACGTCTCTTTTGGCGTCTAGTGTTCATGTAGGCTTTGGGGTTGTCTCCGAAAGCACCGGACCAATCCTGACCATCCTTTGCGAGCCACTGACGCTTTTCTTCTTCACTCGCATTCTTCAGGATGTCACGTCCCGTAGTTAATGACTGGTCGTGCAATTCCTGCACTCGATCTGGTATTTCCTTTTCGACCTTGTGGTTTCGAACGCCCTCCGTAACGCAAGCCTCCCATGTCTCGAAGGTTTCGCGTGTATCGTTGTCGGTTATAAAAGCAGCGTGCGACTCGTCAGTACCAGCCTTGAAGCGGGCACGGAATTGAAGGCGGCCCACCTCTTGGAGGTCGTCGAGGCCAGGTTCCTTGTGGCAGTTTGATTCGGTGATGTAGTTTTGAGTGAGTCGAGCAGGAGCCGCAGTCTTCCAGATTGGGATGTTGATGTCCGCATCTTCGTTGTCGATGAAGTGCTGGAGCCATATCACCGCATAGGCGTCTGCCTTGCGATGATTGCTGATGTGGAATTCGAACACGATCGGTGACCTGTAGCGGTGTTTTACTGGTAGTCGGACGTTGTTCTTTCCATTGCCTTCTTCCAAATTCCAGTAGTAGCCATCGCCTTCTTGGAGCTTGGTGGCAGCGCTGCGACTTAGCTTGCCAGTGCTACCTCCAGTTCGTAGCTTGATCTTGGGGTGATGGTTGTAACCCAAAGCCAGAATGCGCTGCGACCGGAACTCGAAGGTGCCGACGTCCCAGCCAAGCATTTGAGGTGGTAGACGAGTTTCGATGCTGCGGAATAGGAGAGAGATGCGTATGCGGCCGAAACCGATACCACCATCGAGCGGATACCATCGTGTGACCTGCGATGAAGTTTCAAGGATATCAGATAGCTTCAGTGGCACCACGCCCAGAATGGGGTCGTGCTCCCTGTTCCTTTGATCGCGCACCGTTACAGTGATTATCGCTGATCTCCAGTCACGAACAAATCGTTCGGTTCCCGCGTTGAAGATCGGCTGGGACGAGACAGCCTTCGAACGAGTTCGGTAGACTAGCTCATCGTTAAACAGGATCGTGCAATAGCTGTTCGGAAGATCGCCACCAGTCTCTTCTTTGCCCTCGCCGTACGGCTTCGCAGGCTCGTACTCGCGACCTCTAGGGTCGGCGCTACCCTTGACGTTCTCGAGCTCAAGGTTCACAATCTGGTGGCAAACCACACTGCAGATACCGCTAGGCCAGAGAGGATCCGGGGGAGTGTGCATGACGGCATCATCCTCTTCTGAGTTGATGACGCCCTTCTCGTCTTGTAGCTCGGGCTTGTCCTTCAACTCGTCCGGAAGGGACTTGTTCTTGCCATCTGTCCGCATCTCTTTCCTGAACTTGGGCTTGGTGAAATAGCCAACTTCCCAGTGAAGTTCTCCAGGCATCTCACTATCGGCTTCCATACCGGCTAGCTTCGAAGTCTGCGGGTACATCTTGCCGGGGTGCTGAATCATCTTCTGCATGGAAATCTCGACCTTTCCGACAATGTCATCGGCAGTGTGGCGGTCGGAATCCCAGAGTTCTACGCTCAAGTTTTCGTTGGCCTTGATCAATTCCGGACCAACAAGAACAGCCGCTGTCTCTTCCCAGATCGGATTCAGATCATCAGTAATGACCCGAGTGCAGTACATGGGTTTGCCGTATTTCGAGAATGCGATAGTGATGTAAGGGTCGCTTCCACCATGTTTTGAACCGCGCTTGTCTTGCTTGCTCAGGCCAACAGCGCGATGGATACGGATCCAGAGAACACCGAGGGCTTCCGTGTCTTTCTGAACGGAATCACCTTGGAGAATGGCTCGCATGTCGATAGACATGGACTTGGGCGCGACATACACTAGACAGATTAGCATGATTCCTTTGCTCCTCTCGGAATAATCACGTACTGCTTGCCGCTGCCTTGATGGCGTAGTTGACGAAGTTGCTGATCAATGGGAGATTGAGGATGTTTACGCCCTTCTCCACCATAGGTGTGCATCCGGCACTGACCTGCGGCGCGCCCATCAATGTGAAGGTCAAAGTCTTCAGGAAAGGAGGCTCGGGTGTCATGTTGAGACGCAGGCGGACTGTACCGACAAGTCCCTGCAATTCGACGAAGATGGGCAGCGGAACACCGAAGAGACCCTTAATCCCCAAGTAAAATACCAGCTGCATGTGCATGTTTCGTGCTCTCTCCGAAACTCGCTTTCCGCTGGGACTGGCATGGTATGCGAATGATACTTCCAAATTGTAGTAATCGCCTCCTTCTTCGTCTGCTGCTGCCTCTTGTGGGTCTTTCGTCTTCTTGTTCTCTTCGTGGATGGACCTCTTCATGTCGCCCATGTGTGAGTCCGGAAGTGCTCGCAAGCTAAGGATACGCAACGGGTTGCTACCTTGATTGATCTCAGCTACGCGGACGTTTTCGATAACACCAGGCACGGAGGCCTGCATAACATCTTCGAGCATGTCCGCAACGCCGGAGAACATGTCAGGATTGATGAGGCCCCATACAATAGCGAGCAGCGTGTTCATCCATTCGACGGACTCGGGTAGCAAGTTCAGAGAAGCCTACAAGATGGTTAGCTAATGCAGCTGTACGAAAGGTTTGATAGGCACATACCATCTGGCCACGGACTTGCTCGCTGTCCCATTCGACTTCTCGCCCGCTCCGCACGACTTCCTTCATCCAGAGAAATACACCGGAAGCTAAGCACATGCCAAGTGGTATGAGTCCTTTGAGTGCGCCACCGAACATTTTGCCTACGACAACTGTTCCAATCAAGATTCCCGCGCATAAGTAGTTGGCGCGTGTTTCGAGGGCGGCAAACATGGGCTCATAGCTGACTGAGGGTGTTGGGTGAAAGAGAACGTTCGTCTTTTCGCCGTGGATAGGTACGTCGGTCGTTGTGCCTTCAGCGACTGGATCTGGTGGTGCTGTGACATCCTGGTTGTGCTTGTAGTCTTCGAGCGACTGTGAGGCATCGGTCTTTATGGGCTGTAAAGTATTAGAGGGTAAGTATATGGCCGACAGAGACGACGTACCGTTTGCTTGTCAAGGTTCGCATTTGGTATAACTAGATGCGGGTTGTCGACCTCGTCCATCATATCCTTGTTGACATCGGCAATGGTGACTTCCCTACCAGTCGTAGGGTCGGTAACCACCTTCTCTGTACCCTTTATCTGTCGTTCCTGCTGCTTATGTGGTTGCGATTGCTGCTGCTGTTGCTGCTTGGAATCTTCGTCTATTCTCTTGTCCCGAGCCGCCTTGTCCTTGTCCAGGTTTTCGACGAACTGCCTGACAGTAGGGATTGGGTTGTGACCCGAGTAGTGCCCTCCTGGAGCGTGTTGCTGCTGTTGTGACGCCATCCTGTGTTATCTCTCCTCCGAGGTGACCGCCCAAGTCAAAAGGCAAGGGTGTGGAGGGGCGAAAGGGCTCACAGCAGTCGCGGCTGTTGCGGGAGGATCGAGGATCGTATGGGCCGATGGACATATATTGGGAGAGTTTGGGCCTAACGAAGATCTCCCCGCTTAAGAAGCGAAAGCAAGGAACAAGCAAGCTGCAAGACCATGAAAGAGTTCCCGCGGGCGGGGCTGCCAATTGCAGTCAATGACGTAGGGCAAGTACGACGAATGCTGCAACAGCAGCAGCCGCGTTACCTCTTTGCGCACGACGCATACCCAGTCTTTGCGTGTACCACGGCAAGAAGCTGTCAAAATCTCCACTGTGGCTGGAATTCTGGTAATCATCCTGGCTGTCACCCCCATGGATCGTGAGATCCGCCCGTAATGACGTCAATGCACATATCGTGGCTGCATTGGCCAATCAGCACATGGTGGGGCTGATCGTCCCCTCCACCTTGGAACGACTCATGATCTCCTTGCTCACGCCCTGGGACCGGAAGTTACCCGCTACCTATTTCGAGCGCGCTATTGGCCAGGTCAACATCATGTCAGGCTGGTTCACTCTCTTCACAAATTGTCGCTACATCCTCAATGGCGAGCTTGTCGAGGACCATCTCGTTATCTCCGATGAGACCGGACTCATCTTGAAAAGAGAAGGCTACATTGGGGGCGAGGCTATCGACTTGGAAGACAGTATCATAGCTCCAGGCTTCCTGGAACTGCACACCAATGGGGCTAATGGCTTCCATTTCACACACTATGAAAACGAAAAGACGTATGCGACCAAGATCGATGATATCGCAAGGTACTACGCAACTCAAGGTGTCACCGGATTCTGGGCAACCCTACCAACTGTAAAGAGTGATGAATTCCTAAAGGTGAGACAGAGGTAGCGTGCTGCGACAATTTTGTCACGGGATTGAACAAGCATTGAGCGCATACATTGTGCAAGCCTACTGACAAACCTCCAGATTCTCCCCTCCTTGAAGCCACGTCAGATTCCCTCTTCAGCGTCTCTTCTTGGAGCTCATACTGAAGGGCCATATCTACACCCAGACAAGAAGGGCGCGCATAACAGCTCCCTCTTCCACCCGTGCTCAACCTCTCCTTCAACTGTCTACGGGTCCACTAATCTGCAATCTACCGTCAAACTTGTCACTGTCGCACCAGAACTCCAAGACTCTGCTGCGCTTATCAAATCGCTTACGTCGCAGGGCATCAAAGTAGCAATGGGCCATTCTACTGCTACGTATGAACAAGGATTGACGGGGCTGAAAGCTGGAGCAAGTGGATTGACGCATACCTTGAATGCCATGCCAGCTTGGGCATCACGATCGCCTGGACTGGCCGGCCTGGTCTCGCTACCAGAAACAGGGAAAGTCGCACCACCGTGGTGTACCATCATCGCGGACGGAGAACACCTGCATCCCAATACCGTGTCTTTGCTTCATCGTTCAAGCCCAAAGCGGTCGATTCTGATAACAGACAGTATTGAACTTGCGTCTCTCAAGGATGGAACATATCCCGGCCACTCGCAGATTCCTTTTAAACAGGTCAAGAATGGTACACGGGCGACAATCGCTGGAACCGACACGTTGATTGGTGGCTGTATACCGATCCAGCAGAGTGTGAGAAACTTGATGGATTGGTCTGGATGTGGAATCGCAGAGGCTGTAGGCACGGTCACGGAGAACGTGGCTGCTTTTATGGGTGTTGACGGAGAAGGTGGAAGAGGTGTGCTAAAGGAGGGTAGAAGAGCAGACTTGACGGTATTGAATGAGCAAGGCGAAGTGCTCCAAACGTGGGTCGCGGGACATAAAGTATGGGACAAGGAAGAAGACGTTAGGGCACACGAAGACGACGGTGAAGCACGAGGCTGACGCTTAGATCCACGAGAGCACTGTTGCTAAAGAACGTGTTGACAATGCGACACTAAACAAATACAACGTCGTTGGAATGTCAGCAATTTTCTACATATAAACGCTGTGTAAGTCAAGGGGTAACATGAGCGAGCAACACTTGCGTGAAGTCAAAGAACGTGTGAAGCGTATTGACTATATAGTCAGCTCTCAAAGCACAAATGACCTTCTCTTTCTAACCGTCGATGCACGTACTCCACACACCACCCAAAACCATGAGCACCGAAAACAACGCTCAGTTTATAGTGCACACCCCTGCACCCGAACCACACGAGCCATCCCCACCCCTTCTAATCTTCGTCCTCGGCCCTCCCTGCGCCGGCAAGTCAACGATATGCACCATTCTAGCCAAACACTTCACCCTAGACCACTTTTCCCTCGGCGATGAACTCCGCAACCTAGTCTCCTCGAACTCAACGGGTCATCCAGCACGCATCAAATGTAAGCTGTCCGTTGAGGAGCTGCAGGATCTGGCCATGAACGTCAAGGCAGGAACACTGGCTCCTTCCAACACAACGCCCAAGTACGTCCGGGAGCGTATCTTTCCTGATGGGATTGTCTCACCGGACGTACGGATTCTGATCGATGGCTTTCCTAGGGGAGCGGATCGGTGGGAGACTTTCAAAGAGGCCGTGAAAGATGTATGGCAGCCTGGTGGGGATACCTGGGTACTAGTACTTTGTACTGATCGGGAAGTGGCGAAAGAGAGGTTTGTGAGTCGCAGAAGGGCGGGCGATGTCTTTGAGCAGAGATTTGATAGTCATGAGTATTCTATAGGCGACATTGTGGCTGCGATGAAGCAGGATGGGATGAACGTCATTGAATGTGAGACTGGGCTGGGCTTCGACCCGGAAGAGATAGTCGGGGTTTTTAAGAGCATCTCACGTTTAGTTGGAGACAATCAGGCATGAGCAGATCAGATCGAGCCAACCATCTCTTTCAATGGAATTGCATTGTCGCATGAACCGATCGTTCCACTGTAGGAGTAACCATTATACGAAAGATGCCGAAAGCGCACTCATTTCATACGCATTCAGGCAAGCTATCGCGTGTCTTAAGGTGATGTATCGCCACATTCGAGCCGCTAATTCAGGTGAAATCCAAAGCAGTAGATACCGGACGAGATATTCTTCTCACGCGCACAAGTCCCGATCAGTGAAGACCAGGCTGCTTTTCGGACAGGCCATACGTAATGCCGGGATGCCCTGAGCGTGCGCGATGATGAAAGAAAGTTCCTCGGCAGCTGTTGACAGATTTTGTCACTCGATCCCGCTTAGTCAACCACGCTAAAATGGCGCTACCATCTCCTTCCGACATTTCAATCTTTTTCTACAGCTCCAACATGGAAACTGTCGACAACACCGAGTGGGACGTGCTCATCGTAGGCACTGGCCTGCAGCAGTCTCTTCTCGCTTTGTATGTATCTTGCTCGTTGGCGACAGTGGACGCGATCTGACTGACGCAGCGCGTGAAGAGCTTTGTCGCGCTCGGACAAGAAGATCCTCCATGTCGACGAGAATGACTACTATGGTGGTGCCGAGGCTGCCTTTAGCTTGCAAGAAGCCGAAGAGTGGGCGCAGCGAATGACTGGTGGTAAGCAAAGATGACGTTGAATGGTCAGGCTGTCGCTAACATATCGTAGAAACAGCGAATGCTGCTTTCTCCAATGTCGCAATTACCAAACCTGAAGTTACTGGCTCAGCGCCCGCACTATCTTTCTCGAGAGCATACAGCTTGTCTCTAAGCCCCCAGGTCATCTACGCGCGCTCCTCGCTACTTGGCTACCTCGTTTCGTCGAGGGTCTATCGTCAGCTCGAGTTTCTTGCTGTCGGTACCTGGTGGGTATACACTGCCGATGCACAGGGCGAAAGCTCGTCATCGCATGGAAGAATGTTGAAGGTGCCCAACGGCCGCGAGGATGTCTTCCAGGATCATGACCTCGACTTCAAAGCCAAGCGCGCATTAATGAAGTTCTTGCGCTTCATCAGCGAGTACGAGGAACAGATTGAGGTCTGGGAGGCACATCGTCAGCAGCCCTTTTCGAGCTTCTTGTCGGAGCAGTTCAAGGTTCCGGCCAGTCTGCAAGGACCGCTGATGGCTTTGACGCTCTCACCCACCGGGGCCGACCGTACGACTACCGAATACGCATTACCGAGAATCGCAAGACATCTACGTTCGATCGGAGTATTCGGTGCTGGTTTTGGGGCTGTCATACCAAAGTGGGGTGGCTTGTCTGAGATTAGCCAGGTCTCGTGTCGAGCCTGTGCTGTGGGTGGTGGTGTTTATGTCCTTGGAAAAGGCGTAACCCCACCCACTGACAGCGCTCCGGAGACAAACGAGAATGGTACGAAGCTTCGCCTGAAAGATGGCGAAGTTGTCACCGCGAAGTGGATCGTAGGAGGAAACTCCTCATCTGCTTCTGAGGATACATACTGCAAGTCGATGACCATTGTGTCATCCCCTTTGTCGCATCTATTCCCTCCCATCGCCGAGGAAGCACCGGCGCCAGCCGCTGCTGTCGTTGTCTTCCCGCCCGGATCCTTGACGCTGGAATCGCAAGCTGAAGAGCTTCAGCCAGTTCACGTCTTTGTGCATTCGAGCGACACCGGCGAATGTCCTTCTGGTCAATGTAAGTTTGCTCTCTGACTTCTCTCCTACGCTGTTATGATGAACAAACCTTACGAATACTTATCTACATTGTCTGAATACCATTGAAGACAATAACTCTGACAACCTGATACAACGGCACATCCTCTACATTGTCAATACATGTTCTTCTAGCTTCATGTTACTGACTATCCCTCAGGTGTACTATACGCGTCGACATCAATGAGCGGCCGAAATGGGTTTGCCCTACTTCAGAAAGCTGTAGACTCGCTATTGTCTGCTCAAGACGTCTCGCCATCTCCTACGATACTATGGTCTGTCGAATACCAGCAGCAAGCGTCATCCGGATTGGAGACCCTGCCGCGCGATACCGATCATGTCATTCGGTTCCCACCTCCGTCTATGGACCTCGCCTTTGATGACGCAGTGCTTGACAATGTCAAAGAGGTGTGGCAGAAGATTGTAGGCGACGATGCGGGCGAGTTTCTGGTCTTCCAAGACCGAGAAGTATATGATGATGACGAGTAATGACTTGATCATGTAACGAAGCAATGAATACAAGATACCACAATACCTTCTACACATTCTTTGAGACGATGAATCTGGTGTACAAGTGCAGTCAACAATAAGTGATCGAGCGAGGCGAGTATCGAGAGTCAAAACCCATGTACAAAGTTGAAACCGTGCCATCTCACCACACCCTATCGCGGCTCTTAACCATGACTGCTTCCGTCAAAGAATTTCGGGTGATCCGTCCGCCTTTGCATTATAACCCCCGTCAGTGTACAACCCACATACTCGTTGTCTCTAAATTACCAGCTCCAAATCCCACCATTGACATCCAGCAACGTCCCAGTGAGATCTTTCCCTTCAGGCCATCTCGCCTCCATGCATACACGGCACAGAGTGAAGTCTCCTCAGTCCATGCCACCGACCTCCCCCTTCGCCTCTGTATCTCTCTACACTGCAGGTAGGTCTGTGTTGACAGGAGCAAAAGCTGCCTCCTTGCCCGTTTCCTCCAGCTGCTGCCCACGCTCCGCGACTGCGCTTAGTGTCGTCCGTATAGTAATAGTGGTAGGCGGCGGCCGCGGAGGTGTCACTGTGGTGGACGCTGTCGTAAACGAATAAACAATCGTCGTACCTCCCCCAGGTATGAATGTGCGGATGAACGTAATACCCGACTGGGACGTGGAAGTGGGCGTGGGCGCAGGGTGAGGATGACCTGGGGACAGGATGTCCAGGACATCGTAAATGCTCTGTAAAGCTGGTGCGACGGACCGTGGGGATATGGGCGAAGGTCTTGTTGTGAGCGTTGTCGCCGAGCTTCCGCTTTGCGATAGGGCGACAGCGAGTATGGGTAGCCAGAGGGCGAACAGCAGCTCGGTAATCTGCATGTTGGGTGTTGGTGCGCTGGTGAGAATACGTGGACGCGAGGTGGTGAAAAAGTGACTGGTGAAGGATGGGTGCGTGATACACTGCGATTGAGTGAATGTGTGGAAGTGAACGGAAGTCGTCAGAGAGTGACTGGCAAACGAGCGAGTGAGTGGTGAGTCAATTCGAAGTCAGCAAGGCTAAATCATTACGGTCACGCCGCACAAGTGGCATCTACGAGAAGCACTTCGAGAGACGTAATCGTGGGGCCAACATTGAGAGGCACATGCGGCGTGATCATATTGACGGGTGGCAAACACACTCAAAGACCCGGACATATCACGGGAAGAATGTCATGAAGATGTAACATGTTCATCTATCACGTCTATCATGCGACGTGGCTTCATTCCTGGATGTACTTCTTGAGACTCCTCAGCCTCTCCATGGCCTGTTCCAGCACGTCATCGTTCTTGCACACGGCGAACCGTAGCCAATCTTCCACGATATGCGCGTTTCCAGGGGTGAAGAATTCAGTTGGAGGGATAGCCGCTACACCAACTTCCTTGATCAGGAACCAACTGAGCTGGAAGTCTCTTGGTCTCTCCGCCACGTGAGGAGGGAACTCATAATCACTTGGTAGCTTGACCTTGGACATGTTCACCAAGACGAAGTATCCACCTTCGGGATCCGAGTAGGGTAGCCCAAGCTCATTGAAGACGGCGGTGAACTTGTCGATTTTGGCCTTCATCTCCTTCTTTGACTCTTCCCAGAAGTTGTGGGCATCGGCTTGCTCGAAACCGATTGCTGTGGCTTCCTGGAGCGGCGAGACACTGCTGTAGCAGATTCGTGTGTGCGCTGCACTGACGTACTTGATCAGATGCTCGGGTCCAATCAGCCAGCCTACTCTCCATCCGGTGGCGTAGAAGTTCTTTCCTCCCGAACCGACTGTCAATGTGAGCTTGGCGATCTCTGGTGACAGAGTAGCGACGCGAGTGAAAGGGACGTAGTATAGGCGGTCGTAAACTTCGTCTGAGAGGATAATGATGTTGTGTTTCACGCAGAGATCGCCAATGGCTTGCAGCTCTTCTTTGGAAAAGACCTTGCCAATTGGGTTGTGCGGAGAGTTGATGACAATCATGCGTGTCTTGGGTGTAATGGCAGCTTCCAGCTCCTTCATATCCAAACTCCATTCTGCTGCAGACGTAGTCTTGGTTGCGCCGTCTTTGGGAGGGTGGAGAGGCACGTAGACTACCTTCCCACCTGGCATCTCGATGTTGCTAATGTATTGGTCGAAGAAGGGCTCGAATACGATGACCTCGTCTCCCTCCTCCAAGAAGCCCATGAAAGCGCTGAGCATGCCTTCATTTGCACCTGTAGTGATTGTGACTTCCTTGTCGGGATCTATCTTGCGGCCGAAGAAGGGAGAGTAGGCATCGGCAATGGCCTTCTTTAACCGCGGGCGGCCTTTGGTGGGCGAGTACTGGTTGCAGTCTACTTGATCGAGCGCAGCCTTGGCGGCATCAAGGACGAATTTGGGAGGGTTGTAGCCAAAGAAGCCCTGGCCCATATTGACAATGGGCTGCACTGGGGAGGCTGCGGCAGCTTCATTGACGATAGACCTGTAGCCGTTAGTTGTTGTCGCATACCTAGATATCATTATCAATTGGCCTACCAGACATCCTGCTTCTGACCCGCGACTCTCTTCGCGGGCTTGAAGGGGTCTTCCCTTCGTGTTGTCGCTGACATGGCTCGGAGAGGGGGACAGCTGGTGGGGCACCGTAGAGCTGCGGACGGTCTCTTTGGGGAGGTTCGGATTAATCTTGAAGCCGGAATCACGATACTTCGCATGGCAACGTTATCGTAACATGAAAAAGCGCAGAAGAGTCACAATTGTAGCGTCTGGCATTGCGTGCTTGAGTCCGTCGTCTGCCGTCATCAAGCGGGGACAAATCCGAAATAGCGCCGGCCTCGCTCGTCGCGTTACCCCAGAATAATTCGCGTCGCGTACGCCGAGCCATTCATCTTCGACATGGTCGACTGCCCCATCTGCACTAAAGCCGTCAAAGACGCCCGAATCAACGAACACATCGACAGCGGCTGCGAGGATTTCCTGCTTGAGCCAGAGCCTCAGGGCACGCCAAACCTGGGAAAGGCGTATAGCTTCTTTACGCCCGGCGCACGCAAACCTCCGGGCGCGACACAGAAGAATGGACACCCAACGTCGTCACCGCCCGCACAGCCAGCACCGCCAACCGCTACGCAGCGGATAGAGATATCAAAGACACCTCCGCCAAGTACGAAGCGATCGCTCGAGGAAGTGACGGATCCACAAACCAATGGCGAGCAACAATCACCATCTGCGCCAAAACGGGCGCGGAAGCTCAAGGCTGTCGAAGATGCTATGCCGCTGGCGGAGCGCATGAGGCCCATGTCATTGGACGATGTATATGGTCAAGAACTGGTGGGATCCGGTGGCGTGCTTCGAGGCATGGTCGATGAAGGCAGACTGCCATCAATGGTACTCTGGGGAAGACCAGGAACAGGTAATACTTGCTCTGTGTCCTTCACGCTCCAATCGGACGCTAACTCCGCCTACAGGCAAAACCACAATCGCTAGACTAATCGCCAACACATCCGGCTCACGCTTCGTCGAGATCAACAGCACAAGTACAAAGTTGGAGGAAGTGCGCAAGATCTTCGCAGAGGCCTTTAGAGACCTACAGCTGACAGGTCGGAAGACCATCGTCTTTTGCGACGAGCTGCATCGCTTCTCAAAGACACAACAAGACGCCTTCCTTGGGCCTGTGGAGTCTGGCACTATAACACTCATAGCCGCAACTACCGAGAACCCATCCTTCAAGGTCATCTCGGCTTTGCTGTCAAGATGCCGGACCTTCACGCTCGACGACCTCAAAGAAGACCATTTGGTACGGATACTCGAGCGCGCGATGGCCGCAGAAAACGTCACATCCCCCATCCTAGACAAGCCGATGCTGGAATACTTCGCCCGCTTCTCTGACGGCGACGCCAGAACAGCCCTCAACCTCCTCGAGCTTGCTATGAACCTTGCAAAGCAACCTGACATGACCAAAGAGAAGATACAACAAAGTCTCACCAAAACCCTCGTTTACGACCGCGCCGGCGACCAACACTACGACAGCATATCTGCACTACACAAGTCAATACGAGGCTCCGACCCTGATGCGGCATTGTACTACTTAGCACGCATGCTAGAGTCTGGCGAGGACCCACGATACATAGCCCGTCGTCTTATCGTTGTCGCATCCGAAGACGTTGGACTGGCAGACAACTCGATGTTATCCCTCGCGACAGCCACATATTCTGCGTGTGAAAAGATTGGCATGCCCGAGTGTCGCATCAACCTCGCCCACGCCGTAACCGCCCTTTCCCTCTCGCCAAAATCCACGCGCGCATACCGGGGGATGAACAATGCTTACGATGCATTGAAGGAGCCAGGCGTCGCAGCACTGCCTATACCACATCACATCCGCAACGCGCCGACCAAGTTGATGAAGGATATGGGTTACGGAGAGGGATACAAATACAACCCGCACTACTTGGATGGCAAAGTGAAACAGGAGTATCTTCCCGAAGCACTCCGAGGCCGCTCGTTCCTAGAAGACACTGATCTGGGGAGCAAAGTCGACCCAGATCTCGTCGACGACGACGAGCTGATGCCAGAGATCGACTGAGAGCAGCCTTGGATACATTGTGGCACAAGAGCCAACTGCATACTTGGCATTGTTTTGGCGTCTTGCATAGCGAATACGATACCCACTACGCGCTTCATCTAACATCGATTAAATACGGATAGTGTGTATGCTCACTTATTACGCCTGAATCTCGTCTCTCTCAATTGTTCTACATTACTCAAGCTAATAGGCTCACCGAAATCAAGGGTCCGTATCCGAGGGGACGCAAGGCGTTTGCTGACACCAACACCCATGCGTGACTGCCGCCCTGTGATATGTGCCCACCTCATGCCACAAACACACTTTCCTTCACTGTTTACAATCTCTTCCGCACCCTGCGACAACACCACTCTCATGCCAAAGCACTAAACCTTAACACGGCGTGCAGATACCTACCATCTTCTTCATCTGAACAGACGTTTTGTCGCAGTGCATCAACTGAACATGGACAATATCACCGTTGGTATTATCATTTTCTTCTTCATCAGCTCGTGGTTTGGGCATGTCTTGTTACATCGTGTTATCAAGACACCGGCGCAGTATCGGAGACCGCAAGTAGACGTGAAAGGGACATAACTGGGAAGATGGTCGAACGGGAGAACATCAGTGGAGTGCTAGCGTGAACGGTAAGACCGTCTATTTACACCATGGATCGCTTTCAGATCATATGTACTAACAAACTCCAGTACGAATACTCCACCTGGCGCAAAAGCCCACAATCCTTTCAGCCAACCTGGACCTCAATCGATCTAACCCGACTTGCCCTTCCTCTTCCTCTTTCTCGCTTTCGCCTTCGCATTACCGTCACCTCTCTTCTTCGCAGGCGTCTTCGCACGTGCCGTTCCAACACCCACATCCTTCTTATCCTCTATCTCTTTCGTACACATCGCGCAGTACCACTGCTGGCTCTTCGGGATAGCCTTGGAGATGCCGATACAACGGCCATGATACCACCCAATCGGACAAGCGTCGTTATCGCAGCCGATCATTAGACTACCGTCGTCAAGGCCGCGACAAGTGCAGTGAGGGGTCGAGTCGACTGGAGTTGTAGCTGAGCCTTTGGCTTTGGATTTAGCTGGGGTTTTCGGTTTGGCTGCGGCCTTGGGTTGAGCTGGAGCCCTTGGTTTAGGCTGAGGCTTGGGCTTGATTTCGATCTTGGCCTGTTCTTCTTTCACATCCTTAGCAGCTTGAGTTTCGACTTTAATCCGAGCAGACTGACGGCGTGTGCCCTGAGCAGCTTCTGGTTCGGAGGCGGTAGGAGCAGGATGTGGTGTTGCGACTTCTGGAGTAGTTTGGCGTACACTTGCAGGTTCGACTGGAGCGACAATCGGCTGAGGAGATGGCGATGCGGGTGACTCCAACTTCTCGAGTGCGGGTGGAAGGTCGGCAGATATTGTCGAATCTGCGCCGTTCAGCTCAAGATACAAGTTCTTTTCCCTCACGAACCTACCCTGTGCGTCCTTCCTCCCCTCTTCAATCTTGTAGCATCGAAGAACTTCTCCCTCCTTCCCCACCATCTCAATACGCCTCAGACACCTTGAATCCACTAGAGCTGCTGACGTACGCCGCCGCCGCCTTCTTCATAGCATGCTTAGCTTCTCCCAAACTACCAAAACTGACGACCAAGGAGCGGTCTGCTCCTTCTTCTCCGTCGTAGTTGTCATTAAGATACTCAACACACAGACCATACTGCAATGGCAAAGCGTCCAAATCGCTCGCGCGGGTCCACACCTTCACGCCCTCTGTGTTTTCGCCTGTGGGGAAGACAATGTCCATTTCGTAGCGTAGAACGACATGGTTTTTGCTGTCAAGGATCTCATAGAGACGATTGGTGCTTAGCTCTTTTGTTGCGCCCCATTGGACGTTCGCTTCGATCTCCTGAGTAGCGTGGTTACGCATGGCTTTCTGGGTGGTGTCGAAGACGGTGGATGCGGTGATGAGTCGGGGAGTAGCGATTTTTGGGTCTTCGAGGAGGTTGTGGAAGTAGACGGCGTAGTGCTTTGTAGTTCTTAGAGAATCTTCAGTCGACGTTGCTTGTTGGTCTAGTCGCGATTTCTTTGAAGGCTCTCGAGGAGGAAGGGAGGGGTCGGCTGATGGATTCCGCTTCAGAGGAGTCGGTGTAGCCGGAGGCAGAATCATGTTGGCCTGAGTAGTTTCGGTCTGGAGAATGGGTGAGGGAGATGTTGCCGATGACATGGTCGCACCGGTCAAGCAGCAGCGAGTTGCGGATCAATTGGTCACAGTATAGTGGGAGATCCCAGGTTGACGGTCATTGTGTTGAAGAGAGCAATCAGACAAGATAGGAGCCTAACGGTGGTAGCGCGAACGTCCGTGCTTTTGTTGCTAGTAAAGAGAAGCATTCCTTCGATGGCGTCGCAGTGAAAGAGGAGAGCAAGCGGCAGGCAACCATAGCTCATCCCAACTGACGTCCGAGACACGGAGACGCGGTAGAGCCGCAGTAGCAAGCGGCGCCACGCAACAATGCAAATTTAGCATAGACTCGCAGAGAAAGACGCCGAACCAATGCATACTTGGTACTTTTTCACGCCCTGACTGCTACTTCGGCAGCTTTCACGTGATCTACTGTAGTCCGTCCCAAACCCTCTTTTGCGTAAAAGTCCATAGGATAGAGGTTTTTCCTGTCATTGGCCTCAAGTTTCCTCACTGTATCGTCTTCCTCCAACCATGGCGCGTCTCTTACTCCAAGCGTAACAAGCGCCTCATAAGGACTCAGCAACGGCCTCGGAAATGCGTAGCCCCAATCAATGCTCAGTCTAGGACATGCGATCTGAACCCAAGCCTCCACATCAGACATCATTGCCAATTTTCCAGGGAAGATCTCCGACATGAGTAGATTTACACATTTGATGCCTTGGCGGGCCAGCTCGTTCTCGATAAGTGTAAGTGTATGTGGATTTCCTTGCCGTCCTAGCGAACCGAGGATAACGCCCCATGTGCGAGCTTTTCGAGCTGTGAGGATGGCAGTGCGCCGTAAATCGTATAGTGAATCGTGTTCATAAGTTTCGCGGGTAAGCCGCCGCGAGTAGGGGTCGTAGCGGTAAGCGGGTATATGGGGATTGGCGATCATAGCGCTCTCGAGGTGGAAACGTCCATCGCCAAGATAGAGTATCATGTCGGGTACTTCCTCCTCTTTGCCTCGCGCATTGAGTTGGCCCGGCTTGATGGCCATCGACGGCGACGTGCAACCTAGAATCTCGCCCTTGGATAAAGGCGCAATTTGGGGCACGAACGGGTTGTATCCTTCCTTCCGTAGTATCGGGACGATGCCATGTATTGTAGCGTTGAACTGAATGGTGCCAACTAACGCAATGGTCTTTCCCACGGGGAAATTCTCGGTGATGGTGTTGACCAGATGTTGCGTGTCGATACTGATGGAGACGAAGATATACAGTGTCGCGATTTTGGTTACTGCGACCGGTATCAGACAGCTGTGCGCGTAGTGTATCAAGAGATCGCATCCCAGCGCTCTTGCTGTGTAATCGTCTATGCAGCACGCGCCGTATGTGACATCACCCATTATCAGCGTCGAGGTACCGGGACAGAACCGCGTCAGAATATCGGATATGGTCGTCGCGAATAGCAGCAGGCCCTCGGGAAATTGCAGAGCTATTGACTTGGCGCCTGACGTCCGTATGCGATGTATGCATTTGTGGATCTCGAAGCTGTAATTTGGAGGTAGGAGAGCGATCGCATCGTTGATTTCCTGGTCGTGGAGGATGTCGTCGGGGATTGCGTTCAGGACACGAGCGGTACGTCGAGGCTGGGCAACTTGGATGAGTGTTAGCTATCTGCACTATCTGAAGGCCGTATATGGGCTCCTCACACCTTGTATCGCGCTGGAATCCTCAATATTGGCATTGGGATCCGCTTGCTGCTCGCCCGCCTTTCCCGCGGTCTTTCTGCCCACAAAACGTCGTTTGGGTTGTTTTTGCGCAGGTACAGCCTCTTCCGGTATCCCTTCCTCCGCATCAGGACCCAGGTTCGTCGCCGCTCTGTCGTCTTCCATTTTGCGCGTGTATGTCGTGGTTGAGCGCGTCGCGGGGTCGGGTGGGATCATGTGGCGGGGCTCAAGACTTTTTTGGTAGGGCTGAACTTCATTCAGGGTCCACAGCGCCTCTTCTTCCACTCCCACTCGCTCCCAGCCATCAATACGAGAATTAGCATAGCATGTGGTCTTTTCTGAGGACAGTTTCAGTTCTATGGCCAGAATGAACAAGTAGTCGAGTAAATGACATGCTCATCAACGAGGATGCTACACACAAAACCAATCAATCTATATCGAACGTCTAACCACAGCAATGACTGTCGTGTATTGCTGCTACCCATAGATCTAGCTGCTCTCTACCCTGCCCTATATCGCCTCGCAAACACTGACGCTTCACAGCTTCACGAAGATCTTATGCACCCGCGCCATGTTATGTTCGTCGCGTCTGACGACTTCGCCTCCCCCGGGGTCAACCCAGGCGTCTGGCTTGGATACATGCGCGATGATACAAGGAGGCTCGCGCATCGTCTTGCACGCGAAGACTTGAATCTTCTTGATGTACATGTTGTCCAGCTGCGCTTTGTGCTGAACAAGCATATATGCGAACCCTTGTATGTTCGGCGTGCCTGGTCACATGTTAGCCAACCCTTCTCACCCTTTGGTAAGCGAAGAGGCTTGTGTATAACTACTGGACTGCGCAAGTCTTACCCATGAGTGCGTTCATTTCGTCTGTCCCCCGTTCAAATGTCTGCCCTGGGAAATCTTCTAGATTTTGACCTCGAGTGCGCACTGCTCTCAGCGCCACTACTTTAGTCTCTGGGTTAACAATCAACACAGACACGAAGTAATGTATGTTTTTGACATCCCCCTTGTTCTCCTTCATCAGGAATTCCCAATCCAGCCACGCCACGTCTGAGAATTGGTTGAGCTTCGGCAGTCCGTCACCGGTAATCGGCGGCGATACTTTTGTCTTGCCTGCTTCCTTGGGGCTTGTACGGTCCATGCCTATAATGACGCCGTCTTTGATGTTGAGTGAGAAGGTAAATTCAGCACCTGTGGCCCGGTACTGCTTGTTATCAACATAGTATCTTTGATCCTGGAGAGCCGTTATGTATTTAGGCGTGAAGTGCTGATAGTTGACGATGTGGTTCTCGCCTCCTTCGAATCTGCTTGCATATGGGTTAATTCCGAGATCTGCAAGCGCCCAACCGATACCCCATGTCTTATACAAGTCGAAATAAAAGTCCTCTGTGCTTTTGAGATCATTGTACATCCAGTACCATTTATGAAGATCATCAATACTCCGGTACGGTGATGCTGCCGTGGTACGCTCTGGGTTGTACAGGGGTCCGACTTCGCTGTCATCGTGGTCCATCGCCCACGAGAGCATACATCCCTTTTTTCTGCAGTTATCCCAGACTTCGTCAGTCGCAGGATCCGTCCGTGGCGGCGGAGGCGGCGGAACAGGCCGAGAGGGCGGAGGCCCAGCGGCGGCGGAAACCTTGCCTGGCGCCTCGAGAATCGTGACATTAGTGGATAGACGAACACCGTTTGAGCAGCTAGATGCCAAATTCAGCTGCAAGACTTTTACTCAAAGCAAGACGCTCGTACAAGGACTATCAAAACTGCCGAGACGGAAAACGGAGTACTTGGGTAATGCCTACTTTTGACAGATCTCGCCTGCAACGGCAGCGAAGAAGCCTGCAAGCCTGACGAATTGGCCGATCCGCATACTTTTCAAGTTTTTTTGCTGAGGAGTGTAAGGCAAGAGAGAGAAACACCCGAGTGGTGCTGGAAACAGAGGCATACTACTCAAGCGGAATCGAGCTTTTTTTGTGCGTAGCTCCCACCTTCACCTTCACTGCGCATGAAGTGAAACAAACGAGGGCGAGAGATCTGCGCATTTCCCAGACCTTGCGTCACTGGATAGTGCGCTCTTGTCGTGCAACATCTCCAAATGGTTATGGTTCACGGGCTGTTCTTTCCTCTTTCCCCAACTGAGCAGTTCGTCATACAGATCCACATGTATACGCACCTACCTTCTCCTGGGGCGGCGACGAGAGCTTTTGTTTATCGCTTCGCAATTACAGGAACAACAGCGACACGTACAAAGGCGTATTCCAATGGAAACGCGAGAACTTTGACATATATCATTTCATCGTTCATTAGACTGGCATATCATATCTGACTATTAACATCTTCCAAAGTCATCTTCCAGCCCTCATGGCTAATGATGCGCAGGAATGAACAGAGGGTATCGTGTAACGCAAAGAGCCACCCATTCGAAGTAAAGAGACAACCTTGGAGCCAGATCAAATGTTCAGTTTACCTCCCAACCAGAAGCCACCAATCCACAACGCTCCCCAAACTGGCTGAAAGAAAGCTCGAAGCACTGCCGGACCAGGACAAATTCCCGTCAAGCCCCAGCCAACACCAAAAGCTGCAGCTCCAACGACGAATCTTCTGTCCACATCTTGCAACGTCTTCGTAGGCAGCGAGAACTTGTGGGCGAAAGATGGCGGGCTGGTAAAGCCTTTCATTTGATTCTCGATCAAGTTGGGTAGGACACCGAAGAGTATGACCAGAGCGAGTGACGGGTCCCAGTGTTGCAAGTCCGGGAAAGAGAAGAAAGCGGCCACCTTCCCGGGATGTGCCATCTGCGAGATGTGAAGACCGAGGGCGAAGAGAAGACCCGAGAAGGACTGTGTGGTTAGGCGTGCAGCACTGTGTGTATCAGCGGGCTGGTGTTTGGCATCCTTGGTTGTGGGTGCGGCCGTAACTTGAGCCACAAGTTTGGGTATGGTTCGCGCGGCGAATATGCTGAATACGGCAAGTACGAGCAGAGATGCGGTTGTCTCAGTTGATGGATACACAGGCGTGTAGCATGGTGCACTGCCGGGGCACATCGGACTCGATAGGCTTGGATTGGCGAGGTGATGTGTTATAACTGCCGTAGGGAAGAAGGTAGCAACTGCGATTGCTGAACGTCCGCTCAGTCTGGGGAGTCCACACAGCATGTGTCCGGAAGTACATCCATTTGACATCTAACCGTTTGTGTTAGCAGTGTTAGATTCTTGCACCAAAGGTCTTTTACCTTCGTCCCGCATCCTATCAGAGCTCCGATCGCTAGCGTAACCAGAGCATTCTGTGGACTGATCTGTACAGCAGGATACTCTGTGATTAACTGCGGTGCTAATGCCTTCAACGGAACGTAGCTGGCAACCATGCCAGTGAAGAACGCGAGCAGTTCTTTCGTAGGTGCAGAGAAGAGTCGACGCAGATAGCCGCTGAGTCCCAGAATATCGCCATTCTGATAGAGTTGGTTGCTAGTCGCTTGATGTAGCAGGAAGGCGCCGATGGAAGTCTCGATGGGTGTAAACATCCTCTTGATCCCGGGTATTCTCGCTTCGTCGGGTCCTGTCCCTTAAGAACTTCACTCTAAGCAAGGACTCGTCCCGTAAGGTGCAGCAGAACGAAAGCAGCAAAATTAAAGAAAACCCCTGCCAACGAAGGACAAACAAGCCGTTTGTAGACCACCTCTTTATGAAGGACTAGGTCACTAGACCAGATCTTCCTCGCTAACGGGCCCATGTGCCAATCGCCGTGTAGACATTTTCCCTAGTCGCCGACCTCACGCTGCAAACGTGGACTTAGCCGAGATGCAATCATCCCGACAATGGATATATCGTGGAGGCGCACTGGTGGCGCTCCGGCAGCAGATACGCATACACCCCTAAACCGCCTAGCGTGGGTACTAAGCATGGCTCGCGCGTGGCACGCGCGTGGGTCGTCGGCGACGAGAAAGCGCCCCAGGGACAGCAACATGGGAACATTACCCGAGTGCTGGCTTGCGCGACTGCATGGGAAGGCTTGCGTACCCGCGAACATGCTGATGTATAGTCGATGAGGCGTTTCACGATGTGGAATATCGTATGATTTCCGCGCTGAGGCAGCGGGTGGGAGTGTCTTCGTACCCGGGGTCTTGGAGGGTAGTCGGCGACCCCATCCTCGCGACGTCGGAATTACCACGGCGTTCCTTCTGGAGGAATTGAATTACTAACATGGGTCCGCTAGGCAAAGTCGGTGTCTAGATGGTTTCTAGAAGGTCGCCGTGCGACGGACGGATGCGAGTGCCGGGTGGCGGTCACTGGCGCGAACTTCATCGATGGCGTCCACCATGACGGCAGCTGACTTCATGTTTTGGTCATCTCTTTTGATGAACGATTGTGTACGTTCGTCGAACAGCTTCACACCGCTGCATGCCTCTTGCATACGCGGCCCGCTTATCTCAGATTATTCTCCGCGTCAGATCTGCATGCCGCAGCTACCTCGCCGACTAGAATGCCTGCAGTGGACGCGATGCAATGCTTCTCGAAGATGAGCAAACATGCCAAGTTGCTCAACGAACACCGACACACCGTACCGTTGTGCCCAAGCATGCACCCGCTCTGATCCTCCTCGTGGTCGGTCTCCGAACCGTATCACTAAACGCGCATCTTATCTAGGTATACCTAGGTACACCCACTCCTACTCCTCGAACAAATCTTCGAACCATCCCTTTGCCCAGTGAACCTCCAACCCATGCCATCCCACTAAACCCTCCAGTCCGACCGTTGGCAACCACTCGTCAATCTTGTCCTGGCCCCCACTACGCGCTCCTCGACGCTGCATCCACAACTCGCCATACTCTTCCTCAACCTCGATATGCACCTTGGCACGTTTCCTAGGGCCGTATTCGAAATCATCAGGATACATAAACACCTCCCTCACAGCGTCGGTAAAAAAGTCACACCAGACGGGGTTGGTATGAAAGGAAAAGAGGGTGGTGAGGTAAGCGCTGGTGTCCCTCTGCTCGCCCTTTATCACTTTCTCGCGCATGCATTCCTCGTCTTTGAACTTGAATTCCAGCTCGGGCTGGCGTAGTGCCAGACGAAGAAGTGGCGCTATGTCATGGCACGGTCGATAACCACATCCATGATAACCGTAAAGCCGGACAATGAGCTCTACATGGCTGGCTGGCATGCAGATTTCGTGTTTGTTGACGTTCAGGTCTTCGGCGGCGAGGGCGAAGGCGTGCATAGATATATGCACCTTTGTGCTGGCTGCGTATATGGGGAGATACTCTGAACGTATTTGGCGACAGGTTTGCGCAAGGCTCAGATCGCCGCGCACCAAACGGGGCCACGGTAGGTACTTTAATCTTGTTGACGCTGTGTCTGCATCCGAGCGGGTTCGCGGCATGTAGTCTTTTCGTCCAATGGTGGTAGCCAGTAGGTCGTATATCGTATTGCGGAGCTCTGAGGGTAAGGTTTAAAGAATGAGACGGAGGTTACTCCTTGTAGGAGTTGCGATGATGGACATACCAGCTGGTAGATCCAGGAAACCAATCTTGCGCTTGGACTCAGCGACGTTGGGCGTATCAGGTTGTGCGTAATTGGTTATCTCCATCTTGGACGTTCTTGAAGTGAGTATCGCTATTGTTCTTTTCGGACACAACCCTCAAAATGCGTTCGAGTAATACTATACAATCTCAATGAGACAGGTTTTGTGTGAGCCCTCAGACGATATTTAAGAAGAATCGAATTTGGCCCTGCCCATGGGTGTGACTCTTTCGCACGTGACACCATGTCTAGGTGCACAGCCGCCGCTTACTACCCTGAAATAGACCAACCTTCCTCATCGAGTATAGACAAAGATGAAGCGATATAGGACATAAGGACTTGCGGCCCGGTAATTCCACGTCTACATTGTATTTGACGGTTGCGATGACTCGAAAGCTCTTCGCGGAAGTTCAATGACCATCACGGAACAAGGCCAGGCATCAGTCTAATCAAGGACGCATGCTCATCTCGATCAAGCAGGGAATTGAATTGCGCATATTTAGAGTCCTTTCCTCTTACTCAAAGCATCTGACACCCTCTCCCCTCCGTTGCATTGAGAGCGGACCTCGGTACTCATATATCTCTCTTTCTTTCCCCGCATGTAGACAAAAACAGCATACCTCCAGTCACGGCCGAGCTCCGCCGACGTTGCGAGATCCTCTGGGAATACATCACAGTTGAATAAAAGAAATGCGTTGAACGCCGTACCCCTACTGTTGATGCCAGCACGTTCACTCCAAGCAATTAAATGAAGATAGTCATCCCTCTCTCTTTTGTTCAGATACATCCAGTCTTCGACTCACTCCTTCTTGACCAAGATCTCCACCGTGAAGCCTGTATCCACATTACTTCCGATGTTGATCTGAGAAAGCGAGCTTGCTGCGTAGACATACCATTGGGGGTTGTGATGGGTGTTGAGGAGCGCGCTTATCAGGGTGTTTTCGTCCAAGTCGTTGGCGTCCTCATCTTGAAAGGATGCGGTAAATTGTGGCGCTCAAGCAATCAGTCTGATGAGCGGGGCAAAATCGAGGATAGAACATGTTTTCGTAACGCTTGGCCTCAACAGGACAATTTTGTTAACTGCATCCTTCAAAGCGCCATGCTGTGAATCGACAAATGGGGAGATATACTGATTGATCTGGTAGTAGGGAATCAACACCGCAGTGTTCTCGAGGCAGATAAGCATTAGCTCCGCGCGGATCTGTCTGCAGGTCCGTGTGAGACCCAGCAGCTTGCGATCTTGTATGGCGTAATCGATGTTGTTTGGGCTGTGGCTAGGGTCGTGCGAGAGCTTCATCAAGATATCTTGCTCTGCTGCAAAACCATGAATGTAGTTTCGAAGCTCTTCATATCTGATTAGTAGCAGTAAAGCCTAGCTTCCGGTGTTTCACTTACTCACAGATAGATCAAGAAAGCCGACAGCTCGACCTTGACTGGGCGAAGCGGGTGAACGCAACGGCTGCGCCAGACTTACTCTCGGTTTCTTGCATGGTATAAGCGCCTTGTTATTTGATGATTTCCAAGAAAAAGGGCTTCTTTGAATGACTGCGAAGTAGACTGAAGTGATTAGACAAGAGAACTGAGTGAGAGCAGCAAAAGTGGTCTTGGCAAGCAACCTGATGCGGAAAGTGGGTCCCCAACAAGTGAAGAAAGCGCAGTCGCGTGAGTGAGAGATTGACGTGATAGATTTACGAGACCGGCTCGATTCGATATTGTGCTGTTAAAACGTTTTGGAACGCTTGTACATGCGTTACTACAGCCGTATCGTTGTCCAATTCGTCCTCGACATACCATTCATTCAAGATGCTCAATACACCTCACCAAAGCCCTTTCTCTCCGCGTCCTGCATCTTGTCAATCTCCGTCTCCCCAATCTTCTTCTCTTCCTCCGCCGCTTCCCTATCCTCCTCGCTGTTCTCAACAATCATGTTGCCCTTTAACGCTTCCGTAAGAATCGGTTCTCCTTCCTTCTCCTTCGCGAAAGCAGCATCATCGCTGGTGAAGTCGCCGTCGCCCAGTCGATCGGTCCTGACGCCGTTACCCATGCCAGATTCCTCTTTCCAACTTTGCTCTGTCTGTTTGCGCTGCAGTTTGCGTTCTTTGGATTGTCTGCGCTGCGTAGAGCTTGCTCGAAGGAACTTGCGATGTTGTATTTGTTGCATGCCCGGGAAGTAGTCAGAGTCATCAGAGAAGCCCTCACCAGGTGTCTTGTGAGGTTGTAGGTGGCGGAGGACAGCTGCGGTTCTCGGTTGCGCATGGCTACCTGAGCGCGACATGGACGACGTTGCTTCCCCTTCGTCACTGCTTGTAGCGTCGTTGGACGCATCGTTTGGAGAAGCTGGCGTTGGAGGCATTTCCGGCATGGTGGCACCCTTAGTACTCTGCTTTCGCGATAGCTTCGCCGGCGAGGGCTCGTTGATGATGGGAGCGTGATCAGTCTGCTGCGCTGCAACTGGGTGGTCTTCCTGTTCGCTTTCTACTGGCTCCATATGTGAGACTGCAGGTGGGGGCAGCTGTTGCGATTGTCCCATGTACTCCATAGTGTTCTTGCGCATCGGTCGACGGGGGTAGTTGATCTTGTCATGGTCACATCCGTTGACGCATCCTCCCCATCGGCGCGTGGGTATGGTGGGAGATGCGGTGATGCCTCCTTGGCCCAGTCCAGTCAAAGGCGTGGCTCTGCTCGGCGTAGATGAGGTGGCGCTTTTTGTCTCCTCCTTCTCCTTCGCAGCACGGCGTTTGAGTTCCGACCATGTTCGTAACTCGTTCTGGAGGATATATCGGCCGTTGTTCTCGCTTCGCTTCATAATTATGAATTCGCAGTGGTTGACGTTACGGAGATCCTCGAAGTACTCGACCGACCAGTGGTACCTGGAGCATGTTAGTTACAGGCTATTGCCCCAAGTGTTATGCGCCTCACCATTTCATAAGGAAGACACGCGACATCAGTCCGTGTGTGACCAAAACGCATACACTGGGAAAGTTGTCGTCTTGGAACGATCTCCACAGACTCTCGTTGAAGCCACTGACTCGATCGTACGCGTCAGCCGCACTCTCGCCATCAGGTATACGGTAGAAGAAGTGTCCATAGTCGGCCCTCTCTTGCCACATGCGCTCCATCTCGGCTGAACATGGCTGGAAGTTGCCAAAGTCCTGTTCGCGTATCCGGGGCTCTTCGAAGACAGTTATCTTGTTGCGGGGAAAGGGCGATGGGGTTGGGTCGTCGGAGGTCAGAGTACGGAGGATGCCTTCGGTTGTCTCGCGCGTGCGACGGTAGGGTGAAGTGAAGAACTGGAGAGTATCGTCCGGCTTGAGGAGAGACCTTAACTGTCGCCCTGCTTCTTCTGCCTATAATTATATGCGTTAGTCATGTCCCGGCTCATCTCAAGTCGAATGGAGCGGTAGGCGCACCTGTGTCCAGCCATGCTGTGTCAGTTTCACTCTATGGTCGGGAATGAACTGGTGGATGTCGCGATTCTTGTTTCCCTCTGACTGGGCATGGCGAATCAATATGATCATCTGCGTGGTAGTTAGCCATTGACCCTGGTGGTGTTAATAAAGTGGACCTACGCGGGGTTTCCCCATGGTGAAGAGAGTGGGATGTGTGTATGGTGTGGTTTTGGAAGATGATGTAAGTGTAATTGATGCTATGCTGTACAACAAGGTGTCTTAAAGGCAGAGGGGAATATGTACAGCTGTGCAGGGAAAGTGCGATCAAGGGCGTTTCATGTGCAGCTGCAAGCCCAACGATAGCGGCGACTTCGCTGGCGCGAGTGGCTTGTTCGGCCGCCCGTAGCCCCCCGAGGTGTTCGCCGCAAATGCTAGCGCGTCATCCCTCGCGACTGTTTCTTAGCCGTCATCGTTCACCACTTTTTCTGCATTGCGCGACCGCATACGCACACACTGCTACTGCCCACGTTATCTTTTCGAAGTCGCATCACTCTGTACAGCCACACACAACGTTATAGAAACATCACGGTTCCAGCCAATCCGTTTATTGGCCTGCGTGTCGCATCGCTGACTCTCGTGGGCTCACCACAATGTCTGAACCCATCCCCGAATCAATACCCACATCCGCCGACCCGCGCTCCCAGCGCCCAACGAAGAAGCGCGCGCTTACCCCCCGCTCAGCGCAAGCCTCAGAAGTTGAGGCTCTCTTTGCGAAGCCTGATCGCGATATCTACATCCCAGGCTCCAGCGCACTAGCCAAGTCATCTCTACCCCCAGAAATCGTCGCCAATGTACAGGGATCTAGTGCAGGTGCGGGAAGTGGCGAGTTCCACGTCTACAAGGCGAGTCGGAGGCGCGAGTATGAGAGGCTGAGAATGATGGACGAGGAGGTGAAGAAGGAGGAGGACGAGAAGGAGTTCGCCAAGCGGAAGGAGGAGCAAGAAAAGAAAGACAAGGAGAAGACGGAGAAGAACCGCCTGAAGAGGGAGAAGGCGCGACAGAGAAAAGAGAAAGCCAAGAAGGGTGGAAAGGGCGGAACAGGCAGCGAGGGAGATGGGACGCCGGTTGCAGAGGACGGCAAGACCAAGAAAAAGTTGGCGCCGAACGCGAATGTGCTCAAGACTGGCACCGACGAAGAGGCAGACACAAACAACGAAGGTGGAGAGGTCAAGAATGCGGAAGAGATTGGACTAGTCATCGAAGACGACGATTGAGGGGAGTTTACACAATTCGGAAGAATGGCTACAGGAGAGGACAATAGCAATTTCATTTCCGAAAAGCCTTGTTAAGAGCTGATGGAGATACTCGTCACATTTGGGTCAAAAAAGGTGCGATGACATGGATTTCTCACAAGTCTTGGTGCTAACGCTGAGTACAAAAGACTCGTTATCGTTGTCGCAAGATGTTACACAATCTTCTACCCTAGGCGACGTCCCACAACAGTCGCGCCTTCTTCATACATCGTCCACCGACTGTCGTCACACGCATTTGCATCAAACACCAGCAATTAGGGCTATGTTGCTTGTCAAGGATTAGCGGCATAACAGGAGAATTATGCAGGTGCGGCCCGGCAAAGTTCACGGCTTTTCGCATTCCAGCCAACCACCACTGCTGGCCATCGCAGTACCTTGGCGGCTCCATCTGTCTGGTTCATTGCAATCGCACTTCATCTACTCTCGACAGCATCCATATACCTCTACTTCATTTTGCCAATCAGGTTTTCTGCAATGACGGCCAGGTCTTCGGGGCACTGCCTACCGGAGTCAAACTCCGATGGAGCATGAGAATGCGGGGATTCAGCGCTGCCCCTCATACCAATATACCTCATGTTCGATCTTGATTAGTCTCTTCAAGTTTTGCCAATTTTTTTCCTTTGCTGCCCAAAAGATGACGTTGTCGTCATCTAACAATTCGAGTGTCTCTGAACACGCCGACTTACCGATGCTATTTGATCTTACACCTCGAGACCCACAAAAACTACTCATGCTAAGTTTTGCACGAGCTCACCATTGGCTATGTTGGAGGAGACCCGAGCTGCACTGTACGCCATCATTTAAGCCTCATAAGAACGACTTTACATTGCTTGTTATTCAAAATCCAAGGAACTGTCCCGAGATCGGCTAAACAGCCCGGTTGCCTCTGCCTAAGAGAGGCACGTCCCTGATCTTAGTATCTAAAGTAAACAATCTCGATTTCATCCTTGTCTGGTTGCATGCAGTATCTATCGGGATTTGAGTGCCATGACTTCCATACAGCTGTACCTACCGGCCTTGTGCAATTCCGATCCAACGAGATATCAGAGGTTCGAGGCCACACGCTCAAGATCGCCCCTACCATTGGACCGTATAGATGAGCCGTTTCAAGCGATACCCTCACAGCGGCTACACAAACCGTTCTTGCCCTGATTCTAAAGCTTAGTTAGACAACGTACCCAGCCACAAGCAACCGATAAATTGGCCACTGTACCACTCTCCACAAACACCCTGGTAAGACGCTCTCTGCACAACGTATACGCAACGTCATGTCCTCTGAACAGATGTGATCGGCCGCAAAGCTCCGCAAGTTATAGAAATCTCCGAATCCTGGGCTTTGATAGCCGGGCGATTATTGCGTTGCTGCATCATCGTCACACGGGATATTAAGGTTCATCTACGTTGGCGTCAGGGCGGAGGAAAAGGGAGGGAAGGTAATCTACGCTGACGCATGTTAGCCAGGTACGCGTATGCTCTGGAAGGTGTGGAGACTGGGTGAGCAGGAGTATAAGAGAACCTCGTGTCAGAAGTTTAAATCGACATCAACGAACAGTGTCTCCTCCACTCACTGACTAAATAACACATTCACACATCATGAAGTTCACTGCCGTCCTTCTCATGGCCGCTGGGTACACTTCCCTTACCAACCCACTCCCCCAATACCACAGCTAACACCCACCAGCGCCCTCGCCGCCCCCATCGTCGAACGCCAAGCCACTCCCTCAATCCCCGTTGGCATCCCACCCTTCCCCACTGGCCCTCTCCCCACCGGTCCCATGCCGACACCTCCAGGAGGTCCCCCCGCTTTCCCTACTGGCGCTCCTCCCTTCCCAACCGGTGGCTTCCCTGGCTTCCCGAGCTTCTCAGGCGGAGCGCCTCCGTTCCCTACTGGTGGCTTTCCCAGCTTTCCAGGTGGTGTTCCTCCCATGCCCACTGGAGGGCTCCCTGGTCGACCTAGTGGAGGACCAATGCCGATGCCTACTCGGAGTGTGCCGGGCTTTTGTGAGTAGATGATGTTGTGGAGAATGTTGAGTGTGTTGCTGACTTCTTGTAGCGCCTATGCCTATGCCTACGCCTGTTGGTCCTCCGGCATAGATGGTCCGAGGGAATATTGGATGGAGAATTGGGTTACTGGTTGCAGTCTGGCGGAAGGATGCGATGAATTTTGTTGTATATAGTTTGAATGGAATTTGATTGCAAATGATTCGTAACAAGTTGTAGTCCTGCGCTATCATGGAGTGCGTGTTGATCATTCCAACTCGATATCTTCAACCGTCCATTCGTCAATTTTATCTCCAGGCTGGATCTTGCTTGAGACTCGGGCGACATCTTCGTGCTCGTCTAGCGCAGGTACTCTGACCGGGCAGATATGCCAGTATCTCCCACTAGGTTGTCTTCGCAGAACAACTAGCTGAGGACACCCAAGCACTAACCAAATCTCATCCTTTTCTCTTATGTTGCATTCCGGTACTCGGCCGAAGTATTCGTCGTTGGTTTTAATGCAATATCGCCCGCGTAATGCTCGTAAAACATCCCGAAGCGCGAACCAGGCGCGTGGGTTACTCTTCTCGAGAGGAGCCAAAAGGTCTAATATGTCCTCTCCCCCATAGCCAAAGCTACGGCTCGCCTGTTCTGGGGCTTTACTAAGTTCTAGAGAATACGATAGTCCAGTTCGAATACACTCATGATCGTGCTTTCGGCCATCTATTTCGTCGTTGATAGCACGAGAGAATTCGAGTGACGAACTAGTGCTGGCGCGCTCCAGGTATAGCTGTAAATATTCGCCGAGCGAAGATGCCCAGAGCTCAGACACTGTGGTGAACACATTTGTACTGGAGACAAAGCATTGCCGTACCCAGCCCAGTCTCACGCCTCGGATGCTCAATCGCAGATTCTTGATATCGACAGCGTTTGCAGGACATTCGGTGTGTCTTATTCCGCGATTATGAACTGCTTCTGAATCATCAACATCTTCTAAATCAAACCCTATTCCTTCAGTGTCACGTCCCATCCAACCCTCTGGGATCCACGTCAGACAAGTAGTCTCATGTGGTCTGGAAATTCCTGCCGCTTCAGCGCCGTCTCGGAAGCTTTCGGTCAAGAAGTTGAGGTTTTGATGCAGATTAATGTGGTAAGCCGCCGCGTCTGCCATGACCTGTTGTTCATTCTTCTCGTAGTCGACTGTTATGCCGCCTTCTTCGTAGTCTCCAGCCAGGTGCATAAGGGCATACAGGCGATCATGACCTTTGGACACTTGCATACCACCAGACCTAGTAAGAAGAGCGATAAGATCATGTTTCAGTCTCTGATCGCCATGAACAGCAAACATCTCGATAGCACTCGGGCCGAAAATATTTCCTTTCAACTCTAGTAGGCCATCGTTACGGGAGTGATTAAGTTGACCAACTGACTGGACGATCCTGTCGACTACAATTTCCTGAAAATTCGCAACAGCAACACCATTGAAGGCAACGTTCATACAGTGGAGCGTAAGTCTTCGTGCGTTGAGAACCTCTTGCTGTCTGCCCGGATACAGGTGACTGCATCAGCCGATATCCCCTTCTATCAGGCAAACGTTGATACACTTACATCCATATACGGCTCCAATAGTCATTCTGGAACATTGGGATCAAAGGTCCCCAAAACCCAAAATGTTTGCCCAAGCCATCGTTTTCCGCCTTGGCACTGGGCCTGAAGCATTTCAGAGCTGCTACAGCCGCACTCTTCTCGTCAAGAGATGGTTCATTGATCCAGATGCGCACACATGTGGCGTTGCGGTAGATAGCTCGCATTATAGCGACTTGCTCAGCTCGTTCATCAAGGTTATTCTGATCGATACATATGGCGTCGATCCATATACTTAGTGGCCTAGATCCTCGGGAGTCACGCATATATTCTAACGCCCGGGCCAGATTCCATGCTATCGGTATGAAAGCCTTGTGGCAACGTTCATACGAGGAACGAGATACTAAGTTTAGGCCGCACCATCGCCTTCTTTCCGATTTGCGGGGCGCGCAGGAGGCGGTGCTAACCACGACTATTCGATCGGCCTGCGTAGCATCACCCCACATGTACGAAAGCGCGTCGAATTTGGAGCCACTGTCAATGTTGACCTCGGTGAAGCGCCCCTGAAAGGGATCCGATCTTTGGCCAGGCAGGAGTTTGAGTATGCGGATGCAGCGAGGTTGGAGAGCTTGATATTGGAAATGGGGCAGTGGGTCTGCCCTTGCGTCTCCTGAGCGAAGCTGGCAGTAGCGCCGGCCTTCCTCTTCAGAGTTATCGTCGATCATCTCGCAGGGTCAGTATGATGCAACGCGAGAACATTGCCCGTGGCTCAGAGCGTGAGACAAGTAGGATGAGTATTGAAGATGCAGGAATGTAGAGTGTTGGCCCATCAGCACGTCCGCTAGAGTGCGGGGTCAAGCGAAGTCACGCAAGATAAGGCTGAGAGACAAGACCTCGGGAGGTAGGATATCTCGCGCACGGCAAACCCTGTACCCACTACTCACAACTTGACGATTAGATTGACTACTCGTAAAGCTTAAGCTTCCCACTTAGCCAAAGTGCGCGTTTTGATACAGCTTCTGCCAAATCATCTTTGCGACACGTGGTGAATAATCTGGAAGGGCACGAATGACGACTTTCACGGAGACCAGTCTCGCATCGTTGTGCCCGAATACATTGATACAGATACGACTCGTGAGTATATAAAGTCGTACTAACACTGCGCTCCTAGAATCGTCGATGTCGTCCTCGTATCCAAAGAGTGGCAGCTGAGCACTCAGCCTCCGCATCATCTTCCCCACATCTCACCAGAGTCTTACTTCACTCGAGAAGCGGCTTCTACGGCTATGCTGTGCGCCAACCATCACACCAATCACGCACAACTCAAAAGTAAGAGCTTGAAGACCAAAATAGAGACGGCTCTTGGGCGTTTCGACACATCATCAAGAGGCCAACAGCTGAGCGGTGGTGGCTGATGCATGGTCAGCTCCGTTGCACACAAACTGCATCAAACCAGAAGCTGCACGTGTATTACACATCTTAGACCGTGGTATCGGCATGCTGCTATGTGTGGTAGCATCGGCTGCTTGTGTAGACGGTCGCCTAACCGCACCTTTCGCGGTTTTCGTCTCGGCGGACAAGATGCCTCCACAAGACTGGGATCTTACGAGAGAACTATCGGATCGAGTCCTTGAATTACTTGGAAACTCCACATGAGCTGAGTTGGAACTATGTAGCGAGTGTAAGGTCTCTTAAAAGCCACTCTTAGGATGCTGTGTGGAGGCATTGCTGGAGGCGGATGATCGTAAGCCTCGCAAGCAACAATTCCAAGGCTAGAGATGTGCGAAGTATAAGAACATGACTAGTCTCCGCTAGAAACAAGAGCATCTCATCACACAACAAGAAACCGGCACCAACTGTATCCAACCTTCTACTCTCGGTCTTGCCTTCACCGTCTTTGCAAGCACTCACTCAAACAACTTCCACCAGAACACCAAACAACTCTCAAGATGAAGGCCTCAATGATTCTCGCATCCGCTGCTACTCTCTTCGCCTCCGCTCTCGCAGCTCCATCCATCGCCCGTAACGCACCTCTCACCTTCACCGTTCAGCTCGCCAACGAACAGAGCGGCAAGAACGCCAACCGCGATGTCATCGTTGGCAAAGACGCTGTAACCCTCGGTCAGCTCTTCGGTGATGCCTTCGGGCCTCGGGTCTTCGCCAATTCGCTCCAGGCTGTCACTCCTGGTGCCGGCGGAAACAACATCAAGTGCGAGGTCAAGAACCCTAACTATCCTGGACAGACCTTTGCGCTGAACTCATGGAACACTTTCATCGACCTTGATGAGAACTCCAACGCTGCTATCCTCGTCGACGTTACATCATTCACCATCGAGTGCAAGGTATAGATGTCCTCTCGTAAACCGTTTGACAGTAGGCAGAGCGCGGTTTCATGGGGCACATGAGGCGAGGTGGTCGGCGAGGACAATCCTTTCTTTGGTTGATGTATTCGGAAAGCGATTTGGGTTTTTAATACTTGTGTTCAACAGTTGTATACATTCCTTTGTCCGCGTTTTGGGAAGTAGAGAAGCTTTAATAGCTAATATCACTCATTTGTGGATACGCAACGTGGCTTACATTGATGCACCTTCAAGAAGGCGTTGTTCGATACACGTGTATGGTCGAATATGCTGAAGACAGAAAAGTAGGTGACACATGGCACAAAACTTCAGCAAACATACGAAGTATCGTTCAGATCGTCGTACTTCACAATCACAACGCTATGCCAAAAATACCAAAGTCCAGCAACGCCTTTCATGCTCTAAGTGCATTTTGCCTCACCTACTTGAGCCACACGATCTCCCTCTGCCCCGTCCTCCTCTAGCAGCTTTGTAAGGCCTCAGCACTGGTGATCCATCATCACTCCTTCTCTTCTCACCGATACGTGGCGAGTACCTGGCCTCGCTCTTCATGTTTTCGCAAGCTTCTTGCTGCTCACGAGTTCCCGTAGAATGGATGTGAACCGCACACCACTGCTGCCTTACTGCAGTATCGCCTCCAGTAGTAAATGGATCGCGAATCCAGCTGATCCCGAAGAGAAGTTTGGCGACTGCGTGGACCTTTGACTTGACGCTTGGGTGCGTATTCAAAAAGACGTCCCAGCTGCCATAGTATTGCGTTTCCCAGAGGAAACTGTATAGTATCACTATCCAGCGACAAAGTGGGGCATGCGCTAGGAGGCACTCAAAAGCGCGGACGACGTTTTCTATGGTAGGCAGCTCTCCAGTCTCATGGTAATCAGTGTTCTGGAAGCGAAGCAAAACGATATAAGCCGAGTGGTACTCTTTACGCAGATACGTGACTATGTAAAGAGTGGTCAGGTTCTGGTAATATTGGTCGAGAGTCAAGGGGTGTTTGCCAAACGGCTCGACCTTGTCGTGTTTTTTCAAGAGGCCGTACATCGAATAGATGACGGATTTGACTTTGGGGTTACGACAGCCTTGAAATAGATTGATCTGCTCGGCAAATTCCATCATAGGCAGACGATGATCCCCGCTTATTGGAGTGTGACCATCATCCTCTTCGTTGTTGAGCCGGCTTCCATTGGCCGCCGTCATTCTCGATGCTAGCGATCCTGGTGTGGCGGCCATCAAGGGTGGTGTATCTACCGTTTCACCTCGGTGATGGATGTTCCGTGTATCAATCCTGAGTGCTGCTGGTCCTGTCGGTGTGCTCGGAAGAAGTTTTACTGTGGCGGGAAGGTCGCATTGTCGATGTCTGAGCCGGCAGTTTTGGCAAGTGTGACCAAAATCTATATGGACTGGGTTCTCAAGCTGCGGCAAGTAGACTCTACACTGATGGCCATCCTCTGCACACTGACTGCATCCTCCATCGTCAGCCAGCCTGCCATGATAATGCTGAATTGCTCGCGCATGAGCGATTTCAAATTTTCGCGCACAAGTCAGATGATCCCAATCGCCTACTGGATAGTGATAACCGAATTCATCATCAGAGGGCGAATTCAAGACGTATGCGGCAAAGTCTTCGATGTGCTTGACCGGGTCTGGTCTAGATGGCGTTGCGCCGTCGCTATCCGTCATTCACCTTGCGCGCTTTCTGGATATATCTGGGCCGGGTTTCGATTCGATCAGTGCCCACGGGTATGTGTTTCGGAGACTGCTTTCCAGCTCAGGATTCTCGCTAACTTCAGTCTCTTCAACCTCGATGATCATTTGCTTGACTCCTTTGGGCTTCTCCGTCGCATGAGCCCCGCGAACTCCTTCTTCGGCTTTCGTTTTGGGTATTACTATGGTGACGCCGGGATAGTCGTCTTGTAACCGTTGGCGCAACTCTGTTGTCAGACCCTCGTCGCTTATAGTGAAACTGACGTCTTTGACACACGGCGGGATGCTAGATTTCCTGAATGCCTCCCACGACGGAGTCTGGCGTTCATTATCCTGCTCAGAGAGTCAGCAGCAGTGTCCTGCGTCTGTGAGCCCAGAACAGAGTCGCGGTCATCGATGTGAACACCTTCGTCAACTTCGGCCAAATCTTTCTTGCGCTGATCAGGCTCCTTCGCCAACTCCTTCAAAAACGCGGCCGAAGCGCCAACGAAGCCCAACACCATATTCTCCGGGCTGACGTCGCAGCTTCCCAGCGAATCTCCATTTTCGTCTCTAACATGAAGTTCCAGCTTTTGACGTCTGAATATGTTAGTTCTGCGGTAGAAAATGTGTCAGGTATACCCACAATCTTGGCTGCTCGCTGGGCGAGATGCTTTGCTCGACAGCTCGAATGGCTCGTATGAACTCGCACTCTTTCACCGTCAAAGCGAACTGATAGGTTGGCTCATTCACAGCCATGCTGAACGCCAGCGCACCCCACGGTGGGGTTGACGTTGATCCCTGGATGTTGCTTGTCTTAGACTTTGTTGCGCCTAGAAGTCGCTTGTTTTGGACACACTTGAGTCCTTGATGGACCGCGCAAAATCGTTCTCGCACAGCGAAGTCTCAGTGTAATATAATGTCTTGTATAGGCCATCAAACCATCGGATGTCCCTCGTGCGGTGGACGCAAGCACGTGTCGGCAAGTCGCGTCTGTAGGTGCCCGTTGTTGCTTCTGCTAGCTTCCCGCGCCAATCTGGAGGTTTCCAAGACGGTCAATCATCGAAGTGGAAGTAATACTACATCAGACAAGCACAAGCCGATAGAGATCTAGCAACAGCATCTGCAGATGCAATGAAGGGGTAAAGCGTTGGGTGAGCTGATGGCCAAAGGGTTGGAACGCGTCTTCGAGGAGTTCGCGAGAACCTTGGAACCTTCCAAGGTTTAGCGCGTTCTGATCTTGGTTAATCCCATTATGCGCCGACCCCACCACCGTCCCACAGTGGCCCCCTCACGTCGCCAACAGACCTAACACCAACATCTCATTCGATCGTGCATGCTGGGATCGTATGAGCGCTCAAGGATGCACTAAAGTCGTCCCTAATGTTAGGCTCCCATGCGGAATGCGCTGCGATTCATGAACACCCACTTCGATATTCGCGCAGATGATATAGAGTAACATCATTGCATGGCTTCCAGCCCCTTCTCATTCCAAGGTAAGTGCGTCTTGATGAAGCATTTTGCAATGAATATTGACAAAGAAGTGATGATATATACATATGTATCCAAAAGCTTATTCACAAGAAATTATGATCCGCACGGCGCTCTTCAATCTGTTCACCAATTCATCTCCAATCTCTGGAAACAAGCTGGTATCCACTACTTAAGGGTGCGAATCAGCTTAACCAGAGCAGGTACCGGCCTTTTGGGGCTCACAGCCACCAGCGCAACCAGTGTACATCTGGCACTTGGTCTTCGCATCAGAGCAGACATTCTTGAGCGTAGCAGTGTCCCCGTAGTTGCTGTTGATACCAGCCAACTCACCACCGTTGACCGCGGTCACGCCCTCGATGTAGACGTTGCGCTTACATTGCTTAGAGCACTACAATCGTGTAAGCGACTATCCAGGAAGCTGGCCTTGATGGTTGACATCACTTACGTTTCCGCATGAGCGGTAGAGCTTGCCGTAATCGTTGACGTAGAAGTTGATGATGTTTACAGTTCCACATCCATTGTGCTGAACGACTTTGTCTGATGCATGGTAGGCGCCACCACCGATGATCCAGGACTGCTTTCCAGCCTTGTCTTCTTTGATGGAGATGGCATCCTCGCAAACATCTTCGAACCAAACGAACTCGAGAGTGCAGTGGCCTTGGCAATGCACACCTTCCGCCTGAACATATCTTAGTAGGTATCTACTTCGGGACTTAACCAGACACTTACCTGGTTCTTGCCGATGATCACGTTGCGGAGTGTAGCGCCTTCTTTGAGCAGGAAGACAGCGTCGGCAGCACCACCCTCAGACTGACCAGAGCAAGCGCCGCTACCACGATCGAATCGGTACCACTGGCCATCATACGTCTGACCAGCAGCGACCTCGATGACCTTGCTATTAGTCTTGGTACCAACGGCTTTAGGAACACCTCCAGTGTATCCATTGCATGCAAGGGCAACAGGTAGGAGGGCCGTGGCGGCAGCGAAAAGGCCTGCAAATCTCATGGTAAAAGATGGTACGTAGATCGAGGGAACAGTGATGGAAAGTGGAAGCTGGGACAGACGAAATAGTGACAAGAATACTACTGAAGCCTTAGATGTTGGGATGCTTCTGGCTGAAGGAAAGAACCTTAACCGGTGGGATATTCAGTCTTACTTATACGGAGTTGAAGCCCTTCTCTCGTCTCTATCCATAGAACGCTCAGGCACCTTTGCCATGCCTTCTGCACTGCTAACCTTGCACCCTCAACTCAAGTCATCTTACCACATTAAGACTTTCCTCCTTAATCTTTCCACGCTCATTCGCGGACTTCAACATTGATCCTGCCGAACGTCTTTCCGCCCGAGTCGCGCCATTGCCAAGACGTGTTATGAAAGCTTGGTGTAGAAGAATGCGCTTTGAAAGCGCATATCGGATAGTACCACGTGGTTTTAGTATGGTGATTGCACAAGTGAAACGCCCAGCAAACTCCGCCGTGCGTTGGCGCTTGCATTATTAGGGCGACAGTGACATGCCATAGCGCAATGCTTAGCGCTGCAACCCTCCTCTCATTTCCTCTTCCATCATTACTTCCGCCAACTAGCATTTCGCCGGTTCTGTTCTGTATGTCCGCTCTTGGACTATCAAGGTAGTATCGATAGCGGAAATACCACACAACCTGGGGTTTCTAGAGGGGTACCTTCCCGACAGTATGATGGAGAGTATCGGAAAGTTGTGCGCTCTGAAGCTGTCCCGGTCACCAATGTCAGCAAACCATCACCAGTAGCATGACAGCCTTCCAACTCTGCTACTTCATCCATAGGAAATCGATCACATTCAAAGGCTGGCCTTGACCCTTTTTCCCTGAAGACACCGCACGGATACAGCCTAGAGAAATGGACTAGCGATGGGAATACCGCTTGTGGCGGGTCCTGGCAAACTAGAAAACACCGTCAGGAACGGTGTCTTGGTATGCATAAGACAATTGAAAGTGTCGTTCATGGAGACACTGCGAATGAACCCGGCTCTCAACAAATCAAAAAAAACACGCTGTTCATTGTCGCAGAAGTGACGGCGGCGCATAGAATCGGCACGATGAACAAGACTTTCTCCGAAGTCCACCTTGCAGGACTGCGACTGTATAGGAAAAGACCACGACACATTAATAGAATGCGGAGATTATCTCGCAAAGGCAGGATTCTGATGGGTACTGAAGGATGATGTCCTCCACCTTGTGGATACTGATCAGTAAACAGATGTAAGATCCAAGACCAGGAGTTTCATGCGTTAATCAGAAGAACTCAAGGGCGCCGGAAAGATCGATCGATTGCAGAGTGAAAGAATTGTTTCCCGTCAACTAGTGCAATGCACCACCTGATACAAGCCAAGCTCTTTCCTTAAAAGGCGCGGGATAGCTACGTTGACTGGTGGAGTGTCCAAGAAACATTAATATGGGGTACATACTGGAGTACATGGTGGCGTGCATGCAGAGCGCATCGGCAGTGTGACGGCTTTGAAAACCCCGGATTTTGGAGAAAGCACTAGATCCCTTAGGAGAGGGGATAGTTGGGTGTATAATTGCCCAGGTGTGAGACAATGTGACAGACTCCCAAGGTCGCGAGCAATTCCACCAATCAGCGTCATGCGCCTCCACCCTACACAACTCTGCAGTTCACAACCGTTTCTCCGCTGGTAGGCACCTCCAACTTGATGCTGATTCCTCACTTTCCATTGTCATTCAAAGCGCAATTACCCAATTCATGGGTGCCCAAGTTGTTGTAAACAGTGGCTCAGCCCGGGCGGGTGAAGCAGGTTCGTGCTTCAGCGGGGTCAACGCACCCAAGAACTTTCCACGACTCTTCTTCAGCCTTCCCTCTAAGACATTCAAAGTTGAACATGTTGTATTTCCTTCGTCAAAATCACGAGAAAAACGGTCATCGAGAAAAGGCCACAACTAGAAAGATTACCGAGTGGAGGGAGAGGCGCCAACCTCATCTCTATAGTCACACGCCGCGCGACTGTTCATTTTCTAAAGGTACTCCAATGTTTCATGTCAAAGGATTCCACCAGCTACCCAAACGCGGCGTTGGCATTCGGAAAGGAGGAGATTAAAGGCATCGTTATCCGGTTACCCGTTGTGCCCAGAAATGCACATTGCAGCCTATTCAAGACCAGATTCTAATCCCCAAGCTCTGAGCAGGGGTCGGAGTGCAGCCATACTTGGTTGGACCGCAGCATGCGTGGATTTGGTATAAAACTTTTGGTTCAGGGACGCATTGAGCTAGGGAGCCGTAAGCATCCACCGTTACCCTTCCACTACTGGTGACCAGCATCATTTTCGTGATGTTTGCAGCTAAGTTGTCGCTGTATGCAGCCAGCGGGTTAGACACTATCACCAGAGGTTTGAGCAGCGTTAAAAAAAAAAGCCTTTGATCTTGTGTCGTCTTGGGTAGCCTAGACTTTACATCATACCTTTGAGTTCTATTGAGATAAGGACGGATCGAGGGACAGCAATCCCATGGTTCGTGAATATCACGTCTTCTACGCACCGCATAGCCACAATAACCAATTTCGGAAGTTTTACAGAAACAGAATGCACTTGAACTTCCATCCACGGTACTCATGATGCAGAGTCACATAGTCATGCAGGGCCACCCAGTCAAGCGATCGTCTTCTATACACACGTCGATCGTAAGACAACACTCCTCTTCTCACACCTATTGAGACATTGGCCAGGGTTGAACACCAAAAATATGCCATCCAACTCCACATCATCCTTTTCAAAGTTTGTCCCTGTCTTCTTTGAGAGTCGAGTAGGTCACTGACAGTACACAGTAACCCGAAGCATTCAGTATCCAGCCTACGAGAGCTGAGGACGTCGCATATAGCAACCCTTCCAACTGCGTCCCAGGATGAAACATGCTGCATATGCTTGAATCTATACGGTCCTTCCCACGAAGCCGTCACTGTGCTCATAACAGGCTGCTACCATCGCTTTGGCCGCAAATGTCTTGGAGACTACCTCGACAGCGAAAGCCCACGTAACAACAGTTGTCCCCAATGTCGACGAGAATGGTACAAACGACCACCTGCCTGGACGGCGCCACGAGAAGTCAATCTCACGGAGAGTTTGCTAGCTTTGACCTTCCCACAAGAGCCGGCGCTAGTCGAATCACGAGCAAGAGCTCATCGAACGCGAAATATCTTGGAGCAGGAACGGGCTTCGAACAACGGTGTCATCACCAGTCATTTAGATGAGATCTTCCGAAGACTGGATCTGATTCAGAACATCAGTAGCGAGCAGCACACTTCCACGGCAGATACGCGCGTGCGGCTTCAAGCAATTGAGCGCCGCGCCCGGAGACTTCACCGAGAGCTTCAGTATGCACATGAAGGCAGTGGAGGTCCGCAGACGTCATTGAATGAACGTGAAGCATTGTTAAGATACCGGGAAAGAGAATTAAGGCAACGTGAGAGAGAGATCCGGCAACAAGACAGGGCTACCAGACAAGCCGACGAGCTTAGAAGAATGGACTTGAGAGGATCATTTGCACCCGGGGTTTGCGATGTCTCGCGCTCTATGATAATCAGCGCAGATACTAGGGTGACATCTTCGCATACTATTCCTACGTCGAATGAAAGACCAGAATCCACCAACGCGTCTTCAGGTAGTAGCGAGGATGCTCATCAGCCACCTGCATCACCACCATCCGAAGACCCGATAAGCGCTCGCCAGTACAACGCCTACTTACGGCACATCAGTCTGTCAAATGACGACTTGCCCATAGTTCGCGAAAATCGAGAATCCTCTACTCCCGGTATGCCTGTCACACGTACAGAAAGAGACGAGCCTGTCGCATCCAGGGACGACGTAAGGGCGCGGTCATACGAATTGATAAATCAGACCCACCGCAGCTATCATGAAACTGATCATACCGAAACCTTTGGACGAATGGCTAGAGCCTTGGAAAACTATTGTGAAAGCTTAAGTCCTGGGTCGGCGCGGCCAGCTACTTCCCCCACATCAACGCCTCCACAGGTATCTCTTGGACAGCCGCAACTTCGCACTAGTCCTAATAGCGTTTCGAATCAACAAGAAGTGCCGGTAGATGCCGGGGCTTTTGTATCTCTCGGTCCACGGAGAAATGCTGGCTACTGGCCGACGAGACTGAACTGAAGGACGGCTTCACAAGCTGCGTAAAAGACTGTATAGCGCGTCTACGCTTAGCTTTACCGGTTATTGTAGCTGTGGCAGTTTTGGAAGTGATTGGACTGCATTCAGTGGCATCGCGCAAGGAATGCGAGAGCGGAGCGTCATCGTTAAAACTGCTCCACTTATTGCTTACGTAGACATTTACTTTGAAGAGGCTCTGTTTTAGGTTCTACGTAGAGGTATACAATAGCTCTTGTACTATTTACCTGTCAAGTTGTAATACAGTGTAAACGATCAATTGATATGAATTCTCACTGACTGTGGTAACCCTAATAACTACACACCTTATGCCGATTTGCGGAACAGTCAAATAGACATTATCGCGTAATTTCATATTGCGTTACTATTATATGTTGCTAACAATGACTATGGAGACAGTTCTTCCAACCCATTGTCAACCAGGGTACAATAGGAAACAAGCTGTTCATCGCCCGTTCAAAGCGTCCACACAACTCACCTTCACTACATGAACGTTCTGCCAGCGATGACGTATCCCGCTCGCTCACTTATTATCTCTCACTCTCAATAGCCACATGACTTGTAACACCCAAAGTCTCTCCTGACCCACGACCCTACTGCCTACTACCTACACACATCGCACAAATCACGTACGCGGAACCCAAGTCCACATCGGAGGGAGAGCTCCCATCGTCAGTACCATCTCAGTCGAACGTCTCCACCCACTAGAGACTCCGCCCTCCCACCTAACCCATTCGCTCTACCCGCCACTCCTCCAGCCCACTCCCCCCAGAACACCACGCAGCAACAAGCCACAATGAGCGCAGCACTCTTCATCCGCGACCACACCACCCATGACACCACCTTCTCTAGTCACGAAGAATGCTCAATCTGCCTCGACAACTACACAACCGAAAAATGCCTCCGCATTACCAACATCCCCCATTGCAACCACTACATAGGTGCCAACTGCCTTGACCGGATGCTTCGCAGGAACCCTCACGAAGAGAAGAAATGTCCTCTGTGTCGCACCATCTGGATCCCCGCACGCGCTCTTCCTTTCCCTCCACGGAACCAGAGTCTAGGTACCTCACGGCGCATGGCAAACATGTTCGTAGGCCTCGATGGTATCGGCGCAGATATCGCCGGTAACCAGTTGGTCGGCCCTGGAGCTTTGTCGCTTTTACCCTTCGATACACCCTCATCACCGACATTTACACCATCATCACCGGCATTCACACCCACATCTCCGACATTCCCGACGTCCCCGACATTAACGCCCTCAACACCACCACCCCAAAGCAGCCCAGCCTTAGATGGGCTCTTCGAGCCCGAGGCAGCGACTGCTCAAGCTCAGAACCAGCAGCTTAACCCCATCGTCATCGACTCCGATCCCGATTCCGACGCAGACTACAAAGTCCAGTTCCAGAACTACGAGAACTACAGACGTGAGATCGCTGATATACGGAGTCGAGCAAGAGACACGCGGGGGTTGAAGAGTAGTAGAAAGAAGAGGCGTGCTGCTGCTGCTGAGAGGGAGAGTGTTAACGCTAGTAATGAGAGAAACGGTGAAGGTGCGGATTCGAGTGGTAACAGTAACAGCGAGAATGCTACTGCGACTGCGACTGGTGGGACTGGTACGACCGGATCAGGCGCATTGAATCGTCTCCTGAACAACTGCGCGAGGAACCCTTTTCGGCCTGCCGAGTACACCGCTACTGCTACCGCAACCGCAGCATCCCCTGCTCCCACGAGCGAAGTGTCGGAACAGCGCAGCGAGCCGCAGGAATGACGTCTAGGAAGCGAGCTACGACGTGCAAGGAAGTTCGAGCAACCCGCCTCGCGAACTGCTAATCACGCGAGCGCCCGTCCAGCCCCAACGCCATACATACAGAACCCGAGTCCAAACACCCCAGACACGCCGGTAGATGTAGACCTTACAGCAGATGAGCTCATCGAACTCCCGGCTATTCAGTCAGTTTCTGCGCGCGAAGCAGTTCGCAGTCGGCAGCTCGATCATCGCGAAGCTTCCCTGTCACGACGCGAAAAAGTCCTGATTACGCGGCAACTCGCGCTGGCGAGACACGAGGAAGCGACTCAGACGCAGGAGAGGAGGGTAAATGAGATATTTCTGATGTTGAGGAGGCAGAGAGAGGAGCTGGAGGAGATGACCGAGAGATATAGGGAGGAGCATGATCAGCTTCTGGACCGAGACTATTGAGGGGAGGAGGATGTCATGACAAACGTCAGACTGTAGATAATCTCACAGTATGGGAAACCAGGCTTGGTCCCAATGGAGCAACGAATGGCAAAGTTGAAATTGAAGGCTTAAATTGCTTGTGGTATACATACACATCACACGCTTCGTCGAGCTATACTTGCACACCGACACGCATGCCGACAGGTATTCCAGTTCCTTTCTCTACGCCATGATCCCTATTGTTACCGTAGACTCGAGAAACAAACGTCGGGACAAAGCTCTTGCGTTCAAAATACACCACCGGAAAGGAAAGGAAGGCTCGAGGCCAAGCATCCCAAACGCCGAGCGCTGCTCTAGACTGGCGCGCTACAGTAATATCAAAAAACGGAGAAAACGACCCGGTGTATAATCGCCGTTGTAACGCCAGTGAAATGTTACCCTCGCACACACCGTATATACACTAACGGCGGACAGGTTACTGAAGGGAACGGATGAAGAGAGTCGTCATCACCGACGAGGAAGAATCGTGTTCGCGTGCATGGAGTGCGTAGCTAGCTCCATGATTCCCTGCCGTTCCAGCCGCCCAGCCCGAGAAGGAAAAGTCGAAATGTAGTTTTGGTAATCCGAGTGTTGCAATCTCCTTGGTGTGAGAAGGATGCAATAATGACGTAACGCCAAGCGCCGTCCATGCGTTGTGAGAGCGACGACAATGCGTCAAGGAGAAGGAGCAAGGAGAAGGATTGGTAGATTACAAGGTCGTACGGGTAGAGCATCGTGATCGTCGCGGCTGCTGATGACCCACGCTTTGCGTCATTGCCATGATGCGGAGTCATGACAATGGCGGTGTACACGTGTAACATGTTCAGGCAGCTTGTTTACTCCCAGTTACCTGACACAAGTGAGCGACTGTCTCAGTACTTGGAAGGATACCGCCCGTTCTCTTGATCGTCGGGGCTGGAATTCCTTTGGGGTTGGTATACGAACCGGTTCATCATCTGGCCTTGCTGCATCGGCATCATGTGGACGCCGTTGGGTTGCATCTGAGCGATGCCATATGGGTTCTGATGGCTGATATCGCTGCCGAGGAAGTTGTTCATGGCGGCTCCATGGAGGCCCTGGGCCTGCGACACTGGGCAGTCCTTGTGGGCTAGAAGAAGAGTCTTGAGGTTGACAATCTCTTCACGAAGCTGAGTGACAGTAGCAGACAGTGCGTCGTTCTCTGTACTGAACAGTTCGACCTTAGCCTGGAGGTTGGCCAGCCATTGCTTCTTGCGCTGTCGGCACTTGAGAGCAGCGACCCTGGTACATGTTAGTGAATTGAATTGGGAATGGAAGGATAGACATACCTGTTACGCTCAAGGAAATTCTTGCGCTTCTCTTCGTCGGTCATCTTGCGGCCCTTGCTGTCGTACTCTTCCTCTTTGATGTTGTTCTCATCATCGGAGTCGCCGTCGTCCATGTCGTCGCCCATAGGCTGGTTGGCGTTGCTCTTCTTTCTTGAGTTCTTGGGGCCGTCCTCAGCTTTGCGCTTATTTCCGGCAGCTTGTTTGCCATTAGCGGCGCCCTTCTTCGCACGTGACCGTGTACCAGTCTTGTTTTGCTCACTCTGGCCGCTCTCTGAGAAGTCACCGGTCTCTGCAGATTGAACGCTGTTGATGGAACCCTTGGTGTCACGGCGGCCATGGTTGGCGTTGACGGGTTGGACGGGCATGTGCCCGGCGTTCATCGATTGCTGTTGGGGAGCCATCGAGTAAGGTGGCTGGTTGTTGCGTGCAGCGCCGTTTTGGCTGGCAAAGGATAGTAGGTCGTTAGCGGCACTGCTGACGTCATGGTTCGGATATGGGTCGTTCTGGGCGCGCTGTTGTGGCTGCTGCGCCTGCTGGTAGTTGTTGTTAGGGCGGTCCATTCCTGCGGTGGCGCCTTCGGGCTGCGACGTGGGCGCGTTGGAGGTGGCTTTGTTATTGTTAGCTTGGTGTTGAGCAGCGGCGCGCAGAGCAGACTGCTGGAAGTCGGCAGTACCAGGTGTCACGCCAGCACTTTGGAGGTTGAAGATGGCTTGGGTGTTCGGGCTAGGAGCTGGGAACATGGAACCACCGCCGCCAGGAGTTAGACCGGTGCGGAGAGAGGATTCGTTCGGGGTTGGGAAGCCTCGGAATGACTCGCTAAAATAATCTGTCTGTCCAGTCGGCCCGCTCAGCATAGCAGGGCTCAAGGGTCCTGCGCGTAAGCCTTGCCACCCCGGTGTGATGCCCGGTAGGGGGTTTGGTGACGTAATGTTCGCAACGGGCGGAAGAATAGGTCGGCCTCCGGGCGTCTGTAGGTTGCCAGACTCGCCGCCAAAGGACTGCTCGAAGACGTTTGGCTCGAGGGAGAAGGGGTTGTGGACGGTGTTGAAGTAGTCGGGGGTCTCGCCAGTGGTCGAGGGCGCAGGCTTTGGTGGAGGCGCCAACGGCTGGGCATTGGTGGTTGCGGGTTTGGCAGCGTCTGCGTTGGTGGCCGCTTCCGTGATCGCAGCTGGCGGTAGGTTAGCATCGTGTGCTGGTCTTGGACGAGATGCAAAGCGACAGTTGAAAGCCGACGATGTCGTGACGGGACTACTTACGCTGTACCTTGGGAGAAGACTCGGCCTTTACTGGCTCAGCTGATCACGGTGGTTAGTAATGCTTGCATGTGCGATGATGTGACGGTGAGGATGACGACGATGCATGCGCGCGCAACGCAGGCAGGGAAAGGGGAGACGTGGTAAGCAGCAGCAGCGGTGAGGGATTCATGGGGCAGTAGCGACTGGGGCATACACACCTTCAGTCTTGGTAACGGTAGGAAGAATAGTTTTGCTGTCCTTGGGAGAGGACATCTTGGAGGACGGGGACGAGGTTCGAGCGGTTTGGGTTGCGGCTGCCATACTTTGGGGTGGTGACGTAGGGGTGGTGTCCTGGTCGATCGCTTGTGGTACCGGGCCTTGTCCTCTCTTCGCTCGCTCGCTCACACCCACGCGATTCGGCTTCTCTCGACGGTGAATGGGCGCACACGGGCGACTCGAGCAGAATAGCAGCTGTGCTGTTCGGCGGAACTGTCAGCGCACAGAATTACATGTGCAGGCACGATGCGACGGGCTGGATGCAGACAGACGACGGGCGCAAAGGACTGTCGCAGACGCTGGGAACGTGGCAAAGTCGGCAGCGCAGATAACAACAGCGGCGGCAGCGGCAGGGCAGGGCGACACGACTACGTACCTCAGCAAAAGGAATCGAGCGCGGCAGATGCGGGGTCGAGCCGTCTCAATCCGATGAATATCGATATTGTTGACCGCCGGCTCTGTGGTCGCAAAGCTGGTGTCTGCTTGTCCAAATCCAATAGTGACGTCAAGCCCCTGTGGTGACGCTCGCAGCCGTCGCAGTCGCTCGACCTACACTCGCGCTGACTCTGCACGACTCTAGGGCAATCCGGGGCTGTGATTGCGCGTGATGGATGTTCCTGATCTCAATGAGGCTCAAACCGGCGTTGACGGGGATTGTGCTCGTGGTGACGATGACAGTGAGGCGTTCGGCGATGAGGTCAGTGGACAGGACGAGCGAGCAATTTCTGGGAGTGACGCAGCTTTGCCAAGCGCATAACGTGATTTCTTGGGTTCGTAATCAAACCCGGCCGCTAGTCTTCGCGCAAAGCCAATCACTGCAGCCGAGGCCCCACCGCCTTCCATGGACCGCCGATCCGCAGCCCCTTTTGGCTCGCCTGCCACGAGACGCTTTCCGGCACTGGTCCCGTCGAAGCACCCCCAGCCTTCCATTCACTGCAAAGGCCTATTCCCGCCCACCGCATTTTCCTCTTCATCCAGACTCTGCGATAAGACACCGTGAGGAGGTTGATAATGCATCGTTTCCAATGACAGCATCGACGGCCCTCATCAACACCACTCCCATCCCTGCCTCCCCACCCACAGGGAAGGAACCTCGAAGCTACTGGAGCCGACACACTGCAACGGCCAGCGGATCTGATTCTGCCAGGTGCCGGTCCCGTTCCAGACCTCGATTCACACATGTTTCGCCGATCTACATCGTCTACTTGCATCGGTTCAAAGTACCAGCCCTCGCGCGACCCTTGACACCGCCGTCCCAATCACATCATGCCAAAGTTTCATCGCCTTCTTTTTCCCGATGCTCATCGAGATCGTGATGTCGTAGTTGTTTAATGCAACAAGCGTGGAATCAAAGAGCCGGATGTTTGGCATTCTGTAATCACAAAGTGGGCGGGTGGCAGGGCGATGCCAGCCTCCACACCCCAAAGGTGTATCATGGACGTTAGGGACGACGGCTATTCCGCTTCCCCGTACCTTCTTGCTTCTTGCTGCTTGGTCGCATGGGTCTGGCTCATGCGAGCGACCAACTATCCGCACGTAGCGCATCGGGCGTGCAGCAGGTGTAGAGCAAAGCTTAATTGTGACGTAGTTGTTGACCTTTGATCTCCACTGGCGTACAACACTGCTGTGGAGTCGTCTAGTCTCGCGAGACTTGCAAATCGGACGATACACTTCCGCTTCTTCTGCCTCAGACAGGTGTGTCTTGACCTAGCTCGCACTTGAAACTCACCCTATTGGTGATGCTTTTGGTCGCTACTACGACGCCAATCGGAACCAACCCCATCTACATCAGGACATGCTTTTAGCTTCCAACACCACACGAAATCTGATAAATTCAAATCCTATCAAACGATTTGAATAAGCTGGCCGTCTCTCGGTTCAGTCAATACAATGCAAAGGAATAAGCAACTGCCATAGAAGGCGAATCAACCTCCACGTACCTGACATGCTAATATATTGGAACGTGAGACACGATACTGAGGAGCGAAAGTAGTCTTTTCTTCTACCGACTAGATAGAAGCAGAGACAAAAAGGTAATTTTGATTACACATGAAGCAGAAGCCAAACGTACCTTGCCTCAGCTCAGTGGCTGGAGAACGGCGTGTGGGATGTATGGCATTCTAAGGTAGGGCGTAGCATACAATAGACAATACTTTTCTCTTTCTATAATCCCTAGGTAAGATGAGGTCGAAAAATCATGTCACCGCAACGAAGACGTCTCCAACTCATTCGATTGAACATTAGCAAGACCAGACTAATCTTGCATCTGTCGGTACACTATTAATATGTCTACGCCAACCCGAACTTCCTATACACTCGGAATAGTGTAGTGTAGTTGACTGCCAGCTATACTTCAACGTACAGACACGACAGTGAGACAGTGACATGATGGTTAGCACTCTTGACCACAGCCCACATGTTTAAAGCCGTGGAGAAAGCGTACCTGCCCGCGTCAGGACATAGTCGCGCTCAGGTACGCGGCGTCCGGCGCGTAGTACAGCATCGGAGAGCTCCGAAGTGGGCTGGAGGGGTAGCTACCACGTACAACAGCAGGAAGTTACCGTAAGTCTCTCTGTGCGCAAAAATTACATCTACACTTAGAAACACTCTTTCTCTTTAACTTTCCCAGGTCTATACCTCGTTAACGAAACACCTTTTCCCCGCAAGCTCCTGCGTGAACCCACCACAACCGCATGTCCACCACGCACCGCATCACCGCCCTCACAAACCACCTCTCCCCACCCACAACACGCGCCCCAAAGATGTCCGCCCCAGAAAAGAAACCCCCAATAACCTGCCACGTCCTCGACACAACCCTCGGCCGCCCGGGACCCAACATCCCCGTAACCCTCACTCTCCACGCCACAACCACCACAAGCACAGAAACCGCAACGAAGTTTACCGGCCTAACCAACGCCGACGGCCGCGTAACCGCCTGGACATCGTCCACACCCTTCTCCTCCGCGAGTCTCGAAGAACTGTTCGCGCAAGAGGGAGACCAAAAGTACAGTTTGACATTTGATACCGAGCGCTACTTTGGGGAGAGGGGGGTTAAGACGTTTTTCCCGGAGGTAGAGGTCAAGTTTTTGGTTAGGCAGGAGGCAAAGGGCGAGCATTATCATGTGCCGGTGTTGTTGGGGCCGTTTGGATATACGACGTATCGGGGGAGTTGAGGGGGTGTAAGGATTGGTGGGAAGGGATGGGAATGGAGTGGATGGAGAGGAGGAATGGTTGGAAGTCGAGGTGTATACAACTTGACTGTTTGTCAAGTTTCGAGTCCAGGCTTCGGTGTCACACATATCGTCTTCGAGGTACAGCGGGAACCTGCATTCAGTGTACTTTCATCTCCCAGCGGTTCGGCAGCACAAAGTGCGACAGTGTACATGAGAAGAGATTCGCGTAGAACACGCGCATGAATATTCTGGGTCGATTCGTCTCACAGTGCGGCTACGACACGGCTGTCTGTGCACTCGATACATGCCAGTGCTATATCGAGAACACGTTGAAACCTGAGGAGTCCAAGCTCCATCGGATCTGTCTGCACTCACGTCATTCACGCAAAAAGAACAAGTTCAATGATGATAATGTGGTATCAATTCTTCATTCGAGCCTATCTCCCTATCCTTCCAGCCCATCCATATCCTCTCGCTGCGCTTGCCCAGCGCTCGAATACATACATACAGGAATATAAAACCGTGCGGTGGTCATCGCACCACGTCCGTCAGAGCTAGACGTTAAGTTGAAAAGATCAGAATCAGATCATGACAGAATAAAAGAGGCTTGGATATCAATGAACGAAAAACACGCAAAGTGTGACTAATGCATCCGAGATGCCAGATCTCAGCCGTCGTAATGCCTAGATCCTAAGAAGAGAAATGGAAAGAAAATGGTGTGGGTGCCGCAGTGGCTGGATATCTTCGCAGATTGAACATAGATGCTACCCAGTTCGCTGGAGCTGGGTAAAGTGAACGCCTTTGAAATCAGTATTGTAGAATTCATCATTTACAACCCGCTCTGATGGTTGTCAGAGAACGGGCTCTGATCCCTTCTGTTGGAGACGGTGCTTCCGCGTTTTGACGCTGATGCCTCCTCTACAATGGGCGTCATCGGTGTGCGAAGGCCAAGCGAGGTATCGTATGAAGTGATGCGTGAAGACATGATGGGTCGCGGTGGTTCGAGTGACGAGCTATCTGCGAAAGGACTTCGGTCCATGGTGGGCGTGCTGTCCCGGGAATCAGGGTATGGTGAGCCGCTGTCGCTGCCCGAGTTGCTACGAAGTAGTGTTTGTCGTGCGCGTACATGGTCATCGTCGGATTCGTCCCCAGAGTCGGATGCTAAGCTTCCTCTTCGTGCACGCGAGTGGGCAGCACCGTCATCTGATGAGGCGGTAGAGTAGCCGGTGAGTGGGCGCGCAGAGGGTACGAGGACTTCGGGTGTGTTGACGAGTGTTCGGTCTGCGCTTGTTGTCGAGTTAGAGGAGCTCTTGGGTGGTGTCATATCGGAGCTCTTCTTCTTGGTGATATTGAGGGCGCGGACAGGGCCAAGTTGTGCGGTGCTTCGGACAGAGTTTGCGGGACTGATACCAGGCATGTGAATGCGGATGGGCTTCACGGTGTGCTTGGGGTCGATTGAAGGTACAGGTGGTGTTTCCATGCTAGGTGTCTCTGCCGGGCTGTTGGTGGCAGTCGACTTAACGCTGACAACAGCTGCCTTTCCGCGTACGATGGTCTGAGCTGGAAGAGGAGATACAATGGCGTTTTGTCGGTACATGGTCGATGCAACGCTGCCTCGTTGGGCGAGACTTGGAGCGATGCTTGTGCGGCCGGCGGTGCTGGAAGACATCATCGAGTCGCGGAAGTCGGGAACGAAGAAGTGCTGGTCGGCGGTCGAGTACGGGGTGCTCATGCCAGACGAAGGCGACATGGCAGGAATTGGAGGAACGGGAGGAACGAGCAGGTCGGGCGATCCAGGGCCTGAGCGGTTCGTGACGCCGGGGATGTAGGCGATCTGGATGATGTTGGAGGCGCGGGTGAGGACGGATGAGGCCATCGAGGCAACAGTGTGTGTAGATGCGCGCGCGCTCCGCCGTGACTGAAAGTCGTTCTCTGCCTTCTCTTGCGCCGTCATGTCGACATCTTGCCATTCGCTCTGCTGGGACATGGGCCGCCTCTTTCCCTTTAGGCAGTACTTCCATACGATGAATGTGAGAATGGCGATGAAGGCGACTCCTCCGATAACTCCTCCGGCAATGGCACCGACGTTTGGCTTGCTAGGCGGGGCAGCGCCTGCTGTGGGGTCGAGCTGGCAGCCGACGGAGGCGCACTGGTCGCATGTTCGTGAGTTCTGGACGCAGACCTCGTTGGCTCTGCATTCGATGCCCTCGCAGGACAGTGCGGCCGTTTCACATGCGACACATCGCTTTTCTATCCGGAAGACATTTTCAGCGTCTGCCATGATGTTAGTGGGCTGTCCTATGCAGTCACGTCGCTGCAGGGTTGCAGATCGTACCTCTGAGCGCACGGATGGACATGGCAACAGTGGATGGGGTGGTTAGGGGATCAGCAACCCCAGGTTAAGAAGCAACGAGGGCCAGCTGTCAGCTATGGGCACACCCGGTGGTGTGCGACGCGGTTCGTGAGGGTGTCGTACGGCGGGAATAGCACAGTGCGACGGTTTTGAGCGGTTCGAGGTGCCTGGTGACGAGGACAAAGAAAGCAGGCGAGAATAGGCGGCGCTAGGGAGAATGGGAAGGTGCGAAGGGTGGCGAGGCGAAGTCAAGTACGGCGGCGCGAAGGGTGGTAACGAGTGACTGGGAACAAAGGCGACGCAACAAAGAAGCAAAAGCGGTGATGCGGCGCAAAGGTGGTGAGGAACCTGAGGACGAGGGCGCAGTAGCGTGGTCAGATGGGCGTGGCTCTTGGGTGTTGGGGCACCGGCTGGGGTGGGCCCGGGCCTGGCTCGCTGAGCAAGCCGCGCGTGTTTCGTCCCTGCAAGCTGGGGCCTGAGGGTGAAGTGTGCCGACGGGCGACAATGTCGATGGGCACGCGAAAATGTCCGAAACGCTCTTGTTTTTTTGTCGCTGCCTCAGAGCTGCGATCGTCTTGCACTTGACCTGGCCGTTGCGGAGGCGGAGGGGAAGACAATATCGCTGCTCCCTTTGAAGCACCTGACTGGGGACCGCCGCCACGGCTGTTCTGGGCCAAGCGGCGCTCGTGTGCATAACTTTAATCTATTTATTGCAGCCTTAACCGGGCGACCGAACACCTCCAGATGCCTCACCACCAGCGCCTATATCACGGCCTCGCCTGACCTCATCTATTCACGCTGCGTTCCTTGCTTTCTTTCATCTGGTCTCGCACGCCGTTGCACAGATTTGCACTCATCTGCTGCCGGCGCTGACCGGGACTTTGCTGACCAGAGGTACGGGATCCCAGCCGCTAGCAGAGCCTCCCTCGCCGTTATTGGCCCTTCGCTCTTGGGTAAATAGTCAATCTGCGCATCTAGATTCATCTCTCCGCAGCGGCCAATATATCGAGCACCCACCTTATCTCCCACCACGTGCAGCCTCCTTCACCCATCCCATACTACTGGATACTACTCCCAACTGCTTACCCACTCACGGCGACACTTCCAACTCCGCGCAAGCCACCTCAAGCCTCAGGCTACATGTTTCCGTTTGCTCTCCCAGAAACATGTCAGCCAAGCTCCACTCACCTGCAACACTTCTCTGGTCGAGCACCTGTCAGGTCCAACACAGCCGCAGGTACCGCACCAGCACACAACTGCTGCCCGCCTGATGTGCCAGGCACACTGGCTGCCCTACTAACATGCATGCGAAACACGACGAACCATGGCCGACCATAATTACCCTTTTCTGTGGGGTTAACCCGCATCTGCCCTTTCATTTCCCCAACCCAACCACTCACAACAGGGCCTGTGAAACTTTTGTACCACCATCCGCTGTTATCGCGATGGGTGTATTATGGGGTTCCCTTGCGCTACCCATCGCTGATTATCTCCCGCTGCTGATCGAAAAGTCGAGACCGTGGCTTGGTGACACTGCGCCCTCACTGGCAGGTTTGCCGTTGCTGACATCCGAGATTTGCCAGACTCTGATATAGGTGTTGTGTAATAACAGTCTCGCAAGAAGCAATCACTAGAACAATCTCCCAACCCCAAATCAGACCTTGAGTCGTTCAATATCGCCAGTGACCACAGATCCTCGGCTGCATCTTCTTTCCGTAGATGATCTCGCAGTACAGTAGAAGTTACTTTTATCTTACTTCACACCCTCCGTAGACCACATAACCTCGGCTTAACCCTTACCCTCGGGTGATATCCTGCATTGTAGCAGAAGTTACTTTTCAGACTACTCGATGCTTCACAGAGAACTGAGCTCACCGGACTTCCGATCTGACCTACCCGCGATGACGGACGAGGCGGTCCGCCACCGGGTGCACATGAAACGGCTATCTACCCGTAGTCAGAGACTATCACGTCCACTCGCTGTCCGAGGGGAGTGGCCCCTCAGGCGGTCACTATTGCCACTGTTCTTCTGTTGCCCTGTGAGCATTGGGTACGATATCATCTCTGTCTACTGTTTCATTGTCCAACGGAGTGATGCATCTTCGCCGAGGTGTGTGTTTCAGTATCGATGATAGAACCCGGGGGATGGACTATCATAGCCGGGAATAAGCTGCACGTATGATCAAAAGTGTGAGTTGAGCACTCTGACATTGTTTGTACATGAAAAAGTGCGTACGTTGTTCGAGAAATACATGCACCTCGAGATATACTCTGTAGCACCTACGGAAATCAAATATTTTCATAGCCTGCTTTCCTCCTCAGCTACAATTCACACACTCAGTCCAACAAACGGATACGCGAGAGCGCCTAGACTCCACGACGAATCCGCTGCTCTCGTCTCGAAATGATCAACAGCATCAGACAAACGCGCTCGCCACCCATCCTCATTAAATTGCTGCACTTGCAGACCGTTCATCCACACCCTGCGCCTGGAATCAGAAGTCAAATGTCCCAAATGCAGATAATCCACCCGCGGCAGCACATCCTCCTCCTTCGCAACGCGACTAAGAATATGCCACCACGTGTTGTACGGATCCGAGTTCATGATATACCTCAATCTCAATGATCTCAGCGTGTTCTCCGCCGGCTTGAGAAGCGTAAGAAGATCGTCGCCGTTCATGATTCTCATGACGGACAGTTTACATTCTTCCAACTTTTCAAACCGACAATGCCGTGCCATTTCCCCAAATACATCCATTTCCAAGATGCTGTAACAACTCAGTTCTAACACTCGTACGTTGCGTGCTTTGGCGAGGAAGCGTATCACGAATGGCGCGCGTGTAGTGTCTATTTCGAATCCAGAGACTGACGAGCGTAGATCCCGAAGATGCAATTGTAGCGTATCCAACTTTTCGAACGCATGGTCGAAGTAGCGGAGCGAAGGGGCCAGAGTTTCCAATTTCCCGATACTAACTGCGCCGAAGAAGTTATCGCTGTCTACCTGGATACGTCGAACTTGCAATTTCGATGCCGCGATGGCAGACATGGTGGATACAAATGGCCGCGACATTTCTTGTTGACTGCTCTTACAGTACCGAGTACAGAACTTTGCGTATTTCTCGTGCATGCCTTCGTATGCGAAGTTGATGGAATCTAGGTGTTCCAATCTTTCAAAGATGGTTACCAGACTTTTGCGATCGAATCTCGTTTCGCTGAAGAACTTGGCTATTTCCTCTGCCGCTGTGTAATCGGCCATATATTGCTCTTCCAGGTCGCGAGTAGCTGACACGGTGCCATAAGGCGTAGTAATACCCTGTGTTTCTGCAATCTGTATTTGTGCTTGCCAAAGATGGATTGAGTGGCGAGGCGTGGCGTCTACGATGAGGTGCTGGATGGCGTTGCCGAAATGCGGGTGCGATGTTATTTCTAGTAATCTGGAAAAGGCGGCTTCAGTCCATTGTAGTGTGTGTTGGCGGAAGAAACGGTCTTTGAATACATGAGAGGCTTGTTTGCTCAGAGATGGGCTGGTGAGGCGGAGTGAACCACTGTTTGGGAGATCGAGGTAGGTGGTTATGTGCTCGATTAGTTCTGTGGGTAGGCGAGCCAGTGCCATTGCTCTCGGTGTTACTGCCGACGAATATCTACGGAAGGGGTGTTGATAAGATTGATGAGGCAATCACCAAACGTCTGTGGAGACAAAGAGGCGGGGAACCCGCTGCATGTTGACGATGCACTAGCTGTTTCGGGTATCGTATATGCATTATTCGGGAAGGCATGATGTGCTGCATATGACAAAGCTCATTCGGCTTGTACTTTGTTCTGCTGGGTACCACTGGTATTGCCATTGCAGAAGATTGGCTACCATCCGAACTGTTTTGATATGTACATTTGTGGCAGTAAACGCAGCTTTTTCAGGCCTGCAGGTATCCACTGCAGAGACGAGAAGAAGAGTAGTAGTAGTAATGCCTTGTTAACTCCATCCGTTGCTCCTATTTCCAAGTCCTGGTCGCCACTCTAATCGCTATCGCTATCACTATCACTGTTGCTGTCGCTGTCACTGCTTCCCGACCCGCTACCAGAGCTATTGGCACTCTTCGCAGTAGTCGCGTTGTCCGATCCAGAATCCGAGTCACTGCTGTCATCAGAGTCAGAGTCTGAACTGTCCGAGTCGCTGCTGTCCGAACTGCTCTCATCGCTCGACACATCTGTCCTCCGCTTCCGCTTTCGTGCAATGGGCTTCGCTGGCTCCACATGCTGCATCAACGGCTTGATGCTAGATCTTGGAGTCACTGCTGGTAGTACGGGCTCAGCGCGGCCCAAAGCATTCAAGAGCGCTTCAGCTCGTCGCCTTTGCAGTCGTCGAATGAAACCGGCGCTGTACTCGTGTTCTCCAAGGTCTGTGATGTCGCCCTCTGTCTTTCTCCTCTTCCGCTCCTTGAGGATGCGCTCCTGCTCCGCGTCCTCCTGCGCAACCTTCTTGGCTTCCGCGTCATTCATCTGGGCGTCTTGCTCGTCGATGTCTTTCACTGTTGCCCTGCAACGTTCGCGCAGACGTTCAATCACACCAGCCCCTTGGAGACCAGCGATATATTCAACTAGGGCCTCAGAATGCTCGTTAGGGATGCGAAAGATGTTCAAGGCGTTATCAACAACGTCGTTCTGTTTCGCTTTGTTGAACTTCCAGTTGTCGCGATCATAGTGATACTGCCTGAGATAGGCGATGTATACTGAGGGATCCTTCTTCTTTGCCTTTGGCGCAGCTGTAGATGCAGGTGTAGATTTTGCCTCGACAGGCTTCGACGTAGGCTTCGGTGCTGCCTGCGGCGTCGGCTTCGGCTGCGGTTTCGACTTCTCTTCCGGTTCAGCGTCTGGGGTCTTCGAACTGGTGGCTTCTTTGGCTTCTGCTTCTGTCGCTGGTTTTTTGTCTAGTTGTCCATTCCTCCTCGCCGCCTTCTGCTCCTCAGCAATGATTGAATGTAGTACAAAGTTGGAGACTTCTGGTGGCTGGGAGACGGGTCCAGTTCCCTTCTGTTCGGCAACCCAGGCTTTGAAATAATCCTGGCCCGTATTCCCGTCGGACCGTTTGGTATCGGGGGTGAATGCGACTGATTTTCTTCGGTCTGTCAGTGGGGGTGAGCCAGAGGGCTCCTTGCGGCTAGATTTCTTGGGGAGCTTTTGTGGTGTTGTGGCGGCGGCTGGGTTGGCGTGGTCTAACTCAGTGGACGCAAGTAAAGTTGGACGCGCTGTCGCGTACGCCGGCTCGTGAGGTGAGCGAGTGGAGCCTTGCTTGGGACGCGCCTTAGGCTGAGAGTCACCGTCTTTTTCTTCTCTCCGGCGTTTGACTGGTTTCTCTTTCTTCTTTCGATAATTCGGATCTCCTCCTTTGAAGGGCTTGTTTGTTGCTGAAGCCTTTTCCGTGACAGCCTCTGCCTCGACATCAAAAGTCACGACCGGAAATTCGTGGCTAGTAGCTCCGTTGACGTCGTTTTCCGTGGTCTCAACCCGACTCTTCTTGGCATCCTGTTGATGATTCTCAGCTGCCTCATGTTGGTGTTTTCGTTTGCCAAGCTTTGAGGATTTGCCATTTACGGCACGCTTCTCGGATGGAATTGGCTGCGCACGAGAGTCTGTAGATGGTTGCTGGTAGCTCGATGATGTTTCATGTTCAGGTACGGCGTCTCCGGACTGGGTTTCTTCGCTCTTCAGTTTGATCCCCAGCCGCCTCCAAGCCGGGATGTAGCCCGGTTCAAACACGTGAGCCATGATCAGATGCGGAATATGGATATCTGGATCATGAAGTTAAATCGCATCGCGCATGACCGAATCAGCTGGAGCAGGACGTCCTGTCAGGAAGGAAAGGTCGAATGAGAGGTCGCAGGCAGAGAATTTCGGGGCTGATACTAGGAAGGCACAGACCAAGTGACGGCGATCCCAGAGCTCCAGGCCACAAGCAACGCGTGTAGTGACAGCCAACGCCGACAACCTCGCCTTCAACCCCCAGACCGCGCCCATAGAGCTTACGCAAATCTCCGGAACCCGTTGCTGCAGCTGAAGCCGTCAATTACAAATACACAGATCCACCACCCGCCATCATGTCTGGTGCGTCGAAGCTATAACCTGGTGTTTGCCGCATACATGCTAACGGGTACCCTCGTCATACAGGAAGCGCAGGCTACGACAGACACATCACCATCTTCTCGGACCAAGGTCGTCTATACCAAGTCGGTACGCATCCCGAGCTATCATGGCCGCCCAAGCAATGATAGACCCCGCCCGCGACTTCCTGTCGGAACCACCACTAACATGATATCTAGAGTATGCATTCAAGGCGATTACGGCAGCAAACATCACATCATTGGGCGTGCGGGGCAAGGACTGTGCAGTAGTCATCTCGCAGAAGAAGGTGCCTGTACGTATGGCAAGCACGGCGGGCCGCACGAGGTACTGACGCATATACACAGGACAAGCTCATCGACCCCTCCTCCGTATCCCACATCTTCCGCCTGTCGCCCTCAGTTGGTTGTGTCATGACTGGATCCATTGCCGATGCGAGAGCCTCCGTGAGCAGAGCGCGGGGTGAGGCTGCTGAGTTCCGCTACAAGTACGGCTACGAGATGCCCTGCGACGTACTGGCAAAGAGGATAGCCAACATCAGCCAGGTCTACACACAGCGCGTAAGTGGCGATGCCTGAAGAAGGTGCGACCGGATGCTAAGCAACGTGCAGGCTTATATGCGACCGCTCGGTGTGGCCACCACCCTCATCTCCCTCGACTCTGAATTTGGCCCCCAACTCTACAAGTGCGACCCAGCTGGCTACTACGTAGGCTACAAGGCAACAGCCTCCGGGCCCAAGACGCAAGAGGCGCTCAACTTCCTCGAGAAGAAGCTGAAGAACAAGGAGCATGCTGAGGGCAACTGGGAGGAGGTTGTCGAGCTGGCCATCACCGCCTTGAGCACCGTCCTGTCGGTCGACTTCAAGAAGAACGAATTGGAGATTGGCATCGTAGGAGGCCCGAAGACCAACGGCCAGGAGGGCACAGACTCCGCCTTCAGGGCGCTCACCGAAGAGGAAATCGATGAACGACTACAGTCAATCGCAGACAAGGACTAAGGAAGGAGCAATGGCCGTGGAGCTGGAACGGGCATGTGGGTCGCTGAGGTATGACCGAGACGTGAACCATGACGATAACAACAGATAGCATGATACGACCTCTCAGACGTCAAAAGTGCTCCAGCAGCACCATGAATGAAGACGTTAGACTGTACTCTCCTGCATAAGCGCAACTGTGACGAAGCAGCCGGTCCTGGGACAAGAAACATGTGGTGAGTTCAGCCATGACTCCACTTGGTGTCGCCCATGACACCAGATTCCCATACTGCCTCAGCTGCAACGGTCTGCAATCACTCGCGAACTGCTCCATCGACGTCATGCTACTGGCTCCTAGTCGTCGGAGTGCCCAGCACAGCCGTCGCGTGGCTGACCGTGGCTGACCGTGGCTTTCGCGAGCGTCGTTCGACTTTGCGCGCAGGTTCAACCCTACGCGGGCACGCACTTCCAGGCTCATATTCAGCGGACAACCACGCGAAGACCGCACCACTAATTATAAGCATCGTCCAATCAGAGTGGATGCTGCGGCTGAGATACACAGCTTGGCCTTGATGCCTTACCCGATGCAGCCTACCAGGGCTGGCTCGCTAAACTACTTCGCTCGATGTGGCGCTTTTAGGGCTGCTGAACAGGTCCAGCACAACGCTGCTCATTCCAGCTGGAGAGCAAACGTAGCGGAGCATCGAAAAATAGGCATGGTTAGATGCAGACGCACGGTTCCTGCATGTTTGGCTATCCCGTTGTAGTGGAGACTGGTACTGATGGTGATGCTACTATGCCGATTCTCACACCTCCTCACAAGCCTAGAGCTGCCGAATGCAAGGTCCTGAGTGGTCTACCAGGCCAGGGCCCTAGTACAGCTGGGAGCTACTCACGGTTCCAAAGTGGGACGTCCTTATGGTAGCGGCGGGAGCAGCCCTGCACGCATGGCTATTCCTACCTTACGCTATCAAGAGCCTTGCTCGTGGACACTACCACCACCATCATCATCATCGTGAATACATGTCTCCTACGTGCTATTTAATACTCGCCACGCCGCCTCAATTCACTGCCCATCCACACCAGCAAGCCTAGTTCTCTTCTACCATCTACGACTTACTTCTTATTAGCCACTTCATCAATCTGTCGCCAGTCGATCTTCATTTCAAAAAAAAACCGAAGCTACCATGTCTGACGGTCGTAAGGCTCTCTCTACTCCAGCAAAAGAAGTTCATCTTCCAAACATCCCTAGTTCATTCGACTATCCAAACCACAAAGGCTGACATACATATAGTCAACGATGCCCGTGCCATGCGCATTGCAGAGATCATGACCGACTTCCGCAACCTACAACACTACCTCGTCCAGTTACGCGCCAATCCTACAGCAGAAGAGTACTACCTTGAGGGTTACTCTCTGCTACGACAATGCACCAGCGAGGCACAGGCAATCCTACAGACACCCTTCTCTGGCAGTGCCAGCACGGGTTCAGGGGATCCGGAAGCAGAGAAGCAGCAACTGAGAAAGTAGGTCACTTCCTCCTGCCTATTTTCATCATGAGGGACTGCAGAAGCTAGCACGAGAGAGAAGTCTGACGAGTTGTAGCATCATCACAGACGCCGCTGTGCGACGCTTCCAATGCCAACGCGCTTACCTACGAGCCCACGCTGGTCTGCGGTGGATGAACGCCCGCAACAGCGTCTTGCGTGGCCAGAGGCCCAACGCAAGCCATCTGGGTGCACTACAGCAGGCTGATGCCACAATGAGGAATGTACGTTGAGTGTGCCATTCCCCTATTCCACTTTGAGATTGGAGGAGAGGAATTCAGAAGCGACGAGAAGCACCAGGCTGGAAAGATTGCATGCTAGCTCACTAAGATCGAAACTGACTATTGGACTACAGGAACTCCTCGCAATCAGCGATGCCTATGTCGAAAACACGCTGCGCGCCGCAGACGCCTCGCAGGGCAAGTGGCTGAATGAAGATCCTTCGCTGGCACAGATCCAACAGATACTCATGACTCGACGATAAGCATTCACGACAACAGCAACAACACCGCCCGGAGCTCTCCATCGGACTGAGACTATCATGAACATCGTACGAGTACACCCATTTCCACATTATACTGCAGCGGATTCGGCCCTCCTCTCTTCATCGATTCCCCGCACACGTCTCCTCCGGCGAGTCTCTAGTGGCAGGACATGCCTACACATCGCGATTCAATGCTCCGGCCTTTCGAATACTAATATTCTAGTGCTGGTCACACATTTTGGGAAGCACATACACTTTGTTTCTTTGGGGTAGCCCTGGATGATAGCCTACTTTAGCGTTGGCGTTGGCGTCTTGAATCATTTTGGTGCATGGGACATGTTCCGCTCTTTTGGAAGGCACAAGCGACCGGTCGGCAGATTTGCATGCGAATGATGGCATACAGTACAGCAAAGCATGGCAAAAGCATAGGAATACTCGGGTAAATTTGACCGAAAGACAGTTTTCAAAGCGTTTCCTTCTTTCTTGTAATGGCTTTTTATCAATTGCGGCTTTTAGGCTGAAATGTCTTGTCCTAGTGTCTTCTTGAGTTACTTCATCTATATCGTTTTCTTTACTTCTTTTCATGTCAATACTCTAATCACTATTGGTATTTCAAGCACGTCAACACCATCTCATGAGCACAAAATCGCACACAAGCCTGTTACTAACCAACCCCTCATCAAGAAACGAATCTGGAACCTGGAGCGATATGGGTACCTCGAACTAACTGCTTTTAGCGTTGTGCACTAGCTTTCAGCTTGACAGGCACATGGCCAGATTGAACTCGCACCGTCGAATCCCACACTGCGGAGCCGACCGATTATGCACGTGGATGCAATGCAACAGGGCTTTTACCAAACGGTTGTTCGTAAGGCAGATACCTTAGCGTGGCCTTCAATCCTACGGACGTCATACACTAAATAGGGCTGAGTGAGGAGTAATGGAGGCTCTAGCAGTAGCATGGACATGTGCCAATGTGCTTCCTCACGAATCACAATGCAACGCAACCTTTCCAGGACACAACCCCATGGCGCAAAATTAGCAACTGGAAACTTTCCATCGATCGCGCAACACGGCCATCATCACACAATATCATGCGCAATCATGCATCGCCCAGCATCCTATCCACCATTCCCAGTTCCATGCATTCGGCATCGCCTTAACAGACCAGGATTACACGCCAGGGTTGCTCGCTTACGCCATCTTCCCGCGCACTTGGCCTGATTGCGGCCTAAGGGATCGTCGGAGTTCCCGAAGTTGGCGGGCTTAGCGTGCGAAGCCACGCTTCGGTACCAGTACCGCACGAATGTTGTGTGCGATGAGTGTCGTAGGATCGATGCACGATGGCTAGTTGCAGATGACTACAGGGCGGGGTGCAGTACAGAAGGTGTTGACGGGAGGTAGGGCGAGATGTTGGCGCGGTTGTAGAAGATGGCGTGGACTGCTGAGTGTGACGGGTCGCGATTGGGTAGGCATGGGGGTTTGCATTTGGTGATGACGCGTCATTTGTATCTTACTGCTTCGTCGTATCAGATGCTCTCAGCAGCCAGAGTGGTCATTGTGGGCTTCTGCCTGGATTTTTCATGAGTTGTGTAGGCGACAAAAGTATAGCCTAAGGTATACACAAAGAAGAGAATGCGCCGTTGATTCAGCATAGGGCCCTGGTCTTGGTTCACGCTGGTTGTTGGAGTCGTGCTTCGTTATGTGAAATAATCGTGACAGCTTCGAGGTAGCCCAAGGTCAACACGAAAGTCTTTGAGACAATAACAGAATAGCCACGAAAGGTGTAGACGCTCCTCTGGCATTGCGCAGTGCGCCTTTGACCAGGTTTTCCGTTGTTTTATCCACAGATGTACCGAGAGCGTCGCGTAATTGAAGCTGAAGATGTGTAATATAGTTGATTCCTCTTGCTAAGACTGTTGATCCTCTCCGACAACATGCTAGTTCTATGTGCCTTCTTACTTGTCTTCACAAACGCCTAGTTTTCATCTTGACTATCAATATGCTAGCTTTTTAAGAGCATTGTAGATGCAATCGCTATTCCGCATTTCTTACTTGTCATATAAATTCGAGCGACGGCCGTAATACAACCTATCCACAAAAAATGAATACGCAAAACAAGCGACAACGCTTATTGACTGAGCGTTCCGTCTCCTACACCTAGTTATGAATCACCATGCTGCTCTGCTAAAGTTTAACGACTTCATTAGCAAAATGCTAGATATCTCTGCAAAGTCACTCCATCACCTTCAGGAGATGGCCGGTCCTAGCTCAACGCCCAAGGGACCATCAAGGAACCACCCGACCGCCAGTTTCCCTCCTCGGTCAAAACCACCGCCAGAGCCACAAAGAAACCATGCCCCAACACAAAGCGCGCTAAGGTCCGCCGCGCCACCCAAGGAAACACCCAGAGACATCAAACAGGGTGGCGCAGCTCAAACAGACCAGTCGATCGCGACACTCCCCTCTGAGTTGATGGTGTTTGCAAAATATCTCAACGAGCACACCTGGCAGCTCACGGAAACACAGCTTGAGGAGGCCATGCGCCAGCTACGAGTCCAGACGCCCAATCACATCGTGTGAATAGCTAACGGCTCACTGCCCGGTTCAAGCTACAGAGAAATCATCGACACAGAACAAGATCCGATGATGAGAGCTCAGAACGATGCTAAATTTGATGTATAGCAGTAGGAGGAGAACCGCGACGACTATAGATAAGGTGACGAGGCTGCATGAGGAGTTCTACCGGTGGATGGTATCGACATTAGAGCCAAAAAGACTCCGTGACGGCTTGAAAGAGGATGCGCGAGGAAGACAAGTCTTCCTAGACTAACGGAAAACGAAGACCGGGCCACCCGAGAGGGCTACATATTTCTCAGACCTAGTTGTACGGCCTCAAAAGCGCTATACGTATCCTTCCCGCACCTCTAACTGTCAAAGAATACTCTATGGATTACGGCATGTACACTCCAGGAGCCTCCATCGAGATCACGTCAGAACCTCTTCTGTGTCCTGGCCCAATCGCGACCCCCAAATCCCTTACACTCGGTTGATCAAGGTGACTCCGCGCACGCTACGATACCAAGAGCTGCCAGCATCGATGAGGCAGACCTTGGGCAAGATCAATGAAGGGCCGCTGATCAACCCTTCCAAGTTCGGTTGCGATGGCAAGGCCGTCAACACCATCCACTGCTTCAAAGCAATTCTCAAAGAGAAATGAAGACTGTACCAACCCCAAATGTGAGGGGTCACATGTATTCCCCACTAGAGAAGTTTTGAAGGTGATTCTCAGCCTCGACGCACAAGTGGATTCCCGGAATGGTCGTGTTAAGGACCTCAACCGCAACTTCTTATACAACGTCCTTAGTGTCTACTGCCGCAAGAATTTCCGCCGTAACACCTTGCCGGTAATTACTCGACGCTGGAACAAGAAGCAACTCGACAGCTACCCACAAGATCTACAACACCACTTCCGAGTGAAGTGTGCGGTCCCGGACAACATGTTCCAAGGAACCATCATCAAAGACATGCTCATTGAGTTTGAGTGGCTCAAGCAAAACGAGGATCAGCTGCCACATCGAACCGGGCCTTGGTCTCCTGCGTCACTGGTAGTCAACCAATCGATTACGTCACCAACAGGCCCGACCTTTGGCGCATCAAGTCAGGCGTATCCGTATCGACTACAGGGAATAATGGGCAGCATGCACAAAGCACCCTTATTAATGCTGTGAGTATCCGTGTCTCTGTTTACCCCCTTGAGGCTTCCCAGCTTGTTAGCCAGGGGCAGACAATTAAAGCTTCCATCGACCACCTTCGACACCATGAACAACCCTGAAGGAGCTTCTCTTGTAGCGTACTTAAGGAGCCGTCGTATCTGACCCAGCAGACCGTCGTATCACAAACCAGTAAGCCAGAAGCAGACAAACCAAGCTTCTTCTGTCCACCTTCGGCATCAGAATCGACCCTGAAGAATACGTAGAGCACGGCCAAGGTCTTGAGGAATGAATAATGTAGAATCTAGATCCGTTAACTAGGCTTCGAATGCGATAGCATTCCCGGCCGACTGGTTGGAAATGTAGTGGTAAGGAGTGGCAGACATCGTCGATCTGCTCAAATATTACCATACAGGGAGCCTCACGCAAGCACTGGTGAATGAGTGGAAGGGAGACACAGTCTCGCACGACCTTGCCGGCGTCCGAAGACCACTGTCAATGTGATGCGAATTTACTGCTAAAGCAAATGTCTGGATTCGAGGTCGCCTTTGTTAGTTGCGATAAGCTAAGAGGAGATAATCCCGCCAGTACATATAAAAAGAACACGAATGATACCAAAAATGTGTCTATTGAAGTCATGAACACTCACAGGTACGGACTGTCGGGTTGGACCTCTGCGCCCTTCAGCTAGTTGTGTGATCTACCACCAGCTTTACATTGCTTTAGCACGATCAATGGCACTTTGAATCCTACGATGGACGATGGGTGATCATCGTGCTCGCAGAGCCGTCGAATACGTAGTCGCAGTATGGCCAGCTTCGGTGACATTGCGACCATATAGCTGTAACCTCCAGGAGCAGATTGAGGAGATGTGTCACATAGGTATCGTGGTAATTGTATCTAGGAGAGGGCCAATCGTATTCGCATAGCCCAGGTTTTGGGTCATCGGAAAGGAATTGTTGTTGACTGCTCGAGCGCGACCGCATGCGGCAAACGTGGATGGATCACATTCTCTCGCTTGAGCCGTCCGCGGACACGAGGGACATGTAGTACAGATGAAAGACTATATCGGCAAGTTTTAACGCATCGTGTTTGGCATTCATGGTTCAACTGGATCTTGTCAGTGTAACGATTTCGACAAGCCTTCAATGTACGTCGTCTGTCTTGAGGTCGATGATGCTGTACAATGACCATCAGAATCATTCAGGGGGATCCAGAAGAGGGTGTTCGAGAAATCTGTCAAGACATTTGTGAGGCTCACGACTCCGGCTCCGCAATAAGCAAAGTCAATGGGTCAAGTGGGCCGCTTCGCCAACCCAAAGGATCGACACTTGAATCGCACGAGGCTCTACCACAACTTCCATTGGTCGCCTTGCTTCAAAAATCCTCAATTACTCATGTTGCTCAAGTGCGCCGTGTGGAGTGGTGATACCGATCGCTGCATAGTCGGCAGAACACATTGAGATGGTCGTTTCGACCCTAGGCGTAATCGGATCGGCAAACAGGGTTACGACTTCGGAAATTACGAAGCCTCACTTTTTGGACAGAACCCTTTGTGAAGGGGCGTTTGTGGAAGATTCTGGTAAGCCTTGTGCAGGTACTGGGTCTTAACAAGACCTGCATATGATGCGCTGCATGCATTTTACCGCGATCAACAACGGTAAACGCACATTGACAAGGGCAGTTGACGTGGCACGCGAGATCCACGGTTCGTGCTAGAAATGCCGCTCGTGGCGAATGTGTGATTGCACTTTTCTTGAGATATCGCAAGCTGCATGTACGGATTGCGATCAAACACGGGCGAATAGTGGTCCCCTTCAGTTCGTTCGGCTGCGTTCCGCCTCCACTACTAAGAGCGTGAAGCCTTGTGCTTATTGCGTTCGATCTTTGTCCATCAATGACAGAGTCATCGTGTCCGATTACCGGATAAAGCGTGTATTGTTCGCGGGATTTTGCGGTGGTGGGCTCTCGGTCGCCGTGTGATGACGGTGGCGTGGGGCCATGGAATGAAGCTGACGCGAGTAACTGACACGGAACAGCAATGTATACAAGGTATCTCCTTGTTGAACAAGTATCTAGGTGACCACATATAGCAGTCGTTAGCAGAATTCATGCCAATAGTCTCACACGTAGTCCTGCTGACCCGTGCTCCGGTTCTACTTTTCGAACAGGGCAGACATGGGCTGGAGGCAGCTTACTAGTCTGTGGCGAGTGGGGGTTTCGACGGCATCTTCCTTTGGGCGCATCGCCTATCGGGTCTCAATCAGAGTGTGCTGGCCTCCATAGGCACGGAAGACATCACAGAACGCGTTGCCTGATACCCTCCCATCTCCAGTGTGCTAGTCATCCGTCGCGGTTGCCCATTAGAAGGACCATTGCTCTGCAAAGTGACAGCCCAGTGACAGTCGTGCATTTCGTCAGGACACGCCTGCAGGATCGCTGGCTGACCACAAGAACACGATGTTGTCGAGGTTGTCGCCCCGAATGATCACAACCGGGCTGAGCCTTGTCAGTGTCCGGTGAACAAGGCCTTATACATGTGAAATGCTAGACGAGATCGAAAAGCAATCGTATGACAGAGCAGAGTGACAGCGAGGTGACTTCTCGGGCTTATGATTTCGGCCGCTTTGACGAACTGTTGGTTTCGAAGGAATTGCTTTCTGCCGGAAGCGGTAGCCGTACCTTGCTTGTCAGATCCTACATATGATCATCCGTCCCTGAATGCGCTTTCTTGTCAACACTAGGTGCGTTACTTCCAAGCCGCTCAGTATCCCCTGCACTGCTTCTGTACAGTCACGGTAGGTACGCTCTCTGGTCTTGCGTTAGTTGCGGAGTACCTCGGGTTGCGCCATCTTCCGCTGTCTTCCAGTAAGGCCGGTAAGTAGGAACCGCCGACTCGTTATGGCGTGATCACGCATTCGATGTGCCCGGGGTTCCTCGTAGCCCGCAAAGTGGCCGCAACCAGGTTCGCTCTCCAAACTCATACTACCTCACAACATACACTGCGTCGTGTCGTCCCATCCGTGACATCATGACGTAAGGCGAAGATTTCGGGGACACCTTGACACCGGATGCAAGGTGAGGTGGCGTACGAGGCGACTGCATAATGAATTTTGCGGGGTAGTCCGGTGCATAAGGTGCTGTAGGTACATACAGTAGGCTGACTACGACGATAGAATGCTTGTTATGATCGAACCTAAACGCTCGGACGTTGGGCATTGGGCACATGTTCGTGTAGTCGCACACGTGTACACGACTCATGCGGCCATTGTAAGAGCCGAGACCGCCGTTAGGATGGAGCTCCGGTGGTGATCCTGTATTTTCGAGCAATGATGCGCGTTCCGTTGAGATTTGTTGGCTGTAAGAGATGATCTATGCCGAAGGGAACAGAACGCATGAACACCTCAGATGAACAGCTTCACAATCGAAGCGATAGCAAGAGGTGTTTGCTGAACACTCTCTTCTTGCCATTGGCACCACATGCCGTAATCTATCACCTCTCCTGGTAGTGTCGAAGTAGATCATCAATGACAAGCGGGGTAAACCAGGCTCGCCTCACAGTGAGATAGTGTCGCCAAATGGTGTTGGCGCTTAGTCCGTCTGCTGTAGAAGGAGCCCAAGTGCTCGGGTACCGTTGTTGCGTCAACCAAGGTACATGATGGTGGATACTATAGGGTCTCGGCTCGGCTCTTGGGATATTCAAAACCTGGAACATCCCCGTAGCTGGATGCATTCATACCCATAGCAGCGCGTGCGGAAGGGATCTCCTGGATGCGATCGCGTCGTTCGCTTAACGGATCTAGCGGTGAAGCCACGCTGGCCGAATTTAGACACCGCGACACTGTTTTCCTTCTGCTGTGCGATTACCGTGGGGCGACTGGGTGTCACCCATCGTGGAAGTTGAGCCGGGGTATGATCGGCGTCGAGGTTTCTCCGCTAGAAACCTTTGGCGCCAAGTTCATCGCATCTGGAAGAACAGGTTGAGCCCGCTGGCTTGGAACTGCAAGAGGGTGTAGGAGTATCACATATCGCAAACCACTTTGGAACGTTTGGTGGCGAAGAGATCGTCTTTAAGCATCCGTAGTTGTCGCGAGAGACCATCCATCTGCAGACGTGGCAGCTGCGTTGGCCGCTCCAGCAATTAGCGCCGAGATGCGAAGCATAACGAAACCGCAATAATCCTCCAAGAGTAAGAGATATACCAGAGAATGCAGTGGGAATTCCCTGAGTGGTCAATTGCAAAGGGTGCTGCAAGACCCGGTCTTAGTCGCTGCCCAATGGCGGTGATTGGGCTTTCGAGGCGAACAATGAGGCGGACGCGTCCACGCCCAACGGGGGACTTGGTCGCAGCCGATGCATCGCATCCTCATCCGGACTGGAACCGGTGTAGATAGAGTGTATGCAACCGATTCCCCAGTCGCAAGGCTGCGAGTCAGATGTATAAGTCCCCAGCGCGCCCAACCTTACCATCATCTCCAGCCTGCGAACATCGAGTCCAGCCAACATTGCAATACCCTGCCGACGTGATCATCCCAACCCCATCATCATGGCTGTGCCCAACTCGTACTTCGTGCCAGGCTTCGGCATCTCAAGAGCCGTTATTCAGAACGAGATACGCTATCATTGCGGCCCGGATGCGATTGTTCGGCCCTACACCTTCCAGGTACTTTGCAATGGTTGTTGTTGAGTATAGCAGAGCGCTAATTTTGTCGACAGGGACGCGACGGATTTCTGATAACCACCATTGGACCACCGCTGACCAAGGTAGCTCAAGCGTACCATTCCCCCGCGTATGAAGGCTGACTTGATAGGCACAAATCGATGATCTAAAGCTGTCTTCCTTGGAATATGAGGAGAAGCAGTCTCGCATCGCCGACGAATCCAACGTCTTCGTAAACGCGCCCATCCCAATAAATCAACGCATAAGACGGAGTACATGATCGCGGCGCAAAAGACAGCCTTGATTTCACTTCGTGCCATGGTCTGGGAGTCCGAAGAGCATGCGCCCTATACCCATGTTTCCGTTTAATACGTTCAACCTCTTTCTCGTCAAGTATTCTTTAGCGTGCATTTGTCCCTGGGCGGACCGACTGATGAATTATGGTATACGGACCATTATGATGTCTCGAGGCTTCGAGTTGGCGTTTCGGTTTAGTGGGAAGGATAATTTGGCTACCACGTTGTTGTTGACAATACTGTGAGGTGCATTTCGCTTTAATGCAGAAAAGGATGTCTGTTCCTTCATGGTCATGTTCAAGTTTGCGGTCTTCTTACCACGTGAAGCCCTCCTTCCAACGTGACAACCTAGATCTGGCGTTTCCAAGAATACTGCATGCAAGGGTAACACTGTCCGCTCCTGGATGAGGTTTCCGTGGTACGTCCCCAAAGTGTTTCAGCCGTGGGAGTTGTTGCCTTCGTCGGCTGTACGTCAGCCTCGGTCATTGTACATTTTCAGGCGGCCAGGGCTACGGAACTCGATGAGCGGAAATGCGAACGAAGAATGCCTGCCTCAGCACTCGGGCGCCCGCCCCATGATGTATTGACAAGGCAACTCAACGAGAGGGACTTGAACAGCTGGACTGGTGCCACGTCGCCGATGGAATTTGACGTGTATACATACGTAGCGACGGGAGCAAGGGCACGACAAGCGTCGAGGAGTTGTTGAGTTGTGATGATGAGGCGGAGCCTGAGCCAGCTCCAGGACGCAGGGACGAATGGCGTGTGATTGGCGCGCATGTAAGCGAGCCAGAGGCCGGTGAAGTGTCGTCACAAATGATGCAGCATTCGTCACATCGCGATTTGAAACAGCGCATAGCTGAGTGAGAGCGACTTTGGCATGGGCAGAACAAAGTTCATTTTCGTGCGTTGGCCGTATGGTTACCCGTTTCTTCTAAGGCTTTTCAGCCGACTAACCATCTGGACAAAGCTGCTGTCTTCAAGCAGAGATCTGGGTTTAGTCAATCTGAAGGCTTTCACTACATGTAAATCGGTGAAGCACTTAAAAATTGCAAGGCGCTGTTAGTCTTTAGTTGGATTCTGACCGAATGCCAATACTTTGGTTTTCTGAAATGCTCCTAACCCCCAGAGGACTAGTGCACTTCTGTGAGATGTGAGAGTAGATAAATTTTCACCCGTCTTTCACATTCTCAACTAACACATCTCCGCGTTCATAACTGTCCAAGGCGCTTAAAGCAAGCACTGCATGTAGACTGGGTGTGCCGTCGAATGCGTCTCTCCCTGGTTGTGCTGTCGGACCCCACATGAACCCCGCTTCCCCGCTCAACCATAGCGCAAGTTGGCTTCATCGGTTTCTGATATTAACGCTCTAATTTCCTCGCTCTCCATCAATCAGCATTCAAGCAGATGTCTTGGCACTTTGGCGTACGCTCATCCAGTCCATCTACTGTCAACGCTTACTAATCAAACTTGTAGGGAGTGGTTAACGCGCTGGCCTGCTAGTCCTTCACAGGAAAGTCAGCCAGTTCCTTCGGGAGCGTGTGTTCGAATCACACAGGTGTCGCATGAACCGTTTTTTTGCTGTTGCACTCGAATCCCAATGCATTCTTTTTGCTACCACAAGGCTGTTAAACGCCTTTGCACTAAACACTGCGATGCTCAAACCTATGTTCCCTGTGCAGGTGTCCTGTTCGACGCGCTCGTATTCAATCGTACTCTTGGTGATCCACCAACTACATCATACTACACATGTCAGCCCCTTGACTTTTCGCGCCCTTCTCAGTCGTGGTCTTCGCGCTCGTCTTTGCAACGTCTTCCAGCACCTGCCTACATAGCTCCCCTGTCAGCGCGCTGCACTCGGCATAGTGATCACACAGCATCCTCTGCGCCGCCTGCAGACCCTCGTGTGGCATAACACTCGGCCCCTTGCCCTTCTTATCTGGGCCATGCTCCGCTAATGTCCATTGTTTCCTCAGGTCTCTCTTCAAGCCCAGGACCATCACAGGCAGGTTCTCATCGTAGTTGAAGTGCTTATTTACGATCGGCAGCCACGTCGAGGCAAGAGAATCAAGCGACTCGCGCGAAGAAATGTCGTAGCAGAGGATCACAAATTGCGGATGCAGGAGAGTGTAGTTCTTAGGCGACGCAGTGTCAAAGAACTGTAGCCTATAAGAACGACCGTAGAGCGAGATGTCGAAGGCATAGGGCTGGTCGATGTCGCGTAGCTTGGGAAGTTCATACGGTGGGAGGTCGTCGCCCTGAGGCTGTACGCCGAGTGACAGGCGACTGGGAATATATTAGCAAAGGCCATAAGCTATTGATTGACATAGGCTTCACGTCCATGTCGCGCACCGAACTCACGATAAGAACGTCGACTTCCCGACTTCTGAATCGCCCAGCAGTAGGACGTTGACTTCTGGAGGTAGAGGGCTGTAATCCATCGCGAGTTCGGGTTGCCTCGCAGGCGCAATCGGATATCAAGGCGGTTTCATGTTTGCTTTTGACAGTCGATGAAGGAGATGACGAACACATCTGGGCGCGGAGATAGGCGTTAGCTGCGCAGTGTCTTGGCAACGAGCGCGAACGCGTCGTTGAGACAATCATCACCTATGATCCTCCGCTCATCGCACATTCCAATACATGATCGCCAACACGCTACGAACATACTCGCTCGGCTTGCAAGGACAGCGTCATGCGGCAATGTGGGAATCGTTTTTCGCGCCATCCTAGCGTGCATCAGTTGCAGCCCTGCGCCTTCTCCTGCTCTTCCTCCCTGTGTCACCCCAGACATACTACACATCCACTCGACTGTGGGGAACCCAGTGCTTAATTTTGACAGCTTCGGGGCGATGCTTATCTGGAAATCACTCACGATTCTGTAGCAAGAATCGCCGGTGCCTTGCTAACCCACATTTAACAGTCTTGGCAACGCCTTCTACACCATGGACCAGGAGTCTGGATCCTTTAGAGCTTTTTTGCATCTGTTGGCCCGCTGCCAGCGCCATCATTTGCGTTAGAGTACATCTCGTGTGGCCATAGCAGAAGATAACAGTTCGGACCTGCTTAGAATCGTAGGGCAGGTACGCCAGCCAAGTACGCTTGCTGTCTTGGAGTCTTGGAGAACCGCCTCCCCATTACCGGATGAGGAAGCTGGAAGCAATGCTCTTGTCTTAGAGGCTCGCGACAGAGAGTACCAAGCAATCGACCTTGAATAAATAACAACAAGATGGCGACAGTCTGTATCTGCACGACTCTCAATTTTTACTCGTCGCAGCATTATTATCGTTGCCCGCCATGAAGGTCTCCACGCTCCTCGGTCTGCTTCCCGGCGCTGTTCTCGCCTCCGATGTCTTGAGCGTCGCATTCTACGCAAAAGAGAAGAACCAGCTCTATGACTTCATCTCGGCCAATAGCGAAATTGATTATGGCTGCCGCCCTGTTGTCATGGCTGCGGGTGGTGAGCACAAGCTGCACGCTGTCATCTCAGAGGACCATCTGGACCACTTCAAGCGAAGCCTGGACCCCGAGCTCGTTCGCGTTGAGCTTTTACACAACATGAACAAACGACAGACTGCGACTGCACCCATCGGCAAGGGCGATCGTTTCAAGGGTGGAAAGGTCGCACCCCGCGGTCTCGGTACTAGGAAGCCCAGCGAGTACGCCCAGCTCCAGAGCGCTGGTGTCTTTAATGCCGACGAAGTCTACACCGCCATGAAGGGTCTGGAGAAAGAGTACGGCATGTCCATCTTCACCACACCGCACAAGACCTACGAGGGTGCAAAGATCATCGGTGGTGTTGCCAACAAGGCGCAGAAGATCAAGAAGGATAAGCAGTACATCTACTTCACTTCTGGTATGTACCGGCCAATGAAGCCATTGCTTACGGAAACTAACTTGAATAGGAATTCACGCACGTGAGCGCGGAGGACCTGATAACCTGATCTACTTCGTCTCTGACCTTCTTTACGCGAATGAGCACCGTATCGGTCTCACCTATGGCAATAAGAAGTACACTAATAGTCAAGTCAAGAAGGCTCTTGGTGCGGGTGTCGTCTTCATTCCCATGCTGAACCCAGATGGCGTACGCCACGACCAAGCTAACAGCAACCTCTGGCGAAAGAACCGCAACCCAGCCTCTTCCAGGCCCAACGAACCCCTCAGCGTCGGTGTAGATCTCAACAGAAACTTCGATTTCCTCTGGAACTTCACCGAGAAGTTCGACCCTTCCGTCTCCCCAGCTTCAACAAATGCCTCTTCCCAGGCTTTCTACGGTACTGCACCGTTCTCCGAGCCTGAGTCGAGAGATATGGCATGGGTGTATGACGAGTACCCTAACATCCACTGGTACATCGACGTTCACTCTGCTGCGGGGACTCTGCTCTACTCATGGGGAGATGACGTCGATCAATCCCACGACCCCAAACAGAACCTGTTCAACCCTGCCTACGACGGCAAGCGCGGTATCGTCGAAGACAACCTGTACAAGGAGTACATTGACCAAGAGGACTGGGACAACATCCGCATCGCAGCCAACCGCACCACCGATGCCATGATTTCCGTTGGAGGCCGCGAATACATCCCTCAACAAGCCGTTGGCCTGTACCCTACATCCGGAGCGACTGATGACTGGTCTTTCAGCCGCTGGCACAAGAACAAGAAGCTCACCAAGGTCTACGGATACACCATGGAATTTGGTTACCCAACTAACTTCTACCCTACGAGCGAGGAGTACATTCAGAACATCATTGACACCAACGCGGGCTTCATGGAGTTTATTCTCGCTGCTGTCGAGATTGGCCTCAAGGCATAAGTCTCATTGCTTGATATGTAATGGTAGTGAAAGGTGGCTCTTGGGGCGAGCACGCGGTGGTGATGATGTCATGAGAAACGAAAGACGATGTGTCGTAGCAATCGCTTGTCATGTTGTAGTTCTAGAAGATTATCCCTTATTGTTTGGTCATTAAACATTAATGCATTGCTAGTTGAGCAAGCACTGGGTATCATCGTACAAGAAAAACGCTGGAAGATCCGATGCAATACCTCCGCCACGACCACATCCCATCAAGACCACATGCAGACGAATAACGAATCAAACGTACTTGCCTTCTAGCAGTAGCTCCGCTTTCGATTTCTTGGGCATTGATGGGAGAGGTTGTTTCTGTCGTGTGTTTGTGCTTCGGTCGCTGAGCACAGAAGTGCTTGACGATCGGGAGTTCTTCGACCTGCAAGACTGTGGCGACACGAACTGCTGACTGGTAGGTTCATCGCGGAATATGGGTGTGCGTCGGCCGAATGTCTCTGCGCTAGCGGTATCGCGCTGGCGAGCCTGCGTGATAGTCTCTGCTCTGTCATCGCGTACCACGTCCGCCTCGGTGGTCAGAGTCGCATCGCGCACAAACATTCCCTCAGTGGTAAGCGTCCCATCCCGCACAACCTCCCCCTCGGCGGTCAGTGTCCCACCAGCAGCAACCCACTTCCTCAAATGCTCCTGCCTCAATTTCTCGCCAAACCCCCTCCACGACATGGCGAACCGCATCTGTATCCGCCCCGCCCTCGTCAAAGCATCATACCAATCCCTATGCTCCGTCCAAACCAATTTCCTCGACCACTTGCTCGTGAATGGCGATCTCTCAATATCAGCGACATGCTCAAACAGCATTTTCGCAGTTGCGGTGTTGACATCGAGCTTATCCAGAATACTGGTTTTAATATCTCTGTCAAAGCACAGCCACTCTATCACATTGTCGCCTGTGCGGAAACCGAGCGCTGAGCCGCCGAGTTGGAAGACATTGGCCAGGTAGCTGACCTCGAGGCAGTCGGGTGGTACTTCGTCGCCAGGTGGGACGGGTTTCTTGCGGAAAGGGTCGTCGGATCGAAGGGCACAGACGAAGCCGTGGTCCTTGCGGTCAAGCAGGGACCGTAGTTTGAGGACTGGGATGAAGGAGGCTTGGTAGTGGTAGATGGCGATGTCGTTGTGAGCAAACCGGAAGTATTGTACTTGTTTCAGCTTGTTGCCGTTGGGTCCGGGGATGGGTCTTGGTCCGTATACGCGTGGTTTCTTTGGTGTGATCGGTCTGGGAGGCTTGACCTTCTTGGGTTTGACTGGTCGGGGATGCTTGTTCAGAGTGCCTTTGGGACGGGTCATGTCTTTTCCGCTGAGCCTTTGCGGTGGTCTTTTGGGCGGTCAGGGAGGGCGGATAAGAAGGGAGGGGAGGAAACTGATTGCTGGTGAGGGTCACATGTTTTGGTCACGGAGCATAGTAGCAATGGTCATAGTGTGCACGGAATTAGGCTACTGCCGCTAGAGGGGTGCTAGGTTCAGAGTCTTGTTCACCGTGAAAGTGAAAAGAGAGAAGAGGAGCTTGGAGGCTAGCTGGATGGGGGAGAATCTGTGCAGTCTTTCTTGAGCTAGCTCACGTGTTCGTGATAGGACTAGGAAGTGAGATCTGAGAGTTCGTGTGGCTCTCCGTCACTGCCTATCGTTTGGTAATGCGAAGTGGACATGCTCATGTTACAGTCCTTTGATCAGCTTGGGTAGGTCGTGATTCGGTAAAAGCGGTGTGCATTGCGGAAGCTTCGAGATATGTCGCGCATACAAAAGTGTTGCTGTAGCTCTCACACTACATCAAGATGTGAACCTTGTTCAAACTGATGAAGCGCGCTCGGATGGAGTGATAAAAGCATTTGAAGTGAGGAAGTGAAAAGTTTGTGATCGTCGTCAAGCCCCTCCGCTGCTGTCAAGACATGATATTGGCCAGATAGAAGCTAGTGTATAACATCTCCAATTCTTGCCCATGGTCTTCCGCGCTTGGCAGATTTCGCACGTCCTTTTCGCTAGTGAAAGCAGCGTTGTCGCGTTTGTAAGTACTTCTGTCATCCATGGGAACGTGTAGTAGTGTCTGGTAGCCGATTTTCTCAGTTGTGGGAGGAAGAGAACGGCTAGATAACCAAAGCTGTACCACTGGTTGCGAAGGTAGCGAGTGCCAGTCGAGGGAGTGGCTCACTGTTGGTTCAGCGCGATAGAAGCGAATGATTTGGTGAGAGACTTGTGTCTCGCAATCTACTTTCCAGTCCTCCCCAGTCTACTTCTAGTGAAGGGAACGGCAGGCGCAGCACTAAGCAGGCACTGGCCTACCTTGATTAGAAGCACCTGATATGTTTGTCTCCCACTACTCTACCCCTTACTTCTCCCCTCAGCTGTCCCACTGATTGTTTTGAAATATGCGGATCCCAGGATTCGTCGGGTTGTCAACCCTCTTGGCTGCTGTTGCAGGCGAGGTCTGACAAAAGTAGGTATAGTCCCACAACTGGAGCTGTTGCTTTAGACAGGTCTTTTTACCATGTACTGAATATTTTTGGTTACGTATCGCTATAGTTGACCTCCACTCTAGTTGCGCAAGCAACGATCCCCTCACCCTCAGCCTTACCATCCCGGGTGCGCTCGACAAGATCCTTGTCGCCGCTGAACCACTTTTTTCATCGGATCCATCGTCACCTAAACCTCCTAACTCTGATTCAGAATCTGATTCAGAGGAGCGAATAACTCCAGCGACCGACGAAGTCTTCGGGGATTGCAAGAGTAAGGGGTGTCTGCTTGAGTGGGCGATGCACCACGCTGACGGCGATGCCGCCATTCACTTTGTACCTCCCCGCGTGAAAGCACAGTCACCCTTCCAGACTGCTCAAGACCTCGAGAATTGGAACTGGTATCAGTTTCCTCCAGAGCGAATTCATGAAGATTATCACGACCTGGACAACGAGTATTGGGGTCTCCAGAAAGTATTCGATGATCTTGTGATTTCCCGGTACACGAATTTCAACGAGGAAAAGGGTCCTAATGCAGTCGTCAGTATCGTGCATGAAGACCCAACTGACGACGAAGACGTCGACGACCAAATGTACGTTGTCGACGGCGAGGAGGGCAAAGAGTATCGGTGCACAGGTGCTGATTACACCATGTCCATCAATACAAAGGACGGAGTCATAATTGGCAAGTAATATCCCTGTACGAACTGTCGTGGGACAGTTACTGACTTCGTACATCGATCTTTAGGTATGAACCGCAAGGGCCCTATGCAGGCAGGCCAGGAACGAGTTCCACGCCTGACACGAGATGACATGCCAAAACTCCACCAATTCTCCGACGTAGGTTGGATTACATGGAAGACATTCGCCGGGCATAATGGGGATAATATCAGAGGTCTTCGGTATTTCATATCAGTCGCTATTACTAATCCACAAACCCGATCAGTGTGTCGGAAAGTATTCCTTGATAAGAATCTGGTACTGACAGGGTGGCCGGGAGAAGCTTTTCTATCCGGCACGGATGAGTTTCATGCCATTTTGGGTAAGTTGCATCAAGCTCACTTGAGACCATGCTGTCTCCCATCTTTCAAACTGAAAAGGTCTTCCGGCTAACCTCTGGTCAGGTACTCCGAACATGCGAGGCTATGGGTACATGCTGATTCAGCATAAAGCAGATCTGGGCAACATGTACGTCAACGCAGTTCGCGTCTTCAAGTGTGAAGGAAAAGGAAGTCTTTGCATTCTCGCATATGCATACCAGGAGGCACCGGCCGAACCAGTGGACGTACCAATGGACCAATCAATGGTCACGTCAGGTGAGATCAGCAGACGTGATGAAGGAAGTAACGTTATGCGTCTACACATGATCTTCGCTAAGCTGTGAGAGCTAGGGAGAACGCGTTAGAATATGTGGGAGGATAGAGGACAACTAGACCTTTGGAAATTAGACAAGCGCAATTGCCGGTCTTAGATTTGGATACTGGGTCTTGGTTGGTTTAGAGGAATGAATGAAGCTGGAGGCCTCCGCGACTTCCTTAGACTGGGGACCGTGCCGTCTGCGCGTCCAACCTAATAATATCGACGATTGTCATCATTCAATTCCATCTCTTTTGCGGTGTCGGAGTGCTCGATCCAGTCAGGCAGCTCGATCAACGCCACGTCTTGTAGGCAAAAGTAAATCTGTCTTGCCGGCCAATGATAGAAGTCGTGCGCGCGTCGAGTCGGAGCGGATCCGGCAGCCGCGTGCCCGCGCGCGTGTTGTTTCGAGGGGATCCGAATGCAGGGGAGGAACTTACATATACCGCATCGTGCCCCATAATGCGTCGGATGCTAAAGTCGCACCGCTCAACCATAAACACTCGCCGTCGATCAGATGTCGCTACAGGAGGCCTGTCGTGCCATGACCACGCCAATACGTCAAGCGCGGGCTCGCGTCATATGACAGGCTTGCCCCGCGTCGTAGGATGAAGTCTCGCGCATGACAGCCCACGAAGGAACATCTGCCGCCGTTTCGAGCAATCAATTCGCGCCTACACAATGCGCCTGTGGGGTATTAGCCGTTCCACCGAGCGACGTGCTGCTCGCTGGTCTGGGCCATGTTCACCATGGCAGGCTGGAGGATTAAAGAGAGAGAATTTCCTCGGCTTTCGTTACCCCGCTAGCGACTCCATCGACTAGAGGCTGCCGCCCGTCCTATCAGCCGAGTATCTTCGCCGCATTGCGCAATCGGGACCGCGGCCGGTAGCGAAGAAACTCCCTCTGGACTCTCTTGGATTCGTCTTTCCGAGGTTATACCACACCACCCATTCGCCATGAGGCCTGCGACTACTGCGCCCGCCGCTTTCCGCGCTGCGACGTCCATTGCACGACTCCCCCGCCGCCAGACGTGCTCCTTTGCGACGCGCTGCCTAGCTTCCCAGACTGCTGCGAGATCGGCCCAGTTTTCGAGCCCGCGACGAACATCCGCAAACAGCGCCCCAACAGCAGCACCCAGCCTATACACACAGATTGGACAGTACAGGATGGCGTCCTCTCAGGGAATCAAGAAGATCCAGGTCAAGAACCCCGTGGTGGAGCTCGACGGCGATGAGATGACCCGGATCATCTGGCAAGTCATCAAGGACAAGTTCATCCACCCTTACCTCGACATCGACCTGAAGTACTACGACCTGGGCCTGCCCTACCGTGACGAGACCAACGACCAAGTAACACTCGATGCCGCCGAGGCTATCAAGAAGTACTCTGTCGGTGTCAAGTGCGCGACCATCACCCCCGATGAGCAGCGCGTCGAGGAGTTCAAGCTCAAGAAGATGTGGCTGTCGCCAAACGGCACCATCCGCAACCACCTGTATGGCGCACCCTGGGGCAAAGGGAGAAGCATGGCTGACAGCATATTATAGAGGAGGAACCGTTTTCCGCGCGCCCATCGTTATCCCCACCATCCCCCGTCTCGTACCCGGCTGGAAGCAGCCCATCATTATCGGCCGTCACGCTTTCGGCGACCAGTACCGTGCGAAGGACCGCGTTATCCCCGGCGAGGGCACACTCGAGATGGTCTACACACCCAAGGGCGGCAAGCCTGAGGTCATCAAGGTCTATGACTTCCCAGCAGAGGGCGGCGTCGCGCAAACCCAGTACAACACCACCGAGTCCATCTCCGGCTTCGCACACGCTTCCTTCAAGATGGCGCTGGACAAGAAGCTGCCGCTGTACATGAGCACCAAGAACACCATCCTCAAGGCATACGACGGCAAGTTCAAGGATGTCTTCCAGGCCATCTACGACAGCCAGTACAAGAAGGACTTCGAGGCTGCCAAGATCTGGTACGAGCACCGCCTGATTGACGACATGGTCGCCCAGATGATCAAGAGCGAGGGTGGCTACATCATCGCCATGAAGAGTGCGTATGCATCCTACTACGATTCCGACTTTGCTGACATTCCCAGACTACGACGGAGACGTCCAATCCGACATTGTCGCCCAAGGCTTCGGCTCCCTCGGCCTCATGACCTCGACCCTCATCACCCCTGACGGCAAGACATTCGAAGCCGAAGCCGCGCACGGTACCGTCACCCGCCATTTCCGCGAACACCAAAAGGGCAACGAGACCTCTACCAACCCCATCGCCTCCATTTACGCCTGGACACAAGGTCTGGCCAAGCGTGGTGAGCTGGACAACACACCTGAGCTCGTCGTTTTCGCCGAGCAGCTCGAGAAGGCTTGCGTGGACACTGTGGATATCGACAAGATCATGACTAAGGATCTGGCCCTTGCGTGTGGAAAGAAGGACAGGGGGTCTTGGGTTACCACCAATGAATATCTTGATGCCGTCGAGAGGAGATTAAAGTCGAGCTTGAAGGAGAAGCTATAGATGTACAGAAGTGTTGAATAGTCGCGTGGGATATTCCTTGCATTGGATCACTCGGTAACAGCGTGATACCTAGACCTGACCGTGTAGACGCAGTTCTGCTTACCCTTGGGCAGGAATCGATTATTCACAAAGTCAATTGGGCCTGTGCATGTCTTCCTTTGCCAGTGAGGCGCGAGAGCGCGAGGCATCTTTTTTTGGCAAGGAGCTCGTGCCATGTCGTCTCCACATGTTCCCGGAGCACGTTGCTTTTGATGAACTGGGTTTACGCTAATTTCCGATGAGACCCAAATCCTCAAAAAGAAACAAGTCTCTTGCATGTCCCACGGCAGTATGCATAGGCGGGACGATCTCATGTTTGTTTGTTACACAGCTGATTGCAAAACATTTGTCGCGACGGTCTTGTTGAGTTCCTGTAGTTTGCACACCTTGCATTCCATTCAGCAGCCTTGTGTTGGGCCGTCTAGATCTCTTCGACAGTCGCTGGCCGTCTCATCGTAGACCGGATCACATGATGGAGGCGTTCACTGATACTGCTCCCGGGGCTAACCCGACTAAAGCCGCTAGGACCTCCAGTGCGAGCCCGATCACCACGCCAGCCTCTGTACCAAATGAGAACGCTGGATCTACAGCCACCATTACCACTCCGTTGCCGTTGCCTAAAAAGCACTGCAGTCCCTCGACTCCCGACTCAACTCCATTGCACCGACGCTTTCTGCGAGCAGTCTCGATGCCGCCTGCGACACCGTCGCGTCCGCCCATGGAGAGCCAGAAATCTTTCGAGAAGGCGTGCGACAGCCCAGTCGTAGTTCGCCATACTCCCAAGAAGACGCATCCATCGCCGATGAAACTCGAAGTTGGCCAGGGCGCGTTCTATTTCTCAATTGAACTGCCCCCCAATAAGATCACGCCAAAGAAGAGCGGAACGACAAGCAAGAACCAGACGCCAAAGGGAGAAGACACGCCCACGAGGACGAGGACGCCTAGCCCGTTGAAGAAAGCAAGCCCGTCGAAAGAGAATGCAATGGGTACACCCACGAGGGCGACGCGCAGCCCACTGAAGCGTGATGAAACGACCAAGCAGAGCCCTGCGAGGCCGTTGTTTGGTACGCCGACGCGGGCGAGGATGCACAAGCAAGATACGGATCCACGAACTCCTACTCGAACAACGCCCAGCCCACGTAAAAATCCCAGCTCAGTGAAGCAGAGTAATGCCAAGATAGCTACTGTCACTCCGAAGAGAAAGGACTTGCTCAAAACACCTGGAAGTAATCGACCTGGAAGTCCTGTCAAGCGCTCCATTGAGCAGGATCACTCACCTGTAGATCCGCTCAAGACGTCTGCACGCCTGGCGAGGGAACTCCTATCGGAGCCAGAGGAGCCACTCCAAGTACCAACCGAACGGCTTGTGGACCTGAAGGACGAGCATGCTCCAGCAAACTTGGTCACGACTGCCACCGACCCAGCCCCGCTCCAAGGATCCATGGGGCAGGCGCCACCACCGAATAAGTGCCCAGAAAACATCGGACACCTCATGGCAAGCCTCATTACCAACACTACCAGCACGCGTGACTGGGGAACTGCTTACAACAACGACATGATCTCTCCTATGCCGACACCCCTGCGCAAAGCCTCGGAGAAGCTCAAGTTGGGAGAGTCGCCTTCTTTCCTGCGGATGTCGACCAATGGTACAACTGTGATGACCAATGCAGACCCTGCTAGCGACGTCAGCAAGAGAGGGTCTTTGAACCCACATGAACCTGCGTCGATCGACCCGGGACAGGATGAGAGTAAACAGATTGAGTCAACGTTGTCTGGATCAACCGAGGAAGCTCTACCCTCTTCCGTTACCACAGATCATACCGCGAACGTGCCGAGCGAAGCGCGACCTGCGCTTCCATTACGTGCAGCCAGTCTGGGATCTTTCAACACCCTGAACGCGACTCGCGAGGTACCAGCCCCGCCGCACCGCCCGCTTCTATTCCCAAAGCGGAGGTCTGAGACTCTACAGAATGAGCCATCGCGACAGGAACATCAGGTCAGGTGGCAAGATATGGAGACTGGCTATTCGAAGCCTTTACCTTCGAGCCATCAGAGGCGGGTGGGCACTGATCCAAGCGTACTTTTGAAGATGCAAAAGGACATGGCTCATTTGGAAGCGACGATGCGCCGCTCAGCAGGCGTTGTCGACCCAGCCTTTTGCGGGCCGCTCAATCTGAACGAGCTACCTGCAATGTCGAACGATTACTTTGTTAGAGGCCAGCAGGATATCAGAAGCCCAGGTGTTGTTGGCACGCCAAAAGCCCTCAGTAGAGCCAACTTCGACAACCCATCGATTGAGACTGTGCAAGCGAATGGAGGAAAGAACACTGGCAACTCGCTAGCATCGCTGAAGGTTCCTGGCACGCCAGGCATACCACGAAGGAAACCCAGTGCTCTCTCCTCAGCGCAAGCGACGAGAGACCGTCTTATTGCAGCTAAGAAAGAGAGTTCTCAGCGTACAGGTACAACCAAGACCGCGGGCCCCGAAAGATCCCGCCCTCGATCAAAGACTACGGCATCAGCATCAAGCAAGTCGGGTGCAGTGACTAGCACGCCTCGTAAGACTCCTGCGACTCCGGCCAAATCTGTGGCACCTCCTGGCGCAACGACACGTAGCTCTCCACATAGCCGCATACCGTCATTGAATTCGGCAAAGCCCAGGACCCGAACACAGTCTGTCCCACAACTTGCGCCAAAGCCGCTTTCGAGCGCCGCAGGTCATGAGAAGGCCATCGCAGCATTGAAAGACCGGCTACCAAACGTACCAATTGCTCCGATTAACACCAGGCCTGTTCCGATCCGGAAGCCTCTAAGCCCATCCGTTACAGAGCCTCGTGATCCGGCAGCAGCTCCGCGACCACACAAGCAAGAGTTTGCCAGCGCGGGAGACATTGCTGACCGGCTCGCCAGTTGGCACGACGAAGATCGGAAGAAAGCGCAGACAAATCGTCCTACGGTCACAGCTAAGAACATGCCAGCGAAGATACATGCAGGAGGCAAACCGGACGAGTCTACTACACCAGACGGCTCACCTGCGAAGATCCTCACACCCGCCAACGTGCCTGCGCCAACCAAAACTTCCAGAGCCTTCCCTTCTACCAAAGACGTCAAGCCAAGACCTCTCTCAACCAAACCCAGTGCCCCGTCAACACCCAGGTCCAAGCCCAGCGCGCCGGTGACAAAGACACCAGCCCCAAAGACCCCGGCCACAGGCCTTCGCAACGTTGCCGCTGCCAACAACAACCTCAGACAGCCCATGACCGCCGCCAAAACTCCAGTAAATCGCCGCATACCCGTCCTCGACCGCAACGCAACGCGTACACCGAGCAAAGCCATCGTGAGCAGTCTAGACCAGGCAATTGATAGGAAGATTGCAGAGGATGCGAGACGTGGAATGGAGTTTACGCCTGGTGGAAATCGGCTGAGGGATTTGCTGGATGCTAAGTCAATGGGTGGGGGTGTTGTGCAGATTATGGAGGAGGATTCAGACTTATAGTCTTATTGCAATGGTGACGAGGATGGTTGATGGTGGTTACAGGCGCTATTTCGGCTTTCTGTCTTTCTTTTGTCAAGTTCTGATGATGTACATGGCGTTTACAACTAGGAGACATGGGAGGAAGGGTTCTATGAATGGTGTTTTAACAAGGAAAATCATGTAGGTCGGTAGAAAGTTAATGTATGACAAGTATTGGAGATCTACCTCAACCGCGCCTATCTATCTTCTACTTCCTACTTCCTACTGCCCTCCCTATAACTCTCCCCAAACAAATCACCTTCATCGTCAGATTCATTCATCTCTTCATCGCCATCACTATCCTTATCTCTGGAGTCTGAGTCTTCACTACGTCCCACCGTGCGACTAGACGTCTCACTCTCGTCACCCTCACCCCTGTCGCTCTCAGAATCCTCCATACCCTCACTTCCATCTTCTCCATCTTCACTAATCTCCTGGCCGCCATCTCCATCTACTGCTAGCGTAGAGCTGGACGACTCCGCTCGGCCCACTGTGTGACTAGACCCATCACTTCCTTCCCGATCTTTGCCATCTTGACTATCTTCACTCATTGGGAACTCCGCTAAGCTATCGAAGCTGCGCCTATGTCCGCAGGCTGTCGCAATTCCATCTTCTCTTGCATCATCTCCTTCCTGCATCATTTCTTCATTTACCGCGTTTCGGTTCCTGCGCTTGGTAGCATGCGTTGCGTCGATGCGAAATGGATGGTCTTGGATGGATGCATCTACGGCAGGAGTATAGTCGTAGTACTGTCGCAAATTACCATTCGAGCGGAAGCTAGTGGCGATGAGAGGACCGAAAGGCTTTGCGGGGGTCTGGTGGCTCGCCTTTTGTGGTGGGATGCTGGACATGACGGGTGGTTTTGTTGTAATGGTGGTGTTTGCGATGTGTGTGCGAGGTGGATACAAGCCGCTAAAGTGGGCATAACGAGAGCGACTTATGTATGCCAGGAGTAATTTGATAGGAGACAGGTTCTTAGATCTGGTTCTCCAAGGTAGGACAGGAGCATTCGAGGGTCTCAAATCAATGTCTTGTTAGATAAAGATTGGAAGTAAGACAAGATGCGTTCCAGGACTAGGTACCGGAGACCTCAAGAAAGTCTACAGGCTACAGCAACTCACCCGGTAACAGGAAGACATCAGTTCTAAGCGCCCTCACCGAAGTAGCAGTAGAAGTCTAGATCGTGTACAGATACCTCGGGTTGTCCTCACCCATCTCAGCAATCTCCTCTTCAGTCTTGCCCTCAATCCTCCAGTCCTCCTTACCAGAAAGCTTCCTGTTGTTCTTCATGCGGAAGTAGAAGTGCAGCGCAATGTAAATCGCAATCCCGAGCGCCAACAATCCGATGGTAGCACCATAGCCCGGGATGTATGTCGGCGCGGTGTCGGCAGCATACAAGAAGGGCGCCGCAACACCGGAGCAGTTACCGATGGTAATCTGCATACCGCTCGCAAAGGCTCGCTTTCCGTATCGAGGGTTATTGACAGCAATCCAGGAGAAGGCGATGCCGGTGGCTACCCACAGGCCAAGCGCGACGATGAAGCAGCCAGCGAAGCTGAGGCCAAGTCCCTATGTGTATGTCAGTACTGGTCGTTAGAGTCATGGAAACGTCGAAGGCCTACCTTGTTTGCGATGAGAAAGATGTACCCGATCATACTAACAGCAAGCCCACCTATGCAGTAGAGACCTCTGTTCTGCGACTTGTCGCTGAAATACGCGCAGATGACATAGGTAAGGAAGCCGCAGACGTAGACGGGGATCGTCAATGCCTGAACAACTTGACGGCTCCATCCACCTCCGAGACCGTTGATGATGGTTGGTAGGAAGACGGAGAAACTGTAGAGCATGCCCAGCCCAACAAATTGAGCAATGGCGTATGCGTAGACTTTCCAGTCTTTCACACCCTTCATGACATCCTCGCGCGCGAGTTCTTGTCCAGATGTTGTTTGGCCGACTTCCTTCATTCGGAGCAGAACAAGGTTCCGGCGGTCTTCCTCGGTCAAAAAGCTGGCTGTCTCGGGGCTGTTAGGCAGGACAAAAGGTACAGCGACGGCTGTTATGACGGTCGGAATGCCGTTGATCAAGATGATCCAACGCCATCCGTTCCAGCCGGCTACACCATCGAGCTCACCAATTGCATAGGCTACAACACCCTGTGCTGGTTAGCTCTTCTCTTTGGTCTTGGGGAGCGATACTTACGCCCAATCCACCTGCTAGTGCAGATGTGCCATAGAAGCACGCCTGTCTCAAGCTAACGTTGCGCCGGTTGTAAAACATGCTCAGGTAAAGAATGACGCCTGGGAATAGGCCTGCTTCGAACATGCCCAGCAGAAGGCGGCAGACGATGAGTCCGGCGAAGTTGTTGACAAAGCAGGAGAATGTAGCCACCATGCCCCACATGAACATGAGGCCTCCGAGATATCGCGCAGGTTTCATTCGCTTCAAGATCAGGTTTGACTAGGAATCGAATTAGCATGTAAGGGTAGCCTCTGATGAACGCCAAGCTTACGGGAGTTTCGAATATCTAATACATTGTTAGTGGAAGCCAGTAAACATTGGGTAGGAGTAGCACTTACAACATAGGTGACGAACAGAATAGATACTGCGATTTGGAACTGATTGCTATTGGGATCCATGCCAAGATCCTCTTCCATCTTGTAGAGACGAGCATTGCCAATATTGACTATGCGACATCGTCAGTCTAGATCTCAAGATGAGCATACCGTACGCACCTCGATCCATGAAGTTCATCAGGTAAATCCAGCATATCATGGGCACGATCCGGATGTCCAGCTTCCTCAGCAGTTTTGCCTCAGTAACAGGATCAATATCAATCATCGAGGCGAATTGTTCGATATCTTCAAGTTTGAGGGGCGGGTTTGGCGATGTATCGGAACCTTTCTCATCCTTGTACTCTGGTTCGGTGAGCACAGGCCCATCTTTGTTTGCATTCATTTTGCCGACGCAGCAATGAAGACAAACTGGCGGGCGTGCGAGTTCAAGTTGGAGCAGGTTTCCAGGGATGAGGTAGAGTTGCTGTGATCATCGTTAAAGGACTAAAAAAGTATTGGAGCCAGTCTGACCCTTATAACCCGAACACCTGGGGAAGGGTGCCCCGGCCCCATGGGGAAGCGAGATATGCCATGCTCTTGGTATACAGAGACGCGCCGTTGATATCGATCAGGCAGAAAGACCGAAGCCAGTTTGATAATCTCGTCGTCGAAGTGCCGGTAGCCGTTCTTCCGCCCTGGCGTGCTTGGAGGCTCTGGAGGAGGGCGCAGTGGGCGCTTCCAAGCTTTTGAAACTGGGGTAGTAGGTGGTTAACCAAGACCTTCAACTCCTTGGATTTTAACCTCTTTTAGCAGGGCTGAGCGCGGATCGCTCCAACGAGACCAGATCTTCGGTACGGAGGAACGGGTATCTTGTGTGTTGCAGCCTATCATGTTGCGTACCGCAAAGGCATTCGCAATCCCGTCTGCCAGATGCTCGTAATACCCATGCTCAACAGCTTTCCCATGTAACATGCACAGACTTGAATGCCTGCCCATGCCTGCGGCTTCTGCACAATTTTGAGCAGCTGAAGAATGAACAATTTGCTGTTGAGCACGATAACGATGTGCACAGATGCTGTTCGTGGTATCAACGACCACGAACCGAGCGAAGTGGCCTTGACCGCTGTTATATTTGGCGTGTGCATGTTGCGATGCACAGCAGCCCTCCGCTTGGTGCTTTGAGAAGTGCCACTAATGCTACCTTTGATTTGACCGGAAGAGACACTGGATCCAGTGAGGAGTACTTAGTCCAAGAGATTGCACACATATACCGCCTTCCTTTGCTCCGTAGGTGTTGTTGTCATGCTCAATTCCAAGTCGCCAAGTCCTTAGCCTGCGTTCACGCGCTTGGCAGTTGCATCCTATGCAAGGACGTCTATTTTCTCCACAGATTCGATGTCGCTCACTGTATGAGGTGATTGAGAATGATAAAAGATGAATCTCGGTGAATGAAAGCATAGCGACAGATCAGTACGTCTGGAATATTCCAACAGAGAACGTCGCAATGTGAGCCTTCTCGACAACTTGTCGTTGTTTTTGCCCAGCCGGATAGATCGGTATGGGATGCATCGCGGCTGCGTCTCTACAAATTGATTCGAGCGGCAAGGCTGAAACATTGCAGCAGTGCTGCGCCTCGGGCGGAATGATAGATGCTTGTGCGGCGGACTTCTGCATTCTCGAAAGGAAGTACGCCTGTTGTGCAGGGCGGGCAAAGGGATGTGATAGACGGCCAAGCACCGAGCCGTTGCCCAGCACGAGGAGGATCAGTAGAGATATGGCGCCGCTGACGATGATGATGAGAGACGATGGAGGAATGAAGGCGGAGGCTGCTGGTGGATGATAGGGCAGCGCGTCGCTTAGTCATCACACCCTAAAACTCGCGGCGCGAAGGCACATAACGACTTGGAGATGCAGTGCTAAGCTCTCAAGACTTACACATGAGATTCAGGTCACCATTCGACCGATTTAGCCCCACGTGGTCATCCCTGCTCGCCATGTGTCCGTTGCAACAAACCTGTTCGAACTGCCTGCTGCGAAGTATTGGCGAAGAAGAGGGGAAGGTTTATGTGATATTCTCTAATGCTGCCACACAGCCACTAGTGCTTTGATGAGCTCCTCCGTCACTCGAACACTTGTGCGGATCTCTTCTTCGGCCTCCAGTTTCGGCACATGGAAGAAAACAACGTCTCGTTTGCCAGTCCGTTTCTGCATCTCGAGTAGACTGATGTAGTAATTGAAGCCACACACATACGAGCCCACATCATCGCTGAGCCTTACGTCGACAGCCTGTCTTACTTTTCCCTTACCTTTCGCCTTCGGAACGCCGAGAGAGGAACAAGCTCCCCTCCACATTTCAGCTGCCGCGTCAATGTCGATCGTCGTCGCCAGAGATGGTGACGCTTTTGCAAAGGTCGTTTTGTTATCTGCTCTCGTAAACACCCGCCTCTCGATATCTGGAATGTCGTGATATCCATCTTTCAGTGCACTACGTTCGATCTTGAACACCCCGGCTCCGCTATCAACATCGAGACCCATATGTATCACCAAGTCAGGCACATATTCCTGGATGAGCGCTGGGACCTGGGCCAGTATCTTGTGATATGCTGCTGGTATGGGTTCGGTGGGTACAGTGATGGCAATGTTGCCGTCAGGGCCAGGGAGAGACGATGGCAGTTGTCGTGCAATTTCCCAAGAAGGGTTTCTCGTTATGTCGAGGAATGGCTGAGCTTGTTAGCTGGGGCAGTTGAGGGGTTACCAGGGCGTCTACAAACACCAAAACCAGTTACCAACACCTTGACCGAAGTAGGCATTATGGAATCGTTAGTTGTCTGATTGGGATGTTCTATCGTAGTAGCACGAAGCATTGACAAACAGAGATATTTGGTATGTTGCTGTCACTCGTCTGACTCATCGCGGACTTGCATGCATTGAGCTCATGCGTATACTGAGCGTAAGACGGCCGAACTGAAAGCCGAATCCCTCTGAGACTCTGTTCACACAACCACGTCAAATTTTTACAGCTTTCTGATGCGATTATTGCAGTGATAGCATCCGTACCGCGTTCATCCAATTGCAGTCACTTCAAGTCGGACTGTGGGTGTGAATCTCTAGACTACGCCAAGTGAGCGATGCGCATGGAGGACGTTGAGTGTCGCAGGACAGCTCTACACGCCACCAGGCTTGATGCGCGTATGAGATTTGCTCTACGCGTAGGAAATAGTAAGGTGCAGGATGCGGATCGTTTGCGTCAGGTTGGTGTTGGAAGCGTAAAGCGGTGGCTCGGTCGGGGATGACATGGGTTCCCCACGTCATGCAAGGTCCGGTAGCGGTGCACTTTGATTTCGAAGAACGTAGCCCTCGCAAAAAGTGTGTTCCCGGCTTGACTCACACCCACGACCTCTCAGACATAATGCGCTGAATTCGATACTCGGCCTCACCGATTGCAATTCCCTGTAGCCTTACTTCTCGCGTTCAGCAGCTGGCGGCTCTTTGTGCAAGTCTGACTCGCACCGCCCACCATGGCGAGCAACAGCGTCAATGGAGCGCAGGGTGAGCCCACCAAGGTGACCATCCTGGGCAAAGACTCGATAGTCGTCGACTACGGCATTTGGCAGAATTACATCGCCCAGGATCTGCTTACCAACATCCCCTCGTCGACGTATGTCCTCATTACCGACACCAACATCGGCCCTCTGTACACGCCCACGTTCGAGCGCGCCTTCGCGTCGGCCGCATCTTCGCTCTCGTCCTCCCCACGCCTCCTCACATACCAGATCGCGCCCGGCGAGACATCCAAGTCGCGGAATACCAAAGCAGCCGTGGAGGACTGGCTGCTGTCGCAAGGATGCGTACGCGACACCGTCATAATAGCACTGGGCGGAGGCGTCATTGGGGACATGATCGGCTATGTCGCGGCGACGTACATGCGCGGCATCAAGTTTGTCAATGTGCCCACGACACTGCTGGCCATGGTCGACTCGAGCATAGGCGGCAAGACAGCCATTGACGTGCCCGCGGGCAAGAACCTGGTCGGCGCCTTCTGGCAGCCAGAGAGGATATACATTGATTTGCAGTTCCTCGAGTCGCTGCCCAAGAGAGAGGTGGTCAACGGAATGGCAGAAGTGGTCAAAACGGCGGCAATCTGGAACGAGGAGGAATTCACAACACTCGAAGGCAATGCAGACGCCATCCTCGCTGCGATTGACCAAAAGCCTGTCAACGGCCGCAAGAACTTCGACGAGATCGCTAGCATTCTGAAGCGCATAGTACTAGGCTCAGTACGCGTCAAGGCCGAAGTCGTCTCGGCAGACGAGCGCGAAGGAGGCCTGCGCAATCTGCTCAATTTCGGACACTCGATCGGACACGCGTACGAAGCCATCCTCACACCTCAGATTCTCCACGGAGAGTGCGTCGCAATAGGAATGGTCAAGGAGGCCGAGCTGGCCAGATACTTGGGCGTACTGGATCCGTCCGCAGTCGCGCGCTTGACAAAGTGCATTGCGAGCTACGGACTGCCTACATCGCTTGCGGACAAGACGGTGCGGAAGCGGTCGGCCAACAAGCACTGTCCCGTGGACGAGCTCATCAAGATCATGGCTGTGGACAAGAAGAATGCAGGCAAGACGAAGAAGATCGTGCTTTTGTCCGGCATTGGCAGGACGTACGAAAAGAAGGCCAGTTCCGTCGAGGATCGCGACATCAGAATCGCTCTGTCACCGAGTATCTCTGTTCATCCCGGCATCCCCTCCGACCTGAATGTGACATGCAGACCACCTGGATCCAAGAGCATTTCCAACCGCGTCTTGGTGCTTGCCGCGCTTGGAACTGGCTCGTGCCGCATTACTAACCTGCTGCACTCAGACGACACACAAGTCATGCTAGACGCGCTGGCAAAGATGCAGGGTGCGAGCTTCGCGTGGGAGAACGATGGCAAGGAGCTAGTAGTGACAGGCAATGGTGGAAACCTGAAGGCGTCGAGCAACGAACTCTACCTTGGAAACGCTGGCACGGCCGCGCGTTTCCTGACTTCCGTAACCGCGCTTTGCCAGCCTGTCGAAGGAGTGACATCCACAGTAGTCACTGGTAACGCTCGTATGAAGGAGCGTCCCATTGGCCCGCTAGTCAAATCACTCCGCACGATGGGCGTGGAGATTGACTATCAAGAGAATGAAGGCAGCTTGCCGCTGCGAATCTCGGCCTGCGGTGGCTTTGGTCCGGATTCCTTCACGGGCGAGATTGAGCTTACTGCAAATGTGTCGTCGCAATACGTATCCTCCATCCTCTTGAGCGCGCCATACTCCAAGAAGCCAGTGACGCTGCGTCTGGTTGGTGGCAAAGTCATCTCCCAACCATACATCGATATGACCATCGCCATGATGGCTTCCTTTGGCGTGCAGGTCGAAAGATCCCAAGACGATCCCAACACCTACCATATCCCCAACAAGCCCTACACCAACCCTTCCGAATATGAGGTGGAAAGCGATGCTAGCTCTGCTACCTACCCTCTCGCGATCGCGGCCATCACAGGTACAACGTGCACAGTGCCCAACATTGGTTCGGGCTCTCTGCAAGGTGATGCGCGATTCGCTGTCGAGGTTCTAAAACCTATGGGTTGTAAGGTGGAACAGTCCGAGACATCTACAACAGTCACAGGCCCTCCTCACGGCGAGTTGAAGGCCGTCAAAGAGATCGACATGGAGCCCATGACCGATGCTTTCCTCACAGCATCAGTATTGGCCGCAGTCGCATCATCAAATGGTAGCACAACTACCACCCGCATTTACGGCATCGCGAACCAACGTGTCAAGGAATGCAACCGTATCCAAGCCATGGAAGATGAGCTCGCTAAGTTTGGTGTTATCTGCAGACAATTCGACGACGGTATTGAAGTTGATGGAAAGGCTTATGAGCTCGAAGCTCCAAAGGTCGGTATCCACTGTTACGATGATCATCGTGTCGCCATGAGTTTTGCTGTGCTCTCACTAGTAGCCCCAGCGCCCGTTCTCATCCTTGAAAAGGAATGTACTGGAAAGACATGGCCTGGATACTGGGACTCCCTGAGCCAAATCTTCAAGACCGAGCTTTCAGGTGTGGAGCTACCGCCACGGCCGAATGCACACAAGGCAGCGTCGAAGACTGAACAGAAATCGATCTTCATCATCGGAATGCGCGGCGCCGGCAAGACAACTGCTGGTGGGTGGGCAGCGCGTGCGCTCGGACGTCCCTTCATTGATCTGGATACTGCACTTGAGGAACACGTCGGCATGACAATACCTGAACTCATCAAAACACAGGGATGGGACGGCTTCCGGAACGAGGAGCTGAAGCTTCTGGCTCAAACTGTCAAGGAGAAGCCTAATGGGCATGTCTTCGCCTGTGGTGGTGGAATAGTCGAGACACCTGAAGCCCGCAAGATTCTCGTCGACTACCAGAAAAGTGGCGGTATAGTTCTACTTGTCACGCGTGATATCAACAAAGTAGTCGCCTTCTTACAGATCGATAAAACACGGCCAGCGTACGTAGACGACATTATGGGCGTATGGCTGCGAAGGAAGGACTGGTACACAGAGTGCAGTAACTACCGCTTCCACAGTCAGGTTCCAGGATCCGGTGGGCTTGCTCAGACGCAAGGAGAGATCGCCCGTTTTCTGAACACCATCACTGGCAAGGCCACTACGCTAAAGGGTCTTAAGAAGAGGAAGCACTCTTTCTTCGTCTGCTTATCTGCGCCCCGACTTGAGCCGTGCATCAAGACTCTACCAGAAATAGTAGTCGGATCGGATGCTGTTGAACTCAGAGTCGACTTGCTGGAAGATCCTAGCGGTCAAGAAGGCCTGCCAACTCCAGAGTTCGTGATCGAGCAACTGACAATACTGCGGACCGTAACATCGATACCTATCATATTTACCTTGCGAACTAAAGCACAGGGCGGAAGATTCCCAGATCAGGCTTACGATGAGGCCCTTGTGCTATATCGGACAGCATTACGACTTGGCTGTGACTTCGTGGATCTGGAGATGACCATGCCGGAAGATATCCTGCGCGAGGTCTCTGACACACGCGGATTTTCTGAGATCATCGCTAGCCATCACGATCCCAACGGCGAGCTCAACTGGAGAAACGGCTCGTGGATGCAGTACTACAACCGCGCGTTGCAGTACGGTACTGTCATCAAACTTGTGGGTGTTGCCAAGTCGCTCGAGGACAACTACGCGCTCGCGGAGTTCAAGAGCTGGGCGAACACTGCGCATCCCGTTCCCCTCATCGCCATTAATATGGGTGAGCATGGCAAGTTGAGCAGGATACTCAATGGCTTCATGACTCCCGTTTCGCATCCTCTTCTTCCCTCTGCTACCGCACCAGGTCAACTATCTGCTGCAGATATCCGCCGAGGTTTGTCGTTGATGGGCGAGATTCCGACGAGCAAGTTCTTCATTTTCGGCTCACCAGTCGCGCAAAGCCCTAGCCCACGTCTCCACAACAAGCTGTTCGGAGAGACTGGGCTCCCCCACATCTACGGCCGCCACGAGACTACGGATGCAAGCTCCATCCAGAACATTATTCGCTCACCAGACTTCGGTGGAGCCAGTGTGACAATCCCGCTGAAGCAGGACATTGTACCTCTTCTCGACGGCTTAGGCCCAGAAGTAGACGCAATCGGTGCCCTCAACACCATCGTTCCCGAGAGCTCCGTCGACGAAGCCAGTGGTGAAGAGGTGGTCCGTCTAATCGGTCGCAACACCGACTATCTAGGCATGGTACTCATCCTCCGCAACGCTGGTGCCCAAGGCAGCGGTTCTGCCCTCGTCATCGGCGGTGGCGGTACAAGTCGCGCCGCCATCTACGCGCTCAAAGAAATGGGCTACGGACCAATCTACCTCCTCGGCCGCAACCCCTCGAAGATGGAAACCCTCAAGAATGCATTCCCAGCAGAATACAACCTGCGCGTCATCAGCTCTCCAGAAGAAGTCCAATCTATGGAGAGCACGCCACAGGTCGCCATCGGAACCATCCCCGCTGACCAACCCATCGACGTCGCCATTCGCGAGACTCTTTGCACCTTGTTCGAGAAGGGCAAGGCGAGCGTCAAGGACGTGGAACCAGGTCCAGAAAGGATATTGTTGGAGATGGCTTACAAGCCCCCCGTGACAGCGTTGATCCAGCTTGCGATGGACAACGGTTGGAAGACGGTCAACGGTCTGGAAGTTTTGGTCGGACAGGGTGTGCACCAGTTTGAGTACTGGACTGGTGTCAAGCCGCTGTATGCGGTTGCTAGGGCAAGTTTTCCTGTGTGAATGATGAAGAAGATGTAAGCTAACGTTACGCAGGATGCTGTGATCAACCAAACGGACTAGACGGTGAAGAGGCTTCTATCGGTGCGGGACTTGGGTCTTTTGATTGTTCTTATGGATCTAGTGAAGATAAAAAGCACGATACATCATCACATCGTCTTCCGTTTGCAATTCCTAAATAATATCGATGTAATGCAGCACGTTGAGCTTGCCATAGTGATGTGATGCCGCGCCGGCGCACGGATATCTTCACGTGGCGCTTTAGTCCGGGATTGTGCTAGCGTCTGACATCATCCTGCGGTCTCGTTGGCTGAACAGCACCCTGTCTCTGCTTTCTGCCAGCGCGGACATAAAGGAATACATGTATACGAACTACGCCCGTCGTGTTATTCAACTCCAACTCAACCCAGAACCTTTGAATGCCAAGTATATCCTTCGCAGGAGCCAAAAAACGCAAGACGCGTCATTCCGGTTACACCTTCACAAAAGCACGTCAAGAACCTGGAATCACTATGCTTAGGCCAGCCGAGAGCGGACTCTTGCGTCTTGTCGATGAACTCCTTCTCAACATCATCGACCACGTCGAGAGTCAGGATGCCCTTTGCAACCTCGCCGCGACGTGCACGCGGTTTCAAGGTCTCGTTGAACCCTACATCTGGCGCAAACTAGAGGTCTTGACGGGAGGACATGCGCAAAAGATTGCCACAGCACTGGACAGCCGGGATAATCGGACAGAATATATCCAGGATCTGGCTATCCGCTATAAAGATGACTATCGCGAGGGGATTGAAGATCTGAACCATTATCTGAGTCTGATGGGTAGGCTGCGTCATCTGCATGTCGAGAGCCCTTGCCCGAATAACTTGGAATGGCAACAAGGCAACATCTACTTCGATGGGTATTCACGAATTGACTACACAAATCTGCTTGCAGCATCAGTATATCCACGTTTGGGTATGCCGATGACACTGCCGATGCTACAGTCGTGTAAGTCATACGTCCGATGTTATTCAGCCTAGCTAACGAGAGCCACAGTAACGCTCCATGCGCATGGTTCAGGAGACAACAAGTTCAGTTTAGGACGTGCTGTCGCGATGTTTAAACATCCAACTTTACGAAACATCACATTATCGTGCTTGAACTTTGACGGACAGCTTCAAGTATCCGAATCAGAGAAGAAGACAACACCTCTTCAATCTCTGACGCTTATCGAATGTAACGTCGGCGTGCCGTTCCTAGACGACGTTATGAGCCTACCCAAAACTCTCAAGGAGCTGTCAATTGGCGAGCGATTGCACGTTTTCCAGGAATGTCAGCCATCCATGGATCCCAAACATCGCACGTCCTCGTCTCGATTTCTAGTTGCATTGCAGAAGCAAGCACATTCATTGCAGCGCTTGACGCATTGCGGTGGTCACATTGGATATCTGACCCCGCGCGACACCGATCCTGAAGGCGCCGAAAAGCTACGCTCCCTCGTTGAGCTCGAGTACCTCGAGCTAGGTTTTGAGTCGCATCTCTACTACTACCTACGACAAAGCGGCTTCCCACCAGCGCTCAAGTCTCTAAAGATGCTCGACTCAGCCATCTCAATCAACTCAGGCCACGATCTACGCTCGCTATCCGACATCGCCTTCCGCTCCCTCACTTCACTCGTAGACGTCTGTCTCCCAAGAACACTGGCAGACGACTTCATACTACATCTCAAGTTCTCAGACCACTCTTTCTTCCGTCTCTTCGAAATCGTCGACGCAACAGAACAAGCCCATCTCCTTAGCGCCCTCTTCTTCGACCGCGCAGCTACCTACAAGATCGCCTCTATGCTCAAATCCTACAGCACAAACGCCCACTTCCTTGTCTCGCGAGAAACCTTTCCTTCGGGGAAGTCTTTCATTCCGCCGTACATGCATGGCGAAGAGTTGCCTGTCGAGGAATTGATGTACACGAGTAACGACTTCTGGCGCTTCAACGGCATCAACTACCGCATTATGGATGATGAGAATTGGAGAGATGAGCTTAAGAAGGGGAAGAAGCTGGTTGTGTGTAAGAGGTGTCGAAGTAGGGGTTTGGGCGTGGATGAGTGTCGTAGTTTGGGGGATGGGTCTGCTTGCATTCCTTGTAAGGGCACTGGTCTGGGGGTGTGCGAATGGGATAGGGACGAGAGTGGGGAGTTGGTCAGTGCTGGAGATGCGAAGGCGGAGTAAGTGTAGGATATCTGGCTTGTTGGCTTTGTCAAAATCAGAGTTGTCAGGGACTCTTCCACTGATCCAAGAGGGGATTCAGGCATTGCTCATATTGTTGGTTTTGCGGGAGTTGTGAGTGGCTCGTCGTCTATGGCTCGTCGATGGTTCATCGCAGCTTCGCGCGCGCAATGGTTGTATAAGTCAGGAGCGAGGATGCATTTATATATTTGCATAGAAGCTGCGCACTTCCTCCCTTCAAGATCCAGTTCTGGTAGGCGAATGGCGGATTGGTGAATATGAATAATGATGATAATGTCGTCCACTTCGGGTGCAATTCATCCCGCTATGTCACTTGCACTGTTTACAGGGCCAGATCGATGACAACAGTAGTGACAAATAAGCCAGACATGATCGGTCAGGATTCTAGATCGACAATGAAGAATAAAGTGGGGACATAGTCATGAGGATGAAGGGTACATACTTTGATGGAGACCTCGTCTTCTAGTATTCTCACCATGATAACAGCAATGATCGACCACTGCCGCGTCCTGCATATGTCTCCCTACGAGAACCAATCGCAACTAACAAGCGACCTTTCAGCATGGACGACCCAAGCAAACATTGTGCACGTCAATGATGCACTTCATAAGCGGGAAGTATGGCACCGCTATCCAAACAGTGCTCGCCGGAAAGTGACGCGCGATATGCGGAAGATGTCGAAAACAACTGCATCGGAAGTAGGTAACCGGTCCTGGTAGGGTCTCGTGATGATGATGACTGAAAGAGCTTTGACGAGCAGCTTATAGAATAGGTAAAGAAGGGCATGTTCGGTGAAGTGTGCACTGATCGGTACTACATCGTGAGTGACCATGATCGACCGTTTCTCGATCATGCACTAGGTTCTTCTAGAAGGGATGGGCAGGTACGGAAGGCGGTGGAAGGGCGTTCGAGTACGAAACCTTCGATGCTAAGGCAGCATACCCTCCGTGTGTGCGCATTGAAAAGGAAGAAAGAATACTATCGTCCGCTGCGTTGAGTAGTTGGCGATGCTCGTCATGCATTCCTGTAGCATCGTCAACGTGCGCCGCATCGCAATTTCTCGACCACAAAGTCTGTGCAATCTGTGAATCATCTGTCGTCTTTTGCGCGTATTCGGTGGTGCTGCGGTCCGACTGTAGGTTGAATTGCGATATTAAGGTGAAGGAACTTTCCGAGCGAGTTCATCAAAGTCTCTGGAAACCGAGGCGTTATGGACGATTGTACGATAAGCGTTGTCGAAATCCCATTTGACAGCAGGGCACGGAATGCGGGACCCCGAAGATATTTCTTCTTTCAAGGGGACAGACGAAGTGGCGTTTAGGAGCTAAGAAGACATGAGTTGAACGGTGCGGGTTGGACTAGTGGCGACTTCCCGAGTTCCCGCGTGCAGTTCACTCCTCTTTCCCCGTCAATCACTCGCCCAGGGCCAGCAGCAAATGCAAACATGAACCCAACATCAGCATACGATTAATGCGCATTAACGCTCATTTACCGCCTTTGAAAACAGTAGTCGTCTAATCTTACATCAGACTCGAGTTTGTATTGCTGGTAACAGCTGCGGCCGTCAGCCTCGTGTGCTGCAAGCCCCACGGGCACAGCCTCAGCCAGCTGGCTCTTGGCTTGCACTGCTGATATTATCACGACCGCAATACTATACACATATGCAAGTACCGTGATTGCGCACTCAGGACGGTACGCCACGAGACGTCTAGAGCTTCGGTCGCACTGGTGCTCAGAGTGTCAACCGCGCGGAACCCCGCAAAAGCAATGGCTAGCCGCACCTGAAGCTATCCTTCACACGCGCCACGCACAATTGGCCCGGCACGACGCCAGGTCCAAGCATCGGCGACCCCACGCGGGACCTCCATCAGGCTCAAGAGGCGCGGCAGATGGTTGCGATAAGCCCTGGATCGAGCTGATGGCTGCAAATGGAAGACTGCCGTGTGCATCAGCTGCAAGCTATACAGGTTAGCTTCTCACCTTGTCTTTCCATGTCGACACCGTCAGCTTTCTTTTCCTCCCTCCTTCTTGTTTTTTTGTCGGTGTGTATCTACACCCCTCCTCCCTGACCAGTTCTACCCTCGGAATATTTACATCACCTCCTGCGTGCTCTGGATGCGCCTCGATTTATCGTGTTGCTCTACAACATGCTCCTTCGTCGATCTCGTCTTCTAAACCTCAAGCGGCCTAACGGATAGCGACTCTGGCGTCAGCGGCGCAGACCGCCTTGCAACTCGACAATGCTGTTACCTTTTAATCAGGAATCATGGATCTGGTATACATGCGCTGTATGCATGATCGGGGCAAGATTGTGAGTGCATTCCCTGCGCATGACTCCAGTACATCGGTCTACATTCATGGTATGGTCTCGCATTCGAGAACGGTGCTTGGCATACGATGCGCTGGCTGAGGAGGTTGGACAGTCCCGGGCGCATCGTTGCTCTTCACTTCTGCTTGCTTGCATCAATTGCCAACGATCTGACAATCACTATCTGCTCATTGTGGCATATGCACCCATTTACTGACCAAATTCGTCATGTAGAATTTCGCGAAAGATGCTCTTTCGATCCGTCAAAGGCCTACAGATGGACGACTGGACCATGGGCCTCTTCGTCACCGCTGCCTACACTGTTATGATCGTGCTCGCGAATCGATGGCTGAAAGTCCAATCGAACCTTGAACCGGAGAATTTCGATTTCAGCGCACTGACTGTGGAAGAACTGACGAGACGACGATTCGGAAGCAAGCTCGTGGTTGTTGTAGAACAGATGCATATCGCCGTGATCTGGGCCTGCAAAGCTTGTCTTTTGATCATGTATCATCGCATAACACGGACGGCTCTTCAAAAGGAAAACATTGCCATCAAACTCCTCGCCGCGTACACAGCCCTTGGATTCGTCGTTATAGAGGTTCTCTACTTTTCAGCTTGGTGTCGGCCTTTTTCCGCATACTACGCAGTCCCGACGACGTCCTTCCAATGCAACGCGTTGGTACACCACCGCATCACCAAAGCCGTGTTCAACATATCCTCGGATTTAATCATGCTATGCATCGCATTGCAGATGCTCATCCGATCTTTGCTACCCATGAAGAGAAAGCTTATACTTTGTGGCATTTTCTCTCTCGGTATCTTCGTTGTTGCTGCGAGCATCATGAACAGCTACTACTCCTTCAGCAACCCGTACAAGTCGACATGGATCTACTGGTACGTCCGGGAATCGTCGACAGCTATCCTTGTCGCAAATCTGCCGTTCACATGGACGATATTGAGGGAACTGTTCGACATGGGCAACTTCGATGATACGAACCCTCCCCCATGGACCTATCATTCTGCTCGTACGGCTGGAGGTCGCAAAACGGCACAGCTACTTCACCACCAGTCTGCGACAACGGCCGCACGCACAGGAGCCAGACGATCGCCGAACAACAGCAATGGAAGCAAGATGACGCAGACTATGAGTATGGTTGCTTCAAACATCACAAAAGACCAAACCAAATCGCCTGCCATTAGCCATAGGTCTAATTTTGCGGATAAAGATCTCCTTCAAGAAGCCATTCAGTCTCATGACTTTGCGCCCGCAGTACTATGTACTAGCAAAGACAGCATCGTCGACATCGACTTGGAAACAGGGCTGGTTGAGGAAGTCGATGCACGGCCAGTCTCTCCCAACCACAGACAGCAACGTAATAAGCTAGTCTCGGCTCCGCCTACAATCACCCAAGACGGCACAGGCGGCTTCTACGTCAACGACCATCCTATCCCACCACCTTCGCGCGCGCATCTTGTCCTTTCGATGAGCGGAACGCGATCTAGCAGTGTATCGAGCACACATAGGAGACCTTTGAGTCCGACATCGAGTCTTGTCAGTGGTTATACCGGAAGTCGACGTGGAAGCGCGTCGACCCAGGGCGGAGTGGCTGGACACACAGCGGGCGGAGGTAGAAGCGCAAGAGATCGAAGAGCGAGAACGAAGATGAATGAGTAGAGCGCCTTATGAAGATTGATGGAACAAGTAACATATACCCCTTGCAAGCGAACTGCTTTATTATACATAGACTAAAACCTCTAATGTAATCTAATACCTTACACTTATTCTCATTGTCTGATCCAGGCACACTAAGGGCGCAGGTTGCCGCATTCGGTGACAACTGCAGGGCTGTACGACGCGCATCGGCCGGTGAGCTACTCTTCATGTAGGCGGCCTAGGTAGGAAGGCACGTGAGAGAGCGACTTCGGCAAGCGCTAGCGGACCCTTCCCTTGGTCCATTGACGCGAACTGCAACCACTGAGGATGGCGCCATTGCTGACCGCCAGCCGCTGCATATGAGGCGCCGCAGCTGCGCTCTCCTGCGCAACGACGGCGGAAGTAGCTGGCGTGGAAGCCGAGTCATTCATCCGGTGTGCTCACTGTGGTATGTATGCCGTGCAGACTGCAGCCATGCCGCGCTCTAGAAGCTTTGGAGTGCATTGGATGGCGACATGCGACATGGGTTCGGCAGAAAAAGTGCAACAGCCGAAGGAAGCGAAAACCTCTCTGGCCCGTGACGACAGACATCCATCTTTCACCATGCTGCCCAATTCCTGAGCTGCCTGAGCTGCGACTGCTCCACCCAAGCATTACCAGGGCGGAACCTTAACTTGGAACTAAATCTTTTCCATTATCGATAAGAGGAATTTCTCCGTGAAGGCCCTCCTTCCTTCACTAATCTCCTCTTGCTATACTGCCTGCCGCGAAGTTAGCACACAACCCCACCTCCTCCACCAGCCGTCAACATGAGGAACATTGTGGTCCTGGGCGGCAGCTCCCACCCGCAGCTCACCGAGTAGGTCGACGCGCGGAGAAGCGGGCCATGGCTGTGACTAACTGGGCGATAGGACTATCTGCAACCACCTCGGCATACCCAAGGCCAAGGTACTTCTTGACAAATTCAAGGGTGGTGAGACGCGTGTCGAGATCGAGGAGAGTGTACGAGGAAAGGATGTCTTCATCATCCAGTCCGGCGGCGGTAAAGGTACGAAGCCCTCGTGCAGGTCGCGCGCGCATTCCTAGCCGTAGTGGTACTGCAGCGCACTTGGGACAGAACACGACGCCCGCGTGCTCTGCGATATCTGAAGAACCCCGCTAATGTGTCGTGTTGCGCGCAGTCAACGACCATCTGATGGAGTAGGCCCATCCTCATGGTGTAGTTGAGTGAAGTGCCTGACCGTCCTCCAGACTTCTCATTACTATCTCGGCCTGCCGCACCGCCTCGGCCAAGCGCATTACCGCCGTCCTCCCTCTCTTCCCCTACTCGCGCCAGTCGGACATTCCCTACAACAAGACTGGCGCGCCTCTCTCCAAAGTGCCTGGCACGCGCTCGAGGACCGGCACGTACACGTTCGATTCGCGACCGCAGACGCCCTTCCCTGGGCAGGCCGAAAGCGCAGGTCTGACGAATGGCTCGGCCGCGCTGCACCACCAGCTCAGTAGAATGAAGCTAGACGAGCGCAACGGCGGTCGCACCGATCCTACAAGCCCGGTCAAGCAGAATGGTATCAAGCGCACCGAGACGCTCGACTCGAGCAGTTCCGGTAAATCCGACAAGGGCGCATACTTCAATGGCGACCATGGGGCCAACGGCACCAACGGCTCAGTTGCTCCCACACCGGGCATCACGCGCGCGCCCACAACTACGAAGCCTCCCGCTTTCGAGCCCCAGGTTGGATACCGCCAGTGGGTCGCTCAGGCCGGTACCCTTATTGCGGACCTTCTGACTTGCGCTGGCGCCGACCACGTTATCACTATGGATCTCCACGGTATGGTACCATCTTGTAGGACCTAAGATGACTGTACTGACAACCCGCTTAGACCCCCAATACCAGGGCTTCTTCGACATTCCCGTAGATAACCTTTACGGCCGCCATCTCCTCCGCAAATACATCCAGTTCAATATTCCAAACTACCAACAAGCCGTGGTAGTCTCTCCCGACGCTGGAGGTGCGAAGCGCGCGACCGCCATTGCCGACGCTCTCGGCATGCCTTTTGCCCTCATCCACAAGGAGCGCCGCCCCACACAGATCAACGACCGACAGAATGCGACCATGATGCTGGTTGGAGACGTTCGAGAGCGCACAACTATCCTTGTCGATGACTTGGCGGATACGTCCAATACCATTACCCGCGCGGCAAAGCTCCTGAAGAAGGAGGGTGCTACGCAGGTGATTGCGCTCATTACACACGGTATCCTGAGTGGCGATGCTATCGAGCGCATCAACGCTAGTGCACTGGACAAGGTCATTGTGACCAACACGGTGCCCCAGGAGGATCACAAGAGCCGGTGCCCCAAGTTGGAGGTCCTCGAGGTCGGCAATGTGTTTGCTGAGGTATGTCAACATGAACTACAAGATATTGCGATGTATACTGACGTTCTACAGGCCATTCGACGCGTCCACCACGGCGAGAGCATCAGCGTGCTCTTCGACTACAGTTAGTACCTGTACTCATGTAGTATCCGTTTCTTGGGAGACCGTGCTATCTGCCCCGCTATGCTACGCTCGGATTCTGTTACAGAGTACACATTCGATAAGTAGAAAAAACTGGTTCGATGGAGTTGCTGCTGGTTTGTCAAAGATCACACTCTCTCTATTGACTGTGTTTACCGGGGATATGGACATTAAAGGATGTTTTTTTTATCGTGCGTCTATGTTTATAGACTGCTGAGGAGCAGTATATCAAATACCTGTACCTGCATTATGAGCATACGTGCATGGACTGGCGTTGGGGAGGCTGTTCTTTATAAAACTTGAGTATTCATATGACTGTGCTTTCTGGATAGGTCCAAAATAGAATGATGGTGTCTTGTTGTGTTTCACTTGTGCAGATGTTACTGTGATTAGGTTTTGGTGTGGTCGCTCTTCCATGGTACATTGGGCTATGAAGCACTCTTTACTACCATACTCCCCCGATCGTCGAGGGCAATTCCTCCCCTCTACTTATCATCCATTATAACGCTAGAGCACATCAGGCTTCTCTAACTAAATAAAACCGTCTAAGCTCTGATAGAATTACAAACCTCTGGAGGAAGCCTCCATCCTCCAATCTCCAATCAACCCCATACCATCTAGTACAGAAGCATCACCTTACAAATACAATACATCAATGACTCCTCACAATCCAGCTCATCCCTCATCCCCATCCTCTCAACCTCCCTCATCTAATACCCTCCTCCCACCTCCCCACCCCACTATCCTTCCTCCTTCCCTCTGCCACCTCCTCACCCCCCGGCGTAAACAACTCCGCACTCAACACCAAAACAGCTGGCACAACCGCCAGCGCATCAATCGTGCCACTCCTGCCCCTCTTGCTGTGGTGTCGTAGATTCATCATCGCGTTTACTTCTCGCGATTTGACTACGTCTTTTCGGATGCGGGGCCAGTCCTCGCTGTTTGTGCTGGAGCGAGGGGAGGTGGGTGAGGTGGGCGATGTCACAGACGCAGACGTAGATGCAGATGAGGAGCTGCGATGGCGGAAGGGAGACAGTGAGGATAGGGTGCGGGAGCGTCCGCGTTGTTTTTCCGGTGGTGAGGAGATGGAGAGGTTGGTTGATGGTGGCTGGTTTGATGTCGATGGGGATGTGGTGCGCGGTGCTGTGATACGGGGGAGTGGAATGTTTATTTCCGTGTAGAGAGGGCCTTCGTAGTGCACTGAAAAGGGCTCTGATGTTGATGTGGCGATATCCGAGCTTGTGGGTATAGGCGCATCGTGGTCGTGTTGTGGGGTTGTGGGGGCGGAATCTAGGGCTGGAAAGGGTTCGTAGGATGGGCTGCTGTGGTCCATGATTTCTATTATTCCTGTACTTGACTTCCTGGTTTGTTCAATGGGGCTTTTGGAATTTCTGGGTCGCGAAAGCTGGAGGGAGGGGATTGCGGCGTAATATGTGTATATGTCCTGGAGGCGCGGTGATCAAAAGCGTCGCGGTGAGCACAGCCTCGTTCAGGCAACCCTTCGTTTTGTCACGTTTGTTGACGCCCGAAACACACGCGGGACGATGATTATCTCAGATTCTGGAGAAACTGTGAGTCTGCGAAGAAGTGGAAGTCGCTGTTCGTCCACTCGTTGGTACTGTCGCGCTGGTGAATATGGGGAATGTTGGAGTAGGTGTCGCTGTTGACAGTCAGGACCTAAGAGTAAACAATCGCGCAAACACGTCCCAAACGAAACATATACGTCTAAACCTAAGCAGGCTTCCATTGTCTGCACTTCAGCTGATCACAATAAGCCTCATTTCCACACGCGTGCGGCTCAGCGGCGGCGTCGCGGTTAGAAGCTTTCGCGAGCCGCTTAGCCGATTGACATGGCTGTGGGGGCTGTGCAGGTTCGGCGGCTGACATGAGTTTGAGGCTCAGCGCTACAGTAAGACAACACTTCAAAGCCAACGTCTACGTTACGTTATTCGGACGAAATTCGATTTCAAAGTTCGAATAATACTTTGATCTCATCAAAGCGTGACCAGCTACGCACGTATCGTCAAGAGAAAGTAGATGTGTGATTGAAGCATATTATTCATGTTGTTGTTGACATTATCATTGTTGACTATATACAAAGCTGCTCACTGCAAGCTTACAACAGGCTCAAAGTGACCTTCGCACCCTTGACGCCCCTGTGAACGTGAGGCTCACGGACACTCCTCTTCGCGGTGCCGTTAACGGGCACACGAGCTGGGAAACCCTCCCACGAGGTAGCGTAGTTGGCAACAGCAGCCGCAATACCGCGAGAGTGTAGGAGCCAAGCTCCCTCATTGAGGTTGGTGACGTTGTCGGCGGCCTGGTGGTAGTTCTGGTCAAGGATCTCTCCTGCAACACCACCCCAGATAGCCTGCTCCTCGACGGTCTTGACCTCATCAGCACCGGTGGTAGTACCACCTGCGGGGATGTTGGCATCAAGGAAAGGACCATAGTCGGAACGACCGTTGAACTCGGTGGCGTTGCTGGAGATGTTGAGATCCTTGAAGTAGCCCTCGAAGAAAGCCTCAATCTGGTCGCTTCCAGCGGGTCCGCTCAGACCGTATGCACTGCCGTCACCGTCGTAGATCTGATGAACGTAGTTGGGAGACGCAATCATGTCGAAGTTGAGGTATGCGCGGATGTCAAGAGCTGCCGCAGGAGACAGGCTCTCGACGAAAAAGGTGGAGCCGAGAAGACCGGACTCCTCGCCAGACCAGAAGCCGAAGCTAACAGCGTTCTTGACGTTGTACTTAGCAAGCGACTTGGCGACGTTCAGGATGGCAACTGTTCCAGAGCCGTCGTCGTTGATTCCAGGACCAGCACCGACAGAGTCAGTGTGAGCACCGAGCCAAAGCTGGTTGTCTTTGTCACCACACTTGCTGGTAGCAAGAACGTTGTTGGTGGTGATGATTTGAACGTCGGTCAAAACGTCCAATGAGCCGGTGACGGTAGCACCGCCAGCGACCTGAGAAACGATAGCCTGACCCTCTGCCTGGGACAGAGTCACACTCGCGACGTAGTCACCCTCGGGACGGGGAGGGGGGCCAAGAGTGGCACTAATAGTGCCGGCAACATTGTTGTAGATGATAGCACCTACGGCGCCAGCGCTTCCAGCAAGAGCGGACTTCAGTCCGAACTCACATTCACCGCGCGAGATGAGTGCAATGCTACCGGATACAGCCGCGGGGAAGTCGGACGCCTCGCAACCGAGGTTGTTGACGGGAACGATGGGTGCGGTAACGAGCCCATCGGTAGAGGCTGAGTACTCAAGAATCGTGGAGTTGATCATACGTCCGTCGATGGTGAACTTGTTGAGCGTGCCGTTCAGCATGACGTAGTTGGAGAAAGGCTGGAGTGTAACATCGTAGTATGAAGTAGACTCGAGCTCTTTCTTCAGCCAGTTGACGGTGTCATTGTGAGCCTCTCCTCCCATGATCCTGTTACGGGCTGGGTAGCTGTAGGCAAAGTCCTCGAGCTGCTGAGCACCCCTCATCAATTTCTTGATGGTGATGTCCTTCTGAAGAGCCTCCTAGAATGATCATTAGCACATTTCCAACGCGATTGTTGAGGGTCAAAGTCCCATACCTTCGTGACCAGAGGCTTCTTGGGGCATGGCTTGGCGTTGTGGCCATCCTGGCGTTGCCTGATTTCCGCCGTAGGGACGGCTGCAGCACCAACGGCGAGCGCAGCGAGACCGAGAGTAACCCTCATGTTTACAAATCTGCTCTATCTCGAGTGGTTGAGATGGTAGAAGCAAGCTGCGGCGTATCTTCTCTCTGGAGTGCGAGGCCCGCACTTTATACATCTCTGTTGCAGCGATCGTCAGGTCGTGCATGCGTCGCCATGCACAGATTCCGTGGACCTGTTCCGTGAACCAATTCTGCGGCCATCGCGTGCACTCGCAATCAACTCCCTGTCTGCCAAGCAGCTCAATATGAACAAGCTCCTATCATTCGCCCACGGCTTCTCCACTCTTCATGCTTGATCCAGCAGCTGGTAAAGACAAGCTGCGCCAATGCCTGCTTCATTCCGGTAGAGCCCTGGGCGGCGTCTGGGCACGCCTGATAGTGGCGCTCAATTGCGAGATTTCCGGGGCGCAATTGGAGAGAGGACTCATGCGGGTGGGTGTCGGCGGAGGCAAGATCACGCTCGCCAAGAAAGCCGGATGGATGCTGTTTAGGAAGGTGGCCATGTCCGGCTGCCGGACCCGCATAGGACCCGTTCTGTGGTCCTCTAGGATCCATGGTGTATCGCGGAACACTCAAAGGCGCTCGTGAGGTTTGTCATTGTCGCCTCTTCCTTCCAGAGCCCCGCTTCGTGCGATCTGGGCAGGTCATTTCGGTGTAACCGGCTGTCAAATTCAACGGGCGATAGCACGGCATGCGGCGCCGAGGTCCCTGGAAAACGGGGAGCTTGTGCCTGGCGCACGGAGCAGCGGATTGCTGACGAGATAACAAGACCATCTCAGGGCTCTGCAGGATAGATCATCTCGGAAGAAGAAAAGCCGGCAAAAGATCTGTCGCAAACAATCGATGCACGAAAGAGAGGCAAACCACGACGAGGGGAGTGCATAGCATATATATCTCAGAGCACCATGTTGTCCTCTTGGCGACACCATGGCCTATTGGGTGACTCCCAACCATATCGTGGTTGGCTGAGAACCTTGACAAGGGTTTGATAGCAGGTCCCGGGCCCAAGGACGTTAATCCTCACCTCACTACTCGAACAGCTTTGAACTCTTCCGTCGGGTTGTTTGATACTGAGATTGAGAGCTTTGCGCTGACCTTTTAATTGAAGCATGTCTATGACATACGTCAAGATGAACAGCTTTCGAGCAAGACAGGTCTACCTAGGTACTACAAACTCCGTAGCAATCAGGGGAAAGGATGGAATCCGAGAGGAGAGGTCCAAAAAGAACGCCAGCACATAATCAAGAAGCCTATTCTTTCCGCGCATGAAACACCAAGTTCTTTCCCCAATCATCAATGAGGTAGCAAGGATCTTCGAACCTACCATCGCCATCCGGTGACGGACAATCGTCTGCAAACTCCCGACCCAGCCACGTCGCATCCATGCACTCTAGCATCCTCCCAACTCGCGGTGTCCAGGTGTCGAGCGCGTGAGTCTTCCCGTCTTTATGCTACAGATGACTCAAGACCTCCGTGGCGATGGTGGCAGCGGGACTCGTTGGGAAAGTCATATCTACAGTGACCTAAAGAACGGGTATGAAGGATGGTGGGTAGAGACTCATGAAGAGCGTAGAGGTTGTGATAGAGAGGTATTCGTACGGCTCTGATACCACGGTAATGGGCGGGTTGCACCGAGAAAGCATGACCATGTCTTCGAGTTTGTACGATGGGTCTCGAGCTACGATTGGGATGGGGGTTGGTGTGGAATTCGGGGAGGAAGTGGTGGCGTACCGCTGCGACAGGAAGGTTGAGATGGCGCAGGCGAGCATGTGCTGTGAAGCTGAACGATCGGACTCTTCTCTGCCTTCCTCCACTGTTCTGTGCAGCGTTCCGAGGGCTACGCAGACAACGTTGTCGACTTGTACGGTGAGGGTGTCGAGCTGCTCTCGTAGACTGGCTTAGAATCTGCTTCTTAACAAAGATGTTTCGAGGACTTTCGAGACTTCATTATACTGTTCGCGATTAGGCCTATTTGCAAGTGCCTGTTGAGATGTTTTCTGAGTATCATTAGGCTTCAGTACCATAGTATCGCTGAAGTCGTACTTGCTACTGTGGCGATAAGTCCCAATGTGATACGCTGGAAGCGTCCCTTCGTCAGAGGCAGAATTGAAGACCCCATGGAATGCAAGACTGACGGCGGCATGAGGTGGAATCCGGAGCTTCCTGTGCCTATCACCCCGCACATTTGGTAGAGACATGAATTGCTTATTCGGATCTGGCTCGTCTTAACGGACTATTTCGACTTGTTCCGCTGCTTTCTCCAGGAATGCGTGGGTGAAGATTGGTTTGTTGTCCAGGGAGGCTTCGAAAGCGCCGGAATCTTCGAAGACATGTGCGCCGTACGATTGTCATTGTTTTCCTCTTTGGTCTTTGGTACGTTGGGTCATGTCGCTGCGTTCTTTCGGACAAGAGGATACGGGGTTTGGGGGAGCAATTGCTATTTTCGTACTTTCTTCCTGGACCAACATGGTGTAATAGAGTCGAAAATGGGTTCTTGACTGCTGCTTGGAGAATGTAGGCCTGGTGCTGCGGGGAGGAATCAGGCAACGTGAATGTTGTGCTACCTAGGTAGCTCAGGACAACAATGTTGCAGGTTTGGACTATAGTAAACTTGAATGACGATGGAAGCTTCACAATGTCCAATGAAGAGATCAAACATGAACTTGCGGGTTTGGTGAATGAACGGCTTTGATGTTTAGACAGTGAGATATGGTTTTGGGTTGAACAAGGAAAATATCGTGAATCATGTGGTAAGAATCTAAGTGAGCATGATGTGCATTTACTGGTTGCGAGGATAACACTATTTGCACAGCAGCCCGTCTTTGGATTAGCTATACTTCCTAGAACAGAGGCCTGTTTGTATAGATAGGGTATATATTTCGGAACTCGTGAGTCGCTCGTCGGCGATGTGTGATCGCAACCTTGGTTTCGGGGTGTTGGAACCAAGTCATAGTGGCCAGTATACCACGGACATATGTTAGCGATTCATCGCACGTAGTGAAAGCATACATGGGAACGATCCACCAAAATAAAGCATGCATCGATAGCGTTGCGGAAGTCTCCAGGATCTCAAACGTAAAGGTTTCATTGTCATCAACCCCCATAACCCCTCTTCACTTAAACTGATCCTCCGTAACACCCTTACCCATAGCCGCCGTGGAACTAACACCACCCGACACCATCTTCAACAGATTATCCACGTAATTCGCGCCACTCCACTTCTGATGCGTAAGCACATCGACCTTGTTCTCCGCTTCCGGCTCTTGGATGATCTCGCCGTACGCGCGCATACCCTGCTTAGCATACGCCTTGGAGAACGTGTCGGCCATGAGAGCGCTCTGGTGCAGACCAGCAAGCGTGATGAACTGCCAGCAGTAACCTAGCTTGGCTAGGCGCTGGATGTAGGTTTCTTGCTCGTCGCGGGGCATGGCGGCTTTCCAGTTGAACGAGGGGGAGAGGTTGTATGCTAGTCTGTTGGAATTGTTAGTGTGTGTGTGAGGGAAAGGGGTGGAACAAGACGTACTTCTGCTCGGGCCATACGGCATGGACGCCATCAGCGAATTCTTTCGCTTGCGCGAAGTCGGGAAGCTTTGACTCCATCCAGATCATGTCGCAGTAGGGCGCGTATGCGATGGCGCGGTTGATGGCAGTTTGGCAACCGCCTTGGTACCTGTAGTAGCCCTCGCGTGTCCTTGCGGCGTCCCAGTTGAAGTACACATCGACACCGGTCAGACCTGCGGCGATGGCGCGTGCTTCTGAGTTGCTCTTTCCCTTACTCTTTTCCATGAACTCGTTGATCATGCTCTGCTTGTCAACATGTACACCGGCGTTTATTGTGTCGATCACAGCCTCGTGGTAAAGCTTCAGGTTGGCTTCCTTGGTCCAGGCATCCTCGATCGCCTGGAGCTCCGCGCCGTTCTTGCCGGCTTGTTCGGCGGCATACATCAGCTCGCCCAGAGGTTGGAGCGCGGGGTTCGTGCAGCCTAGAATGTAGTGGTGGTCGCGTGGGTCGATGGTAGAAGTGATCAGGGTGGCGGCTTCTGAGTCGGTTCTGGCTACGGCAAGTAGGTCGGTTCCTGTTATCCCAATATTAGCTTGCGTGACTGCTGATGGTTGGAGTTCATCGTCTTACCCATAATATCCGCTTGCGCTCTGATAGCAACCAGACGGTTGATATGTTCGCTGATCGGAACCAGAACCTTTCCAGCCATGTGTCCGCACTTCTTCGTTCCTGGTGCTTGATCCTCGATATGTATACCGGCCGCGCCTTTCTCGATGAACAGCTTTGTAAGCTTCATGATAGCTGTGAGACCTCCATGTCCCGTATCGGCATCCGCAATAATCGGTCGTAGGTAGTCTACGTTGGCGACTTTCGCACGGTCGGCTTTCGCGGTGGTCAGGCGTTCTTCACGTTGCTTTCGGTCGTGGAACAGTTGCGCCATGAATAGGTGACCAACTTTGTTGGGGACGGTTGTCTTGTAATCGTGAGTTTCTTTTCCACATTATCGTCCCATTTCTGTGACTTACGTAGGGGTAGTCTGCTAGATCTGGGCCTGGCTCGTCGGTCGATGAAGCGGTTGACGAAGCCTGCCATCCAGAAACGTAAACAGTATCTAGATATTTTGCCATCTGTGTGACCATGACAGGATCAAGGCATCCGTATGTGTAGCTGACATCATTGTTCTGCACATTGTTAGCTCGTATGTTTGGGGAATGGGATGACGACCATACCTTGAAGCGGCCTTCAACAATCTCCCAAAGCTTTTTCGACTGGTGATTGCTCGGGTAGGTAATCTTGAGATTACCTCTCTTCGAAACGATATCCTCAGCAGTGAACGGTCTCCTAGTGTACCTCCATCTTGAGTCCGACCACCACTGCTTAACTTCCTGAACTTCCTTCTGGAACTGCGCGTCCTCGGTGTCGATGTTCGACATGATGAACGATGTGTAAGACGTGTAGCAACAACAAAAAATGCTGGATTCTCACAGCACAACTGGTGTGTATGGAGCGATGTGACCAGAAAAAAGAGGGAATCACGTCCTTTGATAAAGATGACCAGCAATGACACCACACTTTCTCTAGCCTCGGTCTACGCAGCCAGGAACCTTAGGGGGGAAGCCAAGCGTCTTATAACCATAGCATCAGCATACTCACACCATCAAGGGCTAGCACAACCCCAAGGAAGCTCGGGGACGACCGGCTGGACGCACCATTGGCCCGACTGCTGCATCCTCGGAAGCTGGCAGCAACGTCTAGCGTTGGCCATGCACTTGCTCGAGCGTTATGTCGCGTTGCCCTCGGCCCAAGGGGAATTGACGTTTTGAAAGGCTGACTGCGTGTAGATCGGGTGGGGATGGGGGACCAGCGGAACCGTGACGGGGATGACGTTTGCCAATGGTCTTGGGTGAACTCGTTTTAGACGGAGCTGCATCCTTCGTTATGATGCTACTCCTATATCACGGTTCCCATCTCAATGCACTAGAGATGCTGTTCAGCATGACACGCGACAGTATGCTGCAGCTTCACATGTCGATGTTCTGTCCTTCTGCTTAGCTGGTTTTCTGGTGCATGTGAAGACGCACGCCAAAATCTGGGGTCGCGTGTCGTTAGCGTCGCGCGGGTTTTACCTCGGTTGATCCTGTCCGGAAAAGGCCAGAACCGCTATTGATCTGCGACTTTCACGAGCAGGCATCTTCGCTGTCTCGGAAAACACGTGAGTGGTGTCATTGTTGCGTCTGGAATTTCTCGGATAAGGCTCGCTCGGCAGCAGTGACGATCCCGGCAAATGCTCGTGGCTGGGCGTTGTACCGCCATGTGCATCACCGTTACTCGGGAAGTATGTTGACGAATTGAATTGTAGTTGAGAGGAGAGGTCTAGGTTTCATCTGTAACCCTTCAAGGACTCATACATATGACACGAGTACACCGCCAACGCACTCTTCCCTAAAGACCACCAACCCCAGTGATCCATCATAAGCACGTTAGAGCATGCCGACCAATCCCTTCTCATCACCAAACCTTTTAGGCATTCAGCTGACAGCAACCCCGGCGTCGACGCACCCCAACTCATCAGCTGCTGAGCAGCAACATAACACAGCAAGATCCTGATCACCAGATCCACCAGCCCAACTATCTCTGTAAACCCAAAACAGAAGCGCTGTGCCAAGAAAAGCTTGGTAACGGTCCTCCGGTACTCACAAGCGTACTGCTGTCCGAAGTAACCCCGGACATATCTATCCAACTCGGAGAATGGTCTGGCGCGAATGTCATCCACATTGACCGCGGAGCTTTGCGGCGTGACCGAGTATGCAGGGTCGGCGGGCGGACACCTGAGTTTCTTGAGCAACCACCATCTGAGCTCGTCCAGGTAGCTTCTTCGGACTCGCGGCGTGTCCTCATCTTTGAGGCGTATTGATGAGCCCTCGGAGAGTAGCAAAGGTAGGAGGTGAGGACGACACATCCACAGCGTCCGGTTCCGTTCGTCGGTGAAAATGCATTCGCGATCGATGGCCTCGGAGATGTACGTATAGTGGATGAGTCGTGAGTAGAATGCTGGCGTGAGCACACGAATCTCGATTTCCTTGTACGGTCGATTGCGACCAGGGGCGTATGTCGTGGCGATCTTGTCGGTGGGGACGTTGGGAATCGACGCTTTGAACGTGATGCAAAAGTCTACTTCGGTCTGGTTTACGAGTATGTGTAGGTAGTTTCTGAATACTTTGTAGAGTGTTCTGGAATTGTTAGTCGCGGTCGATCCATACTTCACTCATACTTACATCTCAGCCGACATGGGCAGTCGGCCAACGCTCGACGTTAGCACCTCTGGCCGGAACCAGACGTGCAGCTTCCTCTTGAAAAAGATCTTGCCAGCTTCTCTGACGATGCGCGGGAACGTTACAAGACCTACCCACCACCAACTCAGAATGAATCGCAGAGTTCCGAAGAAACCCAATTGATCCGGATCAATAGCCTTTCCGGTAGAGAAGAGGCGAGCTACGAGCTTTCCATGATCCTTGGAAGACTTGAGCGTAATGGTGTTGTCGATCAAAGGGTTCTCACAGTCCACAGACGGGAAAGGGTTCTGGGCTTTCAGTGCATATGAGCCCTTTCGAGAGTTGAACGGAGAAACGTGGAAATCTTTCATCCATACATCAGTGAACTTCGACTTCGACCCAATAGGTACCTGCGAACCATTTCCTTCTGATCCAGACGTCTGCTCAGAATCAGATGTGCGCGGCGGACTCGCAGGACTCGACCCGTCAAGCAGATACATGCGTCTTTCTCCGAATGTGTTGTTGACTTCAAGTATCATCTTTACAAGCTGATGCTCGCGATCGTAGATATACCAGAACGAAACCGGATTGAACGCGTAGCCGAAGAAGCGCGGTGCCGTCACCAAGTAAGCGTACTCCCATTCCGAATCTTCAACATGCTGAGCCCGCATGTATGACCTCAGCTTCCAGTAAAATCCAGATCTGCCGCCACCTCGTTCCAGATAATCCTCCGCTCTTATTCGCAACCACCATTTACCCAAAGTTTGGTCCTCTCCGCTTGCGAACTCTATCCCCTGGTATTTATGCCCACTCGAGACGATGGGAAACCCGCACTGGAGGTATGAGTATGCGAACGCATGGCGCTTCGGAAAGATTCGAGCATGCGACGTTTGGCACGGGAAGATCTTCGGCTTTGGCGTTTCCACATCAGACCTCCATCGACTGACATCAGGTGCGTTCGCAAACGGGTCCTCGTCACTGCGGGATCTGTGCCACAGAAAGAATGCGAGTAGAGCTAGCGGTATCGCGACGCTGAAGATGGCATATGTACCAGGCGACCCTTCTACCCAGCCCCTACATCCATTCCAGCTCTTCAACACGGTCGCAACCAACTTGTCTCGCGCCAACGAAGCATACAATACTCCAAACACCGCGCAATCCGTGAGAAGCCCGCGATCCCCACGCCGCCGTCTAACAACACATCCTCCGATCCAAACCGCGAGCATCGACACTGTTTGCCACCCATCCACCACCGCAAAAAGCGGCAGCAACCCCACAGCCGCGCATTCGAAGAGGGAAACACCCAGACCGCGACCGTCACTAGCAATCCGCATTAATGAACGTTTGTGTTAGTATTATCGTGACATTGGGGGAAGTTACGAAGTGGATTGCTGTGGTGCGATAAATGTCAGATCGAAGCGTGGTTTGACGCTAGACCGTTCTCATGAAATGTATATGCAGGGTGGTCCCTCAGAAATATGAGCCCGCCGCGAGAATATCCCCATTTGTCGGTCGTTCACACCAGAGTCGCATCAGCGGGGACGGCGAAGAGATACGATGCGACGGCGATGCATAACCTTTTTGCTTGAACGCCGACTTCCAGAGCTGGTGGGAAGGAAGACAAGAGGCTGGACTATTGAGGAAGGTGGGTCTAGAGCTATGGTTCGGCGATATGTGCGTCATCGGAGTTAAGTCGGTCAGACGGAGAGCATCAACATGTGGACCTGCGATATCTAGTCTTCTCTACTGAACCTATATCTCGTATCTCAGGCTACTAGAAGCGAGGGTTTTCGTTCTAGTTGATACACTCCCCTATCTATGGAAGTAAGATGAGAGCAACACGTATTCCGAGCGTGACGCGACGCGACGCCGACTGCAGACTACGCATGGACCGGACTTCGAGCCGGCGCCACGATTTGGAATGGTACCTCAAACAGAAAAGCATCCAGCAGCGCCGATGCATGCGTCTCCATCCCTCTAACACCATCTAAGGCGCAAATGCTGTTCCCCATAACAACGCCTTCTCCCTTCTCGTCCCTTATCACGGATCAGGAATATCGATTCCTCCTCTTCCCAAGCACATGCTCAAAGCCGCGGGGGTATCTTCACATTATCGGCAAATCAGCTTGTCTCGAATACTAATCGCGTAACCGATGGTTACACTGTACTCCACGTTCCGGGGCGGCTTATCTCAGCCGAGAACCAGGTTCGTCCACGAGCGAGCGGTGTTGGTGGCTGACAGGCAAGCGATTACCCACGCAATGAGCAGTGAGATCCGGTCTTGGGTCGCATCGTATGGCTGGGCAGGGTGTACGCAAGCCGCAATTGCACAGACACCTGTCACCAGGCTCGAACCTTGCTGCGCGTAGCGGATCTTATACGCTTGTAAAACTGAAAGGTCTCTAATGCTACCTCGGATCAGCCCAGATAGCCTTGCAGATCTTCCGATTTTATTGGCTGCACGGTTGTGTCAGGAATAGTCGGTCCAGAAGAAAGTGATACAGGCCGGAGAACCATAGGCGTCGGACTTGTGAGTGCACGAATCCGCGCCCTGATCTCCTCCTCTTCCGCAGGACGAGTATCAATATCTCGGTCCCGAACTCCGTAACCTGCCTCATCTTTGTAAAAATAATGGGCGCGAGTCGGCATCTCCAAGGTACTAATGCTGTCTCTGCGAACTCGCAGGTCTCTGTCGATTTCCATGGCGGGAAGTCCGGGAAGCGAGCTGCGTGCCCCATAGTAATAGTAAGGGCTGCGAGATTGACGGAAGCCGAGTATTCGGTTGAAGATGCGTTTGAAGAGAGGTTGGATGGATGGTGCTGATGCGCAGATGATGGCTGTGTTGATCTCGACTTGGGACCTAGAGTGCAATCAGTAGCCGTCTCAGATTTACATCCTTTACAAGCGCTGCTTACCAGAAGATGATGTATCCGCCGTAATACCGAGCGTGCAATCCGCTATTAGCCCAGAGGTTCAGACCGCAAAGCCGAACTGCAGACGCTATCGGAATGAGAAGACTCACAGCGAACACGGCTATGACGGATAGTCGTTTGGCTGTTCGCATGCGCAGTGAAAACAGAAGCGGCATGGGAAGAAGTAGAATGACGACGTCGGATCCGATACTCCAACCTGCTTGCCAGTAGAAAATGATTCTTAGGTCGAAACAGTGGCCGGCCCCCTTGTCTCGCAGTATAGCAGTGGAGAAAGCGACGGAAGGTTTCTTGGGACATTGGAAAGCGACAATGAAGATCGAGATTATCGTGATAGCGGTGACGATGACAATCGATATGTGGACCAGTCTTCGGAAAGTTCGTTGGGTTGCAAAGCCGAGGTAGACTGGAGATGTAGGGGTTAAAATGGCGTGTATTTGGAAGACTTAGTCGTGGGATGACACTTACAGACAAGTATCGAGAGCTTGATGAGACCCATTATAAACAGATAACCGATATGGTATGCGTACCCTTCCAATAGTCAGAATGATCCTGTGTTGGCCGGGACAGACACTCACATGTTGCCACAGCACCCAAGGCGTAGCGTTCCAATGTCTTTAACTGCTCTGGATTGAGCTTGTGTTTTGCTTAGCATGTCGCTGTAGCACGTCCTATACTGCAAAGCTCTTGTTCTTACCTTTGATCTACTGCCTGGGTCATAATCAACCCCAGAACCAAATAGTAGCTGATAGTGGTTGCAGGCGCAAAGTCCCCATGTGAAGACCTACAGTCGATCAGTATATGACAGTTCACAACTTCGTCTTAACTTACTAAGGCCGTTGCCATTATGTAGTCACTTAGATCAACCCTTCCCACGATCCATTTCCGGACGTAGAACCTAATGTCGATGAGCACAATGGGACAAGGGTAGAACAATGAGTGTAGGAGACAAACCGAACAGCAATCACTACCGTGGAAAGGGTCACGAGAACGAACTCGGTGATCTCGATGGTGGGCCGTAGATCGTTTGGGCTGAACATTTTGACAGCACCCATTGTTGCCCGGCATCGGAACAGTGACGTTGTAGCGGTAGTGGTAGTGTAGGGTGGAAGTTTGTAAATTAAGGTATGGGCGACCTGCCTTTAGGTGTATGATACGAAGCACCCAAACTCGTTCCAGGCACAGCACGGGCTGATCATGAATCGAAAGACTAGGAATACCCGTATACTTAACGAGCCACGAGGTAAACCGCGGGCTGGGTATTTGCGCTTTGGTAGCGCCACGATCATCTTGAATACCTAGTCGAGCAGGGCGTTTCTCGGCATTCGCAAACCCCACGACCAGCAACCACCATGGACGTCAGTCTGCACCCATGTCATATCGGTCTCTGTCAGATGGTACAGTCACTGTGATCAGTACTCTGTACTTCCAGCTGAGATGTTACATGAGCAAGAAGTAGAATAATGAAGAGCGACGATGGCCAAACCATCCAGCTACTATGTACATTCCCGTCCTTCTACTGAACTTCATGGCTATCTCCGGGAGTTGTACCACTTCTTGACGGAGTTCGGTTGTGCTGCTGAGCTGACACCGGCATCTACTGACTCCTGCGTGTCAGGTCATGCAGGCGCAGGCGCAGGCGATAAACTTTGCGCAGGTGGTAGGCCTACCAGGATGGCAAAAGCCGATGCGGCGCAGTTGATAACGGCTCTCATCTCAACAAGGTTCTGGAGTGAGGTGCGCTCGAACCGTGTTCACGTGCTTTCTGCAGGTTTGTATTGGGGCGCCCGTTCTAAACGTGATGGATGATGCCTGCAACTCGGGGGGTATGATGAGGATTTGACCGTGCACTCAGCATATACGTGAGGCGAAGACGGCTTGTGATGCTATGCCACCAAGGGATGATACCGTGCCTGGCCTCCCATAAATGTAATTACCCGCGGCTAGTCCGATGTTGGTGTTTGGCGGGTTCAGCCACTACGAAGCGAGTAGCCCCACGGCGTGCCTTGGAGCTGACTGGACGAGTTTGCCTTGCGAGTGCGTCAGAACCAAGCATGAACCGTGAGAAATTCTGCGTCCACGAGACTCGCCCGATTGTTGGGCTTTTGCCTTAAACTGTCGACGTGAGGTTGAACTCTCGATCGGGAGCAGGGATGTTAGACATGGTAATCGAGGTCTGCTGAGCGATCACAAGAACTTGGTTCGACTACATGGAGGGGACCGAGGAGAAGAAAAGCGTGGAAGCGCGATGGAAGCACAGAGGTCATTCAACGTGAATGTCCTGCATGCATGCGCATGAAGGGATCCGGACAGCGACCAGGCCGTGCCAATGAACTGTGCCATTACCAAGCATAGAAGACTGGCATTTCGATCAGCGAGCGGAAATGATGGTGAACGTTTGATCTGAAACTGGAGCGAGACTTGTCGCACGTTGAAAGGCGTTGATGTTGGCGGGCATTGGCAAGGCATTGGATAGCGGGCGCGCGAGATTGAGCTAGGGGAAGCGTTCTAGTCTCCCAGGCACATTCAGGGTCTTGGGCATACGTCAGCACGCCGTGATGATCAACAACCCAAAGTACGAGGGAGAGGAGATTGTCAACACAGACCTGCACAGTGCTATACTACGTGCAAACTTCACTCATACAGTCTGATTGAATACCTTGCCATTTTCCACCACTAAGTCTACTGATATCATTCACTGTAGCGCAAGACGCCCAAGGCCTTGTTGATTAAAGGTCAAGGGTGTATCCCACTCGGCCACTTCCCTGAAAGCGACGATAGCCACCGCGTGACGACACAGGGACAGGTTTATTGCTTGCCATAGGCCCGACTCGCAGCTTCTTGTATAGAGCGCACATTTCGCCTCCTGCACTGTTTCCAACCTCGCGACACGGGCACCAGATATCACCATGAGCGCAACGAATACCGCAGCCGCAGCCCCTCCGCAGCCCAACCCGCCCGCATCCGTCGCACCCGCATCGAGCGCAACCAAGTCCACCGACGATGGCAGCATCCTGAGCAAGGGAAAGAAGCTCCTAGGCCTAGGCAAGAAGAAGGATCTGGAGGCCGGTAAACAGCCAACAGAGAGCGCATCAACCACGACGACACCGACACTGCTTCCCTCGCCCCCAATGTCACCGCCCGAGCAACGAGCATCGCCGCGAGGAAGCCCGCGCATGCTGCCCATTGGCGCATCTCCTGGTCGGCGCATCCGCTCTACATCGCCCGGCCTTCACAGTCCTGCATCGTCGCTCATTTTCGAGCGCAATGTACAAGAGCCCGAACCCTCAGCCGACGTGCCTGCCCACATCAAGACGGAAGACCACATACCCCCCGCGCTGGATGCGACGTCCCTGGCCATTACCGACAATCACCTCAACCCTGACGAGGTGGAGATTATAACACACACGGCGCATCAGCCAGCCGCAGTCGCAGTTGCAGGCAGCATAACCGACTCACTGCACTCGCCGCTCCTCCCTCACACAGAATCTGTGGCGTCGAGCCATGCTGACGTGCCAGACTCAGCACCGGGATACGGCTCGCTGGACACGGCGGACCCGCGGCGCTTGAGCTTCATTTCATTCGCAGATGTGGTGCAGGCAGAGCATGTTGAGCATGACAGGCAGGAAGTGCTGGGCGCCACGTCGACGGAGGCTCTGCAATTTATGAGCCTCTCGTCGACAGCGAACCGATCGCCCTCGCCAGTGCGGTCTGCTGCGTCTTCGCCCCCAACCACAAGCGGAGCAGCTTCGCCCAAGCACGCGGATCTGTCACGCACGCGGTCACCGGCGAGTCCTACGTCGCCTGTCGTGCTCGGCAGCCCACACCCAGCGTCGGGCGAAGAGCTGCCGGTGCAAATTGAAACGATGCGACAAGCCCTGCGAAAGACGCACTCGGGCGACCTCAGCGGTGCGCGCTCGCAGCCATTGAGCGCGGCGAGTGTCGAGGAGAGCGCGGCTGACAAGCCCCCGTTCAAGTGAGGAGGCAGCATGGACATGGACATGGACATGGACATGGACTAATTTGGATTCGCGTAATGTTGGGAGGTTATAGGCAGGCAGTGGGGTTATTGGTAGGTTCAGATATCCACGAGGCGCCGTTTGCAGTAGTTATTCGATACCAATGCTGAGAGAATGCTATGTTATATGTTGCGTGTTATCTTGTGCTATGATCTGCAATGCTATCTCCCGTACAGTACGCCTCCAGAATCGGTGAAGCAGGTAGATGAGACAGTCGGGCACAGGGACGTTGGGCACCCAAGCGCATCTGGGTAGAGTCGTCAGCAGCAGCAACGGTGCTTGGGCCGGGGCGCGGTGATTTAGCGATGGATACCAGCGGCGCCAAGGCTGGGTGCTAGTCGTGGCCATGTTGGCTCGCTAGGGCTGGCGGTGGGCCTCTGACTACCTAACGACAGACCATTTTGCCCGCGCAACGAGGCCTGCGATGCGCCTCACGACACCGTCCGCCAGTCCTGCCGCGCCCTCGCCGCCCTCGCCCGCCGTACTCGCCGTCCCGCAACCGCAACGGCTACCAGCTGCCAGCGCCGGGCCGCCTGTCGTGTGTCAATGAGCAGCAGACGACACCGCAGCGGTCCGCATCCATGGACCAGCAGACGCAGCAGCGACGCAGCCGGAGGGAGGTGAGCGCCTCCGAGGCTGCCCAGGGCGTCTACTCCCTCCACGAGCGCGCCCCCGTCCGCGACGACCACCGCCATGCCCACACCATCCGCACCGTCACCCCCGACGACCCGCCGCCCTCGCAGACCACCACCTCGACGGCCACGGCCACGATCCCCGAGGACGGCCTGCCCGTCCAGACGTTCCAGTCCCCGCCCAACAGCCCCCGCTCCCACAACAGCCAGCTCTCGAGCTCGCAGCGCACCCAAAACCCGCGCCAGTACGTCGCCCGCGCCTCGAGCGACTCCGAGTACCGCAATGCGCGCGAGCAGACACGGCCCCGGACCCGCACCCTCGAGGAGCGCAGCACCCGCGAGCGCTCGCCCTCATCCGTCTTTGGCTCCGGCCGCCACCGCATTGGCTCCGTCGCCAGCAACCAGAGCAACTACCAGAGCCTCGAGGAGTCGGTCGTCACTTCCATCGGCCACATCTCCACCATCTCCCCATCCCAGCAGCCGCCCCCGCCCCGGACCTCGAGCACCAACAGCCGCAGCCGCCTGACCAAGCAGCAGCAGCAGCAGCAGCAGCAACAACAACAACAACAACAACAACAACAGCAGCAGCAGGCCGCCCACCGCTCCACCTCGCCCGTCCTCTCGCCCTCCAATGTCCCGCCCGACTCCTGGGTCTCGCCTGTCCCGGCGTCCGACGCTAAGAAGCTCAAGGCCCTCATGCGCTCCACCTGCGGCAAGATGCAGGGTCTGCTGGCCTTCCGCCGCGGCGAACCAAACCCCTGGGGCCTGTCGTACTGCTACATCAACGACGAGGCCGGCAGCCTGGTCTACGAGCCCAAGAACGACACGTCGTACACCCGCACCCTCATACCCGATCTCCGTGGCTGCCATGTCAAGAGCGCATACGACGGCGAAGCCTACACGGCCTACATCCACGTCGTCGTCCACAACTCGAAGCTCGAAGTCCACCTGCGTCCGCCGACCCAGGAAGAGTTTGACTCGTGGTTCGCCGCCCTCTTATGCTGGTCGCCTATGCGTCCCAAGGGCATCCAGAACAGGATGGCCAAGCCCCAGGCGCCCGTCATGATCGAACGCCGCCTGCCAGACAGCCGACGGCATTCCGAGGTGTCGCTCCTCAAAGACTCGCCCAAGAAGGAAGCGCCCATTATCAAAGTCGGCAAGATGATTTACTGGGACACAAGTGTGACATACAGCAGCAATACAGGCACCCCCAATAACAATGGGCCTGGGGGACGCCCACAGGCGTACAGAGTCCAGAGCCACGGATCCCGCCGCTGGAGAAGAGTGTCGTGCACGCTCCGTGAGAACGGAGAGCTCAAACTTTACTCTGACACCGATGTCACCCTTGTTTCCACCGTTCAGCTTTCTCAGCTTTCCCGATGTGCCGTTCAGCGATTGGATCCCTCCGTTTTGGATAACGAATTTTGCATTGCCATATATCCCCAGTATACCGCTGCTTCTTCTCCTGCATTAACAATCCTCCGTCCCATATTCCTATCGCTAGAGTCACGAGTTCTGTACGAGGTCTGGATAGTCCTCCTGCGCGCCTTCACCGTTCCGCAACTATATGGCCCCAAGTCGCCGGATGCCATGACCGACGAGGGCACTTTGTCGCCGTCTTTCGGCACCCAAGACATGTTCCGCATGGAGAAATCATTGTTCGTAAGGGTCATTGAAGCGAAACTGATTCCGCCTGTAAGCCCCAAGGTCTCGGATAGCAACGGAACGACCCCGATACGACCGTCTTCGTCTGCCACAACCAACCCGGGTGGCTATCTCGTTGAAGTGCTGCTAGATGGAGAGACCCGTTCACGAACCACGGTCAAGAGCGAGGGCAACAATCCTTTTTGGAGAGAAGAGTTTGAATTCCTGGACCTACCCGCTCTACACACCGCTTCATTACTCCTGAAAAAGCGACCGCCGAGCTACAACCGCACCGAAAAGAGCGGTTTTGAGGCTACCAACTCCGACCCATATGTCTCCGAGGGTGGTTACGCTGGCATCTCTTTCGATCAGACTGTAGGAAAAACTGACATCTATCTGGACGATCTCGGCCCGAATCAAGAGACGGAGAAGTGGTGGCCGCTAATCAACATGTATGGAAACAGTGTCGGCGAGGTACTCGTCAAAGTTAGTAGCGAGGAATGCGCGATTCTCATGGCTCGCGACTACTATCCACTTTCGGAACTTCTTCACAGGTTTTCCAACGGAATAACCCTCCAGATCGCCCAGATGATCCCGAACGAGCTCAGAAGATTGTCAGAATATCTGTTGAACATCTTCCAGGTGTCCGGGGCAGCTGGCGAGTGGATATGCGCGCTAGTCGAAGAAGAGATTGACGGCACATTGAAAGAGTCACCTGCTAGCCGGCTACGGTTCAGTAAAAGACTGGGATCAAGTGAATCGAATGAATCTTCGCTGGCCACGTTTGGTTCTGCGAGCGACCGCGAACTCTTCGTTCGCGACATGGGCAACAATGCCAAACTGGAGGCTAATCTGCTCTTCCGTGGTAACACCTTGCTTACGAAGTCACTGGATCTGCACATGAAGCGACTTGGGAAAGAGTACCTAGAGGAGACCCTGAGCGAGAAGCTGAGAGAGATCAACACCAAGGACCCTGATTGTGAGGTTGATCCGAACAAAGTCACTTCACAACATGAATTGGACAGGAACTGGAGAAGGCTGATCAACTGTACTGAAGAAGTTTGGCGAGCCATCTACAATTCCGTGTCGAGGTGTCCGCAGGAGCTGAGATTGATCTTCAGGCATATCAGGGCTTGTGCTGACGACCGCTACGGAGACTATCTTCGGACGGTGCAGTACAGCAGTGTCTCTGGCTTCCTGTTCTTGCGCTTCTTCGTTCCGGCGGTGCTGAATCCGAAACTCTTTGGTCTACTGAAAGGTGCATAGTTCTCCACTTCTACTTTGATCATCTCGCTAACAATCATTTAGATCATCCCAAGATCAAAGCTCGAAGAACGTTCACGCTCATTGCAAAGTCACTGCAAGGCCTGGCGAACATGTCCTCATTCGGCACCAAAGAAGCATGGATGGAGCCCATGAATCAATTCCTCACCACGCATCGGCAAGAGTTCAAGAAGTATCTCGACGACATTTGCTCAATATCGACCACTTCGCAACCCGCACCACCGATACCACCATCGTACAGTACTCCGATTGCCATTCTCCATCGTCTGCCCCCGACGTTCAAGGAAGGGTTCCCATCGTTACCATACCTCATCGATCATTCACGCAACTTTGCAATGCTCGTCAATCTCTGGCTAGACAATACGCAGAAGAGTGCGCCCGACATACAAGCCACGGACGGTGATCTGCTCCGTTTCCACAACATCTGTCTGTCTCTCAGCGAGCGCACCAAGGACTGCCTGAATCGCGCTGAACCTGCCGAACGGCCGTCATCGTCACTGAGTGTCAAGTGGGAAGAGTTGGTCGAGCAGCTACAAGGGGCGCAAATCGACACGTCACGAGGTGCAGCAACGAGGAATCGTGGACCAATACTGGAAGAAGAGATGGAGGAAACCCCGCTATCTCCAGGCAACGTCGATGACTATTCGTCTTCGTCTACCAGCACACCCATCACAATGCAGCCACCACCACGGGCACGGCATCAGCAAAATTCGAGCATCTCAGCATCTCAGAGCTCTTTGAAGAGCAACAGCTCGGCCACCATATCTTACACCAATCCCTTTGCGAAGAAGCAATGGTCTGGTCAATACACGCCGTCAGGAAACGACTCGGTAAATGCCTCTCAGTCCGCATCTGCTTCAGCCAGCGCATCAGCATCCGCAACCGAGGATACACCACCGGGGTCCAGCGATGGTCTTCACATGGCCCCTGCGCCTTCCTACCCGCAAGCCTTGACTACGACGACAACGACCACGATCTCTACATCTACCTCTACCCAGTCCTTCAACTACAGCAATCCGAACGCTCACATCAACCAACAAAGACCTGCCGCTGTGTCCACAAACTCCCTCGTCGGAAGACCACCTCGTTCAGCCGGCGGTCAGAGTATGGAAAACAGCGACAGCGGCAGTATCGCCGAAGAGGAGTACACAACCGCACTCCCTGCCTTCTCCGAGAAAGCTACCAAAGAGAAAAAGGAACGCGGCTTCCGAGGCGTCCTCCCCTTCCAACGGAAAGGCAAACGCAAGGACAAAGACAAGGAGAAAGAGGACAAGAAAGACAAGGAACGGGACAAGGAGAACCGCAAAGACAAAGGCAAAGACAAGGACCGAGACCGCAGCGCCGAACGCGGCTCCAGCGCCCTCGGCGGCCACCAGAGCTACAACGACATGGGCAGCATGCGAGGCAAACACAACGCCCGCAGCGAAGACCGCGACGAGGAATTCTGACTCCATGGATGGTTTACTGAGAGTCCTCGCGCGATTGCTAGACGCGAAATCAAGAGGAGGAAGAGTGCGGGTGAACTTTTGGATAAAGCGAGTCCGTCGTAGTCATCTTGCTTTCTGAATCATTTCTCGTTTGCCTGTTCTGTTCGAGGGTGGCTGCCAAGTCGATTGATTGAAACTTATCAAAAAGCTAAAAAAAAAAAGCTTGTACTACATTACCTACATGTTGCGTTTCGGTGGCTAGACGTCGATGGAACAAAAACGCTTGCATGGCATGGCATGGCATGGCATAACACAAACCGGGAGGCTGGTTCTGGGACGATTTTACCTGAACTATTCTTTATTGCTCGCGACGAAAATTTTGACGTTTTTACAATGGCGCGTTAGAGCGATGACTGTTCTGTTTTCGTCTTGGGTTTTTCTTCCAATGTTTAGATTTTCATTCTAGGGGATTGGCATGAACGGGGCAGCCAGGCAGGTAGTAAGGCATTTTTGGATGGTTGAGGGGATGGTTGACGAGGTATGTTTCTTTTTGGGTGTACATAGCATTTGCAGTTTGGGTTATGCATAGATATCAATGTGGTTGTTTGTCATGAAAATCCGTTCCACAATCTGCGAAGTGACTGTTGTGTTGATGGAGAGCAGTAGTTACATGAAATCTTGTTTATTACACGGAAGAGTAAACTGGTATCTGTCCCTTTTCTCTACCACCACTACTTCACTCCCCCTACTTCCTCATGCCTCTCGTGAGCATCCCACGCTTACAACTCTCACAAACCTAATCGAAGTTGAAAGCATTCTGATAAACCTTCTTCTCCTTCTCCTTCCGCGCCTGCACCCTCTTCTTCACCACATCCAACTCTTTGACAATCGCCGCGTCGCCTGGCGCAAGCTTGAGCGCCGCATTCAAATCCGCCAACGCCTCGTCTTCGTTCTTCTTTCCCGCCTTGGCCTGTGCCCGCCTGAAAAGCGCCTTCGCCTTGTCCTTATCCGTGATACCCTCGATGTCCAGCGCCTTGGTCGCGCTCTCCGCCGCGTCACCATATGCACCCGTCTTGTTCTGTAGTAGCGCGCTGTTGGAGTAGAGGGATATTTTCAGGGCTTGCAGTTTGGGCCAGAGGTCTGTGGGGTCGTCGTCGAGAGGGGCGGGGTACTCGTGGAGGTAGCGGATACCTTTTTGGTATTTGGTAATGCCTAGTTTGAGGTCGCCCTTCTTGAACGCGTCGTTGCCCATGTCTTTTAGCTTGGTAGCGATCTCGAGTATCTCCTCGCCTTTCCATTCGTCGTCGCTGTTGGCTTTCTGGTCCTCGGGGAAGTCTTCGTAAGGGTCGCCGGTTGCGTCGGACATCTTTTCTGTGGCTTTGTCGTAATCGTCACCCGTGAGCTCGCCGCAGTCGATGATGGTCGCATCGTGCCACGGCTTGTCGCCGCTCTGCGTCTTGAGGTTCTCAATCTGGCGCACGATGCTCTTGCCGTTGATGACTTCGCCGAAGACGACGTGCTTCTTGTCGAGGTGTGGTGTGGGGACGGTGGTTACGAAGAACTGCGAGCCATTTGTTCCTGGGCCGGCATTCGCCATGCTCAGCAAGAACGGCTTGTCGTGCACCTTCTCAAAGTTCTCGTCTTCAAACTTCTCCCCATATATACTACAGAGATGAAGATAAGAAGTCAGTGTACGTTTCACATGCATTCCGTATGGCCGCAGCTTACCTCTCACCCCCTGTGCCGTTGCCCTGTGTGAAGTCGCCGCCTTGGATCATGAAGCCCTTGATGACGCGGTGGAAGCTCGAATTCTTGTAGTGCAGCGGCTTGCCGGATGCGCCTTCGCCTCTCTCGCCGGTACATAGTGCGCGGAAGTTTTCGGCGGTCTTGGGAACGATGTCGCTGTACTAAAGGGTTGTTAGATTTTATGTTTGAGCGGCTTGGAATGTATGCGCGTGCAACGTATGGGAGGTTGGGGAACGTACGAGCTCGAAAGCAACACGGCCGGCTTTCACGCCGCCGATGGCGATGTCGAAGAAGACGCGAGGGCGCTCTGAAGTATGTTAGTACCAATCTTGTTAGATGCTAGAATGGTGTAGGTGAGCCTGTGTTAAAGTTACTTACTCGTGTCAGCCATGGTCGCCGGATCGCTGTAGTTGTTTGGTGGGTATGTCGTAGTGTGAACGAAGGATATCAATGTTCAGGCACTGGAGATATCGACAGAGTTGCAGGAATTGGAGTTTATGTGCGAGGCTGAAGAAAAGCACGGTGATAGCTGTCCAGAACTTTCTACGGAAGCTACAGCCTACAGCTTCATGCCGCGCCAAGCCCGCCTTTACACATCCGTACGACCATTGGCAGGCGCGACCAAGTTGACTGGATCCTTTAAGTACACTGCACTTTGTTTATGCGACAGCATGGCTCGTCCTGACAGCATAATCACTGGTGAATGTGCTTCTTTGCGCTTGTTGTGTCTTGTAAACATTGACATGATGCCCGCGATGAGGGGCAACGCGGGGCAGTGACTGGGCTTCGTGTTAGCTACACCTCCGAAAGCTACGTGGTAAGCCTCAGCGCTAAAACTCGCAAACATCACCCGAACGGTCAAGTAATACTGTCATGCCATGATGCATCTTTGTGTAATTAGATTCCCAAGCTCAATTCTACTGCTCTTCGCTCACCGATCTGATCCAGTTCAAAAATAATAGTAAGCTCAAAAACGCCAATGTCAACCAGGTATCCACGCGTGTAATAATAGAGCACTTTTCAAGCTGATGCCAACGCCAAAGATATAATCTCTACACGCGCACTATTACCGTCTTGCAGACATGGAGAAGGGGAGAGCTGTCGATACCAGCTCGTTGTGTTCGTAGTGGTAGGTGAAACCACCCTGCAGTGTCCGTCGCAGCGCATTCAGCCTCTGCAACTTCCACCACTTGTCGATTCTGACTTCCACATTCTTGTTGATCTTGACCTTCATCCTGCCCGCTCCGTAGGCCTTGCCGGTCTCTTCGTGCAGAGCGGTGGAGTAGGCAGGGCCGCGCGAGGGCTTCTCAACCGAATTGCGGATATCTGCGAAGGACGAATGAAGTGCTTTGCGGTCCTTCTTGGATATGCGACGAGTCGAAACGTTGGCGAGCTCGTCGAGTGTGTGCATGAGCTGATCCTGCCGTCGCCAGACTGTGTATCGCTTAACTAATCGCTCGCCGTCGCGGACGTGCTCGGGGTCGTCTGAATCTTCCTCTTCTTGTACATGCTCGTCCTCCTCTTGGGGAGTGAGGGACTTTTCGTACAAGAGCGCAATGTTTTCGCCTGCTGCAATTTGAACACCAGAGTCGGCACTCTCAAGCTGCTCGACAAAGGCTTCCATTGCAGCTTCCGTTTCTTCTTCCAGATCATCGATTTCGGTTGCGAGGAGACCCCACTCTTCCAAGGCAGCAATCACGACATTGCCCTCGTCTTGTGCTTCGATGGATGCTCCATCTGACTCTATGATCTCAATGAAGAGGTTCATGATGTCCAGGATCTCATCGTCGCCGGCACCAGCAAAGAAGGCAGTTGTGCCGAGTGTGTGGATCGCGTTCACTTTGATTGCGACTGAGGAGGAGGACTGGATCGATCGCTTGAGTTGGTCGGAAACGTCGTCGTAGATGCTATCGGAGTCGAGAGTTACGGCGGTGACGGCGAGCGCTGAGATGTGTTAGTAGAAGTCAAACAGTAGCCGTGAATGTATTGTACCTTTTAGGGCTTTGACAACCTCGGCCTCTGTCGTCTCCTGTCTGATGCTCTTAATCATCGACGAGACGAGCTCATTTACATGTCCCTCAACCTCATCCCTCGCATAGCGGGCCATGAGCACGTGTGCGTAGGCATTCAGGCTTTCGGTGCGCCCCTCGGTGCTGCTACGCTTGAGGTTGGTGATTTGCTCGATGCGCGTGTTGAGTTCGGCCTTCCACGCGTCTTCGGGTATATTGACATCTTCGCCGTTGAGTACATCGTCGATGGATGCTGTGCTGTGAGCATGTCAGTACTTGTTCGCGCGAAGGTGGCTAGACACGATGATGTCACCGGTGCAGTCGCGATGTGGGGAAAATCAAAAAAGTTATGTGCAGACTGAAACTCACCTCCATGCAGTTCCGTCGCTGAAGCCGTCTTCGTCTGAAGAGTCCTGGCGACTGCGACTGGCGGCACGCGAATGTGCTGGCGACCCTGCTGCTGAAGTTGTCTTGGAGGCTGTTGTAGATGCGACGCGCGAGCGGGCCTTGCGCGACATAGTCTTATGGCTCTCGAGAGCCTGTTTTCGGAGGTCGCGCATTTTTGGCTATGGTTGATACAGTTCTGGGGAAACTATAATGTATGCCTGTAGAGGCTGGAGTTTGCTCGGTGTGGCGGAACCAAGGTTCGACTGCGGGGAAAACAAGGTGAAAGCGCAGTTATTCTAAAGGTAAGGAGTCTGTGAACTCGGTTGTGTAGGAAGATAAGTGAGGTGCGAAAGACATGAGTATGAGTCAGAGCAAAAGGCAACCAAATTATAGGTTGCAAAGGTACGAGGGACGTTTGGTGGTGCAGGAGGCAACTTGCAAGTGTCAGATGTTCATCCATCCATACGACGTCCCCCGATTCCATGGCTGCCCAAAGTGCGCTAGGCAAAGACCTACGTCATTACAGTCCTGTCTACTCTCGAACAATCATATGCCTAATCTCTATCTTCAAACATTATCAAAGTATGTGATATTTCAGCAAACATCATTATCCAGCAAACACCCAGCGAATGGCGGCGATCTTGTGTAAGCTAACTGGCTGCGTCGCTGATTGGCTTCTCCACCTCTATGCTCCCTGTGGCACGAAAGGGTACCTGAACACCTAGCTCGCATGGAGGAAACCTAGGTCTTCACCTCGACGACCGAGGAAGACTAATTATACACTCGGAAGGAAGCCGCGCACAGTCATCGACGGACCGGTCAGGGCGATGCACACAACATCTCAGCTACTGTACGACCACCCACCAGCCCTACCTTGGCATCATATTCCTCCGATGGCCGATTAGGCCTTCTAAGACATTATTGAGGCTCAAGTGTTGCTACGGGCGGCTCAACAATCGACCCGCCCAGCGTTCGAAATAGCTGCGGCGCAGACACAGTTCGCGCAACCCACGACCGTTTGGTGTACCGCAGGATCTCGATGGATATGAATAGACAAAGGGATCACGGGGCCAAATGCCCCACGCGTGTTGCAAGTGGTACAACCACGTGGAGTCAGAACTGTGCCAGCGGATCGCTCCCCGCGGCTCGGGCTGAGACGTGTTGCTGGACCTCGACCTCAGCCTCGGGTCTAATCTCCATATGGCAAGCGATGCGCCGTGGACCTGAGGGTCCGGGTTGGTGATGGGTACGGCACAGAACCTTATCACAAGCTCAGTCTCTTGTGCATACGTCTTTGAACTTGAGTGCTTTGGGTGGATGAGCGTCTCGCTTCACCTGGCGTCGGCTTATCTATGACAGCGGCAATGTTGGTCCCAGCACCGCACCCATGTCTCAACCCCAGAACTTCACCATCAAAGTAGTCCTTCTTGCGATCCGGCATCTCATTGCAGTACTGTGAACCGAACACACCCGTCACCGACGTAACGGTAGACGGCAACCAAGGCAGACGCCGCAACGTGGGAGATGATGAAGCCTGCAAGGCTCATGCGGCACAGTACCAAGCCGCCACGCACGCAACCCCTTCCTTCGGGTTAAATGCACATCATTCATGCATCCTCATTGTTGGACTACAAAGCCCCTGCTCCTTCTCCTTCGCGTCGACGTCAGCTTGCTAAAGCGCATACGCACAACAAGACGATGCGACCGCTGTGGGAAGCATGGACAGGTCAAGCGAGGCTTATGGGGCGCAGTCACCAACACACCTGTCTAGTCGGCATGTAGCAACTCATTCATGGCGAGTCCGTAGACAGGCAACCCGCATCTGGATCCTCCGCAATACGCGAGCAGGCAGGATCACGAGCAAGCATCAAGGATGCTGATCCTACCTGGACACCGAACAACGTTGCTGCAGCACCTCTCTCCGGCACGATGTCACGATATCCAAAGGTAACTTCCGCTGACTAACGTCTTTAGGCATCCAATGCGCGTAGAGAAAGGCAAGAAAGCGTACCTGCCTAAACAGCGGGCACGATCGTCAAAATAGCTCTTTGCGCAATCCAGATTGGTCTGCTCGTATAGCAATGTACAAGCTTACACTTTTTCTTGCCATCCGGCCCGATTGATCAACAACATCGTATCAACGAACAAAAAATGTGATATTCTGCCAACTTGTAAAAGCGAGCGAGCAAGGTAGACAAATCTAAAATAAAACAATGACTCCCACAGCGCCCTCAGGTCTAGCCGTTCTAGGCTCATAGCCCGAATCATGTATATGCCCTGACCATGCGATGCTATGCAGAAAAACAGGACTCTAAACTACTGTGCAAACAATGCTATAACCAAAACACAAATAAACGAGAGATCAATGCACACCGTACACTCTAACCGAAGCTCATCCTTGTATCGTTTGAGCCTCACCGCCTGTGAAATGTCTCCGGGTCAGGACCCGGTGCTCCAAACAAGTCTCCGGTCCCACCAAGCAAGATGTCTTGGGCGGCAAGTTCCGCGTTCGTGAAGTCGAGGGGATGTCGTTGTTGTTGTTGTTGTGATTGTTGCTTGGGTAGTGGTAGTGGAGACGAATGCTGATGTAACAAAGAATCTAAGCCTTGCTCTTGCGGGACGTCCATCCAGGTTAACGTTGTTGAAGAAGCAGATGCTGATGCAGCATGAGCGCTCAAACGACTGATGCCTGCACTAGAACTCGCACCCCTGCTCCTACCACCCGCCCTATCACCTCTTCTTGACGGGCGTTTGGCGACCCTACCGCGTGTGACAGTAGCAGTACGACTTCTTGTCGACACTGTTGACGTCGTGGATGTTGTGGGTGCTCGTACAATCCCACTGCCACCAGTTCGTACACGCTGACTACGCCTACCATCGCCCGGTTCTTGGCCCCCCGCCCCCGTACGCGCACCCTCGTCATCCCTACACCCCAATCAGCCCCTCCTCTTTCCCCGCGCTTTCTTCCCATGTGTGAATAGACTCACTGGTGAGAACCGCCCGCGCCACCTCCCTCGGGCCATCCGAAGGGGAAGGCGCTTCGCTCCCCTGGTCTCCGTTTGGGAATGTCCATGTGGTGGAAGTTGCGCAGATGCTCGACTAGATGGTCTCGTCGTGTGAAGCCTTTGTCGCCTACGCGGTTGCAGCGAGGCACATTGCAAGGGTACTCTGGAGTGCCTAGGCCATGGACGGTGGATTGGTGGCGTTGCAGGTCTGCGAGGCGGGTGAAGTTTGCTGAGGAGGTACACGAGGCAATGTCGCAGGTCCATGTTCTGTGGATAGGTTGGTTAGTGGATGAGATGGGGAGGGAATGTGGGATAATTACTTTGTACGACTGCTGCTCCTGCTTTAATGTTAGTATTGCACTATCAAGTTTTGATATAGCGGTGCTTACCTAGTTGGCGCTTGCGAAGAACTGATCCCTAGATCACCGCCGTGACTTTGCCATCCTCCAATGTCATACCCACTTGCTACTGGTTGGTGGTACCCAGTAGTGGGCGCAACATTTACAGGTTGCACGTAGTAATCTGGGATGATCTGGTATGGTTGAGGTGGGTAACATTGATACTGTGCGTAGTAGGTGTTAATCTGGGACTGTGTGTATTGAGGTACTGTTGAAGTTGGGTAAGAGGTTTGGTAGTTGTAGTTCCCCTGGTCAGAAGAAGAGTACTGGTTTTGTTAGTAAGAAGAAGTGATGATGAATAGGTGAAGTGTAACATACGCTGTATCCGGACATGGCGGGCGAAGGCGGTTGTTCCTGCTTGGGGCGTATCGTCTTTGTCTTCTTGGTACGGTTTGTAGTGGTAGAAGGGCGATAGGCGGGCGCCACGGGCGAAGTGATGATGCGTAGCTTGTTTGGTCTGGATGTCTTTCTTGTACTAGAGGTGGAAGTATGTCTTCGAGGAAGTAGTTGAACTTGCTCGAGAGATCTATAGAACCAGTGTCAGAAGCCGTCGATGATGATGATGTTGTTGCTGATCTTGGTCTCGTGGAATGCTTTCGAGTCTTATATGAAGCGAGCATGATAACTATTTTCCACATATCGGCAAAGACTTTTCACTGCCACCCCAGAGCTTATGCTATAGACCCTCAAGAACCACATCGACTTACAGGTATTTCGGAGGAAATGAGCCGTCCGGGCGCCCGAAGGCATCTCCGTGAGGGCCGTAGTGTGCCAACATGGCGATGACGAAACAAAGTTAGAAGTGTCGTAAGGCGAGAAGTCGGATCAGGTTGCGGATTCGCTCGGCAGGGCTTGACGATCGTGTCTTTGGTAAGCGTTGCGATCTCCTCGAACAAGGACCGCTACGCCAGAGGCCAAATGTGTGAATATAGAAGTCCAAGTCTGCTGAGGTGGATGCGTAGGATGGCGAGGCGAAGTCAATACCAGCTTGATGGTACCCCACACAACTAATCGGTATAGGGCTGACGACAACTAGTGTCCGTGCCGTCACCGGAAAATGGAATAGTAGAGTCAGGTCGCGGCGCGGGTGAATCAAAAGGCCTAATCTTGCCGTATGTAGTGGGAGAATTGAGGCAGTGAAATAGTGGTCTAGGTGTAGAGGTAGGAAGCACAACGAGGACACTGGTAGATCTGTGTCGTCTTATGACAATGCAGGGCGAGTACCCCTAGGCCCCGATCCAACTTTAATTGAACTGTACCATCTCTTTCATTTGTCGTTGTCATGGCTTGGCAAGGCAAAAAGCTAGAATAGTCCAATGCGTACACGTTGGTGTTCTGATCTTTGTGTACCAGGATATATGATAGGCATGGTTCACCGATTAACACACATGCGGGTAGGTCGATGGGCCCCGTGTGACTGGATGTGCATGCGTGGCTCTTGTTCGCGTACTTTCGTTCCGCCGTGTAGGAATGAACCCCTGTTTAGCTGCAGAACGTGGCCTGGAGCCTAGTGATCGGCCTGAGGTCTATCATGTTCGACATGGTTGTTTCGCGATGCTTCAGGCTTTTCCAGCTGGCCCTCGGCACCGCAACTGACCAGTTGATTGCTCAAAAGTGTCACAGCACCTGTGATGACAGCACGACTTCTAATCGAGTTGAGATCAAACATTGCTTGAGCGCCGTCTCAGAGTAGGTTAGCCGTCATCAAACGCCCATTCCGCGTCCCTTCTTCGTCTGTCTCTGCTGCTGCTGTAAGTGGGTCAATTAACCCGCAACCCGATGGCCTTTGACCGGCGCACGAATGCCGTAAAATGATTGATGCTGTAACCGCTCAACTCAAAGTCATGCACGAGTTAGTGCTGCCGGGCGTAACGGGGCGTAACTGAAGCTTGAACGTCGCGGAAGGATTTCTCGCTAAGGCGGCCAGTGACACGCGACCAGCCTCCTCCTGCAGCCCTGTAGTCTCCACCGATTGGGGGCGGAACCCAGTGTAACGTCGTCTGGACCAATTGAGCACATTCCGCAGCCGTTAGCCACATCATGTCAGATTACGCCCGGCGCTCAGACCGCTACGACATCCCTGGACGGCCAAATTGTCGCGGCAGACGGCCTGTGCTTGGCAGGTGAGCCTCAATAAGTGCTATTTGATCCATGCATAATTGTCTCACCGTGAATTACACCACGCGTGGTCGGTCGGGTGCCTGCGGGCGGACATTAATACGCACCGAAGATACCCTGATGGAGGTTATCGAGATCCGAAGAGCAAAATATGTCTGCCCATGACGGGGACCCATTCCAGGACTACCTAATACTTAATCTTAATACAGAACTCAATTACCACAGGCCGAGCATGCGGGTCGGTAAGAAGAAAGCAACCCACTGCTCATAGCTCATCTTCCAAAAACTTATAGGCAAATCGGAAGTCGGCCTTCCTACGGTTCATCCTACAATAAGGTTAGCTCTGTATGACGTGCAGAAATAGCACCACATGGCGTGAGTTTGTAATACGGCAGCCCCAGATGAGGCTGGTGGACAAAATTAGGTGCTTACCATGTGCTTTCATAGTCAAAGAACCGGTACGTCCCCTGCTCGTAGTCTTCTGTGATTGCTTTTGGTTCTTCGTGGCGTTGGAACCATGTTTGATACTGCTTGTGAAATCTCCAGCTCTGCGACTTGAGTGCCTTCGCTGCCAGGTATTGCTGGTACGTGCCTTGGCGGTAGTAGAAGGCGTAGAAGAGAGCGTCGGTCTCAATGCGGGAGTACAAGCGAGGATCATCGAAGATGGGCAACGGCTCTTGCGGGTAATGCGCGGGCGTAAACGGATAGGGATTCTGGGGTCGGTAGTGGCGCGGCGCCTCAGTATCCGCAGAGTCCGGTGCAGTGGCCATAGATGCCGCTAGCATGTGCTCATTTGGAGGTTTTGATGCAGAGGCGGATATGTCACTCTTGGTCGCTTCAAATGTATCCAGGAGGTCTTGTAGGCTCGACGGCAGGTGATACACTGATTCCTCTTCCTCCTCTTCTGCATGAGAGTCACCATTGGTTAGCGGCGGAGTGGCAGCCGAAGACTCCTCCTCCTCCTCCTCCTCTTCCTCCTCTGCAGTTTCAGGAGCTGGTGTTCTTCTGCTAGACTTTGAGGCGTCTTCAGACGAAACGGCCCGCGAAAGTGTCTCCTTCTCGACTGCAGGCGTGACGGGTATGCTTGCCGCAGGAGCTGGCGAGGCTTGTGCAGACTGCGCTGGCTGCGCGCGTGAGGCCGGTTGCGAATGTGTTATTGCCGGAGAACTCGTTGCACTTGCCCGTGCGCCGCCAGGAACGAGGCCTGACTGTGCTGCGGCACCTCCCGGTGGTGGTGGCAGAGGGGCAATGCCCACTCCATTCTTATCACTCGCGGCTGCAGCAGCGGCGGCCGAGGCGTACTTCAAAGGCTCGCCCGGCGTCCTTGTCGGTATCGGCGCGGGCTTCATCGCGTTGGCCGTGGTATTTGAGACACCAGGTAACGGCGTGTGCAATGTTGCTAGTGCTGGTAATGGCGACTTCATCTGTGTCGAGGGCCGTCGTGCTTGCTGCTGTACTGCCTCTGTTGCTTTTGGCTTGGGTGCTGGCGGCCGCACGTCCGACTCGGGTGTATCGTCTGCTATCGACTGCGACTCGTGCGAGGACACATGGTCCAGGTTCTCGCCCAGGCCAAAGATGGCCTCCTCCTCTTGCAGGTTGAAGTCGTCGTATATTGTGTCGTCGTCCATGAACTCGGGATCCTGGTTGCTCTCCACGTAGTACTTGATGCTGTCCTCGATCTCCTTCACCTGTTCCGTCTCCACGTTGCCATTCTCCAGCGCTCGATGCAGCAGATCCAGTTTGGACTGATGCCACTTATTTCGCTCGACCGACTCTTCCAATTCTGCGACTCGCTCTGCCTTGGAATTGTCGCCCTTCTTCGTCTTCTTGACGTTGGCATGTAATGTCTCGATCTCGGTCTCGATGGTTTCTATTTGGCGCTCCAGCTCCTCGTTCATCTGCTGCAGGAACTCGACCATCTCCATCTTCTCCTTATCCTTGGGGTCGATTTTGGACGCTAATTGCAGGCCTTCCTTAGAGTATGCTTTCGTCTTCATCTCCTTTTCGACGGCCTTGAAGCGCTCCATTTGCTGTCACATGTCAGCGTCCCATCATGCCAGGAAGCAGCGGTCACCCTACTGTCTCGATGAGCTTCCGGTGGTCGAGCAATGGCTTCTTGTCTTTGATCTCGGACATGGCGGCCCATGTCTTGATCTGGTCCCGCGAACGTTGCAGCTTCTTGATCTCCTTCTTCAGTTGGTCCTCGAGCTTCTCCTTCTGCGAGGGGTTGCCCGTTTGCATTATCTTCTCATATATGTTCTCGAAGGTCGCGACGCCTTCGGCGACTTTCTTGAAGCATTTGTCGATCTCCTGCTGGAGCTTGCGTGCGGCCATGGCGAGGGTCGAGCCTCGTCGTGAGGACTTCCGCGGTGGTTACGGCAATGGGGGCGTCGCTGGGGGTGGCGGCGGCCGGCAGACAGTCGAATCGCGCGAGTGAGGGCGTTCGACGGCGGAATGGCGTGGATGTTTGTCGTGGGCTGAATGCGGAGGCGGAGGTATCGCATAGGTAACGCGATGCCACAGGGCTGGCCTAGCGTCCTCGCCAAGAGTGCGGCCACTAGCCACCACGATTGGCCCCACGCGTCTGGTTTCATCTACGCGTTCCACCCTCTTCCAGCCCCGTCTCATAATTGTCGCATGTCGCAATTCCCATGCGTGACGTCGTTGCGCTGCTGGACATACCACGGTGAGGCTATCGCGCATCGAGCCACTCAACTTCCTCACTCACCACCGCTGCTACCCCGCCATCATGAGGAGTACGGACCCCGCCTCCATGCACACGTAACCACGACTATACTAAGCGTGTCTAGCGGTGCTGCAGAGGGTCAAGTCGGCATCAGTCACGGTCGATGGTCAACTAATCTCCTCGATTGGCAAGGGCTTGCTGGTCCTTGCTGCCGTTTCCAGAGACGACACTGAGAAGGATGTCGAGGCTATGGCTAGCAAGATACTCAAGGCCAAGCTCTGGGATGACGAGTCCAAAGACCCGCCGGGCCGCGTATGAAGCCGATGCTTTTTCTCTGGGCTGAGACTGACATGTCAAGTGGAAATGCAACGTGACCGATATCCATGGCGAGGTTTTGTGTGGTATGTGTGAAACGCTCTCTGGGATTCTTGGCTGTCTATGATAGTGCTTTTGCTGCGGGATCGATGTGCTAAAAGTCTACAGTTTCCCAATTCACGCTACTGGCCTCTATGAAGAAGGGAAACAAACCGGATTTCCACCAATCCGCAAACGGCGACCAAGCCAAGACACTATACCAAGCCTTCTTCAAGAAGGTGGGATCTCTTTACGAGTCCGACAAGGTCAAAGACGGTCTTTTTGCAGCCATGATGGACGTTGCTTTGGTCAATGATGGGCCGGTAGGTTTGGATTACACCTGCCTAGATGGCGAGGTACAACTTAAGCATTACATTTCCTGAGTGTGTGCCGCCTTGCCTGCTAATGCTAATCGACATCGTCAGGTCACTATTCAAATCGACACCAATCCACCAAAGACGGATGCTTCAACTTCAGATGGAAACGGGAGCACACAGCAGACAGTCGACGTCAATGACCGCAAGTAACACAAACAGTATACATGCAGGCCTTACACTAATTCCTGTCCAATTCGTAGTGGTCAACAATATAACTAAGATCACCCAAGAATTCAAGATACCAGTAGAGCGGCTTGAGTAGATGTCAATACAATCAGCCGCCATGTTCACGATCACCGACATGTTCGCACTAGAACAACAACGCGACACATCATTCAACGACTACATGCAATAAACGATACCGTCACTACTCCGTCCGGAGATCCCTGCTTTCTAACACATGCACATCGACAGGCAGATGCACCTACCATTCATCCATGCCGTCCCGCATCCATGTTCGCTTCCTCTGCATATACAGACGCTGCTTATGTCAGACGAACCGAACGCGCGCATGGGTTGTAACTCCAACCCGAGAATAGGGCTTGACGCCATCCCGATGCGCCACACTGTGTTAACCGACATGCAGTTGGCTCAAACCTTGCGCATACGCCCGGCAGCACGGTAATTAACTGAACCCGCGAATAGCGGCGCGACCTGCAGTTGGAATGAGCATCCACGCCGTTTGAGGTAGGATATGCGAATGTTGTTAACTCGCCGATAGATCGAAGAACTCCGTCCCAGTAACAGGCCTATAGGAGGGCACATGGCTATTCGTTGTCAGCCCCATCTAAATTCGTCAAAAGCTTTATAAGCTATAGTTTCACCCGCAGCCAAGTACGGCGAGCTAAGATCATGCCTCAGAAACAGCTGCTCTATCTTACCGCCAGGCTACCATTGTAGAGCCCTCCAGGTGACTCTTGTATGCCGATTGGGTGGTTAGGCAGCCACGTCGACACCACCAAAGCGCGTGCGATATCCAGGATCATCTGAAACATACCCATCTTCAAACCACTGGCATTGCTGCTGACATTGGCACCAAGGTGTGACTGTACCCTACGCAACACACACCTCAAACGGACGTGTGGACTAAATTGCAGCGAAACAACCTCTTCGAAGCTTGTCTGGCGTCTCGTCGACTCAATGGCTTGCTTCGCACAAGAAGCTCCATTGTGGAAGTGGCAGTGTTGGTTCGGGAAGAGGGTCTCGTTCGATGCGCATCCATGGAGTGGGCTGACTGACCCTTGCACTTCCGGTGAAGAGACGCAAAGGTCTATTCCTGCCTCTGCTTGGTAATTTCTTCACTCTTTACCGCGCCCATGGCGCTCTCGGATAGACCAGACTCTAGTGTTCCCATCATATCGCGCATTCCGTCTTGTTTTTTCTCTCTTCGATAGTTGCACTCTCGACCTCTTGTATTACTCTCTGAAGTTCACTTGGCAGTCGGATTGTTCCTACAGGCCGCTCCTCTTCAAATCACTGCGATCGAGCCTTTCGCTCGACAAGGGTCTGGGATACTATGATGGACATAGCTATACTCTCGACTCGATACATCTCTTGCTTGTCGACTGCACGAGTCGGGGCTATCGTACTCAGATAGTGAGCGTGTTCTCCAACCTCTCCCGCCGATATCATTCGGTCCTAGTGGAGTAATGTTATCGACACATAAACCTGCTGACTTCTGACACGGCCAAATAGTGTTTCCGGTCATCATAGCTGGCTTCAAATCGCGGTCGCATCGCTCGAATGTCGTCTTAGGTCGGGAGCCCAATATCCATTAACGGGCGCTGTTCACGGGGGACCTGTTATATACGCTTCGACCGCCTGATTTCATATTGACAACTCAAACCATGCTGCTGGGTTATCGATTACCCGATCTGGCTTGTTGATGCGAGGCTTAGTGTATCGCGTTGCGTACCGCGGCAGGATCGCTCCTCATACAAGGGGACAGCTGAACAGCTACCTCCTAGAAGTCTACTTTGCCGAAGGGCTTTGTTAACTTTGGATTTTATACTAGTGTAGACTGCAGTGCAGATGTTCCCTTTTTCCTTGTATGAGGTGATTGGACTGATTTCGCAAGCTGAACTGAACATCATTGCGAGATGTATCCAGGGTAGTAAACATAGCTAGCAATACTCTGATTCTTTAGGTACGAATTTTGTATTGCCCAGAATTGATAATCTATTGCGCAGTATTTTCACCTCCAGCCCTCTTCTTTGGTCTGGCCCTGCGCCTATTTACTATGATGAATGCGCCTCGACCATCATCCAAGTCGTTCATTTTAGCCTCCTTGTCTTCTTTCTCATCTTCAATCTCCTTGATCACCTCCTCCTGTTTCTTCCCCACTTCCTCTTTGACCGCATCCAATTCCTTGAGCCAACTCTTAACATACAGCACTTCCTCCTCTTCCAAATCCCGACAAACCCCACAATACGGTGCATCATTTCGTAAAGGGTCTCCATCTTCGCCTTCAATCCATGCCCAGAAGTATTTGCAATACCAGCAAGCGTATCCGGAACAGCGGCGGTCGTCGCGCGTTGTAATAGTTGCATCGGCGCATTCCGCCTCGCAAACTGGTGAATCGCATTTTCGACAGCGGCCTTCGGGCGCGGCTAGGGTGCCCGGTGCGTTGAAGTTTGAACATGAGTGGCAAATCCAGCCGCGGAGAGGCGGCTTGGACTACAGGTTATCAGTGTCATGACCTGATAATGGGAGTGGACGGATATGTATATTGTGATGTACTCACGTTTCGCATGGTGTGTGCAGACTGCTTGGATACGAAGAACAGAGTCCGCTGGTACGACATGTCGTCATGCCCAAGTATGTATTTCTCTTACGAAGGCTTAGTACAAGAGTAGTCAGTGCAACAGCATTACGTACGTATTGCTGATGCTGTCCATGTTGTGCAGTGATTGCTCCGTGTAGCCGATTGTAGCGAAAGTTTGATGCCGGAAGTGTAAGGGAAGGTGACTTGCTTGTATACGTCAGTTGCCTTGAGGTTGTTCCTGCTGCAAAGTGACTACCGGCACGTGGAAAGGTCGGGATCACGCTAGGTAGTGTCGCAACTGCGTTTGCTCTCGTTATCGAGAGACGCAACGTATTATCACGACGTCTCCGGCTTCTGCTGCATCATGCACACATACTTCCAAGAATATCCACAATAGTCTATCGCTTTCAACTCCTCCACTCGCCCAATTAAACAACAGCAATATGGCAACACCCACTGGTAGGTCCCTCTCTCCTTCTCTTCGCCCACACCACAGAAGTCGCTGACCCTTACCCAGAGCGCGAAATCATCCACTTCCCCGCCGATCTCACTCATGCCGCCCACTTAGCTGCCGTGCAACTCGCGGTCCAAGACGCTCGCACAGAAAGCCCAGCACAACGTGGGTGGATCTGTCATCGAAGCTCCCACTACAACACGCCTGGATCTACCGCTGCCCCAACTTCTACATGCTGGTGCGGCCATGACGCTTGTCGGCCAGTCCCAAGCCATACGCAGCATGTTCCACTGACGTCTGGTAGCTATTACTTCCCTCTCCCGCCCATGGGCCAGCACAGCTAACATATCAGCCGCTTGTTTCGACGTTCAGGTTACAACGAGGGACGATGCGAGACATTATGGCTGGGTGTGTTTCTTCTGCGATGTGTATACTGCATGGGGTGCTCTTGGCGACAATGGCGCTGCGCGTCTGAATTGTACGACGTGTAGGGACGACGTTAAGGAGAAGGAGGTTGTGTTTGTGAAGAAGAGTTTGGTGGGATACTCTTAGTCTTTTAATGGTGAAGATGGGGTCGGGGATGGAGACGGTTGGACGCAAGCCAAGGGCAGGAGGCGAGCAAATGGTTGCAGGCAACTTTGAGGAGCGATCGAAGCAAGTACCTTTGCAGTATACATACCCTCGAAAATGTTGATAACTAGGCAGCTTCGAAGATACTGTATACTCCTGCCCCAGATTATTTTTTTCTTTTGTAGAATGCACACTAATTCTAACCACCCTGTGGCTAGCTAGTTGAAACCCTTTCTTAGCCATCTTCAGTACCTATGTGTAAGTATCGTGTTCTTCGTATATCATTCAGCGTGAACAGCGTTGTCGTACATACCATCAGGTGGGTTGACATCGTATCCCGTATTCCTAGGTAAGTAGCGCACTTTTCCCACTTTGCTCTGTCAGCACGTCTTTTGCACATATGATGTACAACAACGCTAAACGTTGACGCGTCTTCGATGGCATATACTCTGGAATTACCTAGGCACAGTGAAGAGAAGCTGTCCATAACGTAAAGATCGTACGGGTGTTGTAACTCCGAATCGTGGAATCCGAGATAGATTTGGCGCGCATATGATTGGAGAAAGAGGTCCCTTATCGGGGGTTATTTCGTCCGACGTACACGAAATCCGAGTACCTCGCTCTTTTATAACAATGCGCGGGGGACACAGCGCAGCCCAGGAGCCAGGACGCAGCTGGCTGACATCGGTGGCTCATCTATCCCGAAGACCGGCCTTTAGCCGGACCCGAGACGCTCGCTTCCTACGACCCTTTTGCGGGTTGCTCGTATCGGTGAGTACGTTTCCAGCACACCGGAGTGGAAAGTTATGCGCCCAATCAGACGGCGCCTGTTGTCATGTTAGGCAGACGTTTACAACAGCTTCTATATGAAGCGCCTCTCCAACTCGCTTTCCTAAACTGCTTTCAATACAAACAAAAGCAAGCGCGACTATCGATTCCAGTTTTGTCAGGTCCAGCCATCGTTTGGTGCATGCGTTATTTGTCTGGTCAGTGCCGTGTCACCTGTAGTTCGCTCGCGTCTTGGTGTTGCGCAATTCCCCCATCGTATCGGCCGTATTCCAGCCCCCCGGACGAAACGAGTCCGCGCACTCGCGTCATCCAGTTTCGGGTCCATCGCCACTCAACCGAGAAGCTTAGCTCGTACATTTCGCCCTATCGAGTCTAGTGACCTCCGGCTCGGGCAACGGCTTGCCCTTGCACTACAAGGATCTCTAATCGTCTAGGCCCGTGGGTGGCGCGCTGGAGGATCTCAAAGGAATTGCAGGAGAAGTTATTGTTCCTTTCCTTGCGACATCTCCTTAGGACTTCTTGGGGTAACTTCGACTGCTGCACGCCAAGTATCAGCAACGACACGACAAGACACGCTCATCGCCTTGAGCATGGATAACGAGGACTCTGCAACGTCGACAGGGACGGCCATCTCCGCGGCTATCGACGAGAAGCATGAGTTGCACACCGAAAAGGAGGCCAAGCCTCCCACGGCTGGTCTCAGTGATCAAGAGAAGGACATCATCGATAGGCAATTGACTGCGCCCAACCTTACAGTCGGTTACTTCTCGCTCTTTCGCTATGCCAACGGAAAGGACAAGGTCGTCATGGTTATAGCGTTAATCGCTAGTATCGCGGCTGGTGCTGTTATGCCCCTCATGACGGTAAGCAGCATTCTCGTAGACATCTCCTACAACATTGACATACGGATCACCGATTGTCATGAAGTCTGTGAGAGCGTCTATGGCAATCCCAGAATCCTCATAATTTATGGGAAACATGTACTAACTCAATCCAGCTTGTTTACGGTAATTTCGCTGGAAGTTTTACCAGCTTCTCAGTCGATGCAGTCGCTGCTGCTAAGTTCCAGGACCAGATCAACCAGTTTACCCTCTACTTTGTTTACCTCGGTATTGGATCTTTCGTAACTTCGTATATCAGTATCATCGGATTCTCGTACACCGGAGAGCGCATCACACGAACAATTCGGGAACTCTACCTACGCGCCATCTTCAGACAGAACATCGCCTTCTTCGATTTCCTCGGATCCGGTGAGATCACCACTCGCATCAGCTCCGATATGAACTTGGTGCAAGACGGCATTGGTCAAAAGATTGGTCTTTTTGTCACTGGAGTGTCCATGTTCGTATCCGCCATCATCATCGGTTTCATACGATCGTGGAAGCTCTCTTTGATCATGTTGGCGGCAACATTGGCACTCATTATGATGATGGGTGTTAATGGTACTCTGATGAAGAAAGCTCAGACACTCTCTATCGACGAATACGCCACCGCTGCTTCGCTAGCTGAAGAAGTTTTGTCTTCAGCTCGCAACGTTGCTGCATACGGCACTCAAAAACGACTTGAGGAGAAGTACAAGGCTTTTGTAGACCGCGCCACGAAACACGACTTCAAGGCCAAGTTCTGGCTCTCTATGATGATTGCTGGCATGATGGGTGTGTTGAATCTTCAGTACGGCCTTGCGTTCTGGCAAGGTAAGAGGTTCCTCGACGACGGGGATCTTGGCGTTTCCAACATCCTGACTGTAGTCATGGCACTCATGATTGCTGGATTTTCCATTGGACAGAACCTGCCGCATATTCAGGCTTTCGGTGGAGCTACTGCGGCAGCTACGAAGGTCTTCAATACTATCGAACGAAACTCCCCCATCGACCCCGAAACGGATGCAGGCATTGTACCAGACGATTTTGTCGGTAACCTTGAGTTCAGGAACTTGAAGCACGTATACCCATCCCGACCGGATACTGTAGTTCTCTCCGATTTCAACCTGGATGTTCCGTCTGGCAAGATGATTGCGCTGGTTGGTGCATCTGGATCCGGAAAATCGACCATTGTTGGACTTCTGGAGCGCTTCTACCTCCCGATGGAGGGTCAGATATTCTTGGACGGAAGAGACATCACGACACTGAACCTACGCTGGTTGAGGCAACACATGGCTATCGTCAGCCAAGAGCCCGTTCTATTCAGTACCACCATCTACGAGAGCATTCTTCATGGTTTGGTCAATACGGAATACGCAGACGTGTCGGACGACAAGAAGATGGAGCTTATCGAGAAGGCTGCCAAGATTGCCAACGCTCACGACTTCATTATGGATCTTCCGGAGAAGTACCAAACCAAGGTTGGAGAGCGGGGTGGCTTGTTGTCCGGCGGCCAGAAGCAACGTGTCGCGATTGCTCGTGCTATCGTATCGGATCCCAAGATTCTTCTCCTGGATGAAGCTACTGCAGCCCTCGACACCCGCTCCGAAAGCGCAGTCCAGGAAGCCCTTGACCGCGCATCGCAAGGACGTACGACCATCGTCATCGCCCACCGACTCTCCACGATCAAGAAAGCCGACAACATTGTGGTCATGGCATTAGGCAGGATTGTCGAGCAAGGTACCCATCAAGAACTTATCGACCGCGGAGCTGTATATGCCAGTCTAGTACAGGCTCAGGAGCTCACCGCAAAGGTCAGCCCCGCCAACAGGATGACACTTCTCGACGACCCTGAGCGTAAACCGGAAGGCATCGCCGACGAAGAGAAGCTTGCTTTGATGCGCACTGTCACCTCTGCTCCCTCAGAGTTCCTGGCCAAGAAGAACGACAAGGAGAAGGAGTATGGCACCTGGGAGTTGGTCAAGTTCGCTTGGGAGATGAACAAGGGCGAGCACTCTACCATGACCATTGGGTTGGTTTTTAGTTTCCTTGCTGGTTGCAACCCTGCAATCCAAGCCATCTTCCTGGGTAACTCGATTAACTCGCTTTTGTCTCCCGGAACATCTCTCGGTGGACTCAACGTCAATTTCTGGTGTGGCATGTTCCTCATGCTTGGAATCGTCATCGGCTTCTTCTACTACGTACAGGGTATGACACTGTCGAGAGGATCTGCTAGGCTTGTTGGCAGCGTACGAACGCGCGCTTTCGGTGCCATGCTTCGTCAAGACATGGAGTTCTTCGATGGTGACACGGTCACTTCTGGTGCACTGAGCAACTTCCTTTCCTCAGAGGCGAACCGTCTCGCCGGTCTCAGTGGCTCTACCCTTGGAACGATCGTCAGCGCCGCCGCTTCCATCATTGTCGCCTTCATCGTGGGTTGCTCTTTCGGGTGGAAGTTGGCGCTTGTGTGCTCTGCAACCATCCCACTTGTCATCGCCTGTGGTTACTTCCGATTCTATGCTCTCACTCGCATGGAGAAACGAACCAAGGAGACATCCGATGCCGCCAGCTTCGCTTGTGAGGCGGCTTCTTCCATTCGTACTGTTGCCTCTCTCTCACTGGAGAAGCATCTATTGTCCACGTACCACACCAAGCTTGCAGACCAGGGCAAGGGCTACTTCAAGTTCACAAACGTGTCCGCGGTACTCTTCGCGACGTCCCAGGGTCTCAGCATGTTCATTTTCGCACTTGTCTTCTGGTACGGAGGACGTCTGTTGTTCAACCAGGAGTACACTGTCTTGCAGTTCTTCGTCGTCTACTCCTCCATCATCAACGGTGCTCAGTCGGCTGGTGCAATCTTCTCATTCGCTCCCGACATGGGCGAAGCTAGGGATGCGGCGAAACTTCTCAAGTCATTCTTGAACCGCATTCCCAAGATCGACAACTGGTCGACCGAGGGCAAAACGATTGACAGGTTGAGCGGCAAGATCGAGCTGCAAGATGTACGTTTCACGTACCCTGGAAGACCTGACCACCGTGTCCTGCGCGGTATCAGTCTTTCCGCCGAACCCGGTCAGTTCATCGCCCTTGTCGGCGCATCCGGTTCTGGCAAGTCCACCGTGATGCAACTGCTCGAGAGGTTCTACGACCCAACGAGCGGTAGCGTGCTTGTCGATAATGTGGAGGTGAAGGACTACAACCTTCAAGACTACCGATCGCAATTAGCCATTGTCAGTCAAGAAACAACCCTCTACACCGGCACGATCCGAGAAAACATCCTTGCCGACAAGGAGGAATTGGGCGATGACGCGGTGATACAAGCGTGCAAAGACGCCAACATCTACGACTTCATCACATCGTTACCCGACGGCTTCAACACGCTGGTCGGCGCAAAGGGTGCTCTACTGTCTGGTGGCCAGGTACGTTCTCCTACTCATTCATGTCTCTCAACCCCACTAACATCTCCTCCAGCGCCAACGCATAGCCATCGCCCGCGCCCTCCTCCGCGACCCCAAAGTCCTCCTCCTCGACGAAGCCACATCCGCCCTCGACTCCACCTCCGAACGCGTCGTACAAGCCGCCCTCGACTCCGCCGCACAAGGCCGTACCACAATTGCGATCGCGCATCGCCTGAGCACAATCCAACACGCCGACGTGATCTATGTCTTTGACCAAGGCAAGATCGTAGAAAAGGGCAGACACGAGGACTTGGTGGCCAAGAAGGGAGTTTACTTTGAGTTGGCGAAGCTGCAGGCTATCGGCGCACCGCAATAGTTCCAATGAGCGGGAGCTATTTTGCATAGACGGCGTTGGGGAATTCATGGGACGTTAGAGCATATACTTGTAATCGTTTCTTAGATCGTTAGGCTGGAACTCATGTAGATCTTTGGCATATAGAATGCCTGTTTCTCTGCCTTCGGCGGAGTACACTCCATAGATAATAGCTTTGATTGTTCATTCTGCCATCCTGGCGCATAGTCGCATGTGGGGCGGCATCGGGTCCACCGGTTGATTCAACACGTGAACGCGCGACTTCTGACGACATAGTGTCATTGTCTTTGCGACTCGCTTTGATCCAGCGTCGTCCTACCAAATATAGGATGCGAGCTATTCTCAGAGGTTTAGATTTGCCAAGCCTGCCTCGCCCCTAGCGATGCTTTCAGGCGTCCACGCCTCGCCACCAGCGAGTCACGATGGCTCGACTGTCGCCTTGTCCACGCGCGACTTCAGTTGAGCGAAGGGTACATCTCCCGTGCAATTATAATCAGTACCAGCCCATCGCGACTCCCCAGACGCCGCAATCCAGAGCAGAACGACCAAAATGCGCAATCCCAACAGCATCCGTATCCTGCTCCTCCTCATACCACCGCTTCTCTTCCTCTTCCCTCTCGCCGCCCTGACCAACATCCTCGAGCGCATATCCAAGAACTATTTCAACGACGGTCTTGGTCGCGACATACGCAGCGGCGCCTCCCAAATCGTCTTGTCCCGCCCCGGCTCGAACGACACCACCGTGACGATCGATGTCAACAACGCGCCTACAATCACCATACTAGCGTTATGTCTGCTGGGATATATAGTCAGTCTGCTCAGCGCAGCAGGAATATGGCAACTGAGGCGCACAGAGGGTACGGCGGGACATGAGAGAATGTGGACGTGGATTATCTTCGTTAGCAATATCGTTATGGTGGGTGCCAGCCTAGGCGTCTTTGGCTATGTCACTTCAGTGCAAAATAGCGATAAGAGCTGGCAAAGATACGAAGACGTTGGCCGAGACGACCAAGAGTTTACAAGAGAGACATGGGCGTGTCAGATCGACAAATTCTTTCCCGAGGAAGATTGGGCGGGTACGGCATGTGGAACTGCTAAGGCGATGAGGTACATGGTTATAGCCATGGCTGTCGCTGCGTTGTCGGTCTTTGTCAGTCTGTGGGTTCTTGTGCGGGCGAGAGGAGGGATTAAGTGGGCATTTGGAGGCAAGGGCAGGTATGCAGCGTTTGCGAGTGTGTATGAGATGCAACCGCCTGGTCCGCCATCGCCTTATACTGGGCCACAGGGACAGCAATGGATGGGTCAGCCAGGACAGCAATGGGTGGGCCAGCCTACGCAACAGCAGTGGGCGCCGCAACCTTACCAGCAGTGGGGTCCGCAACCTGTGCAGCAATGGGGTCCTCAGCTTGTTCCTCAACAGCCTGTTTCTCAGGTGCCAAAGTCAGATGCTACTGTAGGGCAACGTCCGGTTTTCGGATGAGGTCACGAAAAATTCACGAGGTATCATTGAAAGTCTACCGGAACCTGAGTATCAGTCTCTCTGGAAGCACATGTCACTACTAATACAGGGGATTCTCTTGCTCGGTGGCTCATGATCAAGATCAGATGAAGATTACGTGCGCCAGATTTGGGTTCACTTCAGGATTTGGAGTCTATTCACTCTCACTATGAACCGCCGAGAAGCGCTTTCACCGTTCATTCTCTTTCGGTACAATGGCGTCTAATCGATTTTCCTAGTTCGGTTTGCGAATTCTTTCACACTCTCAGGTTAAACGCCCCAGATACCAGTCCCCAGCTACCATGACGACAAGCTCTTCCCGCTGTACGGCGCCCTCGGCGCGCAGTTCTAGATCACCCGACATCGTCCTGAGGGGGTCAAAAAGTTGTGTAGGAGGCTTGGACAGCAACAATCCCGAGAATCTCAACCACCCGTACGACAAGACCGACAGTAGACCCGCTATGCCCTACACGATAGGCGCCACATTCACTGCTTATCGTCACGTACCACCTGCGCCTTTCGGTAATGGTTACGACACCCCCTGGCCGCCTTTCAAAGCAGGCCACTCCAGACTGCCGCAGCTCAACTACTGCCTTATCCGACCGCCAATCGAGGGATGCACGCTCGAAGAGTCCCACACGCTGACCATCACCGACATAATACGTACCGGCTCTATATACGGTGCACAAGTCGTCTTGGTCAACGGGGGTGTGGTAGCAAAGATATACGACCCGCTTTACGATGACGAATTTGACGTCTGGGAAAACAAGCGCGATGTCGTTGTGCTATCAGACGGAGATTACTCGCGGGAAGCCGCCGCGTACGATGAACTGCGACGAGATCTCAAGGCGCAGCGCGTTATACCAGAGTACTATGGTAGCTGGACCATTGACGCACATACGAGAGTGGACGGCCAGACCTATACAAGACATGTTCGGCTCATACTTATGGAACACATAGCTGGCACCATTATGACCGATATACAGCCTCTACTGCTTCCTGCAGAAACACGCTCATCGATCATGAAGAAAGTCGTAGAAGCCGAGTCTCTCATCTTCGCCGCGGGTGTTGTACACCGCGATATCGCGCCTCGCAACGTCATGCTCGTCTCTTCATCCCCGACCTTTTCCCTAGACGATCCAAACCTTCGCGTTGTCATCATCGACTTCAACGTCTCCGATGTCGCCCGGTTAAGCGCACCTGATGTCGGCAATTCGACCTCTGGATACATAGAACAGCAATGGCCTGACAAGATAATGGGCCCCGTGACGAGGTTCTGGAATGCGATGGGCGATTTTGCGTTCAAGGGGTGGGTTAGTAGTAAGGCGAAGACGACGAATGAGTGGCTGTGGGAGTGTTTTGGGGAGAGGGAGGAGTATGTTCCGCTTGTTCGGAATTCGAGCGATGAGGAGGCGTGCCCTAAGATTGACTGGCGCGGGAAGTTGGATGAGGGAGACAATGGAGGTGAATTTGGGGCTGTTGGGGATGCGGTTGACAGTTCGGATGCAGATGATAGTGGGCAGTGATGTCTTCCAGGGCTGATGCTGCGGCATTTCATCACATTTCAAAAGCGTGTGAGAAGAGTTCTATATGGTCAACTTAACAATCACATGTCGTCGGAAGTCCACTTTTCATAATCATGCGGGATTGTATTCAGGATGCCATTGTGTTCTAATCACTCGCTCTATAGATCACCCTGACTGCTGCATCTTCTCTTATACACCCAGGAGTACCCAGAGATACTAATTAGGCAGCGCTGGCTAGTCTTGGGACTCGATTTCGATTCCGGCGTCTTCAAATGCCTTGATAAGCCAGCCTAGAAGAACTTTGCGGATGAGACCTTGCTCCATAAAGCCATGTCCGTCGTCGCCCTCATAAACCCAGGACACCTTCGGCCTATCGCTAGCTGTTCCGGATTTACGACCCATCTTACGCATGGACGTCAATACCACTCCAGCCTCATTGTCCTGTTTGATCTCAGGGCGCTTAGCTGAGATAGTCCTTGGATCAAGAAGTTTTTCTTTGAGCCGCGGATGCTCCAGAAAATGATCAGCATACTCCACAAACTCCCTTATATGCGAACAGAACAACAGCTCAGGTGGCGGGGTATTCTTCGTAGTAGCACCAGATGCCTGCACAGTTTTTAAAATAACGTTTTCGTCAAGTTCCAAAACGTACAGCTTCTCCTCGAAAGAGTCAATAATCGTACGTGGTGATGAGGGCTCAGATGGTGAGTTGGCATTTGGGGAAAGCCTATCAGTGCTGCTCATCTTAACGAATTGGCCAGTGGCCAAACGGATGTAGGAAAATGTTAGCCCAACGGGGTTGAGAATTCTGGTGGAGTTGGTCAGGGAAAATTCAGGTTCGCAGAGTTAGATCTTAGCTGAATGAACGAGAAGTGGAAACTGATTGCGCCCACTCGTGTGACGCAATGTATATATATAGTGAAAGATGGAAGTTAAGTGACGGTGGATGTGATGAACACATCGCCCGATAGTCTGACAACGAGGAAAGAAATGCGTAATAGCTCAGGGCTCTGTGGAAGGACTTCCAGCTCTAATCTCTTTCATGCTGTCCAAATGCCATTAACACGATGCATTGTTCTTGAAACTCTATCAAAAGTTGGTATGAAGACAGGCTGAGAACACTGCTCCCCGGAGAAGTCACCAAACAACTAGGAGGAAGCCATTGTGCATGCTCTGTCTCATGACTCTACAGAGCGCTGAGGTCTGCGGAGTGAAAGCATGGCTACGCGACAACGCGACATCTGAGCTAGCGCGACTTGGCATACCTACTTTGTCCCTTCTTCCGCCAGTGACTTAGCGCTGCGACTTCACTACCATCCACTCAGGTCGAAAATACTTAGAATATTCAATGGGATCGCAACCCTTTCAGTCCCCTCGCGAGGCGTAAGCAGGCGACTGCATTCGCGACAATGCTTCCTGTACATCAACTGCCCCGGATGACGCAGGCTCTTCACCACTACGAGGCGACAAAGCTGGATCGAGCGATACCGAGGCTAGGAACATCAACATCGAGCAGGTTACAGCGACGCCATATACTGTAGGCTCGACCTTGGTAGCCACAAGACACAAGCCACCTGAGCCTTTTGGTATCGGGTACACTACCGATGATCCGCTAATGCTGGAGAACTGGAAATCTCTTTCGCAACGCGAATTGTGTTGCACAAGGCTTCCTATCAGTAGCTAAACAGTCTGCGAAGATCAAATCACTCTGACTATAACCGACGTCATCCGAGGTGGTTTCAACAAAGGCGCGCAACTTGTGGTAATTGACAAAACCGTGATAACCAAAGTCTTCGATCCGCTATATTATAGGAACTGCAATGAGTACGGCCGAGTTGACGTTGTGTATGATGCAGATAGCGATTACAGTCGCGAAGCTATCGCCTACGAACAGCTGCAGAAGTCATCCGCGGCGAAAGAAGTCACGCCTGCGTTCTACGGCACTTGGACCATCGACGTGAATACTCTACTCCGCAGCGGAAAGCAATACAAGAAGCATACACGTGAAGTACCTCTGATTCTGATGGAGTACATACGTGGCGAGACTATGCCCAACATCGACGTCCAAAATTTGCCGGAGCAGACAAGGTCCTATCTTCTTCTAAAGAGGATTCTGGGAGTCGATATGATCATACTTCACGCAGGTATCGACAACAGTGATTACTTTCCTCGCAACATTATGGTCACCGGCCTTCCGGCTCAGTCGGTAGGCGAAGCACTGGACGGCTTGGACGTTAAAGCGATCGATTTCAACCTTGCTATTGTCCGTCGTCATCCGGGATCCCACAACTATGAAATGAAACGCGAGATCGACGAAGAACGTGAAGCATGGTTTCCCAAGCTTCTACCGCCGATGGTTCGATGGTACGGTAGTATCCAAAAATTCTCGACATATGGTTGGTGCCCTGATGGAGAAGGAGAACCCGAACTATGGCTACGGGAGCAGTATCGTGACGATGAGCGCTATATTCCCGTCATTTGGGACCCGTCTAAGTTCAATGTTTGGCCAAAGCTCGTTGCGCTCGAAAGCGGTTCTGAGACAAGCGTGGATTCAGGTTTTGGTTTGACATGGTAGCTGAGAAAGGCGAGGAATGCGAGGAAGGCGACAGAAAGAGCGGTGTTGAACTTGACGATCACAGTGCGTCTACCGTACAGTTATCATAAGCTTTGCTAGGCGTAAACGGGGTTGAGGTCCATTTTGGATGTAATTAGATACCCATTTATGGGCATCAGGCCTGGAAAATGTACGCTCTCTATTATTGTACGTATCTTCCTGAAATGCACTCAATACTCACATAATAGAACTACCCTTCTCTTAAACATTCTCGTAATGGATTTCTCGCTGCTATGCATAGATTGAATGTTCATACGACCATCACCACAGTGACATACTTATTACCTCCTCCTGGGCGGTTTACGCCTACTCGCAGCCCGTCTGGTTGAACTTCATAATTGAGGATGCGTTCGATCCGAAAGCCACAGCTCGATCAATCCATGCATCGATGCTTTCAGCGGCTGGCTGTCGCACCCTGCTCAAGATGTACAACGTGCTCCACTTCTGCGTCTGCACAATCGCCCAATCAACTGCGTAATCTGCACATCAACGTTAGCGGTCGTGCGCTTTCTCTAATGCTCATGGTACGACTTACCTTGCACAATGTAGTTTGGTCCTGGGCACTCTGCAGTTGAGGGTGTGCCAGGGAAGCTGACAATGAAAGCACCGCCGGCGCCATAGGCAGAGTCTACAGGCGTAGCTGTGCCTACGATGTCGACAGTTCGTGGGCCGACAGTCGCGGTGTTCGTGACGCGCACCGTACCATTGTCCTTGATATGCGGTCAATTACCGTCCAAAAGATTCAGATACAAGGACAAACCTACGTTGAGTTCGTAATTTGCGGTCACGCAGCGTGCGCCGGCTGTAGGACCGAATGGTGTACCAGCGACCTGATACCAGGTTCCGAGATACGCGTTCAGGTCGAACTTGGAGTCTGGGACAGGGTAGAAACAGGTTCCGTCATATTGTGCGGCCGCGACATTCGGGGTAGAGCTCGTCTCATTGTAGGACGCTTGGCGAGGGTGGATGAAGCCTGAGGCGGCGGAGGAAAGAGCCAGGACAGTGCTGGCGAAGCGCATCTTGAGTAAGCTTGTGTCGTGTGTTGGGATTAGAGATTAAAGGTGTATGGTAATAATTTTGTAATGAGGACGTGCCTCCCTCTACTTGACATAAAAAACTGTGGCTGGTGGCACGTCACTACCAAGCCACTATGCAGTACCACGCTTTCATAAACAGTCCAGACTCAAATATTTGCGTACGTCGCCGGTATCTCTCCCGGGCCGACAGGAACCATTGTGAACGCGCATCGGTACACACGTGTTGCCAAGCTTGCGGACTCTTTTCCTCGGTCGAAAAGTGGTTGCGGAAGAGCCCGGCTCTACTTCTCATTACGAGATGATGCGGCTGTCGGCAACCGCAGCTGCTGGTGAATAGCGAGGTTGGTGTTTTGAGGACAGGGGTGAGCGAGCGACGGCTGGTGATGACGTATGCGCCGACTTGGCATAGAGCCGCATCACCGCCTTCGCCGCATGGCCTCTACAATATTATATGTGATGGTTTCGCCTAAGAAGGATGCTAACGAAGCCTCCGAAACTAGGTGATGTAAAGCCGTTGCGAGCTTTATGACGGTGCCATCCCGCCACACCGAAGGACGATCTGCAAATGCCTCGCGAGTACTTGTTGCAAGATATCGACCCGACTGTAACCACGAGTAATTCCAGATAGCGAACGACAGTCCAATCGCTTGTACAAAACTCAATCTATTGTCGACCTGGCAGTTATCGTAGATCTGCTTAGCCAACCATCGGATACAAAAGTCGCAGAAACTCACAGTGAATGCGGCTGCTACAATTGCACACTAGTGTGGAAGGAACAGTGAAGAAGGCGCACATCTCACCAATTTTTGACGTGAAATGTAGCAATCATAAAATGAATAGTAATGTGCCTGCTACAATAGAACACCGATGCGCACAGCGCTTGATCCATGATCCGTGTGCGCCTATCGTGACGCCGAAGCTCAGCAATACCCTAAAAAATGAACAAGAAAGTAAAAATGAGCAGCTATTGCAAACTCTCCGTAGGAACAACGGAGACTTTGAAGACGGTACCAGCCAGTGATGAATCACCGCCAACCGTCACATTACCGGAACCAGATCCGACGCTGTTGTGACATCCCTCTTTTCCCTCCTTCTGAAGCATGCGAGCAAAGTAACCATAGCAATCCTCGACCTTCCAGAAGACACCAGCAGAGTCCTCGGGTTGGGAAGCTGGGGTGACATCGACTATAACCTTGATTAGTACATTTGGATGCTGCGAATTGGATAAGAATTTCTTACATCTAACAGCATAGTCGGTAATGCGATTACCATCGCTACCCACTGCATTGGCATCTTGTGTACTGTTCTTATGGCCGTTGAGTGGGTAGTCAACAGTCGCGGTACACAGCGTACCGGTGGCGATGCGGTCTGGATAGGCGCAACCGGGCATCATGGCGGCGCAGGCGTCGTTAAGGATAGTTTCGAGTTTGGGATCAGCTGTGAAGCTGAGTGATTTATCGGAGTCGGTGTCGCATGTCGTTATTGTGTCGGGTGCGGGTTGCCAACTGTCACTGGCTCCAGTCTTGGGTGACTGCCGTTGGACGAGTGGTGCCGCGAGCGTCGTCGCGAGAAACGCGCTGAAGAGCATTTGGGTGTACATTCTGGATGGTAGATCGGAGTACGAAGGGAGAGGTATCGAGAAGATGTCGTACGGTTCGCAGGTTGAGTGTCGGTGATAGACAAGTCAATGCGCCACAACGGTGAACAGTTTGCTGTTGTGAAAGGCCGGTTATTGAAGAATGAATTCAAGAGAGCGGACCGTCTTCTATATTACCTCGCTCTATGTCATACGCTAGGAATTAAAGTTGTAAATGATCGCCGTGGGGTCGGGAGCACGGTGATGCAAACTGTGGAGGTACGAAATGAGGTATCCCCCTGCGCGTAACGGACCGTTACAGACATCTATTTGTTTCTGTTCTGACCTCACCTTGTTTCTTTCTTTTGTGGGCGTAACAGGGTACTGGCCCTGCATAATGTCTGCCTGGACAAGAAACAGGGTTACAAAAACAGGTCTAGACTTTATTGAAACGAAACAGGGTCGTCTGCATAGCTGTAGTCCCTTGTCATCAATTCTGGTGAAGCGGATGAATTGCAATGGCCGGAGCGTGGGGTCATCTGTCTTCATCAAACGATCGGCAGATCTACCGTCCGTGCCATAAGGCGCGTGGAACCTTAAGAGCATATCTTTCCCATGAGCGCGCTGCTCAATACTTCGTCGGGGTACAGCCTTCCTACGCGCGCATTCACGATTGCGCTTCCATCATCCCAGCTCGAATCTATGGCGTGTCCTGAGAGACGCTGTCATCACCAGCGTCATTATGCGCGGGTATTGGCGAGCAGTCGGGAGGATGCTTGTTCGGTGGTATTGATGAAACAACGAGGTGCTACGGTCCCGTGAAGTTGCTCAAGATAGGGACCGAGAAGCTATGTCATCTGCCAAGGCTCTAGTTCGCCCTTCATTTCCCCTGCCACGAGAATCCCAGGGCTTCCCAACACCGAAACATCCAGCGCAGTCGAAGCCATATCTTCCAAGGGCTTTTCAGAAGTTGCACAGCCTCGGACGCACTCTGTTATCTATACTGGCAATCCATGGTCGAATGCATAACACCGTTACCCAAAGAACAGCACCTGTACCGAGTGCCGAGCAATCGAGATTAGCCTTCGCAATGGCACTAACAGCTCGACGAAACCTCAGACATCACCGGGTGTACAAAGTCCTAACGAGCAACTATCTCATGCCTTAGAGCATGATTCCCATCAATCTCCAGAAGCGCTGAGGACATGAATGCACAGAGTCGTAGCATCAGCTATGGGAGGGGTAAAACTCCGATACGCTCCTGCGCATTGTCCGTAAAGAGCGTACTGCTTACGCCAGCTGGCAAGAGGATTGCCTGCTAACCAGAAGAAGAAAAACTTATGTATACACCGTTCAGCCTTACGGGCTAACATATGCGCGGTAAGCAGCGACTATCGCACATCAGCCTCGAAGGCTTGACTATTCCTAGGCTGCAGTACAAAAGTATTGTGCGATCCACCTCTTTCTTGTTTCGACCCTCAGTGAATGTTTTACCGCCATAAGTCCTCAGCATGAACACCAAGCCAGAAGCAAACACGTGGGCAGACACACCATTCGCCCTCCTCAACATTCCCGGTCAACCAAACGCGCCAGTATGCGCAAATGCAGGTGTTCTCGACGTCGCCATCGAAATGGCCAATGTTCACAACCTCTTGCTCCGCGCTCTAAATTCCATACATCACCAATCGCCCTTCGTTCAACTCCCTGGCGACGTTGCAGATCTTATGCTGTACGTTACCGCATGGGCCGATACCGTGCACCACCATCACTCCCTTGAAGAGACTATGTTCTTTCCAAAGATAGAGCAGATTGCAAGGGAGGCAGGAATAGATGGCTGGGAAGGTATAATGGGAGGAAACGTGGACCAGCATCATGAGTTTGAGCCGAAGATTGCAGGCCTGGTGAAGTGGGCCGAAGAAGTCGTGGCTGGAGAGAAGACGTATGACGCGGCGAAACTGAAGAGCCTGATCGATGAATTCGCACCTGTCCTCACCCAGCATCTACACGACGAGATCGATACTTTGATACAACTCGATAAGTGTGATGGGGAGAAGATCAAGCAAGCGATGAAAGAAGTAGCCGACGAAGGAGCAAAGACTGCTGATCCGGTGCGTATTCCGATCTTCTCACCAGCTGCTCATCATCAAGCAAAACACTAATAAGCTGCCTCTTCAGAATCTCGTCATCCCGTTGGTACTTGGCTGTGTCGACAGAAGCTACCCTGGTAGTGGAGCCTTTCCACCTGTACCGTTCTTCATCCCATATCTGAACGCGTATTGGTTCACAAGAAAGCACAAGGGGGCATGGAGGTTCAACCCAAGCGATCACTGGGGCAATCCAAGGCCGCTGCAGTTTCTGTCATGACCATTGCGAGAGGTCTAGATAAAGTCAGGAAACTGACATAGCATGGCGGTCGCCGAAGCTTGCATGTATTCAGAGGTTTTCTGTGTGACGAATGAAGCCTGCTGGTGCTCATGTAGCTTCTATAGTGGTAATTTACCTCAATGGTAGAGACTCAGGCACGCCTTGTATACCTTTGTGCTTCCTTCCATCCGACTACATTGATTCACTCTACGCGATATATGCATTGGGGTATTTTGACGCCGCTACACTTGCCTCGGTAGATTATATCAGTCGGATATGTTCACATCGAAGCCGCTGTGAGGCGCATCAAGGCAGCCTTACCACCAGGAAATTAAGCAACTTAACTGTGGAAAGCCTTGTCACGTGTCGAATGTATGCCTTGGCTTTAGTGTATCGCAACCATGGTTCTCTGTAAAATCTCACCTCAACAACCAAAGTACACCACAATCATGTGCTGCTGATACTTAGAGGGATGTAATAAAACTTCGCACTCGTGCGTTTAGAAAGCCTTAAAACCACAAAAGTATGACAAGTCCGATCTTTATTCCTTCTCAAATCTCTACTACCTAACTCAACAGAGCCACGTTCGGATTATCTGTCAACACCGAAGTCATGCACGTGCAGCCAACTGACATGTCGGTCAACAACGTACCCACAAGCCCTCTTCTCAAGCTTCCTGGAGGTGAGTCGAAGTCAGTCCCGAAGGGGTAAGAAGATTGTACTACATCACACTAACGCATGTCACCAGAGCTTCGCAATCGCATCTACGGGTTCGCGCAAGAACCAGACGACATCCGTCTTGTCCACAAGCTCACCCGACAATACGAGTATGCTGGTCAACCCAAACGACAGTTCTTCGGTCTCACACAAGCCTGTCGTCAGCTCCGAACAGAGTATCTGCCTATCTACAAGGCGCAGACAAGGGTCCAGATTCAGTGCCTGGATTCGCTTCCTTACATCAATACCTTTGTTCTTCCTACCGGTACAGAGCCCAAGCAAGCTCGCGGAAACCTTACCGTTCAGTTACCAGACCATGGATATGAGCCCAAGGGCGAACTAGGAACCAAGGGCGACCTAGCACCCCATAGGGACATCATCTACCTTGTCTTTCTCTGTAGCAAAGCTCCTAAGGTCAACGTAGCCTTCAGGCTAGCCGATATCCCGCCATTGCAGCCCCGTATGGAGCGTGTATTGTACAATCTTACACACTCGGAAGCTGCGCCTGAGCTGCACACCTTCGTACAAAACTCGGTAAAGCATGTAGAATGCATGTTCGTAAAAGAAAAAAATGCCCCGTTGGTGATCTTTTGGATCAAAAAAGGTCATGCGAAGGAATGGATGCATCAGTGCTCCTTCGGTCGCTGGAACCGCCCTGGCGACGACTCACGTCAACAGATGGACGAATGGATGTTGGAGATGCGGCTCAACACTCCGGTGAACCAGGTGGATATAGGATTCATCGTTGATGATGAGTTGAGAGAGCGCTTGGCGGATGAGTGGCGTCGTGGCCGCCCCGTGCGAAACTTTAGGTTTTAGTAAATCGCGGAGATCGAGGTGTCGAGCGAAATTTCCATTTCAAGACTGTGGTAAAGTGATGCTGTGCAGAAGACATCCTCAGTAAAACTGATGGTTTCGCAGGATTGAAGTAGACGTATGAATACAATAACTCGAGAGCCATAAAAAGCTATTGCCAGCAGTCTTCACTCCCTCCAATGCGCTCTATCTTGTCTCGGTCACGTCGAAGCGTACTGAATCGTCGGTGTCTACGCCACGATTCAAATACCAAGATTGATCCTCGAAAGACTTGTCTTTATGACTCATCTCTATCCTGGTTTTTCATCTGTGCTTTGTCTCATTGTAGTCTTCTTCCTCTGTGTCAATTTACACTCACCAAGAATGTTCACAACGAGGCAGAAAGAAAGTATGTTTCTGGTCCAAAGGATCGAGTGGCCAGCTGGTCATTATGTCTTAGTCTCCTGTTCACTTACTTGGTGGATGATAAGCAATGCTACTATAAACACCAACGTGGATGATAGTGCCGGATGACACCTGGATTATCTCCCACATATAGAGACGCAAGTTCCATTGACGTATGCCGGACTGACATCACTTGCGGGATGCGATGGGTTGGATAGATTTATCGACAACGAGCGTCCGCGACATCCCCAAAGTCACACTTGCTGCCTTGATTCATACTTTGTCAGCTGTCCCCGATAAGCGAGGGAAAAATCACCCATGACGCCATAATGATCCGAAACCCAATCTAGCTCGCCCGCTTCCTTCATCATCTGTCTATGCTCCTCAGCTACTTTGACGCCCATACCAATTCTCTGGAACTTCCAAGGAGCTAGCCACCCTTGGAACAAGATCTTATCCATCCTGCTACATCCGAACCTATCCCTCATGGCTTGTGGAGACTGGTAACCCCAGGTGTACCCATTGTCGCTGTCTTCTTCACCGGGGCGATTTGCGTGTTCAGGAACATTAGGGTTCCCGAAGGCATTTGCGTTGCCGGGGCCATTGGCATGACCGCCTATCAATAGGTACATATCCTCGAGCTCATTGTCTGTGTGCAGAGAGCGATCAAAGGGCTCAATAGCATTGAGATCGCCAGCTAGTATCGCGCTTTCGACGTCGTTGTGGTTGAGGTACTGCTTTGCGGCTGCCATCTGAACGGGGCGGACAGGCGGATCAGCGACCAGAGACTCAAGATGTGTGTTACATAGCCGTAGTAGTTTCACCGGAAGATCTGGACGAATGGAGTTGTAAAGCTTGATATCCACAAATAGGCCGTCTCGACCAAACTTGCTGTACCACGGAACGCGGAACACAGAGTCTATGTGCACTCGCCGATCGATGAGTGTGGTGGTGCCATAATGAGAGCTTAGCCAGTTTTGCGAGTCGATATCTGTGAGGTTGAAGCGTTGCTTGACCCAGGCTGAGTCTCGAATCTGCTCCATGTCCGATACTCCCATCTCTTGTAAGAATATGACGATTGCGTTTTCTGGCGGCGTCGACGATACTAAGTCGTGCAGATGATCTAATGCGGCGCTCATTCGTTCTTCTGGGAACGGAACAAGGACATCGATATTCCAGGAGATCAGACGAAGCTTCGTGGGATGCAGAAGTAACTCCGATTCGTCTTTTGGGAACGTTTGACCGGGTGCTGCTGGCTTCCAATTGCTGTCTGAAGAGGTGTAATAATAAGGCTGTTTTCTTGGCTCGTAGAAAGCATCTTCGCGTTTCTGTATATTAGAAGAGAAGGTGGCCGCGGCAGCCTGCATGGCGGGAGTAGGCTTCACTGGAGACATGCTTCTGGAGAACCTAGAGGGTAGTCAAGATGTATGTGAGGTTGCAGAGAGTCTGGAGATTATAGGCCGCGGGCATGTGAACATAGCAGACAGTCGGTAGCGGAACATGATGTTCATTGTAGTCGTCCACGGGTGGTTGCCTGGATAGTGCTGACGCGGGGGAGTGAGGCGCTCGGCTGAGGGCGGAAAAATGCTTGATGATATGACTGTATTACGCGCTTATGTACAATGGAACAAAGACGAAGCACAAATTATAACTGTGGTCGATGTGGATGATGCGCCGGAGCAAATGCGTGTTCTTGGAGGTGCGAGCGCCGGCACGTGATGCGGTGAGGGTACCCCTGTCGTCAATGCCGAAGCGCGTCGTGAACTTTCGCGATACAGAAGGAGCTCCAACCTGGGGAAGCTGCCACGACACCAGCCCTTTGTCCCGCCGTAATAACCGTCTCTCTACCGTCATCGCCCCGGCTCGCTATCCCGAATTACCAACGCCCCAAATCCATCGCTACTCTCCAACCCCGCCATGGGCTCCCGACTACACAATGCTCCGATCGTGATAGACAACGGTAGTGGAACCATCAGAGCTGGATTCGCGGGCGAGGATGTGCCGAAGTGCTTTTTTCCGTCCTACGTAGGACGGCCGAAGCATGTGCGGACAATGGCAGGCGCATTGGAGGGCGACGTATTCATAGGACCACAAGCACAACAATATAGGGGGCTTTTCAAGATCAACTACCCATTGGAGCACGGCATTGTCACAGACTGGGATGATATGGAGCGGATATGGCAGTATGTCTACACAGAAGGCCTGAGGACCGTCAGCGAAGATGTGAGTTGGACCGTGGCAGACTGCCATTTGCTGCGATGGAGGGGCATCTAGCTGACTGTTCATCTTCGCAGCATCCCGTACTCCTCACAGAGCCTCCGCTAAACCCCCGAGAAAACCGCGATACGGCTGCCCAGATTCTATTCGAGACGTTTAATGTGCCTGCCTTATACACATCGGTCCAAGCCGTCCTTTCGTTATACGCATCCGGCAAGACTACTGGCCTGGTTCTAGACTCGGGAGACGGTGTTTCGCACGCAGTACCAGTCTTCCAGGGTTTCGCAATTCCCAACAGCATCAGGAGGATAGACGTGGCAGGCCGAGACGTTACAGAGCACTTCCAGCAGCTACTGAGGAAAAGCGGACGCGTCTTTCACACAAGCGCTGAGAAGGAAACGGTCAAGAACATCAAAGAGGCAACAGGATACGTGGCACTCGATCCAGCCAAGGAGGAAAAGGACTGGTCAGGCTCGTCCAGGTCAGAGGGCAAGAGCGTTGACTACGCACTACCTGATGGCCAGAAGATAAAGGTGAGTACAAATGACGAGACGCATCCGACACGAGCTGACAGTCTAGATCGGAGCGGAACGCTTCCGAGCACCAGAGATACTCTTCAACCCCGAGATCATTGGTCTGGAGTACCCTGGCGTGCACCAGATAGTTGTCGAGGCGATACACAGAACCGACATGGACCTCCGAAAGGCGCTTTATGGCAACATCGTACTCTCTGGAGGTTCCACATTGACAAAGGGATTCGGAAACAGGCTGCTTCATGAGGTGCAAAGACTGGCGGTGAAGGACATGAGGATCAAGATCTTAGCACCACCAGAGCGCATCTACACCACGTGGACTGGCGGCAGCATTCTTGCGGGTCTCAGCACCTTCAAGAAGGTAAGTTTCTTATTCCCAAACGAGGCTGTAGCCATTGAACTGACACGTGCATGCAGATGTGGGTAGAGAAAGACGAATGGCAGGAAAACCCAGACATCATCCACACCAAATTCGCATAAGCACCGACACGTCGTCTTTGGCAGCAGTACTTACTCCGCACCCGTTTCTCCCGCCTCCGCATCATCTTTCGAGAAGGAGCTGCGTGGTTGCATGGGTAGCGCAGTTGCAGTTAGTCATGGAATGGGGTCCCAAGACCTGGGGTCGCGCCAACCACGAAGGAAGAAAGCTGGGGGCTGCGCGCTTGGTTGGGTGATGGCAGATCTACGTGTCAGCCGGTAGCCGTAGCTTCTAGACGGGAGAGCTACTGTAGCATGCTGCTTTCCCCGCATTCGAGTGCGTTTCTGTTACTTAAGCGCGAGCATGGTTCGAGAGTGTCGGTTAGGTAAGGTGTACGAGGGGGAGAGCCCGTGCATGGCAGGCGTTTGTGAGCGCTTTGGAATACCCCTATGATTATGAAGCGTACAGAATACCACAAATTAATCCACTTGCGAATGTGCACACGGAGTGCGAAACGGGAAGTTACAGTCAGATGGTTTGGGCGAATGGGTGTGCCAAGCATCGTGAGGTCTTGTCTAGTCTCGTCAGCTATGGTGTGACTGCGGTCAAATCACCGATGCTTCACTCCACGTAATGTGCAACGCATATTACACACAATGGCGACATGACATGCGCAAATAGCATCACCCCAGCTGCAGCGATCGCGAGCACTGCAGGTACCTGATCACAGGGCCAGCCACAACAGGGGGCCACGTACCTGTTCGTCACCGCAGACCGCAAGCACAGAGCCGCCCACGCCTAGACTTCACGATGCTCGACGTCATGCACGACGGTGCGTCCGGAGGCTCGGACAGCCAACTGAACGTACGTGGTCAGCTGGCAGAGCGAAAAATTGAAGTGGCCGAAGATGCAATTGCTTTTTTGGAAGACGCCACCGACGTTGAAGCTCGCTGTGCCTTGCAGAAGGATGGTTATCGATGCATGCAATGGGTATCAAAACAGCAACACCAGCATCGAACAGGCAGCGTCAGAATCTGCAGCGTCTCCATCTCGGTTCCCCTCTGATCCAGGCACCCGATGACAAGCGCAGAGCGTATGCGGCGTATGCATGACGCGAGCCAGACGTGAGACGCAGCACCGCGAAAAAATCTCTTCCCGCCTCCACACTCTCCGGCGGGAAGCGTGCGCTGGCCGTCGCGGAAGCTGGCACAAGGCCCCAGTTTGCGCATGGCGTCTTCTGCGACAAATTTTCAGTCAGACACCTCACAGGCGGCGCTTCGGCCATGTGCGACGCAGGTGGATGCGGTTGCTGCGGAGCCAAGCTCCGGGCTTTCGATAGCGTCATGGGCTCGATCGCTTCGCTCCTTGTTCTCCGCTGCACCTGACCATTTCCCCTGGCAATCTCTTACCCCCGAGAAACTCGCTCCAGCCAATCACCGCATTTTGAGGGGGTAATGGTAAACTATTCATGGTGCTGAGAAATTTCCTACACTGGCCTTGTTAGGGGACGCATGATCCATCGACTGCCGTTAACTGCAAAGTGTCGCTCAGACTTCCAAGGCTTCTGAGCTGGCCTCGTGCGCGTCTGGTTCGTTTCGTGGCGCCGAAAAAAAGCTTGCGCGTGAGAGGTTTTCTTGCCTTGCATTTCAGTAGTAAGAGGGGATCGTGATCAGTGCGACGCTGTTTGTTATATAAACCCTTCTACCCCAGTAGGTCTTGTTGAGTACCAACGATCATCAACCACTACAGATCTTCCCGGAGCTACCTCTTATTATCAACGCTACCCCAGATTCCCATCGACGACAGTCGCCACTTGACTTGATCCCAACATCCAAACAACCAACCAACCTCACTACCAAACAATCAAAATGGTCAACTTCCACATCAGCGAGCCTCACCCATCCGCCGGTGCCTACATGTACTCTGGCCGCGGCGGTGCCGGCAATGCTATGCGCATCAAGCCCACCGAGGTCACCCCCGGCCCCACAGCCTCAGGTCCTGCTTCGCGCACTAAGCTGCCTCCCCCACCCAGCAACGCCTTCTACGCCACCGGTCGTGGCGGTGCTGGCAACATGAAGAAGTCTGAGCGCGCCATCTTCAGCTTCGACGAGGAACTCCAACAGCAAGAACGTCTCCGCACTCAACAAGCACCCGTCTACCACATCGGTCGCGGCGGTGCCGGCAACCTCGTCGACGAGATGAAGCCCCGATCCCAACGCCAAAACTCCGCCTCCTCCACCTCCAGCTCCTCGAGCGTAGAGAGCGAGAAGGACGGCGTCCGCCGCAGCATGGAGCACGCATGGCAGCGCCTGAGCAGGCAATTCTCTCACCAATAAGAGAGTTACCGCCGCCTCATCTTGCGCTCAACCTTCACTTCTTGCATACCCATCTTCAACATGAGAGCTGGTTCTGAATCTCTCGTCATCTTCCATCCCAGCATTTCCATCAGCACGGCGTTTCCATGGAGGTCTACCATCTCCCATTGTACAATCACCAACAACAAAAGTTCCTTTTACGACATCTTTCTTGATAACGACATATCCACACACAACCATCGAGGAGCCAGGCGCCTACCTCCGGTCATCAACAGACATAAAAGTAACACCTTGATACCCGGAAACTAAATCCTGCTCTTACGAGAGAGGGCTCTCTACTATTCATTGAACATTTTTTCATCATTTGCGGTAAGGGGAGGAGGAAGTTTATACCCCCAAGCCAGTGAGAAGCTGGCGAGGACAAGGACGGGTTCGTCCTTGCCTCTGTTCATAGTAATAATTGAATGATATCCATCTTCATATCTTTGTGCCAACTGGTCACTCTGCGACTCTTCCATGTTACCATCCTGCATAAAGTTGAGGACGCAAGCCATATACTCCGGAATTACGCAATGTCGTGAACACCTAGCAACGTCTATCCGGTGAGTAACGCACATCCAGCCATTTCCTCAGCTCCTCTGACACGTACTTCCTAACTGCGAAAACCTCTTCACCAACGAAAACTCCCCATTATCTCACAATAATGCATCCAGCCTCCTCCCGCCCTACAACCCACGACTCAGCACAGCACAGTCTCGACTAAACCAGCCCAGCCTCCAGCACCAACGTAAACATGCCAAGCCACCGGGTATAATTCGTACACGGAGTTGACTCCGTCAAGTTTTCCTTTTGTGGCGTGTAGATCTAGATCGGCCGGACCAGCAAGCTTGCATGCATGCATACGCGAGCGTAGATCAGAGTCTGTTTCACCGGAATATCTGATGGAGACGGGACGGAGAAAATGACCCATGTGGAGATCGTGAGGATGGGTGAGTGTCACCGGTTAGAGGGGCGATCTAGTATTGTTGGTGATGGTATTACGATCGGTGGAGACTTGTCAAATTAGACAGCGTTTTTTTTTTTGCGTGCACCTCACATTATGAAAAACAAACGAACAGGCCTGCAGCCTACATCAAGATAGGAATATGCAAAGTAGTCAGCCTAACAGCAACGTAGGCTCTACGATGTTTAGTTTTATTCCCTTAAATAAGGTGCGTGGGTTTGTTAGGTGGTGAGGTTGGGTTCGGGGTTTATTATCCTTCGTTTCCGTAAGTAAGGAAGGTGTACATGGAACAAGTTCAAAACATTTCAAAACATCGATACTAACCGAGACGACGGACTTTACGACATACGATGCGCGTACATTTAAGTGTGTTGCACGGAGATTGGGAAGAACAAAATGCCAATTTCTGATATCTCTATAGACTGGGAAATCCCCAAAGAGCGCCGTATTATGAGTGGTAATTCTTTTAGTGGCCCTTTCAAAGTAGGCTATGCAATGATCCCGGGATGACTGATGTGAAGAGAACAGATACAAAAAATAAAGCCAGGGGAAAACTACCAATACACGTACTCGAAGCACTCCAAAACCCAACTTCCAGCTTGGTCTTGGAATAGACTGCCAGTCGACCTTCGTTTTCCTCAACGCCTTGGTTGCGCTTTGCTAGCCGTACTGATCAACAGCTTGAAGCCGTTCTTGAGCGCCAACATATCGGGGTAAACGTTCTTGTGTAGTTCGAATGCGTTGGGAACGACCTTGATGCCCCAGGCTCCCTTGGGTCCGCGAGCGCTCATCTGGAAGCAGATCCAGAAGTGACCGGGGTACTTGGGCATGCTGCAGAAGGCGTACATGGAGCGTGAAGGGTTGGCTTCGCAGTAGTTCTCTAACCATTTCTCTGCGAAGGAGTTAGCTTGTGATTCGAATATCAGAGGGTGGATGATGCGATAGACTTACCAGTATCTTCTCGTGTACCAGGTTGGAATCGCTCATCTCGTGTAATCTCTGTAACTTTGCGTGCCATAGCTTCGACGTGGTTGACGATCAACTCGTCGAGATCGGAGTAAGTGTGCTTTCCGATCTTGAGCTGCTTTCCGAGCGAGAACTGGTTGGCCTTGTTCATCTCGAGAACGTCAAGATGCTGGTATGCGTTGTTGGACACTTTCCATGTGACGACCAGATGGTCGAAACCCTTGGACGATGGACGAATGACCAGGTCACCAGTCTCCTTACCACCGAGATACTCTTCGGCTTGCATGGTGTTGAAGGCAAAGAACAGAGGGTGGTTGACGACACGGTTGGGCCGACCGGACGCAACTTCTTTCTCCTTCTCGGCAGCCTTCTTGTCGAGGGCTTCTTGAGTGTCATCCCATTCCCCAGCTGCGCGGTTGTAGGGCTTCTTCTCTGGCGCTCGAATGAGATCGTCTCGGAGCGACAGTTGTGCAGTAAGAGCCTTGCGATTGAGGTAAACGATACGTGCGCGCACGATCTGATGGCTCTGGTAGACGTGGCGAGGTTCTTGACCGCCACTGCTAACACCCTCTGGGAACTCTGATTCGGACACGCCACCTTCGATGCCGCATTCCAACTTGACCTCGATGTGATCTGGGAATGTTCGCCTGATGGTAACGGGCACGACCATACCCTCATAAAGTGTCTCCTCCGTCTCACCAGTCAACATTGTGAACAGCTCAGCACCAGACAGCAGCGCAAAGATCTGTCGGATCTCCTCGTAAGGGTTGTCGAGCTCAGCGCGAATGGTCTCGAGTGTTGCGCGCTTGCGCTGACCGAAGTTCCGTTCAATCTCCGCTGCGTAGTCTTCGAGGGCCAGGTCGTTGACTAGATCGGTGGTCTCTTCGCGAACCATCTTCCTAACAACGGCACTGGGTCCACCTTCGTCAGTCTCGGCCTTAACATCTTCTTCGTCCATGTTAAGGGCATCAGCGACCATCTTCCTCGCGAGATCGTAGTCTTCTGGATGTACACGAGTGTAGTCCAAGTAATCGGAGGATTCTTCTGTTGAGTCGTAGGGGATGTAAAGGAAACTGGCGCAATTCTGGAAAACCTTGGGACCCATGGCTGCCTTGAGGTCCCTAGACTCAGACACACCGAGAAGGTCGAAACGTGACAGAATCTCATCGCTGTTCGCTTGAATGGCCTTGATCAACCGATCAGCCTTACGAGGCCCCAGACCACACACGTAAGGAATCAACTTCGAGAGGTATTTGTCGTCGTAGGTCTCCGGTAGGTCGATACCCACGAGGTTGACCATGTCTACCATGGCGGTCTCTAGGCGGTCCAGGAGCTTCTCTTGTGGTATCAAGGTTTGATTGGGGATGAAGGGTATCGAAACGATGTCTTTACCGAGCGATGCGTATTCCGCCAATGGATTTTGCAGGTACCGTCCGAGAGCAACGCAGTACCTCGTTAGCGCGGGATACTTGGGGAACTCGGCGATAGCCCGACCACTCGTATGGTAAAGACGGGCGACCTCATCGTTAACCAAGATCACTTCCAGCGGCTCGTTCCTCTCTTCACCGGTGTCTTCGTCCTCGTATGCTGGGCCGGTCAAGCCTCGCTGGCCGATGATTTCCTGAAGATCCTTGTACAGTTTTCGTGTCTCGACAGAGAAGCCACTGACACCAATCACGTCTGGTCGGCGACGCTGTATCACGTCGACGAACTTATCGATGTCTTGGCCTTCAGGAATACCACGCTCCGCGTTCCCAAGGCGCATCTCCACCAAGCGGCCGTGCTCAAGTACTCGCCCATCGTTCTCAACATAGGCCCACATGATTGCGTCTCCACGTTGGCCTTTGCCGTTGGTCAGGCAGAGGACGTTTGGTACAGATCCGAGAGGTGCACTCTTCAGCTTGTAGGGTGCTTGATCAAGCTTGTTGTAGTAGTTCTCTCTTGCTGATGCGGCGAGTTCATCCTCGCATCGAGCACGCAGGGTTTCTTTGACACCATTGGCGATGACATGCTGTAGCTTGTCTAGCGCGGCACCGAGCAGTTCCTTACGGAGGGCGTTCCAAGTGTCAGAGACTTCACTGACACCTTCGGAGATGATCTTTTCTTCAAGCTTTGTCTTGAAGTTCTTGTAGTTGCCCATGGAGATTCGGACTTGTACAAGACCTTCTGCCTCGGCCTTCAGCATCTTCAAAAAGAGATCCGGCCGACCTTGAAGATCCGAAAATGTGACCCCACGTAGGTACTTGAACTCGTAGTAGGGATGGTCCTCTGTGATCTTTCGCATGCCCTTGTCAGTGCGAATACAGTCAATCTGCGCGTTCTGGTAGAAGCTACCACGCAGGTATCGACGGAGGCGCGAGCACATTTGCAAATCCTGAACAAACAAGAGCTTCGTAGACCTGAGAAGAGTGGCGCCAGTCTCTGGAGCTTCAGCCATCTGGTCAGCGAGCTCTTCAACTTTGTATGGCGGGTCCTCGATTGTATGCGCGCCTCGGTTCGACCCATCGACCTTCTTCGCAAAGTCCTCTGGTGTGATGCCGATCGCTTTAACGAGTTGATTTGCTTTGCCGCCGCGCAATTTGTCGAAAAAGCTTCGCGCGTTGTTGGCACGCTTCTGTGTTCCATTCACTTCCTGCCGGACCTCGTTGATCTCTTGCGAGTACTTGTAGTGCAGGTAATCTTGGAGTTCCTGGATCTCTTCGATAGTAATGGCCTTGGCCGCCAACTCCTCAATCTCGGGATCAGTGATGTCAGAGTATACACTCTTCAGGTTCTCATAGTTTTGCTTGAGGGCATCGCGCTTCTCTGCAAAGGCTCTGAACTTGAGGTCGAACTCGAATACTTCCCACAAGTCGGCCTGATTGAGCAGGCGCTCTGGTCGTGCATCCATAGGCGGCGGATTGTCTATGTCGTCGTAATCGTCGTTATCGCTTGGCGCGTGGATGAGGTAATCCTTCCGGTGATTGAAGATGAAGGGCACTTCGTAGTCTTCAAGATTGATAAACTCCAGGACCTTGCGCACGGCCTTCTCGAAAGGTTGCAGGAAGTAGCGGGGGAGGCCCTTCTTTGGCCACAGCATATTGCTGATCCAGGTGGCCTCTTCTGTCAAGCGTGCTTGCATGTCTTCTGGTGTAAGCTCGATCTCCTTGAAAGACCTCCGAGCTAGCTGCAGTCGCTCGGGAATGTCGGTCTCGCGGATGACGTTGTCCTCATCCGTAAGCATGCGCTCCTGTAGCTGCGATGGCTCGAAGACGTCCTTGAGTTGAAGCTCACGGCCTTCACCGGCTTGCTCATCCTCTTCCGCCTCTTGCATCTCCAGGGCCCAGTCATAATCTGTGCCATCACCGAAGGCAGCCCTGTAGTCTTCCTCTGCTCCCTCGTCCAGACCAGCAGCCTGCAGTCCCTTTGTGATCAGATTTATGCCTGGTTGTGTGACGTCGCGGTCATCTTCGATCTCGTCTTCGAACTTGTCGTCCTCGATGAAGTCGTCGAATTCGTCGCCTAGGCGCCCGCGCGGCTCGTCGTAGTCTTCGTTTACTTCGTCGTCGGAGAAGATGTCGTCCACGCCGCGAGACTTGACGCGCTCCTTGTGGCCACGCTTCAGGCGCTTGAATCTCGACTTCCCCTATGTTAGCGGTGTCCACGCTTCAGCACAGTATGCCTTACCTGTTCTTCTGCCGGGCGCTCAACCTCGACACCGATCAGGTCCAGATCCTCGTCATCCAGGGCCTCCTCCTCGTCACGGTTCTTCTTCCTCTTCCTGCGCCGACGTTTGCGCTCCGCGATCTCGTCTTCTTCGTCCTCGTCTGCGATGAAGCCTTCACCTTCCTATATGTCCGTTAGCACCTGCAGATGCTCCAGCCAATATGGCCAAGCTTACCTGTCGCAGTCGATCCTCGTCGTCGTCATCTTCCTCCTCGCTCGAGTCGTCAATGCCATTGGTGCCATTTGTCTTCTTCGGCCTGGATTCAACGGCGTCGCCAGCCTCGCCATCAAAGTCCTCATCTTCCTCCTCGTCGCTGCCTACGTCGGCGATTGTGTCGAAGAACTCCGCCATGGTGATTCAAACAAGGACAACGCGTGGACTGATGGTTCTGGCGATGGAGCGCGATGGACGATTTCGGCGGCTCTTTGCGGCGAAGTGGCTATCGTGCTGCGGCGATTCAGCAGGAGGGAGTTTCGGGCGCAATGGAGGTAAAGGAGAGAAGGAGGGCAGAAGTAGGCTCTCAAAGGTTCGCGCACCCATCGGCCGCGTTAACTTTCGGCCGCACTGACGCTCGTCACGTGACAGCCTGATACGCGCTAGGCGGGATACCGTCAACAAAAGTTGACCATGCCCGACTTGGTACAGCATGCTACAGCTACAGGCATCAAACACGTGGGCTTCCCTAGTCTGGTTCTCTATATGTATCTAGTCATGAACTCTGGCAGTGTTTGAGAAGGATTGAGCTTAGATATACTAGGGATGCAGCGACGACTCAAGCTTCAATGCACAGAATGATCGTTATCGCTACACCTCGCAAGAGAATACTTTCAAGGCAACGATTACACTCTGCGTTTGTTTGAGCTGTATTGCGTGGCGTTGATTGGCATGAAAAACGGTAGACGTCGGATTGGCCTGTTACGCCAGGCACATGGCCGCATTCGAGATACGCGCTTTGAAGTTCTGCGCTAGAAGCAGGTGAAGCATGGCGACGAGGAACCATGCGAGTCTGAAACCTCCTGAACAAGGCATCGTATAGTGTATACAAACTTGTCAAAGACTCATCCCTTGGAGAGCGGGAGTATTTGATAGCTCTCTTTCTCCTCGAAGACAGAGCTATCTTGCTGCCCATCTGCATCCTCTGCAGCCTCGCAGACTTGGTTTACAGACGTTGGACGCTACCGCAACCCCACCAGCGCGCCCCACTCGCGCTGGATACTGACACGACCACGACCTCTCCTGAACCGGTTTGCTGTCAACGACGCCCGAGACACTGCCCTTCATTCACTGCCATCGCCATTCCAATCGGTCCCTGCATTCTGCCACCTGCACATTTGCTCGTCAGGCGCCCGGAAACGGACAAACCAATAGACGCTGTCCTCCTTTGGGCTATTTCCGTCATTGGCGTACCATCGTCGACCCAGCGTCGGGCGGCAAACTCGAAACCACAGCCAGCACCTGGCTTCTTACCCACTCCGACTCTGTATTCTTGACGGAGTAACCTGTACCTTGCAGTCGTTGCACCCGTCCACCCTCACCCACACGACAGCAGCGCTCGGCGCAAACCTTCAAGATGGCCGAGTCGTCTTTCAAGCAGAAGACGATGAAGAGGAAGAACGTCAAGGGTCTCGCACTCAGCGCTCCTGCCCCCAAACCCGCACCTTCCGCCGGAGATGCCCAAATACCCGGCGCCCGAGCCAACGACGAGAAGCAGGATACCCTAGAGATTGGTGTTGAGTTCCAGCTGGATCTAAAGGCCGAGGACCTGATAGTGCTGCGCGAACTGGGCCATGGAAACGGAGGAACAGTCAGCAAGGTGCAGCACGCTGCTACCAAGGTCATCATGGCGCGGAAGGTGAGTTACACACCAAGAGCATGTATGGCACGAGGAAGACTGACAGGGACAGGTCATCCACGTCGAAGCGAAGAACGAAGTCCGGAAGCGAATCGTGCGAGAACTCCGAATCATGCACGACTGCAACTCACCCTACATTGTCGACTTTTATGGTGCCTTCCAAAATCCCTCCGGCGATGTCATTATGTGCATGGAGTACATGGACGTGGGGTAGGTGCAAGCTGCTTATGCTGGAGCATGTGATTTACTAACTTACACGCCAGGTCGCTTGATTGGGTCTCACGATCATTCGGACCCGTCCGCGTAGACGTTCTCGGAAAGATTTCAGAAGCCGTGCTCGGCGGCCTTGCCTACCTTTACAGCGCCCACCGTATCATGCATCGCGACCTCAAACCCTCAAACATCCTCGTCAACTCAAAAGGAAACATCAAGCTGTGTGACTTTGGTGTCTCAAGTGAACTCGAGGGGTCTATTGCCGAGACTTTCGTAGGAACAGGTACATACATGGCGCCGGAGCGCATACAAGGTTCTCCCTACACCGTCAAGTCGGATGTATGGAGTGTTGGACTGACGCTCATGGAACTGGCCATTGGCAAGTTTCCATTCTCTGGAAGCGCGGATGATGATGAAGCTGGAGGCCCTCAAGGTATTTTGGATCTCTTGCAGCAAATCGTGTTGGAACCTTCACCCAAGCTACCAAAGAGCGATGCCTTCCCATCCATTCTGGAGGACATGATTGCAAAGTGTTTGATGAAGGATCCAGCGGAGCGACCAACTCCCAAGGAGCTATACGTAAGTTGTCCCAGCTTGAATCGATGTCTAAGTGTGCTAACTATAGCAGGAACACGATGCCTTCCTTCAAGCTGCAAAGCGCACTCCTGTCAACCTTGAAGCATGGGCCATATCTATGATCGAGCACAACAAGCGCAAATCCCATCTCGCCCCAACCGCTCCTGCAGCGGACATTAAAGAGAAGCTCCGCGAGCGATCTCCTCCCCACAAGCGTGAATCCAGCGACCCTAGGCAAAGAGTAGCCAATGGCGACCCCGAACCAGCACCACGACGACCTTCATACCCTACACGGACATCGAGCAGTTCCAATGTCATGAACCTACCTATGCGACCTGCACCATCTGTAGATGGTCCGGGCAGCAGACCGGGTAGTAGGGGACCGTCAGCCAACGGCTTACCACCTCAGCCAAGGAGGTGGAACAGCGAAGTACAATAGTTGGAAAGACGCGTTTCCTATTAGATAGTGGATCTAGGCAAGTATATAGAGGTTATGAAAGATTCTGTAAGGCCCCTGCTGGATGTTGGGACCATGTTCATCAAATGTAAGGTCGGACGTTTTCGCCTTGAGGGCTTGTTGTTGTTGACTTTCGACTAGCATCAAATACCATTATTCATCTTTTCCATCTCATGCAATGCTGATGGAGATCTGTCTCGCCATGTTTCACGATAAACACTCCCCAGTCGGTGATATAGGCAGTACTGCGGCATCGCCAAACACCGTGCCGTGCTGGATCAGCGTTGAGCATGCCACTTTCCAGCCTGTGATTCGTACATGCCTATCTCCCCCACCTCCGGCAGTTCTTGTCCCTGTCGAACTACTTCAAGTACGCGCCTGATTGCAGCATCACAAGACTAGAAATGCACCGAAGCTCCGGGCTAGGAAAAGCAAAACACCACACGCAAGAAGGAGTGAAACGGGTGTGAATAAATTTTCTTCCATCTTGTAGTTTACGACAGCATGGTATCATATCCTTGAAAAATGCGATGGCAAAATAGACTTCGGGACTGTTCACTTTCTTATACGCCTTCTTGCTGACAGGTATGCAGTCGATTGTTCCATTGATCAGGGTAAGATGACTATCAACTCAGATAAGATGAACACTCGATTCGCCTTGTTTTTGTACACAACTTTTACAGCAATGACGCAATACGTCCGAAATTTGAAAGGACAGAGTTGTAGGAAGTCACCCATTCTACATTCACATCCTCTTAGGCGCTTTTATAAATACCTCACTTGTGTGGAAACTGCAAGATCCTCTCATACTACATCGATCGATCTCCATCTTATCAAGAAGTTCACGCGGGCTGTTAGATCTATCACCCGACTGTGCGTCATTCATCACGAAACTTAATGTTCGCAAGCGCAAAGCTTAATGCGGGGCTCCGAGGTGGTAAGCCGGGAACTAAGCCGGGCACTACGCGGTCCGACCACGATAGGTATATATCAACTTCAGCTGCGATGCATCCTATTGCAATGACGGTCGTCAGCAGAATCTCATCAGGACCGTAAGTCAGAGTTATCTGGCTCTATCGACATTGTGCAATGACGGATACAAGCAATAACGCTGCGCTTGGCCTCTCACTGTCGTCGTTGCTACCAAGCGGGGCGCATCCGATAGTAGCAAGCGTGTTGCTTATCTTGGTTGTGAGTTCACCAGCTTCAGGGTTGTTCCTTCCCGCCACTGACCCATAGGAAGTCCACATTCGTATACGGCTTCTACAATGCGTTTCTGCATCCGCTTCGCCACTACCCCGGTCCTCTGCTCTGGCGAGCCTTCCGCATCCCCCATGTCGTCTCAACACATCGTGGAGAGATTCACAAACGACTCACTGAATTCCATACCAAATATGGACCCGTCGTGCGTGTGGCTCCCAACGAGCTGTCCTATGCCAGCAGCCGCGCGTTGAAAGATATCTACGTCACCCGCCCTGGCCATCTGCCATTCGAGCGTAACCGTACTTCGTTCAAGAAGCAGACCCCGACGGATCCAAACTCCATCGTGAACTGGCATGAAGGAGACCACGCGAGATACAAACGGGCATTCGCGAATGGGTTCTCGGAGAAGATCTTGAAAGAACAGGCACCGATCATTGAGAGCTACGTTGACCTCTTCATGACACAGCTAAAGAAAAGGAAGACCATCGATCTTGAGAAGTGGCTGAACTATCTCACCTTCGATATATCCGGCGACTTCACATATGGCGAGTCCTGGAATTGTGTCGCGAACGGCAAAGCGCATGCCTGGGTCGACATATCCCAAGACTTCGGTAAAGGCCTTGCTTTGATCCAGTCAACCAACATGTATCCGCCCATCGATAAGCTACTCCGCTACATCATTCCCAAGCGCATTTTGAAAAGGAGCATGGAACACCGAAAGATGAGCTTTGAACAGGCTCGAAAGAGGATAGCCATGGATACAGAGCGTCCAGACTGGGTAACGCCGACCAAGAAGTACAGCGACCTCAAAGATCCCTTTACCGGCCCGGAGTGGGGCATAAACCTGCTCGTACTCGCCTTCGCCGGGAGTGAGACTTCAGCTAGTGCCTTGACTGCTATCATCAGATCCTTGGTACAGCATAAGGGTGTTCTGCATCGACTCACCGCGGAGATCAGGGGAACTTTCCAGAAAGAGAGTGACATCACAGTGGCAACAACAGGCAACCTGACCTACCTCAACGCAGTCATCTCAGAAGGCATGCGCCTTAACCCTCCCGTCGTCATCGGAGTCCCACGTATCGCACCTGCAGGCGGCGACATGGTGTGCGACAAGTGGGTTCCTGAAGGGGTAGGCTACTACTGTGCTTCTAAATATTGGCTTCTTAACTAACTTCATGTCAACAGACCTACGTGGCCTTCAATCAATTCTCCGCCTATCGACAATCCTACAACTTCCGCAACCCAAACTCCTTCATGCCGGAGAGATTTCTGGACCCAAAGTCGTATCACGAAGATGACATGGACGTGTTCCACCCTTTCCTGGTGGGCAGACACAAGTGCGTGGGTGTCAGTTTTGCTTGGTCTGAGATGCGTCTTATTCTTGCGAGGCTAGTGTGGAGCTTCGATATCAAGCTTAAGGACGAGCGTGATAGGTGGGATTGGGGTGAACAGTGTACCTACATCCTTTGGGTAAGTTTTATCTCGGGGACGGGATAATCGATTTGAAGTGCTAACAGTAGCGTAGGATAAGAAGCCCCTCGAGGTCATTCTGGATCATGTCAACAAGTAGGCAATGAATCTTACTCACATTAGGCGAATTTGTAAGGTAAAATGACGGAGTCCTTCGGTAATGGCTTTTGTAGACTCATTTCGCAAGTATTCTACTTACTTCTATACGCTCCGTACTCATCATATCTCCTGGAAGCGGAGTGCCAATCGTGGCTCACTTATGCTAGTACTGATGCAAGTGCTCCTCCTGGACGAGCAAACCGATCTGACACAAGCCATAAGTCTGTATCTTGATGTGCACTGCCATCGCTGCATTCCGGTACGCTACGCATACCCCTTCGATTCGAGAGGCCTAATAATGCTCTTATCGACTCATGACTGCTGCCTACAAGACTGGTGCTGAACGTGACCGGGTTTGTGCGGTTTTGCTCTAATTACACGTCCGCTACCACATTCCTTAGGCGGTAGCTACCCAGTATTACCTCCTCATCAAAGGAAGAGACAGCAGATAGCCACACCTTGCTGCGCCCCACGGAATTGACACGTTCATGTCGCTCTCATCGCAGCAGTATTAATTCGAGACGCCACAGCTCTCTTTTCCCCAGGTTCCTTCTCCAGCCATCTTTATCACCAGAGACCTACAAACATCGAATGAGCCCAAAACCAGCATAATTCTAGTCAAAACTCTTAAGTCCCGCATCAGACGAATTCAAAGCACCGAGCGTCTTCACCCAATAACTTCAATCTATCTCCACGAATCGAAAAGCGCCCAACACCAACACTATCAACCCTCAAACATCATGATGTTTACCACCACAAAACTTGCAACCCGCATGCTCATCGGACTGCTTTGTTCCCTTATGGCATCAACGGTACACGCTCTTCCGGTACCGCGCCCCAAGCTCGAGCCCAGAATTCTTTCATCCATGGCCCCAGGCTTCATTCTGTGGTGGAGCATATTCTCTTCCTCTTATCCCGAATACACACAACACACCCACAACTCAACTGCTGGAAGGGTGGTCATGAACTTAGGTATGGCGAGTGGTCTACTTGTTGGTGGGGTGGCGGTGGGAGTCATGGGTGGGTTGTGGTAGATCAGGAGGGAAATGTGTGCGGTGAAGATTTGGAGATGGAGAAGTTGGAGGTATGAGGGGTGGCTTTGCTGGATTACTAGGACCTTCGTACTAAATGAAGTTGGGGTGGGATGCTGAATTTATGCAGTTCAATACCAGTAATTCGCTGTGGCACTCTTGCAATGCTACAAATCTCCACGTAGCATTCTCCTTGGCGATATACCTTGAATACAGATGAGTGAGCGCCAATATGGAAAGCGTGGACTTGTGGCGTGTCCTGATAAAATTCGGGTGCTTTCACCAGCTGACCGTCAGCACTGTGGGATGGCTTTTTCCCTGGAGGCTTGTAATGCTTCCGATCAGGGGGCAACGTCCTTGTAATGGTACTGCAGAAGCATTTGCAGCCCGATTGTTCTTCAAGCAGCAGCTTTGCGCGCCTCGACGGCTTTCTCATACGCCTTGAGGTCGACGTTGCCTGCGTTCCAGACGGTGACGGCTTGTACAAAGACGCCCTTCTCCTTTCGGCGCTCGACATAACCGATAACATTGAGCCATGTTCCCACGTCTACGTTGAGTTCCTTAATCCGCTCGAGCACATGTTCGATATCGAGATTCGCGATGACGGGCGGATCAGATATTGGATAGTTGTGCTTGAGCCGCAGTGTCGCGGTCTTAGTGACGTACTCATCGATGCTGCAGCGCAGTCAGTCTCTGTGGCGACTATAGCTTTCACTCTATGTACCAGCCCAGAAAGCGGACTTTGGTGCCTTGCGCACATGCGGGCAAGTCACTCAGCAGCACCAGATTCGAAGCAACGGGACCAGACATTGTGCTTGAAGCAACGCGCGCAGAATGCGGTGGAAACTAGAGCCGCGGCCGAGGTGCACGTGCCATGGTTAGCGCAGACGACATCATACCCTCGTGCATCCAGGCCCGATTCATGACCAGCCAGGCACCCTTCAATCAATCCCACGCCGCCGCTGCAACAACTCAACCCTCTGCGCAACTCTCGCACCTATCGTACCTCTGAAATCTCCCGCATTCCCACAAAGTACGTTCAAGCCACCCACCATCCCCGCAGCCCCGCCATCCCACTCTCTGATAGGCTCCGAGTCTCCTGCATGGGCGTGCGATAGGACCAGACGACCGACAGTTGCTAACTAGAACCTTCAAGACAACTTCAATATGAGCGGCTGGGGCCTGGGCTGGTTTGGCGGTGGCCAGGCGAAGAAGGAGGCGCCAAAGAAGGCCATCCTCCAGCTTCGAGGTCAACTTGAGATGCTGAACAAGAGAGAGAAGCACCTGCAAAACCAGATGGATGAGCAAGATGCGCTTGCACGGAAATTCGTTTCTTCCAACAAGCAAGGTAAATTCATCTGGATTAGGCTTCCTGGCACAGTCGCTAACGCCTATTGCAGCCGCGAAATCAGCGTTACGGCGAAAGAAGCAGTTCGAGCATTCACTCGAGCAGACTAGCGCACAGATTATGACCCTAGAAAAAGAGATCTACTCCATCGAGACGGCCAACATCAACAAGGAGACGATGGAAGCTATGAAGAGCGCAGGAAAGGCCATGAAGGAGATACACGCCGGCCTGACCATCGACAAGGTCGACAACGTAATGTACGTCTCCCCCACAATAAAATGTCCACAGATCAACTTGCTAACAATACGCGCAGGGAGGACCTCCGCGAACAACACGCAATCGGCGAAGAAATCAGCGAAGCCATCACCTCCGGCGTCGGCGCGAACGGCATCGACGAAGACGAGCTGGACGAAGAGCTCGCCGAGCTACAACAAGAGAAGCTCGACGAGCAAATGCTCAACACGGGCAACGTGCCCATCCACGACGCCCCCTCCTCACAGAAGCTACCGCAAGCGCCGAATACCAACATCAAGGCACCGCAGCGGGTCGAGGAGGACGACGAAGAGGAGGAGCTGCGGAAGCTACAGGCCGAGATGGCCATGTAAGCGCGGGGCTACGGCTCAGATTATCGCTATTATGCGAGCATAGCGACTGCGGGACGCGGGAGGGTTTCAGGCGTACGGCGATATCAGCAGAAGCGGCATCTTGGGCTTTAGCTTCTTCTTTCCTATATATAATCGCAGCATTTGGGCTTTGGATTTTGTGTCGAGGCACTTGCTCTACCTATGAGATACGCGGGATATACCTTGCAATATCATACTCTCCATTTGAATATTCTGACCTACAAACTCGTTGTCCCTTTCTGTGGGCTGTCCTTCTGGATTCCCGGCATGCCTCTGATTGCGGGAAGACATCATCAGGCAACAACTAATTTCCCATTAGGCATCAACAATAATCGACAAATGTACTCCTGAACGCGCGTCGAAGTCGAGATGGGGCATCTTCAGGCTACAGTCGAAACACTCACGACTAACTCAGTCAGGCCGTCCAACATCAGGTCTCCACATATCTTACAATCAGAGCAAAGCAAGACATGTACGCGTATATACATATTCATTTTTTGAGACGACCAGATACCGTCGTCGTTACTGCACTATCATCTATGTACTCGAAACAGTCATGTATACCATAACGCATGTATCCCATATCGACGTAAAAAAAGCTTACGCGACGAAAAATCCACTTTTGATAAAACCATGAACCCCCAACCAAGCTACGCTGTTCAAGGGTATCATAATCAATGAGTTGAGGGGCAAGCCAAAATGCTTGCCGCTTAGAACGCCGAATGTCAAATGCTGGGGTCCGAAAGGAATTTGGAACGCTTGTCAGAGTGAGAAGGAGTGAGCGACGCGCACAGACTACAGTCGGCCGACGAACGAAGCAGTAGTGAACGAAACATTGTTAGGGAGAAAAGGGCCCGAAAATTGGGTACTACTCAGTCTTCTTTGGCGCGTCTTGACTGTCCTCTGGCTTCTTCGCTTCGTCCGCGTCCGGTGTGCTGTCTGCGGTCAATTCAGTCATTGGGCGACGCATCGGGGTGCCCGTTTGAACTGCTGGTGACCCAGGAACTGGCGTAATCGGCTCAACACTCGGGCGATGTGAAGGCATAGCGGCCATGGGAGGCGCTGGTGCTGTAGTAGAGGGCGCACCGGCCGTAGGAGTAGATGGTGATGCACCGGTCATATTTGGTGTAAACTTGTGCGGTTCACTATTCTCGCGTAGCGGTGCTGGAGACGCACTGCCTGTCGGATGTGCAGCTTGGGGCGGAGGTTGGTATTGCTGAGCCACGGTATTCGCGGCAGCACCCGCAGCAAAGGCTGCCGCAGTACTTGCTTCGTCTTCATCCTTGACATCGGGTATCCTCTTGGCATGCTTGTTGATGCTCTCGACCCCGCAAATGGATATGAGCAACTTACGCTCCGGTTCCGTCAAAGTCGACTCGGGTACAGTCCTGTCTACGCAAGCTCTGATCGCATTGTCCACCTTCTTTTGCTCCTCGGGGCCTGGGCGCTGGTCAAGGTAAACCTTCCGGTAGGCTTCAAGCTGACGAATGAGGTCTGGATGGACTCCGATTGGGTAACGTCCAGACGGATGAGGCGCTGCAGTATCATTTGTCGAACCTTGATGCGAGGGTGGCTGAGGCTGAGGCGGGGGCGGGCCGTAAGGTGATGCCGAAGACTGCGGCTGCGATGCCGAAGGAGCGTTCGACTGCTGGCCCTGTGGGGGATATGCTGCATAGGGACGAGGCGGCCCAGGACCATACGGGCTGGCGCCGGCATTGGCATATGGCCCACCGTAGGGGCTCGGTGCCGAGGGTCCGCTGTACGGCGACTGTTGTGGGGCGGCCGTGGGATAGAGGACACCATATTGACCACTTGAACCAGCTGCGGAAGATGCTGGTGGGCCCTGCGGGTTAGGCTGCGGGTACGGTCGTGGAGGGTTCGGGGCGGGTGGACTTCCAGCTGTATTGCCACCGCCGCCCCACGGAGACGCATAAGGCGAGGGATGGGGCGCGTTCTGGGGCGTGGCCGACGCAGCTGAGTTACTTTCATTGCGAGCCATGCTAGGTGGTAAGCGAGGCTGCGAAAGGCTAGGTGGCAGTCTGGGAGGTGGCTGTGGCATTGCATGAGGCATGCCCGGGTGGTACCCGTACCCAGGCTGAGGGTACGGCTGGTAGCCGTTTGGTGGCTGGTAGTACGGTGGTCGCGGTGCATGGTTGAGCGGAGGACTGGCTTGCCTCTTCCTGCGCTCCTTTTCGATCGAAACTTCCGGATTGATTCTCCAGAGGTAGCCCTTGCCCTCTTTGTCGCCTTTCATGAAGGCATCATGCTGACCGAGATTGTGACGTACACTTGATTGCCAGCCGCTTGTCGTAGTCTTGAACTTGTACCAGGGATACTTGCGCTCTATATAAGTATAGATGGATTGAAGGTTCATCTGGCCCGTCGGGGACGACGAAATTGCTTCATGAATCAAGACGACATAATTGGCCGTGGGGCGCTGAAGCTGTTCTTCGGAGTAGTCTTCGATGCGCATCTCGGGCGAAGGAGTTCGAGGTGGTCTGATCGGTTTCGCCTGCTTGTGGAGGCCTGACAAGCTACCATCGCCCTGTTCTGTAGTCTCGATGACAGCGTCGTCTTCGCCGTCGCCAGCGTTCGACTCCTTGCGCTTGGGTGCCTTTGGCTTGCTAATCGGTATTGGGATGTCAGCAGGGTCAATGCCCGCGGCTCTCGCCCTCTCAATATCCTTTGCTTGTTTGATAAGTTGCGAGCGCTGGCGCTTGGACATGATGCCGTCTTTGGGTGGTCTGCCAGGTCCTTTACGCTTCTCGACAACATGACCAATCAAGTTTCGTGGCAGGTTGTGCTGGATGGCCATCTCTTCTGTAATGAGGCCATCGATGTCTCCGGCTTCAAGTTCGCCTTCGTGTGGCTTGCGTAGTACCGGTGCAGTATCGTTCGGCGGAGGCTTGCTTGGTTGTTCGGGCTTTGGAGCCGCGGGAATGTCCTTGACGGGCTCCTCGACTGGCGTCTCAGCTTTGATAGGTGCCTTCGCGGGGGTCTTGGTTGGAGCTTTGCCCTTTTCTTTGGGTTCTTTGGGTTCCTTAGGCTCCTTGGGCTCTCTAGGTGCAGCCACTTCCTTCTCTTTGGGTTCCTTTGATTCCTTCGGCTCTCTGCGCTCCTTCTGGACCTTGGGCTCCTTCGCGGACTCCCGAATTGCCTCTTTGAGCTTCGCTGTATCCTTGACTTTGAGCTTGACTTTCTTTGTTGGTGGCTCTTCAGGCGTGAGTTCGCGGTGCTGATGCTTCCTCTTGTGGGCCTTTTTGCTCTCTTTCGAAGGAGCGGGAGGCAAGTTCTTGATCTTAAGCTTGAGACTTGTCTTCTGGCGCGGTTTGGGGGCGGGCTCCTCGTAGTCATCCATTTCCTCGTCAGCGAGGCCATCATCGTCGTCACTGTCACTGACAGGATGGTGGTAGTAGACATGTCGTGGGTTGACGCTCTGCTGGTCCTCGCTCTCGGAGCTGATGTGCTCATCGCTTTCCAGTTGACCGTTTCCATTCTCGAAAGAGAAACTCATGGGGCGTGAGCCCGACTCCTGGCGGTGACGTTGCTGCTCCGTGAGTGCAACGTCGGGGAGGAAGAAGTGTATGTTCACAGCGCCGAGCTGCAGATGATCGCCATGGTCCAAAGGTATAGTCTCTCCCCGAGGATAGAACTCGCCTTCGTGGTGCAGGCCGTTGTTGCCCAGCACTCTGATGCAGAAATGGCCTGCGTCGAAATCAAAGAAGATCTTGGCATGCTCTCGTGATATGCCTTTGGGTCCCAGGGAGCCTGTCTTGGCCATGATTTGCTGTGGATGTATAGGCACGAACGGACAGTCGTTCGGGTCTTCGGGGACATGGCCGTCGAACTGGGCAGGCACTTCTGGGAAGGCTTGCATGATCATGTCCTGCGGCGCGCGTTCAGCAGGTTTCTCCTCGCTTGACTCGCCCGTGGGGTGTGAATTTGAGCTGAGAGAGTGCGACGCATTGCTCTGGCGACGCTGCTGGTATTCCATAGGCATCGACTCGATGGGTACGCTGAGAATGCCACCCTTTTCGGAGATGACACTGCGAGCACCACGCCGATCGCCCTTCTTCTTCTTCTTTTTGTCCTTCTTCCCGTTGACCTCATCCAAGCCATGCAGGTGTTCGTTGGCGGCCTTGACGTGACCCTTCTTGTGTAGTGCCTCGGCCTTGATGAGGCGCTTCATGTCTCTATGCGCGAGATCGAGGTTGCGGCCCAGCGTGATCTGGTAGGTGTGCATGTAGTAAGAGCCGTCATCGAAGCGCAGACGCGCAAAGGCCGTGAGGCGCTCGTTGGTGGTGGTGGGCGGCATGAAGGCATCCATGGGTGGATAGGCGGAATTCATGTCCATGGGCATGCCGCTCATGTCGGCGCCATTTAGGTTGTTGGACTGCGCGAAGTCGATGGGGGTGTCGAGAAGTGGCAGTCCGTTGGTGAGGGTGTTGTCCATCAGGTCGTGGTTGGCCGGTGGATTCTCGCCGCCGAGGGCAGGCATGGCCGACGCATCGCTGGTCGCGGCTGCCATGTCGGGAATGCGCTTGTCGGGAGCAGGCGAGGCAAGGGCGTCGGGGGTGTCATATTGGGGGCTGACATGGTGTAGAAGCTCGTTGGAAGGGGCTACGGCCATACTGCCGCCGCCATCTTCGTTGGGAAATGCGTAGTTGTGGGTGAGCGTGAAGTAGAAGTTGACGGAATGGAGGTCAAAGATGCCGTCCTCTGCACATGGTTAGCGGCGCGCTTGTTTTTCGCCCAGCAAACCGCGTCGCGGTGTCGCGCAATACATACGAGGGAAGCCGTCGTCGTAGGGTGCGGCAAAGCTGTAGCTGAATGCGTCTGCCGATAGCAAAGGGTCTGCGTCGTGCTGTCGCAGCGGGTTGGTGTCTTCGGAGGATGTCGGTCGAGGCTGCCCATGAGAGGCTTGCGCCGGGCCTAATCCTGCTGCACGTGGGTCTTGGCCGCCCGTCTCCGCATCAAGGTCCGACGGCGCCGATGTGAAAGATGAACGCAACTCTCGAGCCAAGTCTATCGATTGCTCCGCGAAATAATCTCCAAAGGTGAAAGACGAGTGTCGCGATATCGACGAATCGTCTGCTGTCTCACCCGGTGAATCCATTGTCAGTACATTCGTTCTGAGTGCAGCAAGAGCGGGCGGCAGAGGTAGCGGTGCAGGCAATAGCAAGGCGAGAGCAGAGTGCACAAGGAGAGAGAGGGCGCCTCGACAAGAAAAACGGGAACCTCAGATAAGGCCATCAAAGGTGAGCGCTTTCCGGCACTTTTGGCCGTCACTTTTGGTAGGGAAAGAGCCAAGCACTGAAAGTTTCCACCCAGAAGCGCAACCCAGGCCAATCGCAGGACCCTTAAAGCAATTCATACGTGTGAATTACCTGCCATTCCCACCCCTGGGGCCCTGGAGGACTTGAAGGTGATATGCCCCCCAAGAAGAGAGCCCAACAAGGCGCGCCTGCTAGGCCGGCGGCGTCATCTGAACCAGCGAGACAACCCCCGAACTGGCCTGCCCTAACTCCTCTCGTACCAGACGAGGACCTTGCCCTGCACGAGGTGCTTCCAAAACAGATTGTTACCATCCCCAACTTCTTCACGGCTTCGCTTTGCAAGACCTACGTGTCTTTCCTCTCTTCGTTGCCACTGACGACAACGCCTGGGAAACCGAAGAAAGGCGATGCGGTGCGAGTAAACGACCGCTATCAAATCGACGACCCTGTGTTTGCTGACCGACTATGGAACGACACAGGACTAAGGAGGCTAGTCACCGGTGACGCGGAGGAAGGGGCGCTCGGCCTCACTGAAGCGCAGCGGAAAGAGCTGTGGGGTGGCGAGGTGGTGAGCCTCAATCCCAATATCCGTGTCTATCGGTACTCCAAAGGCCAGTTCTTCGACCAGCATTGTACGTCAAGGCTACTTGGTCACCCTCCCAAAGCTATCGGACGGTTGTGACAAAAGCTATGCTAACGGAGCTAGATGACGATTCCAACAATGTGACCATTCAAGCTCCTGGATCACCGCCTGTGTCAACGCGCACCACCTGGACTTTGTTGATATACCTCACCTCTCCAGCGACGGGATGCACCGGCGGAGAGACCGTCTTCTACCCGGACCCGCCCAAGAAGAAGAGCCGAGACCCTCCACCGGCGCCTTTCGTTGTCGACCTTGAAATCGGCCTCGCGCTGCTGCATCGACACGGCCCCGACTGCATGCTGCACGAAGGACGCGAGGTGAATAACGGAGAGAAATGGGTCATCAGAAGCGACCTATGTGTCAAGCGTTGAGTCCACATGGCTCTCTGGTACCGTGATGCGAGGTCGCTTCGTCTTTCTGCATCCATGGACACCAACCTTCACTTTTGGAATCGACCACCACCTGCACGTCAATAGTCCATACCTTCGAGGCTGCGTATATTCTGTCAAAGCCTGCCATTTCGCGTACTGCTGCAGCGTGTGGCTGTGTATTTTGCGTACCCACTTCCAGACGCGATTGGGATACCCCCCTTTCCTAGGCTGCGCCGCAGGTCTGCATCTCGTATCTTCAAACGCAAGAGTTCGGGATATCATGACAAAATGCTTATTAGAGAGCACGACGGGTGCACGCAGGTAGGTATAGCACAGCGTAAAAACGGTGTCGTCGTTCCTAATCGTGTCGTACACCAACGCTGTGCAGTCGACGAAAGCGGTGGTAGATACTTACAGTGAAGTCGTACAATACATCACATGGATGCAGCTGTCATACCATGCGGTGGGAGTTTTATCGACGTACAGCCGTAGTTCCAAATATCGTCTGGGTCGGTTTCCACATGTGGCATTCGCGACCTGGCATATTTCACACACCCACATTAGCCTACCGCAAATTCCAATCTTGCAGAACGACCCTTCTGTCCTCGTCCAACTCACTAACAATCATCCTCTTTCGTTTTCTAGCTCTTCAAGCTGTTGTTGCTTAGAAGACAACTTCTTAGGGACGCCTATACATCTTTCTTTTGTTTACCCCAATCACAGAAGAACGAGCCGGCTCTTACAAACATACGTCGACATCGTCTTAGCTACTGATACGCTCAGCCAGCTTCCACGGGGGCTCAGAATTTAAACAGAGTGTCAACGGCGCGTTCCGCAGCGTAAAGCACGAAAAGCCAACGTCGGCTGCAGTTAACAATTGTGGGTATTCATGCTCGAGGTTTGGATTGGGTTTCAATTTTCAGGCCAGCCCCGCTTGAGGCGGAAGACGAGATGCCTTCCTACTCTTGGCGATTCATCGTCGGTTTCATCTCGGCGCTTTGGCTGAACTGGGATTAGCCTACGCATACGCCCTTCCAATATCCCGTTTCATCGCCCTGGACTCACGCCTAAGACTTCCGATTGAGCTATCGCCGGCGTCTACAATGAGTGGGGAGGGCAGGCTCCGCCAGGAACGACAGCCTCAACGTTTCGGTGTGGGTCGGCATGTTTGACATGCGAGTACATCTGTACGGAGGCTGCTGCTGCCTTTGGCTCTCCAGCTGCGCTCACTTTCGTTTCTCATCTCAAAGTTCACAATTGACCTGGTGTCACTTATTCTACCGATCGACATGATGGAGCCACAACACCATTACGCAGATGTACACTCACACGACCATCACCATGATGACGACTCATCGACTGAGGTCGAATCCTTAGTTGGAGGAGAGAAGCAATGGGCAGCTGGCGATTACCAAAGAAGAGCACAATCGTCAAGAAGAAGGATACTGTGCCCGCCGTTAGTGGCTGCCTTGCGATGGGTGCTGGTGATAGGACTACAACTCGTAATCATTGGTCTCTTAGCTAGAGACCAAGGCATGCTCGACTCCACAAGATGGAAGGCTCGGTCAACAAGCGCAAACGATGTTGGCGGCGACATCACCGGGTGGTCACCACATAGTAAGACTAACTATGCAGCCCAAACCCTTACATCGACTAATAGAGATGCAGTTCCAACTCAGATCACCAAGTTCGAGATTAACCAGACCTTCGCGCCATACAACACATCAGAGTTCTTCAAGCCAGAAGTACTCCGAGCATGGAACGAGCTGTTGCCTGGTATGGCTTCCTAGGGTCCACTTTCCTACACGTCTCACTAACATCCACCACAGTCGGCATGGGCTTCCAGAGCATCCCTGATCCAGAGAACTACCACGACCTCCCCACCCCCATCGTCTGGCCCAACGCTACCGTCTTCACGACATCAATGACCCATCAGCTTCATTGCCTCTACGCTGTCGTCGCCGTCTACTCCGGCATGACATCCGGCCACGAGCTCGAGGAAGACCACCACTGGCACATGATTCACTGCTTCGACTACATGCGCCAAGCTATCATGTGCAGCGCAGACATGGCTCTCGAAGGGCTGGAAACGACCTTCCCTGATCATAACGGAGGTAGTGACGGCTGGGACAGCAAGCATGTTTGCAAGGACCCTAAGATGGTTAGGCAACGGTTGGAGAGTGTGAGGGCGTATGACGACCAAGAGATCTTTTGAACCGGTCATACGTCAGTATACGTGAATGGTGTTCTATCGTTGGTGGGCTGACCCGGCGATGCATCACGATAGTCAGTCATCCGACATGGTCATTGGAACTTCATATATAATACATACTTTCTTGTACAGCTTGCTTGCATCCGAACATTGCCGCAATGACTAACAACACTGTGCAAGGGTAGCCGCGAACGCATTGAAGCACATGGCTAGCCTCTAAGAGCGTCCGACTCATACTGGGCAGGAAAAGGAAGATACAGAATTCACCAGATGAGCACGAAAAAGCAGTGAGTTACCAATAGCCCGGGAGGTATTCGCGACATTTTTAGCTTCCAGGCAATGTATCACAGCTTACCCTAAAGGTTCTCAGTGTTTTCGCAGAGAGGCTGCGACTTTCCACATGACACTGAAGTACATCGCGCCTACATATGCTTGACCACCCTAAGCTGTGCTCCGTCGATGTATTCCTCAATACGGGCAGGATAATACACAGTTTTCTCGATTCCAATACGTAATTCGCTTCAACTGATGGGCTCTGAAGCGAGGTGTTGGTCCCATTATTGTACATTGATTCATGCAAGTAGGCCATGTGCGTTGGTGTGATCGTATCTCTATCAGATCAGTCATATTATTCAAGTCGGGTATGGCAACAGTGGGCCGACATGACATCTGTATGCCTGGAGGTAGTCAAGTTGATATAGGTAGATGAGCTCTTAGCTGGAGGGGTGTTGTAGATGCCTGGACTCTGCTATCTGTCTGACATCGGAGGTTGATGAGGTTATATCTTCTGCAACCCCACTCTGGTTACAATGTTTAATTCTTTCTATTGCTACTTTCAACTTCCACCACCCTGACTCCTACACGTCTTCTCGAGACCTCTTGTCCAGTGTTCCAACCATAGAAAAGATTTGCACCGCCGCGAATCTACACCAGCATCAGCCATCAGTGTATCCGTGCGATGTCAATTATACCTACGCGGCAGTGATCGCAAACTCATCAGTCCTACGTGCACGAGTGAAGTACATCAAGCAAACCGAAGTAAGAACATTCGATGCCGCAATAGTCGCTAGCTGTGCATCGAGAGACTCGGTGTTGGCGAGTATGAAGATTGGGCCAACGAGTAGAATCGAAGCGACGGCACTCGTGATCCAACATGTGAACATGTTGACGGTATCCTCATCAATAGCGACAGTTCCGAAGCGAGCATCGACCTTCTTCCAGCGCTTACCACCGAGCTTCACAATCCAATCAACAGCTCTTGCGCCCATGTTGCGCGAGAAGGGATCCATCTCCTTTTGACCCCGGAGGACGACAAGTTCTCCGCTGAAGTCTTTGGGCCTGTCGAAAGAGCCCCAGATTATTTGTTCCGGGCCTGGAATTACTCTCATTTGGTCGCTCGTTAAGAAGTGCTGGATATAAATGAGATCGAAGGCATTGGGCTCGTTCATGCTCTGGAGTATACTGGACTGTTGAATGAGTGCATCGTCTGCGATACTTGATCAGATTGATTTCTCTTTGCTTTGTTTTCAACTCACTGTATTCCTTTAGAAGACATCTGATACGCATCATAAGCTTCCTTTGCCTCATGTCGCCGTCTCAGAGATGGTCGTCTGCCGTGCGGTTTGCGGTTTTGAGCCAATAAGCATCATGGCTGTACATCGACTTCATGCCCTCTGAGCTCTTTGCGTCTTCAGCCCCCACCTCCTTTAACTGATCCTCTAGGTACGCCAGTTCGTCCTGGTAGTAGAGGAGGCTGCGCGCATTGAGTGCGCCGAATCTTCTGAACATGCCTATCTCTGGCATTATGCCCATTCTTCCAGCGAGCTTTGGGTACCCGGGAATAAGATCGTGGAAAGGACCATGTGGTACGATTTCTCCTGAAGTAGGTTGTGCAAGAGCTGGTGGCTCTTTCTCATCTGAGAGTTCAAGCGTGGGGGATGCTGGGGGCGCAACATGAGTCGAGGGCTCCATTGTAGTTGAGTGGCATGTAATAGATTCTAGTGGAGCTGTATCAGAAACGGGTACTGAGGTCGATGGTAACAGGCGTTTCAAAAACATCTTGGCGATTGGAGCATCGTTCGCTTCGTTCTGTGAACTCGACATGACTGTTTGTGTCGCATCAAGGCGAACACGCGCGAGGAACTCACGTCGCGGACCGACAAATTTTTGCTGATCACACCCGCGCTGCCTTGCGCGTACGCGCGCGCATCATTATTTCTTCACACAGCAGCGCTGCGACTCTCGACGACTTTTCACAGATTGTTTGAATGACTGGTATTCTGAAACACCTAGGGTCTTCTTCCTTTTATGATATATCATCGTACAAGCCTTCTTCGCGCAAGCCGTCCCTCATTCCGGTGCTTGCTCGTCCACAATCCACGCCATATACGCCTCCTTAAGCTTCAATACAAGCCCCTGCCATTCCTCCACAGTGAAGCAACTGCAACTCTGCCTTGATTCCAATTTCGCTTTGACCACCTCCTGCAGTGCGCTATTGATGCCCTGCTCTAGTACTTGCTCCAGAGCTTTACTCTTGTCTAATTGAAAATCATAACGGCTTTCGCCAAGTATGCCCGTTGCGATCCCCGAGGCCCGAGCCGTGAAAGCACCAGCATTCGTGCGGTCGTCCAGACGTATTTTGATCGTGTATATCAAAAGAAGCTTTGGTGAAGACCCTGGTCTTGGAACGGTGTCTCTGATTCGGAAATTAACACGGCGAATGTTGTTGGATGTCGGATGGAAGAGTGTGCTCGGTTCTCGGAGCCAACTCTTGTGCGAACGTGTAAGAATCTTCCCTGGTGGGGAGGTTCGTAAGAGGAGATCAGCAGTCCATGTATATGATCCAAATAGTAGCGAGAGAAGCTCGAGCCATATCGTTTTGCAGGTATTGAGCAGACCACGAATTGATCTTGGTAGCTGAGAAAAGACGCCCTTGACGGTTGTCACGCATCGTTCTTTCCCGCAATGATCCGTGATTTTCCGCTCGAACTTGCCGACGATGTAGCCGTAGATGTGATTTCGGATTTCTGCTGGGAGATCGAGGAATGTACATCGTGCCGGGTTTTCATCGCGTCTGCTTAAGGTGCTTATTATTGAGATTTGGTAGTCGTCTGACCGAGAATTGGATAGTGAGTCGGCCACCAGAGAGCCTGGAGTGCAGGCTTCTGGCACGGGGACATTCTGTGGTGAACCCATCTTGCGGTCTTTCAACGAGCGCCAAGCGTTTTGTAGACGAAAAGGAAGGCTGGAAAGACGCAAAGTAGACATGTGAAATGTTAGCAGACCTACAGTATTTATTTTGAACCTTGCTGCATGACCCGGGCTGGTTCTGAGAGTAGTGCGGCGCCGCCACTCACTAAGTAGCCTGCTGCCTAACGACCCCTAGCCACTCTAGTACCGCGCGGCAGGGGTAAAGGCAGAGAGCGCATGCGGTTACCGAAGGTATAGTATCCTTCATCGACCTCTGCGACCTTGTTATTGTTGTGTGAAATGATGACAAAGAAGCAAGGTAGAGACATGTGTAGAAGTCGCGCACCACTCGCCGCGCTTAGTTCCGCCTGTCATCCCCGCGCCGTCAGCGCACGTCATCGTTGATGCGCGACCGGATGTCCTCATCGTCGTATCAAAATCGATGTGAGACACCTCAAGCATCTCTTGACTCAAAGTATGGAAATGTCAGAAACGGTAAGTTGAAATGCCTATCCAAACGCGGTGTCATTAGCATGGCAATGCCCATGGTCGCATTAGGCTAGCCTTCTTTGCTAACATTCCCAAGGCCGCTACCAACGGCTTCGCTGAGAAAGACGGCCAGTTCCGTCGCAAACCCTCAGCATTCCGCAATTTCATCTCTTCTGATCCCGATTCAGAGTTCCCAGCAGAAAAGGATCGATATGCGCTCTACATTCACATGGGTTGTCCTTGGGCACATCGCACTAATCTAGTGCGCAGCCTAAAGGGGCTCGAAGACATCATCCAGCTAATCGTATGGGATCTATCGCTCGTTCATGATAAGAAAGGGTGGGGCATGTCCGGGAAGCCTGGGTTCGAGAAAGAGCCGCTTTATGGCTATACGAACTTGAGGCAGCTGTACGAAAGGGCGAACCCGGAATACGAAGGGCGGTACCTCGTTCCGACGCTCTGGGACAAGAAGAAAGGCGGGTCTCGTGGCTGCAGTCACGGGCAGAGCATGCGCTGACTTGCTTACAGAGACAATCGTGAACAATGAGTCCAGCGAAATCATTCGTATGTTCTACACTGAGTTTGATGCGTTCATCCCCGAGCAGCTCCGCGAGTCAAGCAAAGGCGACAAAGCCATCTTGCCGGAGCATTTGCGCAAGGACATCGACGCTATGAACGAGTGGGTATACGATACCATCAACAATGGTGTATACAAGACGGGGTTCGCCCAGTCGCAAGAAGCATACGAAGAGCACGTATACCCCTTGTTCAAATCTCTCGATCGCCTGGAAGAACACCTTGGTCAGCCAGGTCACGGGCCGTACTTGTTTGGCGACCACATCACCGAAGCAGACGTCAGGCTGTACCCTACTGTTATCAGATTCGACGTTGCGTACTTCACGATCTTCAAATGCAATCTGAAGATGATTCGCTATGAGTACCCGCGGCTGCACGACTGGTTGCGCAGGCTGTATTGGGATGAGAGTGAAGCGACGAATTTTGGTGCGTTCAAGAAGACGGTGGATTTTCAAGCGGTAAGTAAAGGGACATGCGAAAGATTGTATACTCAATAGCTAATGTGTTCCAAGTACAAGGATGGTTACTCGAACGCTACAAAGGCGAAGATTGTGCCCGTAGGACCGAAGCCAGACATCATGCCCTTGTAGAGCGTTTACAGCGATAAAGATACGTCTCTGTGCAGCTCAGGGAGTAAGCGCAAACACGGTAGAAGAGCACTGAAACTGGTGCATAGGTGTCTTTACCGATCTTGAGTTAGCCGTTAAGCGTGGAAGAGAAATCTTATATCATACCAATCTTTCCTTCGATTCTTAATCTCTTCTCTGCGTACTGGGCCGGCCCTGCACCTTCGGTATCTCCAAGATCACCTGCGTCATCAAGAGTTCCCAATCCCCATATCCCGCAGGTCCAAGCGACCCTTCTTCCCAGTATTTGTTCTTCTCGTCCTCAGTCATGGAAGCCAAAACAAAGACGCTTTTCTCTTCAGTTGAAACGACCGTGTCCCTTCTTTCTGATTCCAAATCGACTGCCCCAGGTGTGTTTGTGACGTTCGACTGTGATACAGTAGAGTAACACGCAACCAAATGCCGTACGCCAATAGCACAGTGTTGGAGAGCATCACCGATAGCGCATACCGTCATGAAGCAGATACCTACGACGCGAGATCTTGAGCCTTGTGTATCAAGATAGTCGCACACACCGAGATATACCGTCAATTTAGTGGCTATAGCGAGGGGCAGGTTCAGGATTGGCGACAGTCTCAGAGGCTTCTGGCGTGCTTCTCGGACACGAATCTGTATTCGTCATCAGTGGTTGATATCATTGCTGGGAAGAAAAGAATCTTACATAGTGTTCGTCAACAGGGAAGAGGTACTGGAGTGCATCCTAAGATAGAAGGTACGTAATGACTAGCTGCATCCACGGACCGACAATAGTGTAGTCAGCAACATAGCTCGCGATGAGTGGTCCACACGCCGCTATCATAGTGCCTTTAGCGAGACCGAAGTCGACAGTGAAGCGCGTTTGGTACGCCAGTATCGTGAGCAGAGTCGTCATGAGAAAGACTGCCCACACCTCATCCTGGGTGGTCGAACGCGCCCAAAGAGGGAGAAGAAGCGCGAGTACGACGCGTAAGAGTAGTTGAGTTGCCGAGAGTGTCATAATTATGTGGAGTTGGTGATGGGAGGGTCAGTAAAAGTCCAAGCAATTTCCATAGCTCTGGTGCGTGTCGTAATCACGCGTTGATTGCCTTTCACTTCTCGTCATTACTATGTACCCGCTGTCCTACCACAAAGTCGTTACCAAGGGTGGGTAGAGCTCGCGTACATACATACTTTTAAAACTCAACAACTAGGCAGGCTCTAAGGTGATGTATACTTCTACCTCAATAACCTTTTTGTAGAATACGACACAAATCGCGGCCACTCCTAGTGTTACGGCTTGATTTCACTCTCAACAGAGTGATGGCAACGCTTGCATCTCGAATTTGCTAGAGGCGTTCATTGCTACTCCAAGCGCTGTAGCCTGCGAGCAAGTATCATCCGTATATGATCTTCTCCGGTAATGGCCCGGCGGGCGTGCGCGGCCGCTGCTCCTCCATCGCATCCGCGTCCGCATATCGTGGCACATCTTGATGTGTCTGTCCAAACACCACGGGTTGTGGCTTCGCGTAGTGTTCCCTGGTCTCCTGCGCAAACCCTGTGTTGACATCGTCCATACCCTCTATCCTGCTGTCGTGCCGGCTCGCGACACCGTGAAGACCAAATGCCACTGGATCATGGCCCTCCCACCCCGAGCTTACCATCTTCTCTACCTTTTCAATGACCATCTTACAAAGGTTTCGATGCCCTTCTTCCATCTTGCCTTTGACAAATGGCATAAGCCACCATGCACAGCTGACTTCCACATCCTCTACAAGCACGAACTGCGCGTCCCCGACGCCCATGCCCTCGCCTTCAACCTCGCTGCCCAACTCGCCATTCGCAACCACCCTATATTCGGCCCTGAGTATCACGCCCGCCGCCGCGTCAGCGCGCGTCTTAATGCCCTGCCTTGTGTTCTGGTAACAGACTGGGAAGGTTATATACTTCTTCCCATACTGCCCGATGCCTGGGAACCAGGTTATGCACTCGCTGACGTGGTAGGTTGCGACGGGGTATTGGTCGGGCGGATACCAGTATGTATCTTTGAGGGTCGCTTCAGCGGTGTTGGGTACTGTCTCGTAGCCACAGCTAAGGGCTTGGAGTGTGAGGGTTGTGTCGTGGTCATGGAGCGCGGCGACGACCGAGGCGGGGGAGATGTGGCTTGGAAGATGGTGCGCGACGTGGAGGTTGTGTTTTGCGCTCATCGTGAAAGTGCGATTACGTGGACGCGTAGGAAATCAGGCTCCTGGTAGTGGGATTCTCGGTTCTGCTTCTAGTAGGGCTGAAGATAGAAAAATCGTGGTGTTTCGAGACCGGCTGCGAAGTATGGCGAAAGTAACGATTAGCGACTACGATTATTATGAGCTATACAAAGTTGGGTATCAAAGTTCTTGGAAGTCAAAAAAGTAAAGAGAAAATGTGCGAATGACGAGGCTGCAGGGCGATTAGTTGTAGCTGACGCATGTTGCGTCGCTGACTGAGGCGTTGCTATCTTGGTCTGAAACAGATGAATGGGCATCACCTGCGACGCGACAGGGTCCGGCGGTAAACGTCATCACCGAGTCGCGCTACTCCAGATACGGCAAGGATCTATTTACATCCCACCGTCTTTTCAAGATTGCAGGGCTTGCTTGCAAAAAACAGGAACTTGGAAGTTAGATTTTTGTGAAGGCATCATCAAAAGAATAGCATTGCGTTGACATTACTTGGACGAACCGTACGAGACTTTGACGACAAGATGCGTTGCGCTAACAACGTTCCTCCAAGCCTCCATCCTCCGCACTGCTTATATGGTATATCTGAACCCAGCTTGTCCTTCATTCTCGTCCATCGGCTCTCCGTTCGCTCTTTGCTTGTCTATCACTTTGTTCTTCCTCAAGAAAAACGTAGTAGTGCAGCACAGCACCAGCAGGATGTAGATCTGGAGTCCAGTCGTCACCCAGAGACCCGTAATGTATGTTGGAGCTTCCTCTTGACTGAACGTCGTCGACGCCAGAATACCGCCAATAGCACCGAAGCCGATCTGGAGAGCGCTTCCGACGGACCGCTTACTCTGACCACGGATGTTGTTGCTTTGATACGCGAGAATAGCCGGGACGTTACCCTGGCAGCCACATACTCCGAGGAATGAGCCAAAGTACCTTGCCCCGTTGTTCTTCGCATATGCTACGATCATAAGACCGATGATGGCGAGGATCGATTGCGCAGCAATTACGGGAGCACGAAGGCGGTATTTATCTCCTAGCCATGCGAAACCAAAGGCTGTGAACATAGCAAACAGACTGGGAGGTGCGGATAGGGCATTAGCCTGACCAGGCGAATAGCCCATGCCGAGAAGGATAACCGGGAGAAAATAACTAAAGGCGTAGGCTGGCATGGTCGTTGACATGAACAACGTGGCGTACGCCCATAGCTTCAGATCTTTCAGGTGGTAACAGAACTTGGCCCAGGTCAATGGATCCGCTATCGAGTCGCCTCGATCGTCTTCTATACGCTGCATGATGACAGCGGCCTCGGCGGAAGTGAGGAAGCCTTTCTTTTCAGCTTTATCGGGAAAGTCTAGGATGATGAACCAGGCCGCAATCGCAACAACGCAGGTCAAGATGCCCTCTACACGGAGTGTTAGTATTACTTCGTAAAAAGTCAACAAAGCTGGAGAAACCTCAGATCGACGCGATGTAAAATCTGAAAGGTGACCCTAATACACATTGATGATGGTGCGCTCTTACCTATGATGAAGATCCATCTCCAGCCGCGGAGACCGCCAACGCCTTCCATCTGCATGAGACCATAGGCAAGGATGTTCGCGAGGCCACCAATACCGACGGAGAAGAGATAGAAACCACCTAGCCTGCAGATTTGGTAAGCCGCTGCTGCCATGTATATGATTTGATGATTGTCGCATACCTTTTCTGTGTCTCATACCGGCGATACCAGCAGGTGATGAGATATACACATCCAGGGAAGAACCCAGCCTCGAACGCTCCAAGTAACACGCGGCATATCGCAAGTGAAATCCAGCTTTCGACAAAGCCCTGTCCGATCATGACAGCGCCCCATGATACCGCGATGAACGCTAGCCAGTTCGCGCTCCCAACCTTACGAAGGACGATATTAGATGGAAGCTCAAGTAGGAAGTACGTCGGAAAGAAGAGAACCAGGACAATGGTGTATCGATCTCCAATTTGAAGGTTGAGGTCCGGTCCCATTCCAGCAACTCGGGCATTGGAAATCTGCCTCTGGTTAGCCTTTCGTCTAGACGCGGACAGGAGGTGTCTAAACTGACGTTTGTGCGATCTATGAGCGCGATCGAGTACAGGGCACCCAAGATAGGTAGCAGCCTCCAATCGACCTTACGCACCAACCTCTTCTCCTCAACTTGGTCGTAAGCATAGTCAGCGACGTTGTTGTCAGTAGCCGTCGGGCTAATCGCTTCTTTGTGGACGGTGTCCTGCTTGTACTCGTCGTCGCTGTTCATGATGGGCAGAATATCCAGAGTCCTCTGCACCGTGGAAAAGGCTCAAGAAGACAGGGGAGGATCGTCGCAGGGAGAGGAGCAGCTGTGGATCATGTCTCTTATCACGCATCCACTTATACAGAAATGATGGCGATGGAGGCCGAGGCAAGTTCCGGGCTCCAGCCAGGGCATTGCTTCCCAAGAGCTCGGGGCGTCGTGGCTGGGCATGCCGTGTGTTCCATCTGATCGATCACACAGCGGAGAGATAGCCTATTGATCCTTTGGCGCGCCGAGTATGGACTTAAACTGAGCGGGTAGACGAGGAACAGGGTCTGACAAGATCCAACCAAGTCATCAGAAGACCCGAGCACGAACTGAAGAAGTCTTGGACAAGGAAAAACCTCCTGGATGGGATACTGCTCCTTGCGCCATACTACCCCCGAAGTGCCAACATTGCCTGCTTTGCGACACCGCTGTCATGCCGAGATGCCAAACCTGGGACTGACCAATGATGCTCGTGGTGAAGCATGAGTGCAGATCCGTCATCCAGTAATGACACCGAGAATGTCGGTGCTCAGCTTGTCTGGGCGTGCAACGGCGGGTTGGCCAGATTGCGGGGTTGGTCTTGGTTCGGTCTTGAGGCTCTTAGCCATGTGGATGGTTTCCAAAACGCGCATCTGGGGTGCATGTCATCGGCGCGACTATAAAATGACAGCTCTAGTGCATCGCGTCGTTTTGGGTATGTCATGCAGGCGAGATCGTCAGCATTGAGTCAAGAAGGGAATGAGGTGTGACAGGTTCTCGCTTCGGGCTTGTGTAAGGATTTTCGGTTGTGTTCAGCTACAAAGATGCTTGCATATGTGCCGTGCAATGATCCCAGATAGAAGGCAAGGACGCGGTTGGCGTTCGCGCGAGATGAGATGGAAGACGCGGGGGCTTGGTGTCACTAGCGCCTTGGCGTAGAAGGACCGGATGCGGAGGTCCTCTGCACTGCCATCATCATCAATCGACATGACGGAACATCTTGGTAGTGACTGTCATGGTAAAATATTCCGTATACAAGCGATTTGCTGTGCTTTTTGCTGTTGTAATCGGTACTGTTGAAGGCTACGGAGGTCTATCAGTTTTGACAGCGACACAAAAAGAACTCGCGCAACTGCCATATCACACTCTAGACAGCGGAACCTGTGTCGCAATCTGTCCCTACGAACACGACTTGTACAGCAGCAAATCTATTATCGTCAGCCAACATCAAAATAGACAAGGACAACTCTTACGCAGCAGTTACAGCGAAAACTTCCGCTCGTTTGGCCTCTGTCAGGGTCCGCAAACACACGCTGGTTAAAATGTTGAACGCAGCGATCACCCACAACTTAGTCTTCAGCGACTCCAGATGTACCAGAACCAGTACCGACGCAATCGGAAGCATTGAGGCCAGGATACATGTTATCCAAGATGTCACTTTCAGGACCGTTGAGTCGTAGTACACCCGCTGGCCCAAATGCTTATCATCCTTCGTCAAGCGACCGAGGCCACACTTGAACAAATGTACCGCATTCACCGAGACGAAACGGGAAAAGTCGTCCCCTTTCCTTCGTGGATCAATGGCGATTAGATCCGAGGCGTAATGGCAAGGTTCATCGAGTGAGCCCCAAGTTGTCCGATCTTCGCCTTCAAGATAATCAGGGTCCATGTCGGCGCTACCCAAAAATGCCTGGAGGTCGACAAGGTCAAATTTATCTGGCTTTTGAATTTGACGAATTGTGAGAGCCTGTATGATCGCTTCGTCTATACAACGCAACATGGTCAGCCTACTTTCGTCGAAGAGCCGCTCTATATCATGTTGACTTACTGTACTGATGTAGCTTCTCATGCATCTCCATGATCAGTTCTAGTTGGGTCTGATCCTCGTCGTTCGGTGTTTCCAGCATGCGCTCAAAGTCAACTGCATATTTCAGTCCACCTTTATCTTTCCCTTGGTCTGCTCGCTCGACATTTCGTAGACGCCTTTCCAGGATACAAAGCTCAGCTTGAAGGTAAAGGATGTGTCGCGCATTGAGCGCATCGAAGCGGCGATAAATGCCAGTATGCGGTTTTACAGCGATGTGTTCCGCCATCATCGTGTATCCGCCAGGGTGGTTTATCCAGGCTCCGGCAAACCTCGTCAGCCCTTTTCCTTTCTTCGTATTTATAGCTTTGATGGCTTTTTCTAACATCGCGAAATACCCCGTCGATCGTTGAGATGGAGCTTCGAGACTCGAACTGCGAACGCATGTTCTAGTTGAGTGAATTTGCCCCGGGCACATGACAGGAGGCTGTGTATGTTCCACGGAGCTCTATATCCAATGCCTAGCCGGAATCGCGAAGGCTGCTTTCGTGTAGGGTTGTACCACAGCTCGAATGTTTGCTCAAAAGCTTGGCGATGTGGCACAAAGCCTGCCACAGAGCCGCGTGCATTAGCCGAGAACTAAGCTTTGCGGCAGATCGCGTACTCAGTAGCTGGTGCTAGTGCAAAGCTGGCCATGTTGGGCCAAATTATGCAGGAGACTTCGCCATAGTCATGGGCTTCGACGATGGGAAACGTACACTGAGGCAACCACGAAAGGCCAGGTGATGGATTCCTCTCACTCCAATTTTTGCTTCTTCATGCACATAACCTCATATAACTCGTCATTGGAGAATGGTGTCGAACACATATTTCTCTCCATGCCTAAGACATCGACAAGTAGTAAGTTTGAACAACTAGTATGGTCGTCGCTGTCCAGATACTTTGCTGTTGTCTTTGCCAGCGACCACCAAAGTGACTCTCACAAACGTCCGCTTGGTCATGATGACATGCCGTGAGGATGTATATTCGTATCAGCCACGCAATTCACCAGCGCAGCAATGCGTGACCTCCATAGCAATCGCTGCTAGTACAGAGAGATATAATAAGTGACCGACTCTTAACGCGAATCCTGTCGTTCATCACCCTCATATCAGTCATGAGGATCTTCTCCAAGTTATCTTGTACAAGAAAGAGATCAAATAGTTCGGTTGAAAATTCTAGACCAGCCGACCACCATGATTCACTAGGCTCCTTCGGCGCACGAGCAGAAGTGCCTTCGCCTGGTTCATCCGCTACCGGTGCGACAATTACAGCAAATTCAGACCGGAGCTTTCAACGTTCAACAGCTGACATAGCAGAAAAAGGGTGGGTAGGTCACCAATGCCACCACGTTAACGTCGGCTTAGTACCCAACGACAAGAAGTGCACACATTGCAACAGCCGTAATAAAGCCGTGTCTCAGGTTAGGATCGTCGGAAACCAGGAAGCTTTCAATTCTATCCAAGGGAAGACCTCTGCATCTGACCACGGCTGGTATCGTACTTGTTGCTATACACACTCTACAGACATGCCCCCAAACAAAGCATGTACAAGTCCAGGCTGCAGTAAGCCGAAGAAGACAGTGGTCTTGATGTATACCGCCAAGGTAGTGCCATGAAAGTCTGGTACAGCGCCTGCGGGTAATCCAGCTTGATCAGTTTGCGGGTAGCTGAACTGTAATGAATGGGGCCCTTAGGGCTATGGGGTTGAGATACAATCCGCATACTCTAGATAACTGCGCATTATTCGTTCCACATGACACTGCCTTTCAACCCTTACAGTGAGACACTAGCATCAACGACCAGTATTTTGACGGGAATTGTGAAACTGGGTTCACATATGGCGAAAGACTGACAAGAGATGCTGAAACCTTCAACTGAGTTGATGTCGCTATGAGCAACAACTGACGAGGCATCTATATGCCATACCATCTACGAGAAAAATTATACTGCGCAGACACACGATGGTAATGCACTACTGGGTGCGAATGCAACTTCCTGCGGCCCACGAACATGTGCTTGGCCCACAAATAAGACCTGTATAGCCGCGAATCTATGATTTGAGTCAGATCTGCGTAGCCTGGACAACGATTGGAGCTTACATTGCTGTTATTGCGAAGACGTCGGTCCTTCTTGCCTCCATAAACCATTCTAGACAGAGTGACACCAGGCCGTTGAAACCAGCAATGGCGGCGAGACGATGTAACAGCGAGGGTATGTTGACAAGTGCGATGGTTGATAGCACTGGGAGGATGGAAGTGATGAAGCTGGTCAACCAAAATGTGATTTTTGAGATCGCGGTGTCGCGATAGCCAACCACGGGATTGTCTCTTTCCTTTCCCCGATACAGTCTCTTGAAGCAGTGCAAGATATCTATCGGTCGCTCGGAGAGCTTGCTTGTGAATGCGTCGGTGTGCTGCCGTGGACGCAGCCCGACCAATCCATCGTCGCAGTATGATTCTGGCCTGGAGACTACGCCCCAACTATGCCAATCAGGCCCAATCAAGGGCAACTCTATCACGCCACTAAACATGAAGTTTTGCAGATCTTTGAGGTCGAACATGTCCGGGGCCTCGAGCTTGTGTATGGCTGCTTGGTATTACAGTGTCTCGTCTACATCTCGTCAGACAATGCAAACTGTAAGATTTCATGGAACATACTGTATTCATTCAGCTTCTCGCGAATCTTCCCAACGAGATTGAGCTGCGCCGTATCTTCATGTGAGACCGTTGCAGACATCTCGAGCCAATACTAGTCGCGCGCATAGTTCTTCTTTTCGCCAATGTCGCTTCTGCTGTCGCGAGCTTCCGCAATCTTCTGTGCATCTTCTAGAGGAGTGAGTTCCGCTTGGAGGTAGAGCAGGTTGCGTGCGTTGAGTGACCTGAAGCGATGGAAGACGGCACTTTGGGGTTGTATGCCCATCAACCGGGCAAGCTTGGGGTAGCCTTTAACATAGCCTTGGAGTGGCTTAGATCGTGATGTCTCAGCCATTGTAACGGGACAAATAGAGTAGAGGCGGATCAGGATTGCTGCGAATACTGGAGTTCCATAACACCTATCGCAGCGTCTTTACATACCCCGATAGTGGTCGTTCGCGCAATTGAATGGTTGTTGAGGATTGAATCATTGGTACAATCACACTGGCGAAGTGACATACGGTAGCTCTAAATCAATACTGAGCGACTGCCGACAGCTACCAAAGGTCATTGTTACATCTCCCGCGCTTGTCACATTATTCCGTAAGAAAGGCTCTAATTCAACCTTGAATTCTCCAAGCATCATCACCGACATGCGTCATCAGCCCAGGAGGGGTTTGACACCGGCTTCCAGCTTCTCCGCGTACGTACTACAGAGATTGCCATCTCGCCAAACGCCCCGGATGTTCAAAGTTGCATCAATGTCTTCAAGTGGGTTTCCTTCTACCAGCAGCAAATCGGCGTTGAGACCTTCCGCCAGAAGACCGCGATCGGCGAATTGAAAGCGTTTGGCGACCAGGCTTGTGGCCGAGCGCAGAGCCTCCGCAGGTGTCATGCCAATCTTCTGTACGAAGACGTTCAGTTCTTGATGCATAGACAGACCGAATGCTGTTCCTACTGCTGGACCTGCCGAATCACTTCCGCTACGAGTCGTTAGTGATTTGATCAATGGAATACAAAGGTCTCACATACCATAGAATGTCAATACCGGCTTCTCTCAGCTTCTTCACGCCCTCGTATGCGTATTCCACTTTGCCGCTCTCAGTAGCAAATCCCATGCACTTGCACATATTGCCCACACGGTCTTCGTTAATCAGCCCTTTGATGCGGGGGTCATGTGCAAACTGATGCTGCAGTTCTTTTCCCTCGGCTGTCAGACTACCGATTGCAGCAAGTGTAGGATTGACCCAGGCATTGTTCTTTTTGTACGCATCTATCAGCTCCTGGGTCGGCGGCTGGTCACAAAACGTATGTGTGAGGCCATCAACACCCGCGTTCAGGACATCGAGAGTATCTCGCAGGGAGAGAGCGTGTGCGACGGTGAGGTAACCTCGCTTCTTGGCTTGTGTGATGATTGTCCTTTGGAGTTCGACTGAAGGATAGCTGAATTCGCGACCCATACTAGTTCCGCTCTCGTGCATGAGTTTGATATAGTCTGGTTGCATCTCTTTCTTAGTCCACTCCAGGTATTCCACCACGCTGCTTTGATCCGTCAACTTAGGCCACTTTGCAATTGCCGCCGCTGTTTCCGGACTCTTGTCGTGAGCCGTGATTACGGGTATCGGCCACCCGTTCTCGATGGTGGCGGCCTGGCCTGCTGTCTTGTACGAAGCAGTATCTGGTTGCAAAGTTTGCTTCTTCAGCTTCTGCACATTCTCAAGCTCGTTGTGCATTTCGCACACGGTAGTCACGCCGAAGCGCAACGCTTGAGGTAGGGCTTCGGGATCGGCCCTGTCTGCGTGGATGTGGCAGTCAATCAAGCCTGGGAGAAGCGTGTGGCCCGGTTTCGAATATGTTTTTACTGATTCGAGCGGCGCATCGCTGATGGGTCCGACACTCTTGATCTTGCCATCATGTACGTGAACATATCCTTCGTCGATAGTCTCTTCGCCAGTGAAAATGCGAATGTCACGAAGAAGAAAAGTCGTCATGTTGCTGTATGCTTCGATGGTAGGACTGTATCTTGTCGCAATGCTTTGCTGCTAGCTGGTCTTTGTAGGCGTTATAGACTACACCTGCTCCGTGCGATCGTTATGTCGACAGAGGATGCAGGGATGAAACTACGTGTCTCTTTTGAATCCCACACATTGCTTTTGTAGAAGATTACATCTAGCTCGCTTTGCTGCAGATGGGGGGCCATCGGTACGGGCTCATTGCATTAGCGTCCGGCTATGACCCGCAAACTACGGATAGAAAGGGCATCAAGCCCGTAAGGCCAGCATCGCAACGCAAGCATGCCGTGTCTCAGTAGTGAGAACTCTGCCAGTATGTTTGGCACTGGACGGACGTGATGGCTTTGTCGTCATTAGTAAGTATCGCGGTCTCCCCATTCGGTCAGCGTCGTGGAGAGCCGAAGCCGGTTTACCGCTGCCGTGCCATGCGCCATGGTGGATGTAGGGTAACAGGGACAAGTGTGAAGTTCGGCGGGTCTTCCATAGGCGTTGCGTTGATGCAGTAATGCCCCTCATTCAGCAATTGTGACATGCATGAGAAACCGCATCTCTCCTTCAGATCGATCCACAAATACCAAGACACTAGTGACCAGTCGCGTTCATCCTCATCGTCGCTTCCTCTACTCGATTCTCCGTCTTCTTATCATGCCTTTGTGAACTCCACGACAGTTTCGCCGTCATCGATAAAGGGTAGTACTTACATAATTTCAAACGTCCGACGGTTTGGCACATCTAATCAGTATACTGTGAGTAATTGTCACCTCCACCACCATGTGTAATGTATGAAGTGCATGAATAGTGGACTACAAGGTCTTGAACTTCTTCTTGAAATGTAGATGTCACAGTAGCCTGGAGATGTGAGCGTAGGTACAACACGATCTCAAGAAGACGACGTGTCCATTGCGAGTGACATATTCAAGGTATAAAAGTCGATCCTAGGCTGGTTAACTCTGAATCCCCACACTCTCATCGCCATATAACAACAGTACGACCGTCTGCTACTCCCCAGAGACTTAAGCCATGTATCCTTACAGGCGGTTGGGTTATACCTATAACATTACATTCTCACATCAGGCACCTTTTCCGGGTCCTTACAATTTACAGCCAGAGAACCCGCAGCTGGCGGTCGTCCCACGACAACAAGTCGGCAACCGACGACAGACACGGGTCCACTACACCGGTTACGATAGAGATCTCATTGACTCCCAAATTTGACGATGCGCAACACTAGAAAACCAGAAAACCACGGCGATGCATACTCGTACCCCGACGTTAACGACCACGCACAATACGACGGTATACGCATCCTAGATCTTCAAGGCCGGGAGATATAGAATGATGAGTATTTCCAGCGATGCTTGGATATTTTAGACAAGGACTTCGTCAACTCGGAATCCGAAATAAAAGCGGTGCGTGCGCAGGTCTTGCACCCTGACACTATTCGAGTGCTGCATGATCAACGAGAAACTTTGAGACGAGCAGAAGAGGGAGGACAAGTAAGAGATGCTAGTGGTACAGTGTTGAAAGGCGTGGAAAAGGCTGGGCTACCACACGATGTCATTTGGTACGGGGCAGTGAACCCTAAAGATTGCCGCATCTTGCTGCCACCTGAGCAATGCGAAGGAACTTTCATCGGGGCATCTGGAGGTTAGAATCCGGTAACTGGACGCGCGGTGAACGCACCACCAATGACTGGGCGTGAGGCATATTGGGGGCAGCGTGGGTACGGTCGTCAAGGATTTAGTCGACATCGATATTATTGAAGTGGTTGGCTATATAGTTAGCTGTAAATTGAATCTAGAACGTGTCGTCAACATATTCAGAATGACTAGTTGTGCCTGCAACAGTAAGTGCTTCCGTATCATGATCGGCTCATCCAAGGGAAGCCGCACTCATTGCTGCCGTCGGCTTCCAAGGAGGCTCTGGAGATACCTATCATATCGGTCTGGATCCCCGTGGTAGGCATGCATTTAGTCGATTTGGCGCCATTTTTCATCAATGGGTATCAATAATCCGATAGAAGAGTGTGATTGATGATGCATTCGCTGTTTCCAGAACCACAACAGCTCGCGTCACGATGACGGCCCATGTCACTGGCCGAGTGAAGAGCGAACGACGCGTAAGGAACGGAAGCAAAGCCGCTGTCCGCCAAGCCCCCCACCAACGCGACGGAGCGTGTCTCCAGTTCGTCATGACTCCGGCATCGCAGTCCCCATCACGACTCTCGTTTCTCTACATTCAAGCCTTGTCTGGCTTCGATGCTGCACATTCGTTTTGTAGCTACCAACCATGGTGGTCCTAGTTGATCTGGGAGACGATGAACTGCCCAATTTAGAGACGCCCCATCCATCTTCCGGCCGGTTCAACGTCTTGCCGCCGCGTCGCTCCCTTGATGAAGACGACGTGACGACAGCAGCCGAGAGGCCGAACCCGAATATCAATGGATTCAGCGCGGCACTTAGCTGTTATCCGTACGCTCCTGCCATAGCATGGACTTGATTCCGCGCTTTGATGTATGCTAATCATATTAACCATTCAGGATAGTCAGTCAGCTCGCTGCTCAGCTCGATCTCAACACGCTCCACGACCTCTCACGTACTTGCAGGCAGTTTCGCGCGAATCTGCTCGAATATCGCAGCCAGCTCGTCAAACATACGCTTCATTGCGAGAATGAAGACGATGACCTCAGTGAGAAGCTTGGTTCGCGACTGCACGATGGGCGGCATGTCTTGGAGAGCCGCCTTACGACTGGTCGCGTCGGCAAATGCGCCCGCGATATGGTGGGAGATTGCCAACGGTGTGGGATAGTCGTATGCCGGGTAGGACATCCAGATGCAGATGAAAGGGCCCAGGGCTAACGGGTCTCGCAGAACTGCACTATGAAGCCACCACCAACGCCCACGCTCAGAGCCCGCCATCGCCGGCTATGCCGAACGTGTACCAAAGCGCCCCTCACGCTGCTCATGGCTGCGCAGAAGCAGCGCTCCATGTCGACGTCCCCTTCGCCACCCGGGTCACCAGAAACACATCCAGTGCTCTTCGATGGCGACAAACACCGCGCCTTTACTGCGCCAGCTTTCGAGCGTACACCCTGCAACTGCGACAACGTAGTTTGGCTCTGCGCGCCATGCGGCAAAGACCTACGAAACGCCGACACCACCTACGTCCGCGGTTGGAGCTGGCGCACCATGTACAGCCACATGCACGGTGGCGTAGGCATCGGTCTCGGCGAAGGCAACGAAGGCGTAGAATGTGGACGAGGTTCTGCATGCCTAGGCGCCCATATCGTTGAGCATGAAACATGCGAGCAAAACCTCCTCGACACCATCGAGAAAGAGAGATCACAAACCCCAGAATCACCGGAACGCTGGAGGGGCTCTTCCTATCTCACACAGGAGATCGAGGGCATCGGCGGTGTGCTCAAGGTCAAACATAAGAAGCAGGTACGCGTTGGCGAATGCGTCAAGCTGTTTGAGGACGAGAAGAAGAAGTCGATCCAGTATCTTGAGCGAGAGGTCAAGGGCGAGCTGAGGAGTTGGTGCTCCTGGTGCGAAAGGGTTGTCTTGGGTAAGAAGGATAAGGCTGAGATTAATGGGGACAGACCCTCGTCGAGTGGCTCAAGCTCATCCTCTAGTAAGCCAGCATTTTCGTATAGGTACTGATGTGGACTGTTAGTAGCTATGTAGTCCTGCCCAGAAATCATTAATGCACTCCCGCATCCTACGCCGTACTCCCTCTTTCTATCACGAAATCCCCAGCGCCTCCTCAAGGTACTCGACCCTTTGTCTCAAATCCTCATTTTTGACCTGAGCAGCATCGAGCTCCCCCTACAACTGATCCCTCTCTTTTTCTGCTTCTTGTACATTGCTGATATTGCAATCGTTATCCCCTTTCTTCTGTTTCTCCAATTCTCTATACCGGTCCAGCAAGTCTTGTAATTACAACAGCAGGCCGTTCTTCTGGTTTTGCAGCTTTGCCTTTTCTTTGGTTAACTTTTCAGGCGGAGGACGGCGTTCTTCCAGGATATCTTCTATAGTTTTCTGACTTTCTTTCAGCGCCCTACAAAGTTGTGCATCGACATTCTCATACGTTAGTCTCATACGCTCCGCTTGGTACGCCCCTTTAAGTCTCTTGATGTCGTGCTCCAACTTTGCTCGTGCATTGACTAGATTGTGAAGCGTGCGCTCTCGTCCGAAGGGATACCTGGGGCCGTCGAACTGCGCGGCGAGCTTTGCGTACTCTGTGTGCTCTGCATAAAGGTCGTGGTAATTTTGCAGAAGTTGAGCAGGCGTCCAGCTGCCATCAGCTTTCTTAGGCGTGAAGGTCGTAGGATTGGTGGAAGGAGCGTTCATCATGTCTGTAAACGTTGCGTTTGGTGTAGTGAGAGTGTTGCACGGGCAGATGTGAAGGGAGTATATCGTGGCTGGTTGCGCAAAGCTTGCTGGAACAACAAAGCCATGACAGGTCACACGTGGACTTTTCCTTCTGGCAACTTCAAGTCAAGCTGGGAGTCAAAGGAAAATGCGGAACACAGTTACTAGTACGCCGTGCATCGTTGTAGACTGAGAATAATGCGAAACAATGATGAGTCCAGACCAATCCTACTAGAATCAGAGTGGATTCAAGATCGAAATGTGAATATGATATCGTACTGACGGTACCTAGAAGCTCGAACGAGCTCTTCGATACCGTTGCTGCCGATAATACCAATATTGCGAAAACACTCAACCTCAAAATGGTATACCATAAACGCCATGCTCTCATCCAAAACGCCGAACCTCTGCATGTGCTATCACTCCGTTTCCTTCGCGCTCGTCTACCGTCTCGCACGAACATTGAACGGACTCTCCTCAGCGGCCTTGAAAGAGTCAAACGCAAACAGGCTAATAAAGTACAGCGCTGCAAACCTGACCAGCGTATCGCTTAGTCCACCATTACCAGTCAGCATCCGTTGTAGGCCGGCAAACGGGCTTTCGCCTACAGGCCGACTGGGTTCTGAAGCGGAGCCAAGTGTGCGGCCTTTGGTCTGGAAGACAGCGGGGGCTGCACCAGGGCCAGAAGTGTCGTTTGCGGCTTTACGGACGGCGGCTGTGAGGGCTGCTGGGTTGGCGCCTCGGATGGTTTCGACGACGGAGGTAGATTTGATGACGAGGAAGGTTGGCATACTGGACAGTGTTAGTGTTAGTTTGGTAATCTACAGGCTTTCTTCGTCCTGACATGCAGGTGTGTCTCTCGGGGGGTATACGTACGCGCTGACGCCGTACTTCTTTGCAACTTCCTGTTGGCTATCTACGTCCACCTTGACGAATTGCATCTTGCCTGGCTTTGTTTCCTTCTCTGCCAAGCCCTGGAAGACTGGCGCAATTGCCTTGCATGGCCCGCACCAATCCGCATAGAAGTCGACAATAGTGTATTTGGATTGCGACAGAAGTTGAGAGAAGTGCGAAGCGGAGGTTACGGGTATGATCTTGCCGGGCATCGTGACTGTCTGTAAGGGCTTAAGCTCTTAACACAAGGTAGTTCCTGGGTGAAGAGTGGAGGAGGATATGTAGGGCGGTTCGTGAAGTGGAGGTGCGTTGGTCGTTGTTGCGGGGAGGACAGCTTGCGGCAAGGATGCGCCACTTGAAGCTCAGGTGGATCGTGCATCAAGGAACTACCTGTGAAGCGAAGTCAACGCGACCTCGGGCCGCTTGACAGTCACGACGGTGTCAGCGATTTCACGACCATCAAGATCAATTGCGCGGGTATTGCGATCCAGTAGAAGCTTGCTATAGATTGCCCTAGCTATGTATGTACTCTTTGTACACGTTCAGTCAGCTCACCTCACTGTCATTTCCTTCGTCATCTCAGTCCACAACACGCTCTCCTACTTGGTCGCATGTTCGCTCGGGATGCCATCGCGCTATGCAAGACCAGCAAAACCAGTGAACGGAGTGGACCGGCTCCTCGACTTCTTGGGGATGTATTCAAGATCATCCTCGCTTGCGTCCATCTCTCGGATAGGACGCTTCTTCGCTCGCGTCTTCTTGACTTTGGGTTTGGGAACTGCTGCTGCATCTTTGGCTTTGACTGCGTCGTCGACTCCTTCTTCTTCCATCTTGACACCGACGGTCGATCCGTCACTAGTTGGCCGATGAGCATCTACTACACCTCCGACCTTGCTTGTGCTTGGTGCCTTATCCGTCTCGAGCGGCGGCGAGGGCGGATAGGCGACGTTCGGCTGTGGTCCCACCTCGTGTTCCGGATCTTCTGCCTTGACTTTGGTCTCTGCGGCCTCTGCAGCGTCATCTCCTGCCTCTTCTTTTGCCTTCTTCTTCTGGGCTTGGGTCTTCTTTGGTTTCGCACGCGAATCGATCTTGGGCGCTGGCGGCTTAACGACCTTGCCTGTCTCGAATGTCTCGGTTACGACTTCCTCAAACTCCGTAGGCAGGGAGTCACGGCCATCGAATGAGTCTTCATTGGCTCGACGAACTACCTCGTCCAAGTCGAATGCTGACATGCACTGCCAGTGCTTGTAGACCATGCTCTCGTGCTCGCCATCGAACGGTATGGATAGACCGAGCCTCAGCTCACCTTTGGTGATCTTCACGTTCTTGGCCAGGCAGTCACTGCCACGGCAAGCGCATGCACGACCAGCAACGTCGACCTTGTAGAAGCTGACATCAGTGTACTCTTTGGCGTATCGCTGAGCGTCCCTGGCCAGGTCTTCCCGGATGCCCTTGAAGTTCTTGTCGACCGGCTGACCCTCGAATGCTAGCCGTACTTGCTCTTGGCTCTCTGGGCTGAGTCGCTGGTAGCCAGGTGCCTTTGTCGGGTCGTTGCCGGTGGTCTCCTTCAAGCCCGCGATCTGGTGCTTGGTCGCACAGCCCCTTGCTATGTCAGTCTACGCGTAGTAGGCACAGGAGGCTCCAGACGAAGGTAGACTTACCAGTGACGCCAGGCCATGTACCATCTAGCCTCTGGCTCAAATAGCGTATGAGTACCGATACGTAGCTCTCCCTTCGCGATCTTTATCTGGCTGCGCTTGCAGGCGGCCTGGCTACAGGTTGCGCGGCCAGTACTCGCCTGCTCTTCAAGTTGTTAGCCAAGAATTTAGGAAAGGGATGCGGCGGAACATACCAAGACGCCATTTAGGGCCTTCGTCGTCCATACCTGCGAATTTCGAGAGTTTCGTGGGATCTCGGCAGGGGTGTCAGTGAATTGAGACGACAAGAGGTGAGATGTGAGTGCAGCTACCCGCACTTCCAAGGTTATGAGCAAGCACGTGCGGCTTGGCGGGGAGAGAGGAAGTCGCAGTGGCTGCGTCCGGCGATTTTGACGACCTCGTTCCCACCAGGCTGAGCTTTGTTCTCTTCTTCTCATTTTCAACACGGAAGAAAGCTCTAAAAGGGACTGCTGAGCAATGAGTGGCGCCGAGACAGTTGTGGTCCTGTTTGTGGCCGAGACAACCCAGGAGACGAGAAACAGGAAAGAACGAGATCAGAGCAAAACTTCTCCCTCCGTTTTCGACAACTAAACCACCACAAAATACTCGCAGCATTGCTCACTGAGTGCTACCATCGTGGTTGATTTTTGACTATTGCGCTCCTCTGCGTCCAACCAGCGGTCAGCAGAAAGTCGGACACGACTTTTTCGCAATGCATGAAAGATGTCTCTCGGCATACTTGGTTCGTGCTCGCAGAAGTCTGAACTTGATTCAAGCTGGGTATCTCCCATCATGGGTTTTATGAAGTTCGATTGAGGATTGCGGGGAACAGCGGGGAAGTCCGTCCTTACTTTACTGGTCCACCACCGCTGACTCAGACAAACCCTCTAGCTATCTCCACAACTCAACGGAACGCATTAGCAATCAGATGCTTTTCCGAGAACTGTGACTCACTGTTACGCTCGTAGAATCATATAAGATACGAGACAAGCATCCCAAGCAGTCGTCCATTCCCTTCCCACCTTGGCACCTCAAACCTTCAGCCCAAACATGACAGAACCTCAAGCAGACAAGAAGTTTTACGTCAACGCTGAGGATGCACGAGATTTCGTGACCGCAGTATTAGTTGGCAATGGCGTCGCGCCTGAAAACGCCAGCATCGTTGCCCAATGCCTGGTAGCAGCCGACCTCCGCGGTGTCGACACCCACGGCATGAACAGAATTCCGTCATACATGGAGCGTGTACGTCAGGGCGTCTTGAACAGTGCGGCAACACCTACTCTTACTCAAGTAACACCAGTAGTCACCCAAGTCGACGCCAATAATGGTTTCGGCTTCCTTGCTGCAGACGCCGGCATGGCTGCGTGCATCGAATCCGCAAAGACGTATGGCATCGGTATGGCGAGCATAAAGCATTCAAACCATTTCGGTATGAGTGCCTGGGTCGTACAGAAGGCGCTCGACGCCGATATGATGAGTCTGGTGTTCACCAATTCGAGTCCTGCGCTGCCGGCCTGGGGTGGGAAGAGTAAACTGCTGGGTGTCTCGCCGATAGCATGCGGTGCACCAGGAAAGGACCAACCGTTTGTACTGGATATGGCGCCATCGATTGCGGCAAGAGGGAAAATTTACAAAGCGAAGAGAAGGGGTGAGAAGATTCCTCTGGATTGGGCGCTGGACAAAGATGGAAAGCCAACGGATGACCCAGAAGCAGCGCTCGACGGTGGTGTCATGTTGCCTATGGGCGGACCAAAGGGTTCGGGTCTGGCTGTTATGATGGACGTTTTCTCCGGTGTACTCTCCGGCTCCGCGTTCGCAGGCGATGTTACGAATCCATACGATCCCTCCAGACCATCAGACGTCGGTCACTTCCTCGTAGCGGTGAAACCAGATCTCTTCATGAGTTTGGATGACTTCAGGGAGAGGATGCAGATCTTGTATGACAGGGTCACGGGTGCCGAGAAGGCAGCGGGTGTGGAGAGAATCTTCTTTCCGGGCGAACTTGAGCAGTTGCAACAGCAGGAAAGAGAGAAGACAGGGATTCCGTTGGTGCAAGCGGAAGTTGATGCTTTGAACGCGGAAGCGGAGAGAGTCGGCGCGAAACCGTTGATTGTCAAATAAGCTTAGACGAAAACATCCTGAGGTTCTACATGATAACCTGCAGATCAATGACTCACAGTAATTGAACAAACTGATAATACCACCTACTCTTCTAGGAACCCATCAATCATCCGCGCATAGCTCGCAGCATCCTCCAAGCCCACCCACCCATCTCCTTCTTCCTTGCCTTCCGCGAACGCGAAAAGACTAGTCATGACATCTCGTCCAACTATCGGCACTTCCTTCTGCATCTCAGACCAATCCCAATCAAGATTCTCCACCTCATGAGTATCGAAATGGTGCACCTGTATCACGACTGGCCCATCTCCTTCACTCATTTGAAATACCATATTCGTGGCAGACGTGATGCTGATCTCGCCATACTCGCAGTTTATGGTCCATGTTAGAGCTGGTGTACCGGGAAACGGTTGGCCGCGGCGGAACAGGAAGGACAGAGTTGCATTTGAGGAGGTGAGGGGAGAGTGCGCTATAGTGCCACGGACCGCTAGGAAATCGGGTACGTCGGTGATTACTTCTTTAACCGTTTGCTTGGTTTGAGGGTCTTGAATGCGGATGTTGGGGCGCTGGATTTGTGTATTTGAATGAACGGACTGTGCGTCAAGTCGGCCGACAACTGAGAATACGATGTCAAGCACTGATAAGAGTTAGTAATGACTAGTAATGTGTAAAGTGATGCTCACCATGACCGACGCCGATCACAATAGCATTTCCGCCGATATCTTTTTGGGAGAAATACTTCAGACTAGTAGGCATCGTCTCCCTGTCATTTGTGCCCCCGAAAGCTCGAACGTCTGAGCTTAGCACTTTTCCAAGTCTACCGCTTCCACTATCCAAGATATCTCTTAGCTTCGCAGCTGGTGGTGTCCAGCGTCTCTGTAAACCCACAGCAACCCTTGATCCACTCTTCTTGGCTGCTTCAACAATCTCATCGATTTGCTCCCTGTTGCTGGCAATTGGCCATTCGACATAAACGTCTTTACCCGCTTTGACGCTGGGAAGAATTGTCTCGTAGTGCTTGTCCACCCGGGTGTTGCATATGACCAGATCGATCTCTGTATCAACTGCGAGATCTCCTGGTGATCCATATGCCTTGGTATGGTCCGGAAGTCCATACTTCTGGATGGCGTCCTTTGCGGCCTCGATACTGCTGTTAGACAGCGCGGTGATGGTAATCTTGGAGCGTCCAGTCTCGGTGAGCAATGCTGGGAGATGGGCTGCCGAGGCCCAGGATGAGTTTCCCGAGGAAGACAGCCCGATGAGCGCAGCACGAACTGGGAGAACCGCTGATGCCATCTTCCTCGGAAATTGAATCAAGGACAAGGCTTTTTGGAGTATCAAGTGTAAGCGTCTTGAAGTTCGATGTCGCCAGGTCTTCCGGATATTTCTACGTCTCATGAGGTGCTTTTGGATTCGCTTTTCGCTTTGTAATGCAGCACATTTATAATCTTGCATGCAGAAAGCGCGAATAGTAGGAAAGAACGCCCGACGTCTGAAATGTCAGCAAATGCGTGTAAACGACATACGGCAACAAGCAAGCCGCGCATGACATCATTTAGCAACCAGACGCAAGCACTGCACGCATGTCAGGCTTCCAACATCGCATCGCTGACGATCTTTCGGTAGACGCGCCCCTGCAACATGAGGAACGAAGACTGTGATTATCGACAAAGCCGTCCGCAGCTAAACGCGATGAACTCACACGCGTCTTAGAATGATTGACCGTAGAAGCACCGGTGAGCGAATCAACGAGTAAGCGCCAAAAGAGGGTTAGTCTCCGCGGAGGCGCCTAGCATTTGCGACTATTTATCCCGCCCCAAGGATATGCTTAGCATTACCATTCACCAGTATGGAACACGTTATTTAAGATCGTTTCAGTCAAGATGTAGCTCGTTATCTGCACCTGGGTTCCATCGCTTTTGCGACGCATAATGCGCTACACTGGGGTCGCGGGCAGGAGCCAGGCGTAAGCCTGTCGGTATCAAGCGACAGGAATCAACTAACAGTGAACAGATCCCGCCAGCCTGCTATTCCATGGCATCGGACTAGTGATGTTGTGAGTGAGTCGATCTTGGAGGCTAGAGCCCGTACCCAGGTGCCTTCACATGCAGCAGCATGGTGCTTCATTTGGCGTATACAGAGAAGCAGTGGCAGGCGGTTTTCCATACGAGTTGTGGTTGCCTGTACCCCAATGACCATTCTTGCTGTAGCAACTGCATCAATTTCGTGTGGTGCAGGACCCCCCGTGTGCCCACAGGTCTTCCTTCCACCGCTGCTATCCCACGTTGTCTTGGCAAACAAATGAGCTTCACCACCTCGCCCAACTCCCATATCCAACCACGTAGGGATACCACCGCCTCAAAGCGTCCGAAGGTAGGGTCTTAAGCAATATGGCGGAAGACGACAACTCACCTCCGATCACTATTGCATCAATGCGCGCAATTCGAGAAAAGAAGCGGCAGCTGGTAGCTCAGCCACCCCCGAGTCCCTTCGAGCTTACACATCGATTTCCTGACGCCCAGACGCCGATAGAGGAAGAGATTGGAGAAGCCGCAGGCCCTTCCCTGCATACACATCCTGGGCTGGAATGGGTCGCAGTCATCAAGCAAGAAGACGAGGAAGAATACGGGAACACTGCTGAACTTGGACATGATATCGGATGCCCTACGCTCAACGATAGACTTGTATCCGCTCATGACAAATCTGATAACAGGGATATCAGAAGCATCATCGCCGCGTTGCACCGCATAAGTGAGCCTTCGGAATTGACTAAAACGCAAGCGAAGAAATTCCGCCAGAAGAAGCAACAAGGTTTAGCTCTTCTCCAAGATGTCATGGTGCAAGGGCGGATTGAGCGAGGACTGCCAGTAACACCTTGTCTCACAAAAACCACTGCGAAGAATGCCGGCATAGCGGAAGATGAAGTCGTCGAAGAGCTTTGCAGATCATCTGGCACATTGACACCCGCAGAGCATGCTCGCTCGTTGCTCCTTCACCCAGAAGACATAACAATGGCAGATGTGCAAGCACTCGGTCAACAAGTCAAGCACATAAACAAAGCGCAGAGAAAAGTATCAAAGCTTCTTGAAACCGGTGAAAGGCGACAAGCAGGGACAAAGATGTACAGATGGCTCGAAGGCGGGGTGCAGAAGCATCTTCAGGTGCTACATGCTCAAGCACACCAGTTCGGAGCAGGTCGCCCGCTTATGAACAAGCCGGATCGAGAGGATTCAGAATCTGCATTATGCGGGGTTGTGCTCGGTAAACGCCCGGCGCCACTGTCTCAACTATTCCGCAATCGAGGCTATACTGAGAGGTTCCCTCTTGGATCGATTTCTGAGATTGGGAGCAGTGTTGCTGAAGATGCGGACCCGGCCCTAATTGCGATGTGGAAGATTGTACCTGACCTCTGGAAGGATGCTATGCAGGACATCGAGACTCAGATTGTTTTTCCAACCGTCGCCGAATATCTGGGTGTCGTTAAGCGACGCAAACTGGGCACTTTTGCGACTGCGCATGATACGAGTACCGATTACCGACCTTAGCAGTCACATGACGCCCCTGTTGTTCAGGGATTTCCCAGCTTTACTGCCTCATCCTCTCCTCTCATGAACTTCCGTATCGAGGGATTCTTGATAGGCATCGGAAAAGGTACCGTGACTGAAGAGAAGGTGCCGAGCAGTTTCTCGATCAAGGCCCAAATGGAGAATTGCGACACCGCCGTCCACGGTTCTGTGCGTAGCGACGCCTATATCACCATCTTCAAAGCCCTGAGCGCCCTGCTTTCACTTGATCGTGACATGACCAAGGTGGAAGACAGCAAGGCACATGGTTCAAAAGGCAGATGGACGTGCTTGTTCAAGAAAGCGATGAACGAGATGTGCAAGTGGCCAGCTGAAGGTGAAGCAGGACAGTACGCATGCGACTGGTGTATGAGACATCGCCGTCCTTGCGTCATCGCCATCAAGGGTGTCTCCTCAGTTGCCCCATTGGCTCCTAGTTTGAGGATGGGTCGTGGACTGGGTGAGAGGGAATACTGCGTGTTGCCCGAAGGGGCTGTCAAAGTGAAGCCAAGGTTCTTCTTGTGAAGCTTTGCGCCGCGAAGCAAACTTGTGGGGTATGCATAGTCTGCTGGGGGGACGGAAGCTGAACATCAAGCATCTAGGTATAAATAATTTAGCAGTCTTCATAGATGATACGTATCGGGAACCAGTGCGAGTTGAGCGTCCTTGTCAGGGCATGCCGGTATCAGTCTGGATGCATAGTGATGTGTAGTGATTGCCAAGGAGTCCGATCCGAGAGTAGCTTGTCAAGAAAGTCGATTCGGTCGACTTTGGAATGATGCAGGGCGAGGTACAAGGGCCGGCGGACGAACACATGGAAGATGGGGCCGCGGGAGGTTCGCGCTAGCACTAGTCAGTACTAGAGCAAGCCCCGCTCCTGAACCAACCGGATGGGACCGAGGCACAGTTGCGCGCCTGTGAAACCACGCCGTCAATACGCCCTGGACCTTATAGCCCGCCATTGGCGTCTCCTTAGCTCTTGAATCAACCTCTACGCTCCAGGCCTATCCAAGACTTTTACCATTGATCCTCCAGGACGACCATCGCAGCTCAATATGGCGGAAATAGCACCTTTCGAGCACACGCCCATGGACGACATCGCGCCCACATGCGCCAAAGTCCGCGCCAGCTTCCTCTCGCACAAGACCAAGCCGCTCGAATACCGCATCCAGCAGCTGCGCAAGCTCTACTGGGGCTTCAAGGATAATGAAGAGCTCATCAAGGAGGCGTGCAAGCGCGACCTGGGCAAGCCGTCGTTCGAGACGTACCTGACGGAGATCTCATGGTGCATGAACGACTGCATCTGGATGGCCAACAATGTCCCGCGCTTTGCAAAAGACGAGAAGGCGACGGACATTCCCTGGACCAACATGCCGCTCCGCCCGCGCATCAAGAAGGACCCATTGGGTACTGCGCTGATCATCGGGTATGTCTCGTGCGCATATTGAGCGATAGTAGCTGACGAAACCAGAGCGTACAACTTTCCCATTCAACTCACCCTCGGTCCTCTCATCGGCGCCATCGCCGCAGGATGCACTGCCGTCGTCAAGCCCTCCGAATCTGCCCCCAATGCTGCCGTCGCCATCGAGAAGATCATGCGCGACTCCCTCGACCCCGAATGCTACACGTGCATCCAGGGCGCCATCCCTGAGACAACCGCCCTACTTGACCAGAAGTGGGACAAGATCTTCTACACTGGTGGAGAGATGGTCGCCAAGATCATCGCGAAGAAGGCAGCCGAGACCCTCACACCTTTGACACTGGAGCTGGGAGGTAGGAACCCTGCTATCGTCACAAAGCATGCAGACATGAAGCTCGCTGCAAGGAGACTATTATGGGCAAAGACACTCAACGCCGGTCAGGTCTGCCTCAGCCACAACTGCACTTTCGTTGATCGTGAGATGGTTCCAGCATTCATCGAGGAGATGAAGAAGCAGCTCAAAGAGTTCTACCCAGACGGTGCTCAAAAGTCACCCGACTACGGCCGCATTGTCAACGAGCGCCAGTTCCAGCGCATGAAGAAGATGATTGACTCCAGCAACGGCAAGATTGTTTTAGGCGGTACAATGGACGAGTCCGACCTCTTCATCGAACCCACCGTTGTCCAAATCAGCGACATGAACGACAGCATGGTCACCAGCGAATCCTTCGGCCCCCTGCTTCCTATCCTCCCCGTCGCCAACCTCGACGAAGCCATCAAGATCGCAAACGAGATCCACGACACACCACTCGGCACTTATGCCTTTGGAAACAAGGCCGAGCTCGAACAGATTATGACACAAACCCGCAGCGGCGGTGCCTCCCTCAACGACGGCTTCTTCCACGGATCTATTCCCACCATGCCCTTCGGTGGTGTGGGAACAAGTGGTCAGGGCGCATACAGAGGCAAAGCGAGTTTCGACACTTTCACACATCGCAGGAGTGTTACCACGACACCAGCGTGGATTGAGGGCCTCATGGACGTCAGGTACCCACCATACACAGCTGCCAAGCAGAAGAAGTTTATCGGCATGAATGACATGAAGCCCAACTTCGATCGCCAGGGCAGGGCACTCGGATGGGGTTCGTGGTTCATGGGATTGCTAGGCGTGAAGAGTTTGGCTGCCGTTGTTGGTAAGTGACCTAGCAGTACAGTGGCAAGCGTTGTTCATCAAGCTAACAAGCACAGCGGCGGTTGCTATCAAGCTGTATCTGCAGCGGAGGTCGAAGTTGTAGAAGATGAATAATACGAGCAAGGAGGATGGGGGTCAGTATGTGACTGTAGGCAGTATACCTTTGCGATATCCATGAATTCTTCACCATTTGCAGACAGCATCTCACATCTCGACACATGTAGTCATTTTCTATATTTCGACTTTTCAAGTTCTCATCAGACCGATGAAGGTCGGTCTCACTCTCAGAAATGTCTCTCGGTGTCTAGAAACCACTGTACACCATCTAAGACATTTCTCTCCGCATTGTCTTAACATCACTAGGCCCTCCCAGACACCACCAGTCCAACCAGCAAACCATGAGTTTCACTTCCATCAACAAACTCATCAAGCTGGACATCATATATCACGCAAGCCTAAATACGGCTCTCGATTAGAACGGCCAGAACAATACTGATCAAAGAACACCCATGCATCCAAGACACACCATGACACCCTCCTTCCTCAACGGCAAAGACGCACGCTCTATGCGTCGCGACCTCTTCAGCCACGAAATCACATCGACCACCGCTTCCTATGCGACGAAACCATACCTCACACGCCTCATCGAGCCCTCACGCTACACGACCTACGCATCTGAAACCCACAGCGAACGCCTTCCTTCTTGGTTCACAGCCCGCCCCTCGCGCCACACATACACGACCAGCCACTCCGCAGCAGAAGTGGCACATAGGGGTCTCGCATACGAACTTTCCCATTCTAAAGCATACAGCTATAGTGACTACCACCCAATCCCTTACGCGGACCTGCGTGCCCGCCGTGTCAAGACTCGTGAAGCAGAGTATGCGGTTCTACTAAAGCAGAAGAACAAGGAGAAGGAGAAGGAAGAGAAAGTACGTGTACAGCGGAGAGGAGATGAATTGCTGTATGTGAGACACAAGGGGAGGGTGGGTGAGAGTGGGGGATGGAGGAAGACGGAAAGGGAGGTTGAGTGGGTTCGGGGGCGATGGTCGTGAATAAAGAGCGTGCTTGTGATTTCCTAGTTTTTTTTCATGTGTGAATTCAACAGCTGAGTTGATTATCTCCATAAGCTTATATATCGTCGTTCGTATTCGGCATCGAGTCATGTTTGAGAATATCTCCACAGGGCTTTCATGTTGGTGGAGATGTTCGCCTAAACGCACGTAAGCTCATGCATTCCTGCAGGATCCAGCACATATGTACCGCCTAGTTGGGTAAATAGAAGAAAGGGTATCGCCCTGCACTTCCAGCGAAGATCTTTCACGGTGAAAAGGTGCAGGGATGGCTAGCTAGCTGTGGCTGATCTTACCTTACGAGGTAGACGAATCAGATTGTGCAGACAGAAAAAGTCTAATTGCAATACTCTTATAATGTACACGTTTCTCATAGGCGCTGGCTCATGTAGTAGTAGAAGGAGAAGAAGAGGGTATAGTATAAGGCACAACAATGCAATTGCAAAAAGTATTCGTACATGAACCATAAATGACATGACATGACAAACCGAGACGTAAACGTAATCATGGAAGAGACATCGCGTGCGACTTAGTCTCTACCGCAGAAAGCAAGCCATGCAGCGTGAACGCGTCGAAGAACAAAGTAGCTAAACAGGGGTATCCGCCGTAAAAAACAATGGTATCGTGTCCTTCTTGCCCATACAAGCCGAAAATGCTGCGCTAGAACTAAGATGGAAAGGAAAAAAACGAAGCGAGAAGAGGGGAATATCGTAACGTGGCAGAAGCGTATGCAAAAGCAGGAAAAGTCCAAGATGCAAGAGTGCAAGCCCAGAAGGAAGAGGGAAGAAAGGGAAGAACGATCCAAGGAGAGCTTATATGCTCCAGTCTCCCCATCCCTTCTTCAAAATCGTCTCAACAGACCCCACAACCCCCTCTAACAACTCACCCAGCCCCTCACCAGACGCATCAGCCATAGCACCGCTCTGATCTTCGAGTGGAACGCCACGCAGACGTAGCTTGACCCAAAGAAGCAGGCTGATACAACCTGTCTGGCGGCGCGCATGGTCTGCAAGATATTGATGTGAGGAAGCCGTGGTATCAGACATGGCGAGCGTGTCTGTGAGGAAGGAAATCGTATTGATAATGATTTGCGCGTGAGAGAGGAGCGGGTTTTCGGGTGTGGCGGATATGATGGGGGAACGGGGTTGGCTGGTGGAGGTGGAGGTAGAAGAGGAGGTTGGTGTTGCAGAGGCCCAGGTCGTGGGTGTGAAGAGCGTTGGGGGATCGGAGTTGCTTGGTCGTCGGGTCTGTTGGCTAGCTTTCTGATGGGCGGCTTTGGCGCGGGTGGTTGCCGCGACGGTGACGATCCAGAGGACGAGAGCGGCAAAGAAGATAGACATGTCTGTGCCCATCTCTAGTGGTATTGAGTCTCTTTGTTCCGAGACGGCTTGTTGGAGGATGTCGATGGAGAGTTTGAGTGCTTCTTTTACGGGCACACCCTCGGTCTCGGATGTCGACCATAGCTGTGCGACCCATGTGCGGAGCGTTGTCTTCAACGCTGCGAAAGCTTGAGCGCTAGCGACTTTCTCTGAGAAGATCCATGTCTCGCATGCGACAGCCAACAATGCGCGAATGGGTGTTACTTGTACCAGCTTTGCCACGGATAGCATGCGCTTGGTGGCAGGTGCATCGTCAAGCAGATGCTCGAGTCTTGATGGTGTCGATGAGGAGATGTATGGTGTTGAGGTCTCTTGACGATTGTAGTGCACGGCGAGGATGACAGATGATTGGAAAGTATCAAGAGGCCCTGGCAGAGACGTGGAAGTAATCTCGTAGACGTATGATGGCGTGTAAGGGTGCTGCTGAGCAGCTGCAGCCCACTCGATGGGACCTGTCGCATCCCAAAGAGAACCGTGCGCTGGGAAGGGAATGTCGAAGTGAGTGTCGTGGATGAGAGAAAGCAGAGATTCGCGGGCGAGGAGAAGAGGTTGCTGCGACTCAAGGATGTAACAAGACAGGAACAAGCGTTGCCGGGTGGCTAGCTCGACCCAGCTAGTCCAGTGCTCAGGTGTAACGTGCTCGAGTTGAGCGAGGCTAGCTATGAGCTCTGCAGCCTTCGAAGTCGTGCTCCTGCAATCTTCAACCGCCTGGTGTTGTTAGCTGACTGCCGCTGCGTGCAACGACGCTTGACCTACCTTGTGGTATACCTTGTCGAAGCGTGCCGACAGAACCTTGGCGGCCCTACGAGCACGGTACTGAGACAGCACCTCAATGAGGAACATTGCCTGGAAATCGCATAAACGGTCCGGCTCCGTCGAAGTTTTGAGATCCCTCTGCTACAAGTCAGTTGATGGTCGTAAACCCAAGCATCTAACCTACCCATTCAAGCAATTTCAAGCATCGGTCGTGGAGGTCTCGGCCCTTTTTCTTGTCGCTCGAATCGGCCGAGTACTGGCTGCCGATAGCGACCATCGCCGCGCGCAGCATCGGCGACGGGTTCATAGAGGTAGGTCGATGGACAACGGGGAAAGTGGGATGAAAGAGCCTCCAGTAATAGTCAAGATATTGCTCAAACGGTTGGGTGTGTGCGATCGAAGCCATACCATATTGTTCTTCTCCAAAGAGCATCACCCCCTCTTCTTCGTCCCTCTGGACCAGCGTTCTTGGACCAAAGTGTCCGTACCCGGTCATTGCATCCATGCTTGTTGGTATCGACATGTTCGTCATTGGGAAGGAGCATGCGTTCATGTAGGCGAGGTTAGAGCCTGTTGCGCTCTTATCGTTCGAACACCATGTGTATGCCATGGTTGAGGTGGTGGAGGCCGGCGATCGCGATGGGTATCCCCAGGATGGGTCCATCATGGACGCGTTCGAAGGCGTGCGCGCTCGATAAGACGGGTTGCCAAAAACGGAGAAGTCGGTCGATGCGATCGGTGATGCGTACCCACTTGAAGAGGAGTACCCCGGGGTGGGACTGTATGGCTCGTGCCACAGAGCCGGTGTCATAGCTTCCATTGCTACCGACATGGAACCAGACTGGCGGCTGTAATTGGTGCGATGGTGTTTTGGCTGGCTAGAAGATCATAAGTATTTATCCAAGCAGAAAATAGGAGACGAATTGAGAGAAGAAAATAAGTGCTCGATGATGTATAATGAAACTCACTTGGGGCTGGACGTGATTTGTGGAGAAGAACGAGGAATGAGACTGGGATTTAACGAAAGACGCTGAGGCGTTCTGGGAGTACGAAACGAGGCGTGATTGTACCTTGTAAATGGTGCCGTCTCCTGCACGGGAGATACGGTCTCGTAGAAGGATGTGCTCGCGGAGTTGGTTGTCATTTCCATCATAGGCTGCTCGAGAGCGGGCAGAGACATAAGTTTTGGCTCTGGTGAGCCTTCTGGACTTTGCTCAGGAGAATCTCTCGCAGGCTCGTTGCTGTTGGAAGTCAGTATGGCTGCTGAGACCACTCTAGGTTCCGCGTACTGTCGCTCTTGATGTCTTTGGAGAAGATCAACACGGACGAAGGTCTTGCCGCATCCAGGCACTTGGCAGACAAGCGCATCTTCCTGGGCGTGATTTTTCTGGTGTCGCCTGTGTATACTGTTAGTGGTAAATCGGCTTTTAATGGAAGCCGTCTGACCTCAGGTGCTCCGCGCGGGTGTAAGACTGATGGTCCGTTAGCAAGGTTTCCTGCAGAAGTGACTGAGATGCATAGCGTTGACGTAGATACGTCTACGTGTGATGAGATGCGATACCACAGTGGCGGCCCATGCACAGGCAGCCACATACATCGTAGGGCTGGAAGAGGTATAAAATCGAAATGACTTACTCTTCCACAGTTCTCGCAGTTGTGGACTTTAAGTCCTTTCTTTGCTTTGCTGATACGCCCAGTCCGGGTGTAATGGATGTTGTTGTGAGATGACATGTTCGTAGGGCTCAAGCCTAGCTGTTCTTCAGAGCGGGGGGAACCGGTGTGGGGGCCGGACGGCGCTTGTTTGGTGGTTCCAGGACGACGGCGAGGGCTGGCAGCCTTGGATCCTTTAGGTAGATCCTTAGATGACTGTGATGTCTTGCGGTAGTCGACACGAGGTGGTGATGATTGATGAATGGTGCTGCCTGTTGGTTGCTGATGCTGGTGTGCGTTCAAGTCCAATGGGAGGCCTCCGGTCTCACTTGGTTCGGACATGACTGAGGGACGAGGCGATCGATGGTATATATCTAAGTTGGAGAACAACGGGGGTCAGAGGCCCAAGTGGGGATGTGGATAATGTGTGCTAAACGTTCCAGATTTGGTGGTACGATAGACGGCTATGAGCTAGTGGTCATGTCTTGGACGAGTCGGTGCTTTCCCACGGGATGATGATAGGCAGCCGGGGGACGGAAGTTTGAATTAAGGAACAGCCGCCAGGGGAGAAGACTTAACGTGGTGTGTAGTAGACCTAATTGGGAATGAAAGCCGGACCAAAACAAGGTATTTGCGACGATTGTAGAGTGAATTTGCTGCGCCCGGATGGGTTTGTGGATGGAGAGACTGTAAATATCTGTGGGCTGTGCCTGAGCCAACCCCGAACGAGGAGGGTACTCGAGTATGGGGGTTGGAAAATGACGAGGGTCATAGACGCTGCAAGCCGACATGTGCAGGGTATAGACATGGAGCTTTCCAGGGTGTCCACCATAGGCAGTGCATTGGCCGATCTTACAGCAAGTCGATGGCTTGAGCCCACGGGCATGGCTGCGGGCGTGCAGGCGAACGGTTCCGTCAGTCACACTGAGCAACAGGGCGTCCGCGCACCAAAATTGGGACATGGCCGGGATGCGAGTGGACAGCCAAAGGGCACCGCTAGGCCAGGCTGCGGACCGTTCCCGCCTCAAACTTCACGCTGGCTGCTAAGAGGAGCGTGGCTTGGGAGAGCCATGAGGGACCCGAAATAGAGACTCGCGTCGAGCATGACCGTGCTCAGCCCTCCTGCAACGGCGCCCATGCTGCTGCTTACAACACGGTGCAGCATCGCACCATGTTGTCATCACAACGACATACGATGTGCCTTGCAGAGAAGCTTGTCGAAGGATGCTGAGCCATCGCGTCGTTGCAGGCGTCGGGTTTGCGATGCTCGCCCCTGCAGAGTAGGATATGTCCGACAGTTTCGCGGTGCCCTGCGCGCTCATTGGTGGACATGGCATTGTTAGGTGCACTGAGCGGCAGATGTGTAGTCTCGCCTGTCAAAGCCCACCAGCCCTACCAGGGATCCATGCGCCAGACACCTTACAGCACGCAGGACAACTGCAATGTATCTCGTCGCCGAATAACAAGTCGGCGATGGTGTAGACGGCGAGAGCTGTAACACACGCTTCGTGGCCGACCGCCTCGCACCCATCGGCTTGCTGTGTTCATTCGTCAAGGTGCAAATGTCCAAGGCGTAAGCACGGTAAGCAGTCCCTCCGCGAGGACATGAAGCGGCTTCAGATGGTCCCGCAGTCCCTGACCCTCACCCAATCTCCACACGGCAGCCCGCTATGGGCGTAGGGCTACTCGTGAGGCGGGGGGCCTGATGGTTTAGTGCCTCCGCTCGCGCAAAGCTTGGGAACACGTCGACCAAGCTTCCTCAGCCTTCAAGGCACAAGGCAAATGAAAAGGCGCCGGACGACGGCATCCACTTTTGCATTGATTTGCACTGGCTCGCACAGGCATGGGGATTTGATGAGCATCGACGCGCTTTGCTCGGCACACAGGACGACTGCATCACGCACGTCACAGCCTTCACCGGTTTTCAGGGCTCAAGCTCCTGCATTTGCACATCTGAGGATTGCAGCTTAGAACCCCATACAGACAGCCCCAGCCGGCGGAGCCGCCTTCATATTGACGATGGCGGTCGCCTTGCACATGGGACGGCCAGCTTCTTGCGCGTTTGGGCGCTGGCGAGCCTGATTGTCGGGCCAGGACCGCTGTCTGTTTCATGAGGGCTCAGCTCCTCCGCAACCGAGACGATGGTTAAAGGCAGGGATCCTAGTAAGCATTCTGCAGTCGGACCAGGGCAGACGAATGGTGACCCATGGAGTAGGGTAAGGTGACCAGAGCTGTTAGTCCGTAGCCGGCGCGTATTTCAGGCGCAATCGATGCTCGCGCGGCCCATGAACTAGGCAATGCTCAATCGGCGGCTCTCGCGACTCCATGAACGACAACCTTGTGCGTTAGCTAGAGCTGGCCCATGGCATTTGCTGTTTTGGTTCAAGCGCTGGGTGGGCGGGTCGGCTTTGGCACGCACGATCTTTGCGCGAGGCTGCCAGCCGGCAGAGATCGCCTAATAGCACCACTTCAGCTTAGTATGGTGGGAAATGAACCGCAACGTCCCGCATGCTATACCTCTGTCCCTTGAACGTGTAAAGCGACATGAAACTGAAGCGGTGAGAGCTTTACCGAATGTGTGAGGATAATGACATTGTCTGCTCAATGGGGGCGTAAGACGCAATATAGCCGGTAATCTTGATGGATAGGGAGCTCAATCCAGCGGCCTGTTCCTCGCTTCGGCACGTGTCTGCGTTGGATGCCGTCGAGCTCTTGCAGCTTGGGTCGCGTCGGCTGATGAGCGCGTCTAGGGTGTAGAGAAGATCAAGCGAGATGACTTGACTTGACTTGACCTGCAGCTTGCAGATGGAGCCCCTCTCCGCGGCGCTGGTGTTTGTTGACAGGCGACGGCCTACAAGCTTTCAAGGTTGATAGTTCAATAGCCGTAAGGCTAGACACTCGATTTCGTCCGACAAAGACCTGTGCGCTAAGACATGACCAATCCAGGGCTCTGTAACGTACGACAGAGCCAGTGATCACCGTTGGCCCGCCCGGAAAGGTTCAAAGCGCGATGGGGTTAGTGCTGGATGTTGAGAAATGAGAGGCACGTGCTGGCCAGCCGACTTAGCTTCGTCACAACCATGCGTTTGTTGTCCAAGCAGCAAGGTCAAGGGAGGGCTGCATCGCGTGGAGCATCTCGGGTGGGTCACAATGAGACATTCAAGGATGGAGGTCGAGAGCTCTTTGCCGCGACCCGCTGATGGCGCGATTCAGGCGATTGCTCGGGCTGGACTGGCTCTCCCTTTCCTGAGGTCGTGGAAACACCGAAGTCAGCCCGCCGGTACTTACCATGGGGACAGATCTACGACGAATGGGTTTCCGTTTTGGAAATTATGGAGATGCCGCATTGCCAGTCCTCAGATCATCGGCATGTTATCGCAAATGCTGCCCAGGTGGTGTCGCGCTCGCCGGAATGACGTACCCGGACAACAGCCTCTTTAGGTAGACTCGACGTCGGCGTCCCCGCAAACAGGTCGCCGGGAAGAAGAGGCAGGAATCACACGGCAGGATAATTCCAGTAGGATCACCTTACGCTGCAGATAATGTCCGTCACAACGGGCATGGCTTGATCGAAGGATGCAATCACAGCAGGGCACGTGCGGGCCCCACTCCCTGTCGCGAAAGCTATCTGATTCGGTTGGGTAGCTGATCCTTCGTCGACTACACCCACTCTCTGTCGCTTACATGGCATGCATCGGTCAATATTGCGATATGCAACGAGTGCGTCTGGGCAGCATCCTCTGTCTCTTTCATCTGTACATACGCTACCTCATCGTGCGCCAAACCATCACAGTCTGACCGCCACGGCATGGCTGTACCTCTATCTTCCATCTTGCGCGGGGCAGCTGCACTAGATGCAGGCCCAGACGAGACTAGCGGGGCTCCTTCCCGTGCCTAAAAGTAGCTCCACCCACATGACTAGCCTCCCGGCTAATCCTCCATGAGGCTGAACCGACAAAGTCTGCCTCGCCAAAACTGTCATCACCAGCAGCACATCATCGCGACTTCTTCATCACTCGTCGCAATGACGGCATCGTCTTCGCTAGCAATCAACTTTTGAATCCCGATCGCGTTATGCATCGGCCAGAGGAAGGTTTGCAGGCAGCCATGTGCTATCGCAGCCTGGCTTGCTCCCACATGTGCCTGGCTCCGCCATGCCCAGAATACTGAGCGTCCACATGCCCTCCGAGTTTGCTGCCTTCTTTTCGACGTGCCTCTCGTGTTGCGACACCGGCACCTACGGATTTGTACATCGCACATCCTCGCTTTCTGATCCTCTCCCCATTGGACGGATGAGGTAAGCCTTCAGCAAGTCCCCCACCCCCACCCAACCTGTAAGCGCCGCCCAGCAAGCCACCACTCACTCACTGTCCCCATCTCTTCATCGGATCTCTTGCTCGGGAGAAAGAGCCTCAGGCTGACCACATGACTCAGCCCTATGAGAAGCTTCTAAATAGAGGGATTGGCTGTGGCGATGCTTTGCGTGCTTGTCAATTTACACATTTCATTTCTCGTAGGCTCAGCTCACTAGTTCCTTTTTGGATTCGCGAGCTGCTTGAAGCACTCCCTACTGCTACCACTTGCTACATTGCCGCCTTACTACTGCAGCTTACCTTTTTTTCGATAAATAAACAGCTACTTGCAAGCGAGTTGTGATAAATCGCTTGCTGCGACAGCCACTCTGGCTAGTTGTTAGTACTGGAACCAACACTACTACATTCTTGATAACCAATCCTAGGGTTGAGAGCCGGCGCTTAGAAGTACCTCCGGCCGAAGTGCCGGCCAACAAGACATACTGAAACTCTCAAATGCACTAACAGCGGTTGCAGATATGGTCGTTGAAATGCGCAGGTCAACGTAATCCCAACACGGCCTTGTAAGAGCGGATACGGCGGGGCAAGACATGATACTTTGGACTGATCATTCGGTTCATCGGCTACATATACGGCCATACAGAGAACCAGGCCTTCCAGACGTTACATCCCGCGAGATGAAGTCGCTTATGTCTCTGGAAGGCGTTGCGAACCCGTGTTACAGAGTGAGACAACATACCTCACTGCGTAATTGCTATCAAAGGCTGCAGTAACGGCCATCACATGGTGTGACTATTGAACGACAAGCGCGCTAATGCATCGCAAGCAATACACTTATGCAGCAACGCGGCGATGCAAAGGTGTTTCATAACCAACACCGTACTACCATCTAGTATGACCGTCGGTTAGAGGAAAGGCTGCGAGACCCATCACCTAAACCCCCGCATCCTACGGCTCGAGACTCTGCGGCGCAACCATATAGGCGCGGTGAAGTGCGTCAAGACTTCTGATCTGACAGGTTGTAACTGCGGCGTAGCTATCTGGCCTCAACCCTCAGGTCCTATCCCGTCATCGCAAGTCAGGCACAGGCACACGGGCGTAACTGTGCCTCTACGGGAACGTCCGCCACAGTGAGACGCTGCGTTCCGAACCTTCTCACGCCGTGCCTCATGCGAACTGGCCGCCGCTGCCGCTCTTTGCGTCTTGTTGGGCGTGTGCCGCAGTGGGACCGACGGTTCCTTTCACACATCTCTGCGGCGTTGCGGCACAGTAGAGCTCGCCCTCCCGCCCAGCGTTACGTGGATGTGAGAGACGGCGAATGTGGTCACCTGGACTCTTCAGTAAGCTCTTTCATGACACATTTCACTGGGCGAAGTGAGAACGGACGGCCCTACTCCGGTATCGAGTAGATAGACTTTTCTTCTTGCCACGTTGCTTTGGACTTGACGTAAGAGTTGTGGGCTCTCAGGGTTTGGTGGGCGAGTTGGAAGGATCTCTGATTCACGCGCCGAACTCTTGTTTTCTTCGGATCGACACAACTGACGTAGTGGATGCGTATCCCGTTCTTCGAATCACGGCGATCTTATTGAGATGATACAGGTGTGTGAGACTGTCGTGCCGGCTCTAGGAAGTGGGCTCGAGCCAAAGAATCCATTATTGAGAATGGGTACATGGACTTCTCGAGCTTTGAGCATCTGCCGCAGTGCAGATCCGTTGTATTGTACCTTGGCCATGAACAGGCCTCAAGATACGTTTTCTAGTCACTTTGATGAACATATTCACATCTCTAGGTAAAGTAACGCCGGGATGTGTCGTGTCGTTGAACCTTCACACACAAACAGTGCTGCGCTACATAAAGTCTGCATGATGAGTCTATCCTCTCTACCTCGCATGTCACATCTTTTGCATCATACAAAACTCTAGTTCTGCTTTGCTAAGGACTAGCGATACTCGGTCGTACTGAACTGAACACTCTGCACAGTATTGTTGGCAGAAACTATGGCCTTTACGCGCTCAATCTTCGCGATGGTAAATATCCAAAGAGACCCTGATAACGAAGTTACCAACTAACAGCCCTGCAGCTCTTCTTTACGCTATGCCTCGCAATACAGGCCAGTCCCGTCTCCGCTACCCTTTCTGCTCGATACAAATCCCCCTTCTCAGCCTTTCTCCTCCCCCGTGAAGGCGACAACAACGACAACGATTTCACAGATTCACAAAAAGCGGGCTTGTATGCGGTCATCTTTCTCAGCGTGACGATACTGTGGCTGTGGTTCGTCATGGGGATCACAGTTGCGATCTTGCGGAAAACGAACGATAAGACGTTTTGGGTGAACTTCAAGGATGGACTGCTGTTCAAGAAGGATGTGGGTTATTTGTCAGGGGGTGTCGCGGATGAGTAGCTGCTTGGTGGGAGGGCGAGGAACAAGATTGCATGTATTGTGAGATAACGAGAAGTGATCTTATCTTCTTCTGCGATGATTGTGATACCTCTCATTCGAAAACATCCTTCATGAATGGATGTCACAGAGTACCCACATCGTGAGTGGCTTGCTGTTAGCGTCACGCCATCACAGCACCAGTGAATACAGTGCATAATCTTCTCCTCTAAACCCTACGACTAATCCACCTCATCATCGATGACAGGTCTACTACGCCGCAGTGAGCAAATCTCCTGACGGCAAATAGGACACTTGTTTGCGTATGCGTCAATGCCGTTGATCAAGGTCGCTAAGCAGGCATAGTGATACATATGTCTACCAGTGCAACGCGCGCGTATAGTCATTTGCGGATCTAGCCCTTGAAGTAAAAAGTGTGTATCGCCGCAGATTGCGCAACTAGTGTTTGGCTCGATATCATCTGCTGTATTTACCGGCGTAGAGCAGATCAACGGACTCCGTCGCGGACTATCCGGCTCCCTACTCACATCCTCCATCAAGCTAGGCGCATCCTCCACGAGCGTTGGAATAATCAGCTCGTCATAGTAGAAATGGTACCCATCCTTGTCTGTCCATCCGTGAGGAACAAAATTAGCAAGCGGCATCGGGCTGGCAGCGAAGAAACTTTGCAATCGAAACGGACTGCGCATGACCTTGGTCACTGCAACATCGATCTCGACGTAACGGAACTGGCTATGAACCTCAAGACTGAAGGCATTTTTCACGCAATGCGCCATCTAGTGATGTAGACGCCAGGCCAACTCCTGACGTACGGGAGTTATTCTCGCGATATAATATGCTTGGTGCAACAGTGAACGTGCCAACGCTGTTACATCGAGGTGCGCCAAATTTACACCTCAGAGCCAGAGCAACCTTGCTGAAAAGCTCTGAAACGATAGAACGAGCGTAAATGATTGCTGTCGTGCAAAAGTGGCGGACCTTATCCTCCGTAAGCGTGAAGCCACAAAAGCGGAGGAAAGCGGCCGCATGTACAGAGATTTCCGAGAGCACAGCCATCGTGTTTGTAATCTTTTCCGGGTTTATAGTGTGGATTTGTTTGCGCAGAGTTTCGATCAAATATGTCTCTGGATCTCGGTGTATGGCTATTCTTTCTTCGTATTCGATGATCCGCTCTCCGCATCGTGGCTGCAGTCTTGTGATATAGTCTAATAGTTCTTCGAAGCCTCCATATTGCTCTAGAGTGTTCAGCGTAAAACCTGACTGCTCGCCAATGTAATATACGTAGTCTTTACCGATTCTCGCTAGTGTTGGAGTGCCGCCTTCCGGTATGTTGCAGATGAGTTCGACGGCGACGTCATGGTGGGAGGGTAGCTCTTCAAGAGTGTTGGTATCAGGGTGCTGCGTATGGAGCCACCTGCGGAGGTTGCGCCATCCTTCAGGTATGCCAGTGTTGTTGAGGGGTGCTACAAAGGGATCAGTGCGATACTGTGAGGCGTAGTCAACGAACATTTGGTAGACTTGCAGGACTTTGTTACCTTCTTCTGGGGTCCTTGTATGGGATTGTAGGATGTGGAACAGTATAGTTAAAGAGGATAGAGGTGTGCTCGTCGCCATGGTCGTGGATTCGTCTTTGGTGTAGCCTACGTTGGAGTGAATGGCTTGGTTTGAACAGGTATAAAACATATGTAGTCATTGAAATGATGTTGCAGATTGAGATGTTAACATATATGGAATGACACATAAGTACGCTCACAGTGCTATGGGGTTTCACTTTGCATTGTAGTAGCACTGAGCCACAAAGTTGATGAAAATACGTACGTTTTTGAACCGACAGGAGACTAATCTACTTCGCAGTATACGCTGTCGCATCGGTTGACACAAAGCGCAAGAAGCCGCTCATGTCTTCTGCAACCTCAATGACATAGACGACTCGATACTTTGACAAATGAGCGGAATCGCAAGTATTTCATGCACGTTGTCGCATCGAATCGTCCCTTCTTCAGTCTGTCATCACCACATCTCCGTATCTGTCTTGAAGGAAGCGCTCCACCACTACCTGCTCTTGTGCATCCCACGCCTGCAGACTATCAATCTCATCCCCGTCTTTGAGCCGCCTCGGCCGTCGATCTCACACTGGCCGCCGGCAATTAGGACAAAAGTTCGAGAACTTGGCAAGACAGTTGATCAGGGTACCGAGGCAGCCGTAATGAAATGCGTGCCCGCAGTCAATCTTGACAGGAATTTCGACGTGGGCTCGCTCGTGGACGTTGAGGGTGTCGCGGCAAATGGAGCAGTCTCCTTCCGGGATATCAGAGGCATCGGCTACGGCAAGTGCGTAGTCTTCCACCTGGAGCGAAGGGCTTACGGGGTTAAAGCAGACATCTGGAAGGTCATCTAGACCAAATTTGCTGTCGCTGTCGCTGTCGCTGTCGATTTCGTACCCGTAACGTCCCATGTCAGTGACCCATACCCATGTATCGTCTTTCCCCGCCATGGGGTCGAGCAAGCGATCGAACCCGAGCGAAGATAGTGCCAGCTGCACACGATGGGTGAATTCTGGGTCGTGCGCACTGGCGGCCTGTGCGCTATCCACGAGCATTTTGAACATGTCCCAAGAAAGTCCAGTGTACAGTGGTCGGCCCAACAGGGATGCAAAAGCCCCTATCAACAGCCTCAATGTACCGCGGACATTACAAGCTGCAAGTTGACGCTGTGTCGCTAAACTTCTCGGTGAAAACGGATAGCTTACTTTGGAGTGATGCTCATGTAAGAAACATCGCTTGATGATAGACTGTGCTAAACAATCGCGTCCTGGACTGACATGGCAAAGGTAGCAAGCATTATCTCGATCGCATCGTGGTCATGGCGGACTGCGGTTAAAGCTCTCATCAAGTCGGGAATCTTGTCGGCGCCCAAGGACTGACGTGCGTTGAGCTGGCGTTGAAAGCTGTCGTGAATATCCTCGTAGCGCGGCTGGGAGTTGAGTATGTTCATGATACGTTCTTCGAGCTGGACGGACATGTTGATGAGGGTATCGCACAGTAGGACGACAATGTGATCGACCCTTAGACTTTGGGACTCGGTATCTGATTCCCAGAACCGCTTGTCGTATCTGACTGGGTCCTGATGAACAATGGAATTGAATGTGGCGGAGAACTCGACCCAGAGTGCTGGAAGATTTAGCAGTTCTATCTGAGATGACCATTCTAGCCAGTTGTCGGATGCGTTCTGGCTGATGATCAAGCGCAAAGCTGTCGGGTCGACGGACTGCGCGGCAAGGTGGTATTCCACAAACTTCCAGGTAATAAACAGCAGGCGCCTGGAATATTTGTTTGTGCTTCCATTTGCCCGAGTAGAAGCGGTACATAATTGCCAAAATACACCATCAGTTCGAGAACCGGGAAAGTCGCTGTTGTTTCCGTTGTCGCGCGCAAGGTTTCCTGTCGAGTGATGTAGTCGTGTTCCTGCGTTTTGAGGTGGGCGAGCAAAAGAAGTATCCTCGGAGCGCGGTCGGAGCGCGGGAAATATCGTTGCGGGGGAGCAAACGGTAGTCCAACTTCGCATGGCGCGTTCCATCTTAGGGAGCGCAGATGACTATTGTGTACCGTTTCACTTTCACTCGCTGCGCCCTGGTGATAGCCCAGAGGAATACAGAGGTCCGACATGTGTCACAAGCTATACGCTGGAGTGGATGAATGTCAACGCCTAGAGCTTCTGACTTTTTGCATCATGTCGCCGGAGCCATGGTTTGGTCATCGCCCACTGCCGCTAATACAATTCATAAGGTAGGTTTTCAATAACGAGCCGGCCGTGAGTCTCAAGAGATCCTACCTTGTGGTACGAAGGGAGTGTGTCGAAAGAGTATTATTGCGGGTTCCAGATCTGGTATGGTATCGACAGTTGCGCTTGGGCTGAGTGGCCACGACTGCGGACCGGGTGACTCTTCGTGATTTTGAGACTAATACATAGTCTTCGTTACCTCCCGAAGCTCTGCGCTGGTCCCGTACCTTCGTCCAAACTCATCGATGGTGTTGTTTGAAGGTGATGAGATCCGAAGGGTTGGCGAAGTCAGGAAGATAACATCGCCCACGCAGCGACAGACGAAAGCGCAGATACATTTCGAACGGAACAGTGTGAATATTTCGTGCCGGCTCCCGCTAAAAAGCAAAAGTTCCCGCGAGCTGCGGTCGTCGCTGAACTTGGGAAGTTCAAGGGACTCTGAAACTCCCCATAAAAAGCTCCTGTATTAGATTGCCAGGGGCACGCAAGCTTGGTAGATCCCCACGTGTACAGCGCGATAAGGTGACGCGCTCAATGACTACCAAAATCCCTCTGCACAAGCGGTCTGTGATGCGTGCATCAGAGTCAGCTCCCTTAGCTCAACCTGCCGCCCAGGCTCTTGCCCTTGTCATGACCAATGTGAGAGTCGTGATCTGTACCTGGGAAGGTGAAAAGATTGCGATTGGTGCCATCAGGCATATATAGAGCTCAACATTTCTTTTGCGCAGTGGCTTCCTCCCATATCACTACGCCATCACGAGCGAAAGCGCCACATTGTCTCGTTTCCGATTTAAGGTTGACGCTAGCGTCGATGATCGTCGTTGGCTACGGGGCTCCGCGGTAGCGCAGTGACGTCGCCGGTGAAGACCTTTCCCCTTCTGCCACCAGGCAAGCGAAACGGCAGACCACCTAACGCCATCGAGCAAGAACGCGGGATTTGAACTTTCGCATCATTTCCTGGCCAGAATCCGATCGCATCGCGAGACGCAGAGCCGCCGATCTCAATCAGCCGGATCGCCGCTGCGAATCTACCCGAACCGTATCTCCATGTATCGAGCACTAGCAAACTGCGGATTTCCGATCCGATCCTGGTTGGCATCAAGGCACATCATGGCACATTGGCGACTGTGCCAAGGTGATATTACCTGCAGCATGCTGACGTCGGTCATATCGCCAGCACATTGTAGAGTATGCAACTTCACAGCGAACGCCCTGTACAGATAGCATTGCGCTAGTTGGCAGCCTGCCCTGATCCCGCTGGGGCCGGAGAGACATCTCACGAGCCCCTGTGTTCTATCAGCGTTCGGCGAGGGTGAGTACAAATTCTCCGCCGAATAAGAGAGCCGGCGCTATTCTACCTACCGGTTCTGCAAGCTACTGCATAGTGCACCAAGATATGATGTATCTATTACCGTCACCTAACCCCTGCCTCATGTACGGGAGATGTGCAGGCAACAGGACTCTGCTTTGAGAGGTTTATCAAACTCGTTCTCAGATTCATTGCAATGGTTCAGAGATTGCGACTGACATATTTCGACAGCTCCACCCATCCACATCTCCTCGATGACAGGAGACTGCGCTCACCACTGTGGCTTGGTCCAACCGACTGAGCATTAGATGCTGGGAGCAAACGATAACGCCTCCTTTATCATCGCGATCGCTTTCTTGATTCTGGGGAATTGAACTTCGATCTAAGTGAGTTACTGGCGCACCGTGTGGATACAATGTGGGTCACTCGAGCTGTGCCGAATGCGAAAATGCCATGAAACTGACTCGCTGTTACCTGCTTGGCCAAACAGCACCACGACTCAAGTAAGAAACGGGTAATCCGGAAACATTTGATTGGATTGCTGCGCCCTGTCTCAACCATGTGTGGATCTGTAGCGGCGTGGCGTTTTGACTAACTCTTCCCCAGTTCTAGTTGGCGATCATGATGACAACCGTACGAAAATGGCAGCGCAGTTCACCTCATCGGCGACTGTTGATGAAGATCATACTCAATGTGGACGGCGCCAAAAGATGCTATCCAGGCTGGCTTTACCAGAGCAGTGGAGAGGCTTAGAAGCAGCTGCGCGGAGTAGAAGTGTATAAAAACACTTCACCGTGTGTTCCACATCAGTTCTTCAGTCAGAGCCATCACTTACTCCTTTCCCCCTTCTTTCCTCATACACACAATCTTGTGTTTCTAACATCATGAGGTTCACTCAATCAGTCACTCTGGCGTTGCCAGCCCTCGTTGCCGCCTACCCCGGCATGATGGGCGCGAACTCCCGCTCAGAGATGGAAGAGCACCTCCGCGGGGAGATTCAGCGTGAACAACTTGCGAACCGCGCCGCTGAACCCCAACTGCTCAACCCAGTCGGAAACCTACTGGGCTCGCTTGGCGGCGTTGTTGATGGGCTCCTGTCCTCAGTCGGACAGGCCATCGTCAAGAAGGACAACAAGCGTCCTGAGCCTGGCTACGAGTTCAAGGCACCTGGCCCCAACGACTCTCGTGGTCCTTGCCCAGGGCTGAACTTGCTTGCCAACTATGGGTACCTCCCCCGTGATGGCCACGTCACCTACGGACAGGTCTTGGAGGCTACTGGCCGTGGCTTCAACATGGGTACAGAACTTGCCGTAGTTCTCGCCACATTTGCTGTTTTGGGCAGTGGAGATTTGGATAACCTGTCCTTCTATCTCGGCTCAGGCAAGAACGGGATTGGTGGTCTCAACAGGCACTCTGTTGTCGAGGCTGATGTTTCACCCAACCGCGAAGGTATGTTCTCTGACACTGCAAAGTAGAACCAGAACACTAACATTGAGGCAGACTACTACCTTGGATGCGGTGACAACCATCATCTCTCTTCTCGTCTGGTGAAACAGATGGTCGGATATGCTGCTCAAGATCCCAAGAAGGAGTTCTCCATGGATGTCATGGCCAAGCACTACGCCAAATCTGCTGGCTTTACCAAGGACAATAACCCCTTCCTCTACTACTTCCCCTTCCCCCAGATCGTCTCGGTAGCCGCCTTCTCCTTCTACCCCCAGTTCTTCTCCAACGGTACCTACGGTGCGGGTGGCGTCCCCAACTACAAGAGCATCATGAGCATCATCGGTGCTGAGTACGACGAGAAGACCCAGGAGTTCAAGTACGTTCCCGAGCGCTGGCCCGAAAACTGGTACCGCCGTGACACCCCCTACGGCGCGGTCCAGGCCCTCTCCGACGGCTTCCTCCAGATCTACCCCCGCAACATAATCGTTCCCGCCGCCGCTCAGGTCGGTACCGGCAAGTTGACAGTTCAGACCCTGCTCTGCGACATCTACCAGGGCCTCAACTCCATCACACCTCTCGCTCTTGGCGGTACCGAGGAGAACGTCGCCAAGGGTGTCTCGTGGGCTCTTTCCGTCCTCGACCCCATTCTCAGCAAGACCGCGCTCGGATGCCCCGACAGCGTCGTTTCACCCAACTTCCTCTTCCCCAACGCTCAGCAGGAAGGTGGCCCTGTCAACCCCCCGAAGGTCCCGTCCGATGCTTGGACTGGCGACAACGTCTACAACAAGGTGTACTTCGGTGGAAATTCTGCTCCCACCAACCCTACATGCAGCCACTCTAGCTAGGCAGCCTCTGGTTGGAACGAGAAAACCTTGTAACAATTAGCGATATCCAACTTTTTCGATGCCTGTCACTCATGGAGCAACCTAGACAATAATGAAAATGACCTTTATTCCATTTTTTCTTGACCTGTTGCGTGTGAAACACCATCGATTCCATTATTCCATCACTGTAGCAATCTGTTAAACATGTCACCTTATTTCTAGCAACCAGCACAGAGGTTCTTCACCAAAAGTCACTGAAGTAGTGCGATGGCCAGCAAGAAGACCGTGTCACTTCCACTGTCGAATCGTTTTACATTCCATTCACAGCTAGAATTTCAGTGTTTGGTACTGCAAGTGTGTATAAAGGCCTCGTGTACTGGCTCAGATTACCACCACCACTAGAAACACACGAAGTCACATTGTATATCTGCGTAGATACCAACCTTCTATTCGCTCTGCTACAAGGCATGAACAGCATGTCAAACCCAGAGCAAGACCTACCTGCCTCCTTGAAGTACCTGCAAACTGCCCTTACCGCGGCGGAGGACACACATGAAGCTCGTAGTAACATTTTCGCTACCTACGGCAATGTTCTGTTCATGGGCTTGCGCATCGAAGACCACACCCAATCAATATTACGCATGCTGCAGTCAGGCTACGACGGGCAATTATCTGAGTTTGTCGCTAAGCTGGTAGAGGAACAACCGCGTTATTTTGACCGGCCAAGCAACATTGATAGCTTCATACAACAGCAATTGCATGGAGACAATTTCCCAACCTTGGCCAATGTGTTGCTGATTTCTGCACCAGCTACTGGACACAACATAACGAGAAGTTCTGTCCTCAATCTCTTGGTCCACCAGATCGCATATATTTGCGACCTTTTTCAGAAGACAGATTACGCACCTGGTGCAGAAGTTGTGGAGGCTCTTGCAGAGTACTGTATTGGCCAGCTGTTGCGGATGTTTGCTCATCCAGAAAGTCGTGTACCACTAGAAGATCGTGTACATTGCGCTCGAATAAACTATCATACTATTTAGGAATTCATCGTTCTGCGAGCGAAGGAATTTTTTTAAAGCAAAGAAAAAGAGCTTCTTAACTGGCAGATGTACAAGTGACTTGGGCCCTGTGTGGAAAGGGTTATCCTAGATCTTCCTCGCAATACGATACTTTTCGATAATCCCGGTCTTGGCGAGGTCGTAGGCGCGGACATCGTCGAACTGAAAAACTACGTCCCTTATCTGACCGCGAGTCTGACTATCCCTGAATGTATCATACAGGAATGGCAAGAATATGATCCTGCTAGGCTTGAGAGCGTGGAGTTTGAAGCGGCTGGACCTCGTATTCTGGCCAGGAGCGTGTCTAGATCTGTCCAGCTTGGGACTGAAGCCACCTGTTCAGTCTGTTTGGAGCTCTTTGACGTCCGCGGCGTAAGTACAGTGGCTTGGAAAGTTGGATGCGGTCATACGTTCCATGCACAGTGCTTGGAGAGTATGATAAACGGAATCCAGACGAACAGCAACTGTTGTCCGCTGTGCAGAGCGGAGATCTGTGTGGCGAGGAAGCGACGTCGTATTGAGTAGAAAAAACTAAATATCTTGTAGCCTACGTTGACCTTGGGCCACCTAATTTGCATGTTATCATCCTGATGTAGGCTCCAGGGTGTTCGGTTTTTCCCTTGTATGAGGTGTTGGTAAGAGGCGGCAGGAAGCCGCGCGCTGGGTTGCACGCCTTGCTAGCAGGTGCGACTGTACCGAATCGGGACTAGTGTCGAGATTGCGCACATCCAAGCCCGGGTGTGACGCATCATAAAAGCAGTGGCTATCACAATGTGATCGCTTTTCGTACGCGATCACCCTTGAGCAATGCCATTACTTTATGTGTATTACAATCCAATCACTTTTCCTTCATCCAAAGCTCGCATACCCCTCGGTCAAAGTCGCACTACCATTCGGTCCCTCCGGCTCCATACCAGCCACAATCCCCTTCATCCGCACGAGCAACTCTGCAACCCTGAAAGGCTTTCCAACAACATCGTCCATTCCTGCAGCCATAGCTTGCTCGATCTGTTGTTGGCGCACATTCGCCGTGACCCCGATGATCGGCACGCGCTCTTTTAGCAAGCCTTGTTGCTCAAGTTTCCGTATCTCGGCAACGGCCGTAAGTCCGTTCATGATGGGCATCTCCCAGTCCATGAGGATGAGGCTAAGCTCGATGGGCAGTTCGCCATTGGGAGGACCATTCTGCGCAACCGAGTCATGAATAGGCTGATCGTCGTTCCATAGACTCGTCTTTGGTAGGAAATCAAGGGCTTCTTGACCATGGTTGGCGACGCTCACGACACATCCCAGATTACGCAGCTGTTTGGCAAGAACGCGCTGGTTGATGAGGTTGTCTTCCACTATAAGAACATGCAGCGTGTCGGGTATACTTTTGGTGCGCTTCAGTTCTTGCAGATCGGGGCCTTCTGGTAGCCCCAGAGCTTCAGGGCGAACATGAGAATGTTCAGTTTGGGAGGACCTTGACTGCACTGACTGGCGGCGTGCTCTTGGACTGGCAGAATCCGACCTTTGACCAGGCTCGCCTGTGGACTTGCGTACGGGAGGAGACGGACGCGTCAGGCTTACGAGCGGTATCGGACGTCTGTGCTTGACCTCTTCGGGGAAGACATGCGGAAGACTGCCTTTTCGGGCTACGACAGGCCTTGCCCTCCGTGATTTGATGTAAAAGGCAAACGTGCTGCCTCTTCCGGACTCACTCGCGACGCCGATTGATCCGCCTTGTAACTCGGTGAGACGTCTAGATATGAATAATCCAAGGCCAGATCCACCGTAATGTATGTGTGTCCGAGGTGAGGCTTGTGAGAAGCGGGTGAAGAGGTTACATTTTTCTTCGTCGGAAAGCCCACGACCCGTATCAGTAACAGCGAACTGCAGGTAGAATAATTCCTGGGCATTCTTCCAGTCGTCTTCCAGGTGGCGATCTTGTCCTACTAGCCTCTCTTCGTTGTACTGGATTCCTGTTGGCGTTGATATGGGTTCAGCGCGACTAGCGGCGAGAGTCACTGTTACACGCTTGATGGACTCCAAGCGTGTGAACTTGATAGCATTTGTGAGAAGGTTAATGAGAATCTGCAGTACCCTCGTTGGATCTAGAGATGCCCAGTCAATCTCCATGTCGCGATACGATTGATCCACGGTCAACACGAGCTTTATACCTGCTGCTCTTGCTTCAGCATCGAACATTTTCACTGCATGCATAACCACCTATCTCGATATAGAAAGTCAGTTTTATTTCACATGAGTATCATTGGATTGAAGGTCTTACGCTCTCGGGTTGCGCAATCACTGGTGTCATATCCAAGAGACCCGAGTCGAGCTTGGAGATAGTGAGTATATCGTCGACTATATGTTTCATGTGAGATGCGCAAACTGCTATTGTCTGGGCAGCGTCCAGGGTCGACTCGATGAAAGCCGTCCACTCGTTTGGTGTGGTGTTTTGACGCTCTTGGTAATCTTCCTGGGGATAGGAGGACGTGATGGAATCCGCACATTGCATTATGGCGCTGAGAGGGTTTCGCATCTCATGGCTTGTTGTGTCCAAAAAGTGTTCCAGGTGTTGTTTGCCTTGCAGGGCGCTGTCCATGCGTATCTTCTGAATACCTTCGGCCCACTTTTGCTCTATGATTGGGCGCTAGAAGTCAGTGCGTGTATCACAGATCATCATGCATAGAGTTACTTACTAGATATATCTGTAACATTCCCGACAACCTCGACAACCTCGCCGCTCGGACCCAACTCGGGGTAAGCTGAACACAGAATCCATTTAAAGTGCTGGGTGTCCTCAGTTTGCGGCTCATCCGACTCTGATGGCGGCGTCCAGGGCATCCGCGTACGCAGTTCAAAGACGACAGATTCATGATTCATGATTAGTTTGGCGAACAAGGATTGGCAATAAGGTATGTCCTCCTCGAAAGCAATCTTATACCATGCCTCCGTGGCGTTGTCATAAGAGGATGCAATCTCGAACATATCATGCCATCGTTGATTACGGTAAGTGTAGGTTCCTATCGGATCGATGATAAAGATGCCTACGTCGGATCGTTCCGCGAAGCGCTGAAACTTGCTTTCTTTGAGTTGTAATTCAGCCATCAGATGTTCTTGGATCTGAGCAGCCTGGATGATGGCGTTTTCTCTTTGTTGGACCTCGTCTTCGAAAAGAACGATGGAAGCAAGAGACGTGGCCAGTAATCGCACCATGACATGCAGGTATTGCTGGTACTCTTCATCAAAGGGCCGGCGCGGATTTATGCCGATTATGAGGAAGCCTTCTACCTGGTTTCCAGTGGTGGGGATTATTGGACAGATGACTAGGGTTCGACAAGGGTCACCATATCCTTTCCAGTCGATGCCTTGCAAGGCCCTTGTTGGATCGGGAAGGTCCTCGACGTGAACAACGGTGGCTTTGCCAGACTTGGCGGCTCGACTGAGGAACGCATGGAGAATATAAGTGTCTTCGTTGATGTTGACAGTCGCAGGGGCGATGGGATGATCAGCCGAAACGCCGATTGTACCCTTGAGAACGCAGCCTTCCAACGGAGGAATGCTACCGGGGGATGACACTGAAGGTATTTGAGCGCTAACATGCCGCTCGGCAGCGTATAGCAAAGCAAATGGCACATCCTGATCATTCAAGCTGAGTGAGCGCAATGTAGTCTCCCAAAACGACGGAAAGTCTCTGGCGTTCGCGCTCTGGGTTCCCATTGCGACCAGGCTAGAGACGCGGCGCTCGAGGATACGATGGTTGGAAACTTCGTAGAAGGACTGATAGTAGGCTGCCACTTGGCCGTCGCTGTTCAATATTGGGACGAATTGAAAGGACCAGTGTGTCTCTTCAAGGATCCTGTCTCTCTCAATGAAGAGAAGCATATCAGGTTCGGCTATTGACTCGCCTGTTGCTTTGATGTAGTCTACCAGAGGCTGAAAAGAAACCCAATGATCAGGTGCTTTGACGCGGACACTTTCGCCCATACAGGGATGGAGGCTGCCAAGGAGTTGGACGTATTGCTCGTTGTACAGCATGATGACATCGTCGCCCCAGAACATGACGGCTGGCACATTGTTACTGAGTACTGTGTTCGCTACGCAACGTAGGTCACTAGGCCACGAACTCATTGGCCCTAAGGGTGTCTTTGCCCAATCTATACTGCGGAAGTACTCGATGTGCGGGCTGGTCGAAGTGAGTAAATCAGAGGTACAGTCGAAGGAGGTGTGCGGAACGGCGCTTCTGTCTGCGGAAGGACTGGTGGCGCGCTCGGACGTTTGTGGTATCTGGGCAAGCGACAGCTGGGGCTTGATGGGCAGCGCGTCTGCGTGATGCTTGCTCCGAGGGGTTTTCCGCTCGCGTCGGAGGGTGCGGTGGCTCTTTCCTCCTGGGGCGGCGTCGATCCACAGCAGTTGCGTGGGCACTCCGCTGACAATCTTATAGCGCCCCACAGCTGTCGCATTCCATATGTGCCCTTCGAATGTGTATGCATTGCCGTGTTGTTGCAGGTCCTCCTCCGTCCCATGCCCACGAATCCATTCCCGGAAGGCAAGTTGCGGTGCCGAGCTCTCTGCGAACAAGCTTGTCGAGTCGTCGCCTGTTATCTTGGCCAGTAACCCGCCAACGAGATGTAGCGCCGTGTTCGCGTATATGAGGTCGAGGGCGTGGGCTTCGTTGTGGCCTAGGGACGAGCGTACTTCGACGGCGAAGGAAGGGCGGTCGTCGCGGTCGAGGGCTTCGACAAGCGTGAAGTCTGCTAGCTCTCGCTCTGCTGGCTTCAGCTTGGGCCGTGATGTATCGAATGGTGGTGGTGAGCCATATCCGGTCGTCCCGTAGTAGTTGTGATGCGCAAGTAGTTGCCCGTTCGAGGCCATTTCATCCGGCGCAAAGCAGAGTAGTCAAAGGTCGACAAACACACGACCACCGCATTGAACAGACGCTGGAGTAGTGCTTACGAAAAAGAAGATTACTTTTGCCTTCCGTTGCTATCTGGTGAGCTAGTGCAGCTATTGGTCTGGACGCTGCATCTCTAGCTACGATGACTGAAGCGTCTCGGTCCGCTAGCTGGCGGCTGCACGCCCTCGCCGAGATCTTCAACATGGCGTCATCGAAGATTTAGAGTTGTTGACGGGCATCTTTATGTTGAGCAATCGTTTGGCATGAGCTCGGCGAGAGTTTGGCGGTCGTGTCACTATTGGTTCACGTCGCTCTGATTTCGGCGTTGCTGCCCTGCGGCGATCACACACGCTGCCGTGTAATTGGGCTAATCTGTAAACAGACTAGAGAGTCTAGTCACATGACGTGCAAGCCGACCCCGCTGTGCCGCCCAACATCTCGGCTGTCTGGACCTTCTGCTCTTTTACTTGTCGAAGCCGCATCGTCACCCCTATCATGAAAACATCACCACTTCATCCCGCGACATTATATGATACACAAATTACTTGTCAGCATCGACGCTTACATCGAACGTCAAACGCAACGACTTTACAGTCTTTACCTTTGATCAGCTATGAAACCTCATCTCGAACCTCGTTGTCCAGCACTGCAGTATAGTCGCGGGCCTCACACATACCTGTCCGACACGCCGGACATCTGATCTCAGGAACTTCGGGATACACCCCGTTCACCAATTCATCCAAGCACCCGCGACGCAGTAGACGCGCACAGGCCTTTAGCTGGACGCACACGCTGTTAAAGTCCGTGTAATCTTCAAGGTAAATTGGGCAGCGCTCGGTGGTTATTGGCGAGCTCGCCGCATCGCACAACCCATCGAGATCAATGCGCGGTCCGGTCGGCTCTATTGGGACATCCACAGTAGGTCCATTGTCAAGATAGTGAAGGATGTAAGCTTCGAGCTCTACGGCAATCACATCTTCCATACCTATAGAGCGTGTCCAGACATGGCGATCATCGCTTCTACTCTCCTCTAGTGCGCTCACTATTTGCAGCTTCAGCAGGTTTGCACGTATGGTGCCATTTGGATCTGCTCCCAATTGATCGACCTTGGCCAAGGCATAATGGAGGAAGACAATGTACGCGAATGCATGCAGCTGTTCTAACGGGACATTCTCGTAGAATTCACGTAGAGGGCAATTCCCGAGGAACTCGATGTTCCCCCTGGTATTCGCGGTCGCCAAGGCCTCACGTACATGCTTGGGGATGTCTGAAAAGGGATTTCGCAGTAATAACTTCGAAGACCGGTTCAGTAGCTCATACCCTTCATGCAACACACTCTCGATCTCTTCATTGGAATGTAGATCACTCATCCCAATTTGATGCTCGACGAGGTGAACGTCGACGACGTTGAGTAGGAGCCAGAGAAAGTGCTTGACGATATGCTCGATACTTTCCGCGGCGTACCCATCTTGGATGTGTATATCGTCCTCGAGGATCCATGTCAGACCGGGCCACATATTAGAGTCGTCTTCTTGGAGTGCCTGGCACTGCTCTTCGAACGTGGTGCTACGATAGGTTGGTGATAGCTCGTATTCGGGCCACCAAGTTGTCCATTCGTAGTACTTCCACAGCTCTGGGCCTAACGTTCCATCGGCGTCCGCCTTGGTATGCGTCGCACAGCTCAAAAGAAATCAGAGCCGGTCGTTCCCATCCTTCGTTTTATCCTCATGACCATCTTCCACATTGGTCAATTCACGTACGCATAGATTGAAGAAGTCTTCAAACGGTAACTCAAGTATCTGGCGTTTCGTTTTGGTAGGAGAAGTGCCGTAGTACACATTGTGGACAAAGCTTTGTTTTATGTCGGCGCGGCCTTGAGGGTCAATTTTGCCGGTGTTGGTGAGTCGAGTACGACGTGACTGTTCGGCGGTTATACAGTGACCAGACTGTCATTTCACAGCTTTTACGGCTTTCACCAGGGAAACTGCACCTTTCTTTGGTAAGCAATATTGAATTGGCAAGATGCACGCAAAACGTTGCAACCGTTGCTACGTAACAAGCATTTCACTGAGTTCACTCTGAATCACTCTTCCAGACTTCACACTCACCTGATCTGCGACCCCAGTAACGCCGTGTACCAATGCTCTCGAAAATCGAATCCAAGCGCTAGCTATACAACCATCTCCACCACGTTGTTTTGCTTGCCGTGACGCTGTAGTTTAGTGTTGGATGTTGCTGACCAAAGGCGGGCAGAGGTCGTCTCTACTAAGTGGATATGATGTCAAGTGATGCAGCAGTATATGAAAATAATTATGGAATACTCATATTAAACCAAGAGGTAAGAGCGGTTCGTGTTGTTTGTCTATTAGTGTGGTAAGCCGAAATTCACACTCAATGTAATTGTAAAGTAATCTTGGATGTTGTTACTGTTGCAATCTTTCCGCAGAGGTTACGCCCAACGACCGTTACCAACCATTCAAGTTTGCAAAGTACATGACCAATGCGAGTCGCGAAAAGACTCATCAGACGCAGAAAATCCAGAAAATAGGCGTCCTGTCGCCCCCTAGTCCTAACGGGAATAGGAAGGTCAGAGCATCAGCAGCGGTATGGGGGCTGCCATTTTATCAGATCCTGCTAGGCAGCCATCGGTTTGCAAGGGCTGGGCTCATTCCGATCTGATAAGAGCCTAGGTCCGAACTCCGAGCGAACATTGTATATACTGTACGCGGAACGTGCCACAGCTTATTGGAATTATATCTTATCTCGCTTGAACGTATTCGTTAATATGACACATTCCAATGACCCCGAGAAAGCTGTTGATGGGATTGTCGGTGGTTCGGCTCCTGACATGCTGAAAACAAAGTATGGAGTGGGCGACGGCGAAGACCCGGAGATAACATCTTCGACCACTGACGGTACTAACAACCGTCTGATGCGGTTGAAAGATGAGTACGGAGTACGTTGTTGTTCTTATTTTATCAATTCTTGCTAACAAATCAGTCAACATGGGCGTCGCCCACAGACCCCTCCGATCCTTACAACTGGCAAACTTCACGCAAGTTCACCATGGGAGTCATATTCTCCTTCGGCCAGCTGATACCCATAATGTCGGCAAGTATGATTGCACCGTCGCTTCCTGCCATTGCTTCCGATCTCGCCATCAGCGCTTCTACCGCCCAGATAACCATGTCGGTATACTTCCTTGGCATGGGTATCGCGCCGTTCTTGATCGCAAGCGCCAGTGAGATATGGGGCAGGAAGCCAGTCTGGCTGATATGTAACGCTTGGTATGTCGCCTGGAATACACTTTGTCCCGTGGGAAGGAATACTGGCTTGATGATCGTTGGGCGGTTCATGACAGGAGCTGGTGCAAGTGTGGGCGTAACAGTAAGCGATGAGCCCGATCGATGCCGACATGACAATGACTAATTCTTCGCAGCTCAATGGGCCAGTCATGGCAGACATGTACGGCGAGAACGAACGCGGCAAATCCCTGGCCATGGTGACCTTACTACCCTTCCTCGGCCCTGCTCTCGGACCAATCGTTGGCGGTCTCGTTACCCATTCCATCCACTGGTCGTGGGTCTTCTGGATTATGAGTGCTTTCAACGCTGTCGTCCTGATCGTTGGGTTCTTCGTGATTCGCGAATCATACACACCAGTCTTGCTACGTCGCAAAGCCTTAGCCGAGGGTGCTAACGTCCTAACCGTCAAAGCTGAGCGTGCTCGCATTGCGCAGAATCTCCTGCGTCCAATTCGCATCTTTATTACAAGGCCTATCACCTGGCTCATCTCACTGACCGCGACCTTGTCTTTCGCCGTCTATACCCTTATGCTCGCTACTTATGCGTCGCTGTGGATTGACAAATACGGACAGTCTGAGCTTGTCAGCAGCTTGCATTATCTATCGATTGCAACAGGCTCGACCCTATGTGGTCAACTGGGCGGCCGAATCATGGACTGGTCGTATCGAAAACAAGCTAAACGGACTGGTGGGAAAGGCGTCCCTGAGTTCCGCATCCCTTATATGGTTCCAGGAATGATCATCATGCCGGCCGGTCTTTTCTGGTATGGCTGGTCGGCTGAACGCACACTCCACTGGGTGATCGTCGACTTCGGTGTTGCCATCTTCACGCTGGGAAGCTTCATCGTAAACCAAGCAAGCATCGCATACCAGATTGAGGAGTTCGGCCAGTTCGCAGCTTCCTCCGGTGCAGCAATCCGCTCGGTTTCGTATGGCCTTGCATTTGTCTTCCCGATTTTCGCACCCGACATGTACAAAAGCCTGGGATATGGTTGGGGTAATAGTACATTGGGTCTTGTCTCGATTGGCTTGGGATTTCCAGCGTGTGCGGTTCTGTGGTTCTGGGGCGGTAGGATAAGAGCTGTCGGCAAGTCAAGCTGAGCACAGCGATTGACTATACATGTCAATGGAGCATAATGGCGTGACTGAGGATGTTGAAAATTGGCTGCTTTGAACGAGACCTGCACTATAAGATACCTAGGTAGAGTTGGGGAGAGTCCATGTCCGAAAAGAACGCGTCGCAAGGTCCACTACCTAGGTAGTTATGGCGTCATTGCCGCATGGACTCACGCCACGCTTGAGCAACTTCGATATCTCGCCTAGCAGGAAGCCTTCGAATGCACCATCGTCGAGCTGCCGAACATCGACTTTGACGATTCCGTTCTCTCCATAACCCGCGTCAGCGCATTCGTGGTGCACGACCGCTAGTCTGGCGAAGACGATGAGCTTGAGAATATCGTCGCCATCTGTTGCCGCTCCACCCTCGCCCGGCTCGTAGATCTCAAGCCACAGTTGTTTAACTTTCTCTTGCCCATCTTGCTCCCATATGTCCAAGCCGTAATCATGTCTGGTGGTTTCCACCTTAATCTCTAAAGCAACCGTCTCGCTATCAAAATCGTCCCCACGGTCTAGTTGAAGAGAGCATGATTCCAGTACCAGACAGAGTACGCCATTGAGTGGGCCGGAGAACTTGCGGTACACGGACTGGTTGGCCCCAGGTCGTAGGAGGAAATGCGAAGCGAAGAACTCCGGATCGTCGCAAGGCGCGAGCTTGATGAGCGACATCTGGGACTGGATATCTGTGTAGTCATTCAAGAGGGGCGTCATCGTAGTCCGAGCGTAAGTTCTCATACGAGGTTATCACGACGTCAACTGCTGCAAGCTCGTCTGCAGTATGCGCAGTGGTGTGAGACCACGACTCGTTTCCGTGGTGTACAATCAAACTTGGAGGGTTTTTCAAATGCACCTTGAGCACTTTCTCCCATACGAGAATGAGGAAGATGGGCTCTTTCGCATTCGAAAGCTCCGAGCATGTTGCGAAATCCTTCTCTGGCTCCGTTGTATGATCATCTACTCCTACCTTGAACTCCTCCTGTATCAGGCGCCACAGTGGCTTATGCTGAATTTTCAGAAGTACAAGATCCACCTCCTTTGCCTTCTTGTTCTTGTTTCTGCACTTCGTCTTTGCCGGCTTCTAGTCATTGTCTTCTTTAGGGGCGGTGTATGCCTCGATCTTCTGCCTCCTCCACGTTGGGTTGAATTCTCCAGTCTCATGTTCAATGTGCACGAGCTTCTTTGTGGCATTGGGGAGTAGGGGGACTGCGTCATCAAAGTCTTGGAATGGTCGCTCCCTGAGCGGACATTTGCGTTTGAAGCTCGGCGGAATCATGGCGATGGATGTACGGCGAGCTTCTATACAAAAGAGAAAAACATGATAGGGAAGATCTCGATATATCCTTCTACTCTGGAGCCTACATGATTGTAAAAAGAGATAAATGGAAAGTTTGATAGCAATATAGACTCTTAGGTCAATTTGAGGCCTGCTTACAGATGAATGTTCTTTCTCCATCCTAATCAAGCAGGTGCGTGTTGGAAATTCCCATTAGATGGAGATGGAGTGGCGGCAGCTTTACAGGGTGACTGCGGCAAGTAACCATACTGTGAGCTACAGCATGACGATATGAGATCATATAGGATATAAGGATTTCTAAAGTTCAACTATAGAAGGCGCAATGTAGTTGCTAATTTTATGACTACGATAAGACTTCTATCACAGTCGCCTAGACGACAGACATTCCATCAAAGACCAACAACACCAGGATTCATCGACTCGTCGAAGGTCTCCTTTCCCTAAAGCAAGAACTCCATTCCGGTGACACTATCTATGTCGCCCTAATTCCTTCTCCAACATCCTTGGCAAATATCATATCCTCTGTATCTCCTGTTGCCAGCTGTGGTGGGTTTGGCCCTCCGGAAACATACTGCTAACCACTTTCCCCGTCTTCATATCGTAATGTGATCCCGGTGGTAGCTGGGTGTGCATTCCACCCGGACTTGCCCTTCCGCCTCCACCTCCTTCGTTTTGTCTTGGATCGAGGAACTGTCCATGGCCACTTACACCTGACCCTGGCCGTTGTGGCTGAGAATTGGATCGCGCGCGCCACCGCTGACTCTGCTCGTCGTCCCGGGTGAAGCGATCGTATGGATTGGGCATGCGGACGTCAGGCTGAAACGTAGCGGCGCGCGACGGGGCGAAGGATGGTGGCTCCCATTGACTTCGTCCTGTTGCTCTCTCAATGTAATACCAGCGTTGACTTCTTGCATCGAACTCCTGTATCCAGCCTTGCGGCACTGAGGGTGGACCACCTTGTGGGGCCGGGCTGCCCGGATAGCCACTTTGAGACGGCGGTCGGCCTTGCTGTTGTCGATTTAAGACAGGCATTTGGTGATATCCATTTGCACGAGGTGGTGATCTGGTTCCGCGTTTCTGTTGCTCAAACTTGTGGATCTGTTTCGTGATGTAGTTATCCGCGCGCTGTATGTAGGTTTCGAATGACATGGTGGCGTTCGCCTCGTAGATCAGGATAGCGCTAGCCTCGTCTCGCAACAACGTTAGACTAAAGGAGTAGTAGACGATGGCAGTTGTGGTGCGTTTCACACAGCCACAATGGGGGCGTCGCGCTATATATGCTGTACCCAATCCCTCCCCCCACGGCGTGCGTAAGCCACTCCTAGCCACATGGTACCAGCAGCTCTACATCACAATGCAGGACTAGCCGCACCAGCACACTGCAGAAGTCTCATCAAAATGGCGCCGTAATTTTGAAGCTTAGCATGGCTTCTATGGCGCAGGCCGCCGTGTGATTGGCCAAAGCAGGGGCGGTGCGGAAAACGCGGAAGTGTGGCTCGCGTCAGGTGGCTTTCGCGGTTCGCTAATTTGCCGATTTCCGTGGCGCATGCGACAGTGAGGGATGTGACACCGAGTGTTCGTATCACCGAAAGCTGCCCGAAACAACAATTTGGCGCATACGAGGTCATGTGCGCAATGCTTCCGAACCATGAGGAAGAAACGATGAGTATTGGTGCGTCATGGCCGAGCTCTTGCTAGAAGTCTATGTCACCGTCATCCCTGCGTCCCAGGAAGCAATCACCAAAAGGAACGTGGAAAAAAGCTTGCCAACTCATCCCTCGATATTAGTGCTCGGTTGATCCTAGTACTAGTGATGCAGAGTGAGCCTTCTTTTCAGGACCGTATACACGATAAGGTATCTGGACACAAGCTTCGGGTGAAGGTCGAAGTTTCCAATGATGTGAGAGAAGCCCCTGTTGAAGGCCAATACCCAGCCTGGTTGGTCATCCCAAATCCAGGTGTTCAGGCCGGCGGCATTGCGGATCGTGCGCACCTTCGTGGGGTGACGATCACCTGCCAGGTGGAACATGATGTGTTGTGCGAACGCGCTTCGATGAAGGCAAGGGAAACGATCGAGTGCCTATATGAATACTCCAGTACAAGAAGTTTGTTCCTCTTTGAGAAAGAGACAAGATCTTCGAGCTGTATACCCAGGTAGTATCTCGAACAGGTCAAGATTGTCATCGAGCTCAATAATGGCAGTGTTTGATCGATACGTATAGTGGACAAAACTCCTGACGTAGCTGGGTATAGACCTAGGCCAGATCGCAGTAATCCTGGGAATGGCGCATACCCACTTCGTATCGACGTAGCAAAAAGGGCATGCTCGGAAGTGTACGCGTGTTTGGAGTCCGCGTCTGGAATGACGTACTCATGATCATGGTTACATCCACGGATAGTCCTGATTTCAAGGATTCTACGGTTGAGTAATTTTTGAATAAAAGGGATGGAAGAATGACCAGCTCTACGAACGGAGAGGCTGACAGTAGTTGACAGTTCGGTGGAGCCAGCGGAGAGCAGCCCGCTCGCGCGCTCGGATCGACGGCTGACATCTGCGGTGTGCTTGCGACAGGCTCGTAGCAGAGAACGTTAGTATCGCGCATGCCCACTAGTTTCAGTGTATGCCTCGTTGTGTTTACGCGGAATGACTGCTCTTGTGAGGTCTCCCGTAAGTTGTGTTTCGAGCTGCCCCTAATGCTTTGCTGCGTACCGCCAGCATACTTGGTGCATGTACTTCACCTATTAAGGATTAGATACACCTGAGCGGTTCTGCGAAGAGATTTGACAAATATTGTATTGGCTTCCAGAATTCGTTGGCGGAAGCCATGTTATCCTACCGAAATAAGAGAGAACACTACCTAGGGACACCAATCGCCGCCGGAGTCCATCGGGCTTTCAGCTAAGTGCAGCATGCACAGGTAGATCCGGAAATTCAGAGTGAGTGATGGGCCGGGTCGACGGGTTTGGTTGTCGTTTGGATTCCTGCCCAGGCGCGACACGTCGCATCCATGAATATCATGAGCGATAATGACGTCACAGTCACGTGCTCTCGTCATCCGATCTCGGATTGCTGCATGCATCTGCAGTCAACTCCAGAATTTGTATTCAAATTCGTATTACAGCCATTATTTCTGACACCGAGACGAATCTCCGTCACGAACCCATCTCGCCATGTTTACTTCGAAACCTTGATGAAGTCACCGCGCAGCCACTTCGGCGCACCTTTCCTCACGAAGATCATGTCGTTCTCCGTGTCCAGTCCGAGTGCACTGAACCACTCCAATGCATCCTCTGGTACGTGCGGTAGCCTTGTCACTGATATTTTACACTGCTTGACCCAAGGCACTTTGCTTTTGGGATCCAGTACTAGCCTCAAACCGAATACGCTCGCTTCTTTCAGCTCCACGCTCTTGAAGACGCCCTCCACTGCGGCCTTCCACTCCCTCTCGTAACCAACGAACAGTTCGTTGAAGACTGCGCCTCCCTTGCCCACGAACTCGTACTCGAGACCAGGCGTTTGGAAAAGGCTTAGAAGCAGAGGTCGGATTTCGATCGGTGTGTCGTATTTGCCACGGCGTTCGACATCAGTACGTATTGTGAGCCAGGCGCTGATGGTGTTGCGATCGACGGCACACTTGCCAGACGATGGGTAGATGGTATCCAGGTAGTCTTGCGCATCACGAATGTGGACCGATATGGCACGGTCCCTCAAGTACAGGTCGCGGAACTCGCGACGCGTTTGTCGGGACGCCTGAGTCAAGCTGTAGTAACCGCGCGCAGCCCAGAACGCTTCACTTGTTGTTGTAACACTGCGCCGGCTGGCGTGCTGCTCAATAAGACGCTCCTTGTCATTCGCGGCAAGCGAGTAGATCCTGTTGCGCACCTCTACGCGTCTGTGAGCTGAGAACAAGTTGTGCCGAGGTTGTTATAGTACCTTGCGGGAGGTCGCTAAAGCCCCGGCCCGCAGACCTGCCATGATTCACGCTGGACGGGTTCGAAGACATTGTGACGCTCATTGTAATGCTGCTACAAGCTTTTGCGCAAAACAAAAGCTTTCTTGGGAGTTCAGGGGGGTTAGTGGAGGTTATGGAGAGAGGCATATTAAGGAAGGTGAAGGGCTGAGTGTCAGCGTGCTAGCCGCAATAGGCAGGACGTAATCGTTAGCCGCTAGAAGATACGTAATTTGATTGTCGACCGAGCGACAAACGACGCAGTCTCTCACACGTCGCCTTTATTCACTTCTTATTGACTAGCAAGCCACTCTCATGCCATGCGAATTAGATGAAAACAGCGCTCCTCCAACGAACCGATGTGCGCATGGCCTCAAACCACCGCATTCAGCTCGCATCGTATTCGACCAACAGTCAACATTCACAACTGAGCTGGTTCCCAAGCACAACAGAAGAGAAGATGCAACAACTTCTATGAATAAGAAGTTGCCCACGGCGATCCTGGACTGTGGGATCTCGCGAGTTATGCGAAATCGTGAAGCCAGCGTACCGATGTCAAAAGGCCATTTTCGTCCGCACCATCGATTATATCCACCTGATCCCCCGGTTCTTCCGGAGTATCGATACAACTTCAGATCCTGACCCTAAAGTGATCCATGTCTATTGGGAAACTAAAGGTCGCTATCGAAAGTGGAGCGCAAAAGCTAATGTCGTTGACAAAACCTCTGATAACACTTTGTAGTCAGTTTTGGACGAGACCATAGCTCCGTGGTATGTATTGAAACGACTGTAGTAGTCGTAGGAATGCTCGACGCTGCCTCTGTGGTCGTTTTCCTCTCTAGTACAGGATTTTACACAACCGCGCCTCATACCCAGTATACACCACGCGATAAAGCTATAATTTCAGTAGTCGCAACTCGTAATGCTGCTCATCAAAAGGGCTTGTCTTGTCTAAGCGATCGTGTCTCCGCACAGGCAACTTTCGCCCTTACCACCAGGAAGCTCTGACTCTTTCACTACGATCCTAGACCGTTGGCTAAGCTCCAATCGGCTTATACTCACCTTCACTTATACACATGACTAAACAAAATCCTGCCCCTTCCACTTTCTTTACTCCATCACCGGTACTCAACGCAACCAATCCCAACTTCTGGTCGGGTTTATACCAACAGCGTATCCCTACGCCCAACATGAAACTATTCAGTACCTTGGCCCTGTGCCTGATCGCTGGTCTCGCACTCTTTACTGCCGCTTCTCCCACTGTAGGCGGCAACATCACCGACGTCTCACCTGTTGAGTACACAAGTATGAGGCAGCTCTCCACGGTCTCTTGTCATTCACCTACTGACAACGATAGACGTGACTACCGCCACATGTTGCGATTGGCGCCCAATCGAGATCCACCACGGTTTCGCCACTGTGGAAGTCTGGGTTGGCCGTCCCGCTATCAACGCTGGTTTCCTCAAAGGCGAAGAAATGAAAGCTGCAGTTGACCATGCAATGGATTACCTTTGTGAGGAGCGCGATGGAAGGTGCGGGGCCTTCTACCCAGACCGCATTTGCCTAAAGGTCGAATACGTCTCCAAGAAAAATCCGTTTCCTGTTGAGTGGAGGTGGGGTAAGTAATGTTATCCGCGATGGGTATGCATGCATTCATCTCAGTTCTAGCCCAGCTGTGTTTTTCAGCTCACGGCGAGTGGGAAAGCCCACATATCCGTCAGCTTCTCATTGATACGGTTTCTATGGTCCTCAGTAAGTGCTCACTTATCGAGCATTAGGCAAACCCACTAACTTTTTTCTTTGCAGTGGGGTTTACAGATGACTCTTACACCAATCCCAACTGCTATGAGTTTCCCGGCAAGATGATGTGCAACATCCCGAATGCAGTCCACGTCCGCCTCCCCCCTATGGACGGCTGGAAGAACACGAAGATCAACTGGATCACCGTCGATATTGCAGGCGGTGGTGATGTTCAGCACGAATTCCATTGTTGCGAGACGCGCGATAAGGTCGACGCGCGGCTCGACACGCTATATGACCGGATGACCGATGTTTTCTATGAGGACTATGGGAAATTCAGGTCGGTAATGTGCATGATTAATAGCTGGATGACCTGCGAACAGTGTTACGACAAATTCAACATCGAGAACTGTAAGAAGTGTGGCAGTAAGTGCATAAAGCTATAAGCGCTCTGCGTACACGTCGAGATTCCGCACGCCACCTTCAAGAATGAGACATACCAGAGAAATATTTTGGCGGCTAGGCTTCTCATTTGGGAGCTTCATGGGCGGATAGTAGAGAGCGTTCAGCTCTTTTGTATCCTATCATTGTCATAGAATCTCAACACTAAGCTCATTCACTAGCAGGAGTTACGCATCCTCGACGCCGTAATGTAGAGTGTTCAGTTGTCGCAACTCGTGTTCTTGGAAGTGTGACTTTTGGTGCTATCTTGTATGTACTGTCGTGCATTCCCCTTTGCGAGCCATCTTGTACAGCAGAATCATGTCATCCTCTGTGACCTCCGCGGCGCGCTCGTATCCACTGCCACTAGACGCAGCAGTCTAGGCTGGTCGAGAAGGAATCCCCAACAACGCCATTACATTCCCCCCTGCGTTATGCTCCTTGATCATCCTTGAGATGACTCGCATCAGGTACGGGCGTCCCTCAATTGGTAAGCTCGCCTTGAACTGTTCGATCCACCGACCTGCGCGCTCCTTGTTCTGTGCAGCTTCTTCTGACGGGCTATCCGGGGTACATAGCACGACCCGCAGACACTGCCAGACCTGTAGTAAGTGGCGATTGATTTCCGCGCGGAGCTGGACGGACAGTTGCGGCGGTGTAGGGTTCGGTGCAGGAGTGGAATCCTGAGGATACGACACCGGATAGCCTTGGAATGCGGGTGGCTGAAGCGGCGACATCTGCTGTTGAGGAGTGTGAGGCATATTGTAGTATGGGTCCGAGGACGAGGGGGAGGATTGCACGGGTGTGATGCCCGGCTGAAGCGGGGGTTGAGCATAAACCTGGTGAGCTTGAGGCTGAGACCGAGGCTGTTGATTCTGATGCACTTGGTTTGCATGAGCTTGGAAAGCCTCCTGCGTCTGTAACTGCTGTGATATCTGAGTCTGCAACTTCATGGCAGCCTGCATGCTAGCTATCGACTGGTTGACAATGAGAGTGGCATTTTGGATGTTCAAGAAGGCCTTCGTTCGTAGAGCATTATCTTGAGAGTCGCGCGCAACGGCCCCATTTTCGTGGAGAAGCTTCGCAATCTCCATGCGCTTGTCTGGGTGAAGAAAATTGTAGCGCGGATCGTGCAGTATATCGTTTGGACGGAGAAGAGGCATCTGCTTGCTCGGATTTGGGAAGTTGTTCCAAGCTGGAATGGGAGTAGAGCTCTCAGGCAGACCGGTGACACTATATGGCTGTTGTTGGGGCAGCGTGATTGGGGGAGGTAGCGTTGGCGTTGGTGAGGTGAAAGGCGAGAGCATGGTCGGCTGGTGACGTGAGTTTATCTGCGCCAGGTTCTCATCGATATCAGTGGTAGATGAGGAGCGCAAGAAGGACGGCTTTTGTTGCTGACCAACAGGCTGTTGATAGACTGGAGCATTCCTCATCTGCGTCTGTTGTCTGGTCAGTCTCACTGGCTGCTGCTGCTGCTGCGATGGACTAAAGCGAACTGTTGATCCAGGCTGGAGCCGGCGCTGCGACGCATTCGACATGCTGCGTTGCGCAATCTCCTTCTCGTGAACAGTGCGGACGCCCTGGGGCGGTAACAACGGATAAAAAGGACTGCCCGTCTGCGAGCGTACATCCAATCCAGGAGTAGTACTACCGCTGCGTGTGCCAGTCACGTCGGCGTTAGCGAAGCCATAGTTTTCGTGTTGCAGCTCTCTCATAGCTGCAGGTTCAAGCGTCTCGAGTCGTTCGGCGGTCTTGTAAGACCAAGATCGTGAAGGCATGCTGTTAGTGTACCGGACCGGCGGGGGTAGATTCATGTAGTATATCGCAGGGTGTAAACCAGGCTCCTGGGTCACAACCAGGCGCTCGTCGGGTCCGTAGATGAAGTCTGTGTAGGCAGGGAAGATGTCGCAGTCGCGCTGCAGGTCTTCCCAGTCCTGATCGTGGAAAGGCATCTCTATGACTGTCGGTGATCAATCGGTATCAATGGTAGAGTGAGAGAATGACGCATTCCAGTGGTATTTCGGCGGTGGTGTTGACAAGCCCTGTGCGCTCGGTAGCGCCTAATGGAAGGCGCGCGGCCGCCAAGAGAGGTGTGGTGGAGGAGCGGGATGGTGAAGCTGAGTTGCGTACTTGTTTCGTTTGCAATACAATGTTTAGAGCAATGTAAGAGCCGGTTATGTTCGCAGGACATTGCCGGTGGCCGAGCGACTCTCTTTGCATGACGTTAGGCTTCATGGTTCGGATAATCTCGATTCGTCCGCGATTGTCTCTAAATGAGCTTGATGCTGATGACCTCTATCTAGTCATGCAGAACTACAAACATGAAGCGAGCGTAGAGAATGAATTCGGGGGTGCACTGTAGGCGCATCTGGCGGATTCGAGCTTTTTGGCTGACCGACAGATAGAACTGAGAGTGACAGTTATCTTGCATGTCTCCAGCTTACCAGGCCTTATTGTAGTACATTTGAAATCCTGTTGCTATTTTTAGAGCTGGGTGGTCGAATAAGTTCAACTCGATATCGCTTACAAGCGTCCTGACAATTTCGAAAGCGTTCGGCGCCTGGGATCATGGTGGTGCAATCTACTACCTTGACACTGCGGGTGTTTGTGATTCCAACTAACAAATGAAAGGGTAACGGAAAGCAAAAGAAAGGCATCATATCTCGGCGCCAGCGATACATGAGATGAATGCCTGCTCAAATCCATCCCTTGAAGTGTGAGTTGACGACAGAACGGAGCCAAGAAATAAGTTAGCGAGATACGTGGGTTTCCGCGATATCTCTTGTTATCGAGAAAGTGCAGAGGCGATCAAGTATCAAGCCTTAAGCATCGAAATGATAGCATTCTTGGTGATAGGCGAAGTATGTGGACGAAGACAGACGATGAAGTTTAGGTAACAGACAAGGTAGGTGTCGGCGAAACCATTCACCGAGACGCCAAAGAATGTCGCGCTCCCCACCACCCCACCATCGTTTGGTCGATCTCACAGCAAAGTACCCACGGTCTCTACCTTACCTCGGTTCCTCCGCCACCCTACCTCCCTTGTTCCACGATACTCTGCACCTCACAATGAGCGACGCGACGCCTATACCTGAACCAGAAACCCTCGAAGCGCTCCAATCTCGGCACCGCAAAGAGCAACGCGACCTCGTATCCCGTATAACACAAAAGAAGAAGCAAGCGAGCAAAAAGACACGAAAAGGTGTCAATGATGAGTGCGAGCGACTCGAACGCGAATTGAAAGAGCGGCAGGCGCTTGAACTCGCTGTGCAGAATGGAGAGGCTGTAGATGCGGAGGCGCAAGCAGAGGATCCACAAAGCTCTGGGGATGAAGCGCAGGACATTCAAGAAGACATGTCCAATCTCAGGGTTGATGGTCCTGGTTCGGATGGCAGAAACGGCAGCACCAATGGCGATTCTACCGAGCCCAAGAAGAAGAAGCCGAACCGTGCCAAAGCCCGCCTCGCCCGTCGCGCCGCCGAACAAGCCTCCATGATCGCAGAAGCAGAGCGCGAAGCTGCCAACGCACCGAACCCACGCGAACTCGAACGCAAACGTATGGCGACACAGTTACAAGAATACGGGCTTGCGCTGCATGAGATACGGGCGGATGGTCATTGTTTATATGCCGCAGTCGCAGATCAATTGCAGACACGAGAGTTGGGCTTGAAGCCAAGGATAGGTGTTACCATCAACGGGCAGGCAGGTCAAGAGGCGGACGCTAAGCCTGAGGCATACAAGACGGTCAGGCACGCAGCAGCAGACTGGATCCAAGGCCACGCGGACGACTTTTCGGGCTTCATGGAAGACCCGTTGCCGGAACATGTGCGCAAGATTAGAGAGACAGGCGAGTGGGGTGGCCATCTGGAACTGCTTGCATTAGCTCGGACATACGGTCTAAGGATATGCGTGCTGCACAGCGATGGGCAGGTGGATCGGATAGAAGGCGAGGATGAGGTCAAAGAGAAGGAAGAAATATGGCTGGGATACTACAAGCACAGTCACGGCCTAGGCGAGCACTACAACTCGCTACGCAAGGTTAGCTGAGGTCGAGAGCGGTGATGCAGATACTGGCATTTACAGAACGGCGACCAGAGACATGCAACCTCTCAGCAACCTGCTACGCTCAATGCCATCTCTGCTCGTCGGGACAATCCGCCTTGTGCCGCCACATACTCACGCAATCCCTTACGAGGCCCTTGATCACGCCAGTCTCGTGGGTCCGCTTGGGCGTATAGTGCGCAATTTTGACCAGTGCCTTGTCCGTCTCCTCTCTATCCGTCTTTTTCACCACGCCCTGGTCGTCATACGAGATCTCCTCACCTGGCTGCTTGAGCAGCTCGGTATGTACAAGAGGCGGAAGCGACCACGGAGGGCCACCGGAGGATGCGGGCTTGTGTGTTGGGAATTCGAGACAGATGAGGACACCACCGGTGGACGGGGAGTTCGCGGCTGGCCGGCGGAGAAGCGTGGTCACTCGAGATGCCCATTTTGGCCTCATCGATGGAGGGAGCGCGCAGAGGAACTACTCGTCGCATTAGTACAGAAGACCAGGCAATGACCCACGTCTGGAACTCTACTCACCGTATTGTCGTAGATAATGTCAAATCCTTCATCGCCCTCCCATCCCTCTACATCTGCCAACCAGCCATCCTCAAAGAAGTCCCCACATACAACATTCATCGCCCCTTTCCCAACCTTCTCGTTCGCGACTGCGTACTCTCCTCCCAGCGGTCCCTTACCAGGGTCTTCCAAATACTTTCTCGCTGCGTCTGCAGCATGTGAAGACACCTCGAGCCCATAAGCGTCGTACCCATGCGCTGCGAACAAGGCGACATCGTATCCCTTTCCACACCCTGGTACAAGCGCCCTCCTCCTCTTCCCATCGTCTCGTAAGGGTCCAGCGAGGGACGCATAACCCGCCGACTCGCTGTTAGGTGGTGGTGCGCCGAGTGAGGGATTCGGGTCTGGGGACGACAATGGACGACCACGCTCTTGCAGCAGGTCAATCAAGGCCGGGTTTGCGTGACCACGATCCCAAGGTAGAAATGTGGATTCTCTCCATAGGTCGTCCCAGCGGTTGTTGTGCTCCTTGTCAGGAGCCGAGGAGAAGTGTGTTCGGAGGCGGTCTTGGTTCTGGGTAGCCATGGTGTGGGCAATCGAAATTGAGTATATAGGATGCTGGCTGAGTTCGTCTTGAAGGCCAATGGCTTGGTGGTGTCGTGGGATAGCTTTCGACGATGATGACGGAATGAGGAAGCCGAGGCCTTCCAAGCCATTTCGAGCTAACCCATCTTTACCCCGCCAACACTTGCTCGCACGACAACGCCAAACGTGACGATAACGGCCTTGCAGCTGCGATCGGATCCTGCGATGTCAACCTCAAGGGTGTTTGGACTTGGCTGGCAGATGCACGCACATAATCATCGAACGGGCTGACTTTGCTGCGGCCCTACGACAGATACGACAGATCTACACCTGGTGCTGGCACATCCCGTGCCGTGAAGCTTCAATTACCCGGATCGCAAGCATGCTTCCTACTGGGCCCACCCTTGCTTCGGATATAATTAATGCGATTTGTTTCCGCATGGCAAATCGCCTGTTCCGGCAGTCACTTCTGCTTAGTTATCGCTCAACAACTGCGTTTCGCTGGCTTTCGTCTGGAGTCATGGCCTGGTTTGACTTTTCTTCGCCCACATTCCCCGTGTTGAGGACACACTGCGGTGTGCATAGCGTACAGGTACGCGCTGATAGTATGCTGAAGAGCTAGAGATAGCGGCTGTCGACAACCGAGGTATTACGACGCATACGGAAAAGAGCAGGTGCACGCGGAAATCAGTGCAGGCTGTCGATTGACATAACCTTGTGAAGATCTGAGCGTTGCGCTACTTAGCATTCTTTGTTTTCGTTCTTGCAACGGTCGATGATGGCAGACGACGAGAAGGTTAGATCGCCTTCCGGGATGTTGAAACAGGAGAATGTGCCGGACCGAGGCATCGAAGAAGAGACGAAATTAGAACAGGAAGAAATATCGGAAAAAGACATGCTAGAAACAAGCAACCAAGGGAACGACGACACAATGTCGATTTCGTCATCACGAGCCTCGACGGCTTCAACGCACTCCACCAATGCCGACCAACCGAGAACGTCGAATACGAAACAACGGCCAGTAACTCTAGCAAGAACCACCTCAGTTCTACCTGATGCTGTCATCGTTCCACGATCACAACGCCGTGGACTCCTTGCGCGCTTCGCGCTCATCCCAGAGGTTGAGAACCCCGAACACTACGCGCGGCAAACGAAATGGCTTCTCACATTCATTGTCGCCTTTTGCGCCATGGCAGCACCAATGGGCAGCGCGATCGTTATGCCGGTCCTGCAGGAGATCAGCGTAGCTTTCAACGCAACGGAGACGGTAACCAACATGAGCGTCGCTGTGTACATGCTTAGCATGTCCATCTTCCCGTTGTGGTGGAGTTCCTTCTCTGAGCGACTGGGTAGACGTACGATATACATAACATCGTTCATACTCTTCGTCTTGTTTGCTATTCTCTCTGCTATCAGCTCTAGCATCGCTATGCTGATCGTCTTCCGCGTCCTCTCTGGTGGTGCAGCGGCATCGGTACAAGCTGTAGGCGCAGGGACCATCGCTGATGTCTGGGAGACAAAAGAGCGCGGACGGGCGATGGGTATCTTCTATCTTGGGCCACTCTGCGGACCTCTGTTTGCACCTATCATCGGTGGTGCTCTGGGGTCAGGGCTAGGCTGGCGATCAACACAGTGGTTTCTGGTCATCTACGGCGGGCTGACCCTGATCTTTATTATATTCGCTCTTCCGGAGACCCTGCACCGGAAAGAGAAACCATCCGCCGACCCAACAGCACTCCCCAATAACGACGCAGGAAAGGAGCAAAATACAACTCTCGGAAGAAGCACAACACGCGCTTCTACTGTCCAGAAAACTAAGAGCATCCTACTACACCTACGCCACATCTTCATCGATCCACTGCGCATCATCGCATGGCTCCGCTTCCCACCCGTTCTCCTAACCGTCTACTACGCCAGTATAACATTCGGCTGCCTCTACATCCTCAACATCAGTATCCAATCCACCTTCGCCGCCCAACCCTACTCCTTCTCCACCCTCATAATCGGCCTTCTTTACATTCCCAACTCAGCCGGCTACCTCCTCGCCTCACTCTTCGGCGGCAAATGGATCGACAGCATCATGCACCGCGAAGCCCGCAAAGCAGGCCGCTACGACGACAGAGGCAAGCTCATTTTCCACCCTGAAGATCGGATGAAGGAGAATGCGTGGATTGCTGCTATTCTCTGGCCTTCGGCTCTCATCGTCTATGGCTGGACGGCAGAGAAAGGCATACACTGGATTGTGCCGATGATTAGTAACTTCTTCTTTGGCATTGGCAGTATGCTCATCTTTGCGTTGGTTAATACCATGCTCACGGAGTTCATGCCTAGACGCGCTGCGTCTGGTATTGCACTGAATAACTTTCTGAGAAATATCTTTTCGTTTACGGGCGCCGTGGTTGCGGAGCCGATATTGAGTGCGATTGGAAATGGGTGGCTGATGACGATTCTGGGCATTTGGAGTGTGGTGACGGGGTGCATGGCACTGTACGCGATGGGCAGATGGGGCGAGAAGTGGAGGGAAGCTATGGTCAAGGTTTTGGGATGATAAGTTGGCAGTTCTTGAAAACTGATCGTATGCTTTTTGGGATAGCATTCACGCGATTAGAAAAATCCCGTTAGACACTTTTATCTGCTTCTTTTTCATATACAATGCTGCCAAGTTGTTGATTAAAATAAGCTGCCCAAACCCTTTGTATGTTGCCCACCGCACAACGCCTATCCCCAATACCTACTCCCTAATGCCTATTGTCTATTACCTAACACCCAATCTACACCGTCTAATAACCATCCCCCATTCCCTGTCCCCCATTCTGAGTAGAGAAGTATGCGTGGTGATATACGCAAAGCTCACAAGATATATTTTAGCCAGGAGAATACATTGTCTTATCCAATGACTACAGGTCAAAATTCAATACACTGTATGCGGCAACGCGATTCAGTTCTGTAATCTTCTAATGATATCTAAAGGGGCGATGATACCACCAAGCTCTTTCTAACACGCTGCTATATCCACCATCTTGATCTCAATGACGTCTCAGCTATTCTACATCGACAACTCACTGGTAACGTAAAGGGTCGCCTGGATGATCTACTCCGTCCTCGATTAGATGATTCCGGTTATTGTGACGATATCACAAATCTCTATGAAGGAAGCTTGCATGTTTGACTTCAACGCGCGCTGCGCCGACATGAGAAAGACGAGGACGTCCTTGCTGGAGTCATCCCATGGCGACATGTCCCAATCCCCGGCGGCCTTCCTCGCATCGAGAAGGACTTGTGCCATCGGCGCTTTGCCGCCGTTCTGCTTCGCGACCGCCTTTTGCAGTCGAGTGCAGTCGCCGACGTTGAAGTCGCTCTTGGGATCTGCGAACTTGGCGCGGATGGCCGTAATCTCCTTGGGTGTGATGAGATTTTCATCGTTCTTGATGAATTCGAAGTTGTCCTTTTCCTTCACTTTCTTCTTTTCGTTCTGAACGCGCGTCACCTTGCCTCGAGGTTTGGGTGCAACATAGCCCTTTTGGGGGCCAAGCGCTCTTGGTCAGATCTTCCCAAAGGGCGAATGCTGCGTCGCTGATAGTTCTCTCGCAAATCTCGCGCGGAAAGCAGAGCTTCTTGATGTCCTTCGCTGCAGTCTCAAAGTTGAGGTGGCGGTCGAAGACCCTTCCCCTCTCAATGTAGTACTTCGGCCTCTTGGCTAGCCCGTAGGCCCCGTTCACAACGCCAAAGTCCACCCAGACGTACTTCCCGTCCTTCGTCTTGCAAATCCGTATGCGTTCGTTGGCAGCGTTGAATTTGATCTTGATCCTCTTGTACTTTCGGGCGGGCCATATCTGGTGTTTGATGTCACGAAATATGTGTCAATGAGAAGTCGGTGTAGGATTGTAAGTTTGCTCTCAGCGCGGAAACCAATAACTATCTAAGCTACTTTTGAAGGTAAGAGAGGCCGATATCGGCATGACTTCGGGTGAGAGGATTAGAGGCGGGGTTGGCTCGGTATGGCATCGGGTACGGTGTCATGTAGACTGGGGCGTTGTAGCCATACGCACCTCCTTGAGGTACTGGATAGCCATATACCACAGGCATTGGTGTCTGCTGATACCCATACTGCGCAAATGGAGGATACTGGAGACTCTGACCTGATACTGGAGGAAAGTAGCCAATCTCTGTCTGCTCAACGACAGTTCCGTCGGGCGACCTCAGTACTTGTTGAACACACGAAGACGCTCCGACGTCTTGGGTGTCGGAACGGGTAATATAGCGGGGTACCACTTCGAGTTCTTCGTCCGAGTTATCTGCCAGGCTGTCAGGCGCGCGGGCCGGCGCTTTGAAGATTTCGTGTTGGATCTGGGTGTTGTGGCTGTTGAATGTTAGATAGTGATACTCATAATCAAAGTAGTGTTTATGCTACTTACCAGACATGGGAGACTGTCTGTCAGAGGATAGTCTCTATTCAGACTTAGATTAGGAAGACAGATGACACAGTAGCGCGATACGACTCGGATGATTGAACCCTTACTACACCAATTCGACAACGCTACGCATTTACTACTTCTGTGATACTTCCAAATGATCATTGATTCCACAAGAAATCTGTGGGGACGCCAAAAGAAAGATGACCTATCTAGGCCGCGATCATCTCAATCGCGTCGAGACTAATGCTGGGACTTAAATATCCTGTAGACGTCTTCCCAGAGATCACAGAGATCTTCAGTATCTGATACTCCCTCGCGCTCTTCACCCACGCACTTGCCGGCACACTGTACTCATAAACGTAGTTATTGCCACGGTAGGTTCCAACAGTCAGACTTCTGGTATCCCCCTGACCCTTGTCTGATTGCAAAGCAGCGGTCCAGCTGTTCACCGCAATAGCCGGTCTTCCACCAGACATGCCCTCTGTGACACCGATTCTGATCTTTGCGCCATTGGCCAGTTGCGCATCGCTGAGGCGAAAGTAGACGAGGTGGTCGTTGTTGATGTCTTTCCACATGTAGCCGGGGAAATTCGCGGCGGAGCTGGTACCCACAATGTAATTGCTAGCGTCCCATTTGGCGAGTCGCGAATCAGATGGATGCATGTATGTAGGTTTCATGGGGCTGTCGCCGAAGTTCAGGAAACCCTTGGGTGTGCCGTCCCATTCACCGATTCGCCACATGACAGCTGTGTCGGATGGGTCGTTGCAGGTGATCGTGTTTAGCGCTACGGTGCCTCCAGCAGTGACGGCGACAGTGCTAGTGTGTACCTCGAGTTCCTGCAAAATCGGGTGAGTTCACGTTGGATCAAAGTGCTGATGTATGGCTGTACTTACACCCTTGTATACAGTCAACGTGTACGAGCCTGGCAGAATCTTGCTGATTCTCCAGGAGCTGGATGATGCAATTGTCCAGTATTGCGCCTGGGCACTCTTCAGACCGACAACATACTGGTAGCCATTCTTTACGTTCGCTAAACCAACACCAGCAACGGCACCACGTTGGCTAGCCGGAACCCAGCCATCAATTCCAAGAGAGTCCATCCAGTCCCAGTTGGCGTTGCGAGCAAAGAGGGCGGTGCTCGGTGCGGCACCGTTATCCGTAAAGTGGAGGACGGAGGGACCTTGCAGGCCAAAGCGCATCACATCGGTATGACCTGTGGCACATTAGCATATGTCATGACTTCAAATTGAGGGATACTTCACGTACCCATATTGTAGTGATAGATATCATAGAGATCTAGGCCACCACTACCTCCGCGACGCACCAAGCTTCGGAAAAAGGGCCCACCCGACGCCTTCTCGTGATTCGACCTAATCATGTACATGCCGACATTTCGATTGGTATATCCGACCCAGTCGTAGTCCATAGTGCGGCCATACAACTTGCCGGAGTAATGTTTGGACCAGGTCTGACCGTTGAGTCCATTGATGTCACCGGACTCAATGGCAGCCGCACCATCGGGAACCCAGTCTGTGTCTTCGTTGATGTTATTGGTGAAAATGTTCGGCGGGATGCGAAGTATGTATCGCGATACAGTGATGCTGCTGTCTTTCTTGTTCATGAAGATATAGACGTTGGGGTTGCCATAGCGGAAGACAAGAGTGTGAACGAGCGTCCCCACTTTCATCGTCACTTTGATGACGTTGGTATATTGCTGGATAGTGACAGTGCCAGGTGCGAGACCAGATTCCACGTGTGAGTTCTTGCCATTCTGGCCGTTATACTCAACGCCACGGTACTTGATCGAGGTCATGTCGGCGTTTGACTTGCTGACCTTGACGACGAGATTCGCATTCGTATCGATAACATAGTTTTTGCCGTCATCGGTGTAGCCCCAAGCTGCAAAAACAGCCGTAGGGGCCAGTAGAAGAGCAGTGACGGTCGCTAAGAACCGCATCTTGAAGACTGACTGAGGGAAGACGACGAGCTAGAAACCTTATGGGGATCTATTGTGCAGGACGGCTTTATAGCAATGTATTTGCTTTCCCACGTGTGTGCGCAGATGGCTACTACGCACCACCACAATACCATCTTTCCCGGTGGTAGTATTGTAAAATCCATGTTAGTTACCCAAATCAAGCCGGCTCCGCCATTGGAATAGAGCACCTACGCCTTGCGGAGTAGTGCATGGAGCTGATTGTACAAGAGCCGAGCATGGGTATATATCTGGCCAGCGTTTGTAGTACTACTCCGAGCCTAGCACATCTAGTATCCGCGTGCGCACCATATCATTGGTGGGGCTGGCTTTCGGTGTTTCGAAGCAAATCCGGGGAAATTCTTGAGATTAGGAAGGAAGCTTGGTAGGCATTAGCACCACCGAGCGCACAAGTGAGAAGGCACCATGGGCCATCGTAGAGGCAAAGTGGTGCGGATAAACTTTGTGCAGATGTGAAGCGGGGACCATGATGCAGATTGAAGATGGATAGGCTTGCAGTTGTAATGAATGAGGGCGAAATGGAAAGGCCGTGTCGCGGGCCGAGGTTATGCCGATTGGTGAGCTTTGCAGGCCAGGCCTCGTGCCTTGCGACTCTGCCCCTCATAAGAGGCGCACGCCGTCGTGAGGCACATGCCGTCGTGATGCACAATATCAACGTTTTCTTCTCGACACAACTTGTGAAGATCCACACCACACTTGGGTCTTCATCTCATTGAACGGCAAGATCAGAAGATGTTGACGATTACTTTGGACCGCAGAGGTCTGCCAAAGTTTCAGGCGTCCAGGCACATGCCCGTTGTGTGCTGGCGATCCTATGGTAATTTGGCATGCCATGCTTTTTTCGGCACAAAGTCAAATATGGTCTGCATCCGAGCAAGTTTGGCTTTTTGTGTCAATCTCTACGAGGAAGCTTGGTTTTGAGCGCCACAAGGTCTACTTTGCCACTGCCATACATGCCATCTCATCACAGCTCGCAACGCATTTCCAGCCTAACACTCAGGCAAGCACGCCCTTGACGTCCAACAAGCTTCGAGTTGTCAGCTTGCATTCTTCAAAATGAGGCGTCGTGACTCACTTCTCGTCCTCACGCATCCGCTGTCGTAGAAAGTCCTTCTGCTCGTCAGGATAATTCTTGACCTTGTCAATTTCCTGCTGGGACAGCGGCTCTGGCAAAGTCCCTGCGTCAGGCTCAAACCACTTCTCTTTAGGCGTCTTGGTACCGTCAGCGAATACTAGGTTCGTCATTTGCGCTTTGAAGTCTTGTGGAAGGCGGCTCAGAAAAGCTTCGATGAGGTCAGGTCCTGTGTGGCAGGATCAGTACCGAAATGACCCGGTAGATAGGATGCTTACTGAGTCCTTCTGCTGAAAGCACTCTGCGATCTGCAGTCAGCGAGCGCAAAATGCCGTCGTTACCTAGAAACGTGATGCCGAGGATATCGTTCTTGAAGCTTTTGAGAATGCGCGTGACCTCTTGCTGGAGTGGATCACTGGTGTCGTAGGATGGTACGCATCTCGGGGCGGACGAAATTTCTTCTTTGTTTGGGTCGGTCATGATGTTCAAAGTGAAGAAACGAAGATAACTTTTGATCGATTTTAGGGTATAAAAAACATAAAAGGGTATGATGCTATGAGGCCGCCCGTAGCGACTGCGGATGAGTGTGCTTCGTCACTGGACGGCCAAGGCTCACGCCATGCGCTTACAAACAGATCGTCCTCCCTAGAAAACATTACAGGTAAAGGGGCGCTGCGCCCTGTTACAATCATAAACAGCCATACTCAAAATGGCGTACAGCTCGAACGTGAAGTGCAGGACGTAAGCACTAAGCGCAGGATGCGCATTCGCCCCAAACATTATCAATTCGTCATTATGACATCCGAGGCGCCCTGTCGATAGACATGCGAGCAGCTGCGATATCCATAGACATGCGAGGACCGCGGCCGTCAATGGAGTGCCTCGACAGTTGGTAACTCATGCGCCAGTCGAGCGGCAGACGACCTTCGTTTGTGGTCCGTCGAGAAGCGTGGCCGATAACGACATGCATCTCGAACTTATCCAATCCAGTCTTTTGCAAGTACGCTTCGTATCCCTCCGACTTGGAAGCCCGCTTCATCCACTCCTCACTCACAGCCGATGGGTAGACTACGCGCAGCAGGGGCTCAGCACCACGGAATCGGTAGTACTGTCGGATGTCATCGTGGGGAAACAGATGCAAGTCGATCCTCTTCATCGGCCCGTTGACTGCGGTAAGCCAGCTTTGGTTGCTGTTGGCAGGGTTTGGCAGCAGCTTGTTGAGCTCACCAACGATCTCGGAGATGCTGCGGAAGACTACTCCCTCAGTAGAGGTGAAGCGACAGTCGGTGCGACGTGTGCGGACGAGGCATCGGATGAGCGGCAGCAAGTCGATGGGCTCCATGTCGAAGCACGCAGCATCGATATCCAAAGAGACCTGGCCCTTGAGCGAATCAATCTTGACCAGGTTCGACTTCTGGCTCCACAGGTCGATGATGTAGTGTGCCTTCTCCGCGTATATCGGTAGGAATTCTTCGCGAAGCTGGTGGCATACCTGCGTGAGGTTGTAGTATTGCCTCCGCTTTGTCGGCTTAGGTTCGTCTTCGCGTTGGGCCAATGCTGGATCATCGTGTCGGCACATCCTGATGGGCACCTCCTCGCTCATGCGCTCGTAGATGCGGTTTCTGATCTCTGTGTTGCATTAGCGCTTGTACATATATATAGACTAGGGAGTAGCATACCTGGGGGCATGTCGAGGAAGCAAAGTGGTGCGGTCTTCTTGAGCGTCGCGACGTCTTCAACAACATCGTCAATCTCAGGAGTAGGGGATGGGACTTCAGCGAGGGCCAGTTCTGGTGTCTCGTCCTGTACGGACGGGGTGCTTTGCTCGGGTTGCTGCTCGGGGGTGATCGCACGGGTTTCTGGTTCAGGTGTCGCACTTCGAATGGGTGCAGTGACGGCAGTGTCGCAAACTTCAGGCTCTACTTGTGTATAGGCGACAGGAGTTGAGTTCCATGGCTCCTGCTCAGGGGTGGCGCAGCGAACAGGCGGGGTGACAGCGCGAGGATGTTCTTGCTCGTGCTTTTGTTCGAGTTCCTGCTTGGTCTCCTGCTCTTCGGCCGATGAAGATGTGTCTTGCTTTGTGGCGGACGTAGCGGTGACTAGGACCCTCTGTTCGACCATCCATCCCGCACTCGGTTTCGACTTCTCCGAAATGACAGCCAGCTCGACATCATCGTTCTTGCTCAGCCCGCTACCGCGACTCTCGACACCAGACCGTACACTTGCGCGCACTGGATTCGCGACGCGCTCGATACGGTCTTCATTGAGCGTGGGGATGTCGTTCGGCTCCTCAATCGTGGGGTGAACGGTGGTTGCAGTAGTTCCATGTGCGTTGCTGGGCTCGGGCGTCGCGTCGTTTGTTTCAAGCGGCTCTGTCGACGTCTCACGCGTCCGTCTCGCCCGACCACAACTGAAAAGGTCGCCCAAAAACGACATGGCTGCTCTTCCACACCACCACGGAGAGTGCGTGGGTTTTAGGAATAAGTACTGTGGGCAAGTCGCACAAAAGTAAAGAAACCAGCACAACCGTATATCGGGGCACCTGCTAGCTCATATGTTTCTTCAGTCAGGATTGCGGCATCTAGTGGAAATAAAGGCTAAGCCCTTTCAATGGTCGATGAAACGCATTGGGCGAATGAAGTCGTTGGTAAGATTGCTATCACACTGAGATGACCGGGGTGGGGCACGTGCTTTACCCCTGATCAGCGCCATAGATCCCCACTTTCGATGAGGCTTATCTTATCTGCATGTGAGCGGCAGATTCACAATTCCAGCACCTGGCATCATGCCCGCATCTTGACCAGCCTGCCGGTAGTCGCCGGGACGGTGCGCGCAGGTGATGTGTCTGGCGCAACTTACATATCGATTAAAGTTGCGATGAAAGTTTGTCTGTGACCCGTTCACACGCGGTCCATGGGCTCATCTCGGACTAGCGAAAATCGCCGAAGAAAGCTTCGGTCACTTGAGCGCCCATGGCGGAATTATTTGGTTCTCTATGCCTTTATTGTCTAACGCAAAGTTCTTCGGGTACGTGCATGCTTGCCCAGACATCGCAGGCTAACGAGTTTCGGGAATGTCCAACGCGCGACGTCATTGCCAACCACGATCCACTACGACGGGAACTGCCAGACCGGAGCACCTCATCAAATATTCTCGGTCCATCTTCAAAATACGACCTGAATACGGGAAAATGAATATACGATAATAAACGATCAACAAATACTGGCGGGCCACGATCCACCAGGGTTGGACCCATCTGCAGGGCAGCAGCTCCCTTCTCAACGTCCTCCAGGGTTTTGACGTTCTCACGTAGCTTGCAGCATGTCCAAGCAGCCACCTCAAGTGCCAGTGACCCGGTCAAGACCTCCGAGTTATTGGTGTAAGTAGTGTATGTCGCGCATTCATTGTGTGGGTAATAGTATCGGAGGCGCAGGACGCGTACCGCGTTGTCGAAGAGTTGGTAGTAGGCGAGTCGAATGATCGCGTCCTGGCATGATACCAATACTGTTATTCTCAGGATCACCGTCCAGTCGAATCGACGTTTGACGATGCGGTTGCGGTCGGTTGCTGCAGGATCAGCAGACAAGTCTTCCCAAGCAATGTTGATGAATGTTCCCAAAGAGGTCCATTTCCAAGCACGGAGCTCGATGAAGATCTGGATAAGGTGGCAGTTATAAGGCGATATTGCCAGCCAGGGAATGAACCCGTCGCTGGATGGCACCTTCAGATGCAGCATACCCGAAAATATGGCTAGACATCGTACGATAAGGCTGGTGGCGAAAAGACAATGACAAAGCTAGCGCTTCATTCCTACAAGGAGCGCGAACAGCTAGTGGCAAGTCCGACGAGGCTGGAACAGATGAAGAGCCCGGTGATTAGGCAGGGCGCTTCGAGCATGTCTTTGATGATACATGCTTGGTCTTCTGGATGGTAAAGATCGCCGTACCAGAATTCATGATCTGAATTTTGCCCGTCTGACGTGGGTGGACGGCGTTGTCCAAGAAGAATGACGCATGCGCCAACTGAGACCAGCCATGGTAGCAATACTAAACCCTTAGTAACGCCGGTCAGCATGATGTGTGTTTGGCTGTGCGATCGACGTCGGAACTTGTTGAATGTGAAGGGTTGTGGCCTGGATGTTGGAGGGTGCATGTTGACTTTACACAAGATGATGTATGTCCATGTCTTCGATAGGTCCGCTACCACAAAACATTATTGCGGATATGAGTCTGCGTAATCATAGTGACCGAGCCTTCCCCTCAATCAACGCGCGAGGGTGTGAATGGACTTACCAACATGGACTAGCGCATTATGGCGGACGCTCACTCTCTCACCAGCTTTTTCAGTCCTACGTATCAGCTCCCACCGGTTACGACAGTACACAACCACAACCAAACTTCAGCTCTAACCCGCAACCATCTCGAGGCCACCATGCAGACAGACAATACGCAATCACTGCGCGGACTTGGCACCAAGCAAGATGCGACAAAGATCGGCTTCATGGATCTACCCATAGGTCAGTCAGCAACTTTCGAGTGTGAGAAAGAGCAGTGCGCTAATATTGGCGCCAGAATTGCGCAACACAATATATGCATACTGCAAGACACTTGTATACGAAAGCTTTACTCGCCGATCACCTTTGGTGGACGAAATCGGATATCGGACCTACTTCCATCTCTGTCAGGTCAACTACCAGATTTGCGAAGAAGCGCATCCTTTTGCAGTACCGGAACTTCGCACATCGAGTCCCGCTCAAATATCTTGCCGCCTACATGGACACGTTTCTGGTACCACATCAGGGACACTCTCTGGATGGCATTACCTCCTTCACCTTCCAAACCGATCAACTTTTCTCTCGCGTCAACATAGCTTCGCTTATTCGAGTATGCAAAAAGCGCCCGAACTTCGCTGTCAGGATCAATGGCTTCAGCTCTGTCCGCTCGGATATGCTTATAGCGCGTTTTAGAGCATCCAATCTTAACGTGCAGTTCCAGATATTGATTGATAACTTTCAAGTGCTAAGCACAGATTTGGACAGTTCCACTGCCTCTCAGTGCCGATGGAGCGAGTATCTCGAGATTGCCGTCGAAGGAGTATGGGTTCATGATGATAACAAGGGGCTCAATGTAGACATAGTAGTCAAGTCCGAAGCATCTGAACCGTGGATGGACGATTTTACCAAGATCAACCGCTGGCGCAGGATCTGTGATCACCCTCACTACAAGAAGGAATACGACGCGTGGGTACACAGAACTGGTGCTCTAGGACTTCGGAGACCGAGTGTGTTCTCGGTCAGAGTGGCGAGTGGGGCCCGAACGTAATTGGCCAGCAATGATATGCACATGGATGTGGCTTTCGTTTCGCGACTGAGAAGCGGGTAGAATTCTACGAGGTCACGCAGCTAGTATCTTAGCACACTTATGCGAAACCATGCAATTGCTCGCTCAGGTCCGGACCAGTGCCAACGATTTTGGTCTAACCTTGCTGCCACAAACTCGTAGTATGCCCGTGAAAGCTAACCCCATCAATCTTCCTAATCTCCTCATTACTCAACCTCCACCCCAGCGCCGCACAATTGCTAACAGCCTGCTCCTCCTTCCTCACACCACAGACCGGCGTGATACCCTTGCACATATTGTAATTCAGCGCAACAGCACTCTGCGGTACACCATGCTTATCCGCAATCTTCTTCAATACCAAGTTGACAGGCTCAATGTCCTTCATATCGTAGCTGGAAAAGCGGTACGTCTTCGGCGGTGGGTTGTCAGATGTGTATTTACCCGTGAGGCGACCTTGAGCGAGCGAGGAGTAGGACTGTAAGACGATACCGCGTTCTTTGCAGGCTTGGAGGAGACCAGAGAGTTCTGGTTCGCGGCGGAGGACAGAGAATTCGACTTGGTTGATGGCGAGGGGGACGCCGTATTTGGCTAGTTCGTCTTGCATCTTGATCATATCTACGAGACTGTAGTTTGCCACTCCGACGGTCCTGGTCATGCCTTTTTCCACGCACTCGGCCATACCTTTGGCGATCATGGGGATGGTTTGTAGATGGATGGGGCCGTGGACGAGGTAGATGTCGATGTAGTCAAGGCCGAAGTTCTTGAGTGAGGTTTCGAGTTTCTTCAGAGGGGCCATGGTGGGGTGGAGGACGTCTTTTGCTTGAGGCACGACGAAGTACTTGTCTTGCATGACGAAACTATCCCTTGGCATGTCCTTGACTAGTCTTCCGCAGATTGTCTCGCTCATGCCTGTGCCGTAGACTTGTGCGGTGTCGATGAAGTTGACGCCTTTGCTAACGCAGTACTTCCATGCTGCGACGACATGGGGTTCTTCTTCAGGCTTCCAGTGCCAGGTAGAAGTGTCGCCCCAAGACCATGCACCAATGCACAATTGCGGAGCGTGGACATCACCATTCTTTCCCTTGTACACGACCTTTTTGTCGGTAGTCGGAATCCAGTCTTCTGGCATGACGGCTGCGAGACCATCAAAGGAAGGGTCGACTGGATTGGGCTTTGTGTGCTTGCCGCTGTGGATGCCAGTGACGGCTGACATCCCAGAGGATAGACCAGCTTGAAGGACGTGCTGCATCTTTTTGATCTGATGTTACTGGGACTTAGGTATGATGGAAGGATGATGTTTGGACGGGAAATCAAGGTATCGCCACTTACAGTTATACTTATACTCTCGCTATATCCAGAGATGGATGATACGGCAAGTCGTCGGCATCATGGCGAGTACTTTGTATGATGCGGCAATGATTCTTACATTAATCTTTAGCCTATGCGCAGTGATTGTTCCTGCATGGGTAGTACAAGTCCGGGAATAGATGGATAAGATCCTGATGTATAGGAGGCAAAAGGACGTGATGTTTGAAGTGGATGTCGGGATGATGCGCGGGTGATGTCATGCCTCGAAAACGCTCTGTCATGTGGGTACTCACGACACGGACATGCCAAACCGGTGTCAGAAGTGTAGGGGACGTTTCAATATACTTCGGAGGCACATACTGGGACCGAGAGGTACGTCAACGGTTGTCATTTAGTAGTCGCGGTCGTTCCTCGGTGGTGGCCGGGACCTATCTCCCGAAAAGGCGGTCGCGTTTACCTCATCTGTCAGGACAGTTGCTCAAAGACGACAACACGCATGACTCTCGATGTCTTTCGCTTTGCAACACGTCGATTTAGTATCTTTAGGCGAATTGGACAATGTGGCGAGACTGTAAATGGAACAGGAGGAAGGTTTTGAAGGTGGACTACTTCGTAGGCTGTAAACGTAAAAAGCTTAATTTAATATATACTGAAGAACGTGAAATCTTTACAGGATGCTGTTATCCGCACATGTAAATGCGCCGTTAACATCTGTCGTGGCGAACGTGTTCATCAAAGCGCGAATACTGGCGTACATGCCGGGTACCATCATGAAGAGCGTGACCGACATGATGAACACGTTGAGAGCGGCCGTTGCAAGCTTCTTTGTACTTGATCGCCACTTGCCGTTCCAGTTGAGATGGAACCAGAAAAGCACGGTAACACCCCAGGTGAACCATGATAGCAAAAGCGCGGCGGAAATGTTGAGTAGGGAGCTGAACACCGGAATGGCGTTGGCGAGGATCCAAACGACGACCCAGAACAGGGTAACTGAGAAGATCCAGACAGCCCATTCAGTCTTGTTACCGACATCACCCATTGCGATGGAAGCGCGGCGACCACGCGACGATCCGGTAGCGCTGGATGAGACTTCAGCGTTGAAGCTTCCATCCTTCTTGGCCTGACGAGTGCCGATTTCGCGCAAGAAGAAGACGTGCAGGTAGCGCGCGGCGGTCATGCCGAACACCAGCCCAGTGCCAAGGAGTCCAACAAAGATGATTCCGTAAGCGACCTTTGCCATCAAGGGTTGGAGAGATCCGAGCGCCGGCGAAGCGACAGATTCACCGGAAAGAGCGTAGACGACCGCAGCGACGATGCAGTAGATGGTGGTAGTGGCGCACTTTTCAATAGTAACAGCGCGTGGGTAGTCGCGAGAGGGGTCTTCCATCTCAGCAAGGACAGTCGGGAAAGCTTGATTGCCGCTGAAAGCAAAGGCAATGTTCAGGAACGCAGCGACAGCTTCCGTGAAAGTGGGACTTCCGATAGCTTTCAGGTTGAGAGGTGCTCCCGCATTGCGGGGACCTTGAACACCAAGCACAATCATGACGAACATGACAGCCGAGAAGATTGAGATGGTGCAGGGCCACGATGCCCATGACACGAAACGCATACTCCGCGGTACGCACATCGCCCACATAGCAATGGCCGCGACGACCGAGAAGGCGACCGTGCAGGTCGCGTGTTCGCTGACAGTGTTGAGACCGATCGAGATGGTAACGACTGCTGATGCGCTGATGAGAGCCATGTTGATCAGGAAGCCAATGGCAAAGACGGCTTCGAGCCAGGGGCCACCAAGGACGCGTCCGTAGTCGACAATGTTGAGCATGTACGGATACTTGCGCCAGTACTGGACGAGATTGTAGGCAGTATACAAGCTAAGCATGCCCATGCCGACAATGGCGATGATACCAGGGAAGAATCCAAGGGTGTTCAGAGCGGCTGGCAATGACAAGATACCAATGCCAATCTCGTTCGTCATGAAAATGATGACAGTTTGTGTGGTGTTGAGCTTCTTGGTTCCGGCACTGCTTGTGGGTCGTTTGCTTGCATTCTGGATATCGGATACGTCGCCTAGGTTCGTGTCGTGTTCGGAGGAAGTTTCGAGCTTTTCGGGATCTCCGTGCTTCTTTTGTCGCAAAGGGTCTTCCGGATCGTGAGTAGGGTCTGCTGCAAGGGCTACTGTAGGTCGCTGGGCAGATACGGGCAGATCATTCAGAGCTTTGGGCTTGTTGTCGAGGCCGTGTGTGTGTTGCATGGGAAGGTTGCCGTGGGCAGAAGCGACATCTTTGTGATCCATGGTTAGAGGGAGACCAAGCACTTACGCCTGCATGTACCGAGTGAGTGTGGTCGAGACGGGGAATCGAAACGATAACGAAGATGCGACCAAGAAACGAGCTTGTCAATAAAGAGGCTTGATGAGGGTCAAGCTGAGGAGATAAATAGACTGGTAAAAGAGCAATGGAATGGTCACAGCGCAACGTGGAGTAAATCAAGGACATGGAGAATTACGTATTACCGCACATTGCACGCGGACCAAGACAGTAGCTGGTGGTAGCGTATCGCAGAATGCGTCCAAACTCTAACGGGGACTGTGCACCCAATAATGGCTGGGCTTGAAGGCAGGGTCTCGCTGAGGCGTGGAGACGGAATGGTACTTTTATCCACTTCAGGTATGTGGGCCTCCCTAGATGCCGTATAGATGAAGCTGTTAGTAAAGGAACCGAGCTGGTGTTTCGCGAAACGCGCAAGTGCGGCACGCTGGGTCCTTCCGGACGATGCGCAGCCTTCCCACGCTGCCGTTCCTATTGAACGATGCAACGCGATGCGGAGAAGGGTCTTGGTGACGTCTGATGGTCATCCACGTCGGGAGCGGCCGCGCTAGCGAGAGCCGCATTTGACAACGCGAGAACCGCGCCGAAGCAGCCCGGTGTCACACCCGACAGCTTGGCTACTGTCGTCATCGGTCTGGGCATGTTGTGATCAAGACCATCAAGCTCGAATACCCCAAATAGCCATGTGTAGGAGTGAGCGTGTCCCAGATTACAGGAACACTCCGAGTATTCAGACGATGGACAGACGTTGATTCAGTGTATGCGCCATTTCCAGGACGAAATGGGAAGGAATCCGAAGGATCCATCCGCGACAAGGACATGCCGAGTCGCATTGGCAGTGAATGCGAAAATTTCGCGCGGTAAAACATCGGCTGCAGTCCATAATCTCATCATGTTACATCCAGTGAAAGTGAGGCACTTGGAAACCGGAGTGCACGGATGGTTGGCATGGCGGAGGAGTTGGGAGAGCCAAGGCCAGTCTCATGCGATAAACTTCGAACATATCCGCTTTGAGTCTTGATAGGTCCGTAGACATGTGCAGAGGCACTCCTATCCCAAACTAGGAGCCGCGGACGAGATAAAAGAACCCGGACGAGAGTTGATCTCTCCTTCAATGGTCGCTGTGGGAAGACACTTGGCCGTAGATGTCGATGGATGTCGCATAAGGTATGGGATCGAAATAACCAACGGTATGGTTTCCATGAGGGGCAACACATCAATCATTACTCCAGTGCCGCTGCAAGGTACCGATTTGGCTGCATCTGTGGAGTCGCATGCCGCAAGGGAAGTCGCATAGGAAGACGCAGTGTTCTGCTGCTGGCATGTCGCTTTGGAAAGATGAATCGTGTCGCTCTTGGATAAGGCTTTCTTGGCCAGGAAGGCTGTTAATTCAGTCAGTAAGACGTGGGGAAGACCGAGTAACTCTCCGCAATATCTGGAGCAGGTAAGTCAGACGAGAGTAAGATATTGTAGTCAATGTGGGATGAAGTCGTGGGTATTGTCGGTTGTTGGTCGCATGGAGTAGGAGTTGACGAGAGGCCCCTATTGAGTGGGCACATATTTCGGGTTACGCGTCAGCTGAGTCATGCGCCTTCATTTTCCCATCTATCGCTTCCTCATACGCGATCTTCGATCCACCAATCCCAGATTCTCGGCAACAATCGCGAACCTTCACTATGCGCTTTCTCTTGTTCTCATCGCGAAAGTTGTCTCGGGTTTCCGCACATACTGTGCCCTCTGCAGGCTCCCAAGGTGCGGCGCAGGAGTGGCTGTGAGGCGGCTGTGAGGCGCACGGGGGCCCTAATAGCCGTTCTTTCCGGGCGGAACGGCGCCAAAAAGCTTGGCCTACGACTATCATCACCATTCTCAAACCTTTCGGGGCCACGCAGGAGCGTCAAGCATGTCGACTCCCTTCTTGGCACGTTGTGGTACGCGCATGCCTTTCCCCAGGAATAACCAGGAGGTGAAACGAGATCGATGGCTCGTCCCCACCTCATCTTCGATGTTGCTCCTCCATCTTGTCACCTTCCGCTGACTTTCCCTTTGCCGTGTGTTTGAGCGAGAGTCTGCCGTGTTCCCTGTTTGTTCGATAGTCCGCCCCCGAGATACCTGCCGCTATTCCCGTCGTTGACGAGTCACTCATTTCTGCGTCGCTCCCTCTTCTCATTCTCCACATTCACCATGATACCCCGGATAGCGCTTTCGGCGCTTTTGTACGCCTCCACCGCATTCGCTGTGTGCACCAAACTCGAAGACTGCCCCCAGTTTGAGGCACTCAAGACCGACGAATGCCAAACCTACCATCATTTCCTCGCCCGCGGCTCTACCTCGCCATACCCGGGCCACGTCATCGAGACAGTCGGCAAAGTGTGCAATGCGCTCAACACCAAGGAAAACCCCAAGGCCTGCGGATATGAGGATGTGCAGTACTGGGCCATGAATGGCGGAGAGCGATGGTGCATATCGTCGCACGAGGGAGCCATGAATGGCGCCGAGCAAATGAGGAACTACACTGCCAGGTGTCCGGACAGCCACCTGATCGTGATGGGCTTCAGTCAGGGTGGAAGTGTCGCGCTGGACGTCCTTGGTGGCGGTGGCGGTCCACTCTGGGGCTGCACACAGGAAGACAACCCACCCATGAACATCTCAAGTGCGCCCGGATCCAAGGGTGCGAACTCCAACCTTCTGCCAATATCAAAACGTATACTGACATTTTCACAGTCGTAGCAGCACTTGCTTTCGGTCCCACACGACGTTCCGCAAACCAATCCTTTACCCACGGCGGGGGCGAGATCTCGGATGGCGGCGCACCACGAACCGCAGAGCAGAACGCAGGTCTCCAACCCTATGCCGACGCCGGCAAGCTTCGCGAGTACTGCCAGCCTGGCGACCCTATATGCGCACCCCATACCAAGGACAAGGATATGTCCAAGCACCTTAACTACTTCGACCTATTCGGAGACGAGGCAGCGCAATGGGTCATTGACCTCGCAAAGAAAGCCGAGAGCGGAGATCGTACC